TCTTGCAAGGAGTACAACGTCTCCGGTTACTGCGTCAAACCTTTCTGGAGGGACCTACCATACACCGACATCCACTCCTGCATCACGCCTGACGTCCTTCACCAGCTCTATCAAGGTGTATTCAAGCATATAGTGGAGTGGTCCACCGAACTCATCGGAGAGAAGGAACTCGACCGTCGCATCCGCTGCCTCCCTCCTTCCTACGGCACCCGTCATTTCAAGAACGGGATCTCTGCGCTCTCTCAGGTGTCCGGTAGTGAACGGAAGGACATCACCCGCATTCTACTGGGATGCCTCATCGGTTGTATACCGAATGCTGCGATGCTTACCTTCCGTTCGCTACTGGATTTCATCTACCTTTCTCAGTACCCCACTCACGACAACTCCACCTTGGGATATATGGAAGACACCCTCAAGACGTACCACAAAAACAAACACATACTGCAAGAACTCGGTGTTCGGGAGCATCTGAACATACCAAAGTTTCACTCACTTCTTCATTACGTCGATTCCATCCGCAGACTCGGCACGACTGACAACTTCAACACAGAAATGTTTGAGCGGTTGCACATCGATTTCGCGAAGAAGGCGTGGAGAGCGTCGAATCACCGGAATGCTCGTCCACAGATGATCCAATGGCTTGACAGGAGGGAGAAGGTCTCCATGTACGAGACCCTGCGTGGAAGACTCACCGACGATTCTGAAAACCCGCAATCACTCTCTGAATCGGACTCAGAGAGCACTGGTAGTGGCGCGTTGAACTCTGAACCCGCCAGCACTGAACACCGTCCTCGGAGCGGCAAAACACGTATCAAACTAGCCAAGCATCCGTCCTTCGCTCAACAGTCCTTACCTTCTGTCGAAGAACGACATGCTGCACCAGGCTTTACCCGCGCGATCTCCGACTACGTCTACCAGTTAAAGCTGCAGCGCAGGCTCCGTCCCAGCGAGCTGGATCGAGCAAGCCGTCACTTACCGTTCGCCAGAGTGGACGTCTTCCACGGATTCAAATTCAACAACGTACCTCTCACGGACAACACAGAGGAGAAGGACAGCGTGAAAGCAAGACCTTCGGCAGGAGATCAGCCAGCCAGATTCGATACGGTTGTCGTACTGCAAGGTGACGACGCTGAAGCCACAGGACTACAAGGTATGTTTGACTTCTCCAGCGGTGCGCCAGTAGCATCTAACTCTTGCATGATGCAGGGACGCGCATCGGAAGACTGAGAGTCATCTTTCAGCTTCCCACAACCATACGGGATCCCACTACTCACCTTGAGATGGACGCACCGGAGGAGTGGGCACGAGAGGGGGCATTAGCCTACGTAGAGTGGTACGGCAAGCTGGGCTCGACGGCCAACCCGGTACATATGATGTACGAAGTCAACAAGCTACCTCTGCGGTCAAACAGCGTACCTCAAGGAGAGGTTGTACCGTTGAGTTCAATTCGTCAATCTTGCCAATTAATTCCCCGTTTCCCTTTCCCCTCGTCATCCAATTCTTCCAACCACTCAATACCTGATAACTGGACCTCAGATACTGTTTTGGACCGAGCTTCAAAGTTCGTATTGAATAATTGGTCTAGTAAATACGTGTATCAGACTATATGGTGATGCTGAATACATGGGACTTGTATTGCATCCTGTACCCGCCCTCCCGCCCGCTCGCCCTGCCGTCTGCCCGCTCACCCGCCTGCCAGTCGGCTGTTGCACTCCCGCCCTCTCGCACTCCCGCCCTCCCGCTCGTGCACCCACCCGCCTTCCTGCTCACCCGGTCGTCCTCTCGCACAGCCGCTCTCCCGCCAGTCTGCCCATCTTCGATGTCGCTTGTCTGCTTGCCTGGTGCGCAACCTTCCCACTCGCGTGCACCTGCGTTCATCGGCGGTCAGCGTGTGCTCCTGCCCGCCTGCTCGTCCGCCTTCTGGACAAGTCTTGGCTTCGGCCTGTGCGTCTGGGTGATCCGTAGCCTGTACCGCCTGACCGCTCGCCTGCCCGCTCGCCTGCCCGCTCGCCCGCTGCCCGCTAGTCCACCGCTCGCCTGCCTCCTCGCCCACCTGCGTGTACCTTCTTCGGCCGCGCTTGCATCCCGGGCATTGGCCTATCACGTACACGGTCGGCGAGTGCTCCCGCCCACTTGGCTGTCCGCCGCGCGTTTGTCGGCCGTGCCTGCACGCAGGACAGTGGCTCTGCGTGCTTGCGGTCGTCATGTGTGTTGCGCTTCATGTCACCGTGTCCTGTGTTTGCGTTAGCGGGCTCGCTCGCATGCGTCTGCACTCACGTAGCTGAGATGCTTGCGAACTCAATCCGCACGCCTCTCGTCCATGTCCGCAATCCGCCCTCTATGATGTTCCCACATTTGCCACGCGTGGTCGGGCCTGATACCGTGGGGAGGTGAGTACTCACTTACCAGGTCTAGCGGGGTACTCGCCCTCGCCTGTCCATCGCTTGCATCCGTCAAGCTTAGGGCGGGCGAGGGTCGGTGACGTCGGGCGGGTGATCGAGATCTGATCTGAGCGCCTTCGCGTCACCGGTGTTGTGACCGTCGTACCGCTGCACTTCCGTCGCGCCGTCTGCCACAACCTCTGAAATCTACAGGTTCACCGCTTCGTCTCCTCTCCTGCTCTTGTATCTGACGCGTCGTCAAACAGGTCATGTCCCGGCGGCAGAAGAGCCGCCAGCCAGCTGCCGGCTTGAAGGAGGTTCAGTACGTCGGTTTTCAACGTGTTGACGTCGACAAGAGCAAAGTCCATAGGGACAAGCTGGACGAAGACGGTCTAGTATACTGTGGCTATCGTAATACCCAGGATTACTCTGATGTTCCTCTGCCATCTTCCTATCATCCGCCACCTCAGCCGCCAGTCAAGCAGCCTGCGCAGGGACCCGTGGTGATCGACTTGGTGTCTTCGGACAGTGAAGATGAGGGCTCTTCTGGTAGCGCGGCCGGCCAGTCGGCGGCAGCATCGGGTTCGGACAAGGTGAGTGCGCGATCAATGAAACCTACTGCAGGGCTGAATGCAGTTTACTCTACAGCGTAGCGGTGCCAAACGTGCCACTCCGGCAGAGTTCATGATCCTTCGACGCAGCAAGCGACACCAGAAGGAAGACACGCGCCAGACGCAGGCACCGAAGGGCGACGTGCGGTTGGGAGATCATGGGAGAGTGAGACGGAGGGCAGGCAAGACAGAGGGACAGGGAGACCGTCAGGATGCTCAGCGAGCCGTGCGTCCGGTTGCAGGGAGGTCAAAGAGTGGAGCCAAACGTAGGGCTTAGCGTTGCACGCTGGACGGAAGCCTAGCTAGCAGGATCTATTTGTGAGAGTGCTGAATCTATCCGTCTTCTGAACGTCACTACGCACTGCCCTACCTCCAAGCGTTTCCAGCAGCTCGAGGCGAAGAAGGCGCAATCCGTCAGCACGCACTTTGCAGCAGTAGGTGATAACGGCGCGATTCGAGTGCGTGCTGTCGCTCCATGCTTACAACGTTACACGACCGGGAGGCGCACTGATACGAGCGCCCGACGCTCTGCTCTCGACCACCACCACCACCTCCTCGTCTCCGACCGTCACTCGGGCAGCCACCATGACTGCCGGACCTCTTGTCAAGGCGCTCGCGCTGTCCCAACGGACAGGCGAGCTCAAGTCAGCGACTCAACCGTTAGTTCAGCTAGGACTCGGAGCGCCCGACAACCCCCCTGCCCGCGGTACCATCCTTCCTCTCCCGGGCCTCAAACGCCACACAGGAGACCTCCATTCCATCAGCAAATTCGGCAATTTCTGAGCATCTGACCGGCTGACAGCCACCTCTCAGAAGCTCAGTTCACTCAGACTTACCAGTCACCTTCAGAGACAGACAGTTGCCAGACAGGTACAGTATCTCTGCCATGTACTCTTACACTCGTAATTTCTAGCTTGTACAGTACTCATACAATCACACTTACTGTCTGCGTACATCACTCATGCCCTCAACAGTAGCACCAAAGCTACTTTAGACAACGTTGGCCGTCCAGTACCATTATATTGCATAATTAGCTACTCATGTACATACGTAGATAGATTTACGAAGCTCCGCCGCCCGTTTGTCGGCCACGCCTGCACGCACGGCGTTAGCCCTGCATGTTCACGGTCACTGTACATGTCGTGCTGCATGTTGTTGTGCCCCGTGCCCGCCTGCCCGTGTACCTTTCACTTGTATGCCCACTGTCCGTTCGACGGCTGTGTCTGCACACAGGGCAATTGCCCTGCGCGCTCGCGGTCGGCGTACATATCATCCTTCACGTCGCCACCTCCTGTGCCTGCAGTTAGCAAGCTTGCTCGTGCACGTCTGCACTCACCCGTCTGCATCACCCTCGCCCGTCCTGCCATGCGCTCGCCTTTTCCTGCTATATGCTCACCGTTCACACCCCTCCGCCCGTCCCCCGCCTTCCTCTCACCGCTGTGACTGTGTCCGCGGTGCGTTTCTTGGCTGCGTTTGCACGTAGCACCTCTGCTGTGCGTCGGGGGCAGGCATGGCCTTGGTGAGTCTGGAGCCCCAGTTGGAAGATTGCCAAGGACTGCATTTGCCGTGCAGGGAACGAAAAAGGCCGTGGCCTGCACCCGTTCGCGAGTAAAACAGACAGTGAGTAAGCAAGTGAAGAACCGGCGGGTCGGCGGGCGAGCGGGTCAGTGAGCAAGTGGAAGGGCAGTGGAGCAAGCGGGCGGGAAAACGAGAAGATGAGCAGGCCGGCAGGCCGGTGAACGAGTGAGTGAGGCATCTGGCCCTCTCCCAGGTTCTTCTCCTCGTGTTCCTTCAGCTGTGTCCCTGCCGTGCCCTTCAGCCCCGCCGTGGTCAGCCCAGGACCGCTAGCCGTCACGAGCACATCCCCGACCGCTGCACTCACGTTCTGCATGCTCACGCCCGCATCTTCCGCTACCGCCACCGCCTTCTCCCGCGCCGTCGTCGTTCACCGAAATCCTTGTCGAGGCGCTGGACTTCGGAACGGGCGCCGACCCGCTGGCTGCACGACATGGACCTGGCCCCGGAGACGTTCGCGGCGGCCTTCCGCGCGCTCACCCATCTCCGCGAGCGCCGGCTGCACGAGAGCTCCATCTCGGACGAGACGCTCCGCCTGCTGCATGGCCCGCATGGGCTCTGTCTGCGGCTCACCAAGGTCGACTTCCGGTGGGGCGGGCATCTGGGGGCAAGGCACTCGTCGAGCTCGTGCGGAGTCGGTTGCCCGACCGGAGCGAGGTGAGTGAGGGAGTGAGGTGGATGTCTAGTCGAGTGAGGTGGGTGGGCAAGCCAGGCAGGTCAGCGAGTAAGGTCAGCGAGCCAGCGGGAAGACGTACGGGCTGATGAGAAGGCGAGTGGGCGAGAAGACGGGCGGGCGAGAAGACGGGCGGGCGAGAAGGGCTGGCGAGCGTACGCATGCATGCGCAAGTGGGCGAGCGACTCACCTGGGTCCTGTACTAAATCTGCAGGGGCCCGCCTCCCTCGACTCCATGTTTCCATCACTTCTCCGTCGCGTCTTGTGTGTGTCTTGACGCTACCGCGCAGCGTTGCAGTGTCGAGGTTGAGGCGACGTGGACGTGGAGGAGGCAACTCGCGAGAAGTGCTAAGCGCCTCTGCCACGACACGTCACGCGCGTTTGCTGGACTTCTCCTCTCGTCCGCCTCTACACTACTGTCCGTCCCCTCCTTCCCATCTGCTTCGCCCTTGTTCCCGCCCGCTTCACCCTCGTTTTCCCGCCGCCATCCACCAGTACGCACAGGCAGGCCGGTCCTCAAGAGACAGAACATCTCAATCGGCGATTTGGACCACTGCACGGCCGAAGACCGCGCTGTACGCGACCGCAACGAGCTCCAGCGATGCGCCAAGGGCATCGCTGGATGCTCGTGAAGGATCACCACGCAGGAAGGAAAGGGGGCTGCGGCCAGAAGGGCCAGTAGTTCAGGTGAGTGCACCGTCTTTCACCTCGACCCCGTAGCCAACCGCGGCACGTCCATTCGTTTGTATGCTTGTGTACTTACTCAGCGAGCTGCCCCGCCCGCTTGTATGCTCGATGGCTGGCCAGCCCGCCGCCTATACTCGCATCCGTCCACTCACCCGCGCACCCACTCCACCCGCCACCCGAGAGACCGTCCACTCCGAGAGCAAGATCGTGCTGCTCAAACAGGCCTCAGCCAAATTCGGCGCTAAGCTCGTCATCGAGGGCATCGCCAAGGTATGCATCTTCCTTCTCACCATACGTCCGGCACTCATGTTCAACGCCCAACAGGAAGGGCGTGCTCAACAAAGCCGTCAAGTGCATTGATCTAATCCAGCCTACAGCCGCGCCCGCACACACTGAACGCCATCGAGCCCGACGAGCAGATCATCCTCGCGATGAACGGCACGTTGCGCATCCTCGAGCCCACGCTCGCGTTCGAAACGTCTGTCAAGCACGCCGTCTACGTTTCCACATGTGGTGTGATCTGCGAGCTCGGGACGACACCACGGCGGTTCTCGGAGACGGACTAGAACGAGCATGCCGCGCACTCGTCAATTCGCCCGCTCGCCATTTGTATGCACGCCTCTGGCTGCTTGCTTATCCAGTGCCTTTTTGACCCACTCACCTGTCAGCTCGTTCACTGGCCCGACGCGCATAGGCACCGAGTATGAAACAACGAGCAGCAGCGAACCTGCCACACGCAAGCCCGACACAGGTGCGGGTCCACTGGGCAGTAGCTCGCACGAGTGGACTGTACATAAGTATTAGCGGGTGGTATTTTGTACAGTAGTAGTGATAGAATGCAATATATGTGATTTAAAAAAGTCGATTCCGTATGTCCTGGCTGAAGTGGCTGATGAACTGGGCAGTCTGACAAGCTGTCTGAATGTTCTGAGGATCCTGTCTGACGTGTTAACATCGAAAAAAGTTGAGGTCATGAGGGCTGAAAATCTGAAGCAATCTGAAGCAATCTGAAGGCTTCTGAAGGCTTCTGAACCCCCTGACAGGGCCGTCAGACAGATTTCATGTTTTCCTGATGTCGACCCTCATACCCCTTCTCTCGTATCTGGCGACCTCAAACCAGCTCTTTGCGGCTCTGACAACACGCAAGCGTCACCGAGGAATCGCGCGATGAGCACACAAGTCCAGCGCAGGGCAATGTGACCGTCCAACACGCGACACACGCGGAACGAGGAGCCAATGAGGAAGGTGTGAGGGAGAAGGAGAGGGAGAAGGAGAAGGGGGGGAAAGGGTGCACCGAGATGAAGAGGGACGAGCGGGGAAGCTCGACGGACACAGGTACGCCCTTAATGAATGTATCCATCTTGCCACCGCTCTTGCCACCGCTCTTGCCACCGCTCTTGCCGGTGCCCACGCCAGCATTCGTATTGACGAGCACCGAGTTCTTTGTGCGCGCTGATGGCCACGAAGACGGCACGTCTGTGCTGCGGGACGACCTCCAGGTTACACCCTTAGCAAGGCGACACGGCGGACGTGCAGCGCTGTACGTCCAACGTGTCCCACTCACCTACGATCAACCGTCGTGTAGTGGGTACATCGAGTGATTCGCTCAACGTGCACGCTACTGACAAGCACAAAGGGTCGAGCCGTGAAGGCATGCCCTCTATGGACGTACATCTCGACGCTCCCTTTTCTGCCTGTGCCCGCACCGGCAAGCGTAGCGATGAACGTAGAGTTCGTCGTGTGCGAGGTTGCCCACGAGTACAGCAACCCGGGGCTACGGGATGACCTTCATGCCGTACCAGAGACTGCTATTCTGCAAGGCAACACGGCAGACGCACCGATGTCCAACATATCACGTTCATCTGCGGAACATGGCACAGCGAGTACGCCGAGACTATCGCTCGACGTACACACCGTCGGCGAGCGTACCGACGCATTCAGCGTACTCGCAGAAGTACTTGGCGTGTACCTCAATCCCATACCGGTCATCCATGTGATCGAGGCACAGCTCATAACTTGAAGGGTGCCATCAGGAAAAACCCACTTTCCTTATTTGGACTTCACACATGTTTAAACTACTTCACGTAACGTCGTCTTACTTCGTAACATCATTAAGTCTTAAATGCATAAATACGTTCCCTGAAGACTGGTGAAGTGCACTTAAATCAAGTATGACATTAATACCTCTGTTTCAAGGCCACTGAAGTGCAAATGAAGACTCATGTTGAAAGCTACAGAGGTGCTTACGTACATGTAACTAGTACTCACACTCCATAGAACTACTCTACTCTGGTACTGCGATGACATGGTTGTTCACTTTTGCTGTGAATGTGAAGCCTTGAGCTTGCGGCGTGCTTCACTGCAGTACGTCGCAAACTCAAGGCTTCGCATTGCTTTGTGAGTTGCGCTTTCGACCGACTGGGAGTCTAATGGGCAAGTACTGGCATGCTGTGGCGACGGGCTGCATGTACCGTGCACGATCACTGGCACCCGTGACCCGCGTACCCGTACCCATGTACGGTGCTAACCGCACCCGGGTTCACTGCCGGTGTTGGCGGTGGTCCGCGAGTTGACCACCCTCGGTGGTACCTCCGAGTCGGCGGGTGTGCGCTTGCTGCCTGCGCCCGCCGTCTTCGTCTTCCTCCCCGTCCTCCCCACTCGCTCGTGCTCGCGTGTCCCCACTCGTCACGCGCCATCCGTACGCCCTTCCGCGTACCAGCCGCTGTGCCCGTGCCCGCGGTGCGCTCGTCTGCTGCGTTTGCACGCGGGGCACTGGCCCTGGGTGCTCGCGGTTGGCGTGTTGTACACGCCCCAGCCCTGTCCACCGTCAGTTTCCGTCCTTTGCTCACGCCGGCGTGGTCCATTCGCCGGCCATGTTAGCACGCCCGCGGTCGGCGTAGTGCCCTGGCCGCCCGCCTGCCCGCTCGCCAACCGTATCTGTTCGCTGGGCATTCACAGAGCGCACTCGCGGTTGCTGTGCGTGTCGTCGCCCGCTTACCCCGCTTACCCGCCCACTCATCCGCTCGTCTGACCGCTTGCCTGCCCGTCTGTTCGCTCGTCTGCCCGTCCGTCCATCCGCCTGTCCGTCCATCCACCTCTCCGCCCGCCCAATCGGACGCGTGTCCGTCGACCGTGTCTGCGTGCTGGGCATTCGCCCAACACAATCGCGGTCGGTGTGTGTCACCCGCCCGCTGTGTCTGCTTACCCGCCCACTAGTCAACTTGCTCGCCCAGCTGCCCGGCCACTCACCGAGATGTCTGCCCACCGCCCACCCACCCACTGGCCCGCTCGGTTTCTCACCTGTTCGCCCTGCCGCCCGCCCACTTGTGCTTCCTCCTCGTAGTCCCTGGCCATGTCGCCCGTTCGTCGGCCGCGTCTGTGCGCAGGGCATTGGCCCTGCGCGCGCGTGGGTGACGTGCGCGCTGTGCAGCAGACGGACAACTCGCCGGCTTACTCACTCTTCCGCCCGCGTCTGTGTTCGTCAGCGGTGTCTGCCAGCCGCCCCTTGCCAGGTATCCACTCACCTTGCCGATCCTCGCCTGCCCGCCTGCCTACCATTCACCCATCAACCGTTCATCGGCCATGCCTGCATGCAGGGCATTGGCCTTGCATGCTCGCGGTCGTCGTGCGCGTCGTGCTGCACGTCGCTGCCGCATTCTGTGTCGGCAATCAGTGAGCTCGCTGGCGCTAATAAGCACTCACTGGCCCTCGCCCTCGCCCTCGCCCTCGCCCTCGCCCGTCCCCGCCCGTCCCCGCCGCCTGCTCACCCATCCCCCCTGGTCCGCTCCTCGTCTGCGCCTACCGTCCGCTCGTCGCTGTGCCCGCGGCCGCGGTATGTTGGTCGACTGCGCCTCTATGCGGGGCCTTTGCCGTACTTGCTCGGTGTCCGCGTGTGCGCCGTATCCGTGTGTTGTGGCGCTGGATTAGTGGTCCTCACGCCGTGACCGGTGGGTGCTGATGCGCGGATGGAGTGGCAGCAAGGACCAACAGAGAGGGCAAAAGAGCGAGGTGGCAACCTTCAGGAATGTCGCGCACGCCACGTCTGGGCGCTCGGTATTGCCTCTTTCGGCAATACCGTCACGAGTCGGTGACACCGCGCAGTACTACGGTGCAGTAAGTACTAGTCGTGGGTGTACCCGCTACCCGCGTCCAACCTTAGTATTCAGTCGTCGGGGTTGCGTTAAGGGCCAAGGTGCGTAGTAAAGGTGCGTAGACTTGAGGGTCACGCGGTCCTGGGTTCGCTGACGACGGGTGACCTGCTGTAGAGCGTCCGTGCGGGAGCCGTTCACCCGATATGTGCGTCCGGAGTCGCGGCTGACGATGATCGTTGGGAGTGAAAGGGACGGTGGCATCGCACGAGCGATCGACGCACGCGAACTCGTCCGAGTGCTGTAGGTCTTGAGTAGTCAGTACACGTTGCCGTAGTTGGGGGGTAGAGTTGTCAGAGGATCAGCGCACCTGTCATGTCATGACCGTTCATATAAGGGGCCGTCGCACCGTCTTCCAGATGTCAGTTAGCGAGTGCACGCACGGTCCCAGAAGCTGTCGTCAGACCGAAGGCCAGGTCAGGTGTTCGATTGGAGCGACCACTGGCGGGGGTCGCAACGTAGACGGTCCGAACGCCGGGATGTCATCGACATCCGCTTCGGTGAGGCCAGCAGCCTGGAGGATCTGCAGAGCGATGTCGTCGAGCCCATTCGTCTTCGCCGTGAGATAAGCAAGAGTATCTGTGAAAACGTTCAGCGGGTGATCAAGAGTCTGACAAGAGAACGCACGAGCACGAAGGCCGATGTCTCGCAACACAACGATGAGCCCCAAAATGTCGCCCGAATACAGCGCGTTGTGGAACCGAGACATGGGGTCACCCCTTGAATCAGCGATCTTCTGCATCTGCAGCAGTTTGTCAGTGCTTCCCTTAGTGAGTATGTGAAGGGCAGACGTTCTTCGTCTGCTGGAAGGCCTTCGCGATGATCTATAAGGCATATCTTAGAACCCAGGCATTGTACAATGGAACAAAAACCAAATACCTTGTGGTTACCCTGTTTCAGAGCTTGCCGCGCCAGTCACTCCCAACTCAGGTCGATCGAGTGCGCGAGCCATTTCCGATGCGACTTCAATATTCCCGCACTAAATCGCAAGATCGAATCGCGTGTTCTTGTATTGTACGAAATGCAATGCAATCTACGAGCGATGGTCAGATCGCTGATGCACTATAGTAACGTATGTGCATACCTCCAGGAAACCCTTCTGTTGTAGGTGCGCGATGACACTTTTACGAGTAGGTTAGACGTGCGAATGACGTGCAACATCTCCTCATGATTGTTTCGCAACAGAGCCAGTTTAGAGCGGTATTCAGTCGCGTCGATGGTGATAGTCCTGGGGCGTGCAGATCGATCAAGGCAGTGGACGGTCTTTCCCTTCAATGACGCGCATTGAGTAGACAGGGTTGTCGAGCGTGCAGATGACGCCGCGGTCCCTGCAATATGGTCAAATGAAGGCGACCGTCGTGACATAAAGCAGTGTTACGCACCCCTGCGCAAGGCAGTACTTGATGTGGTTCAACGTCGAGTAGATGAACACGCCGGAGTCGTCCCAAGCACCAGACTTGATGCGAATCGTTTTGTGAATGAGGGTGCGCTCCGAAAAGTTCTTCGCGACGGTGATCGCTGTGGAATGCTCATCAACGGGACATCAGAGCGTTATGTGCCAGATACGTACTATGCTTGCTGAGGAGGGCGACCAATGTACCGTCCGGCCTCCATACAACGTACTTGACCGGCGGAGTAGTGATCTCCACACGCTTCTTCTGCTATTGGATATCGTAAAGTAGGATTGACGTTGTCGAGCTGAGGATGAGGCTCGCGGTGCCACCGTAGAAGAACTCGTTCGTCTGGACCGGCTGCTTGATAGACTTTACGATTGAGTTTTGCAGGTCGCGCACGTCGATCAGTACAAGAACGTATCGATGGATTACAGTGTGTATGATACAAAGCGAGACGAACCTGGGTGGTCTTGTTCGTGACTGCGAATTTGTTCCTGGCGACGAAGATGGCCACATGGCCACTTCCACGCTTGCCGTATGTAGACGAGTCCTTCACTTCCCCAACGGCATCATTCGGCTGGGCCGTGAGCTCGAACAAGCCATTATCCGACGAAATCCTCAACACGATGGCACGCTCCGCAGGATTGTAGCGGAGCGTCCACGGAGGGACGTATGGGCTCCCAAACCTGCGGACGCTGAGCAGACCGAAATCCGAGCCAGTGCTGATGTCGTATGAGTGCACATACTTGTCCTGCACGTAGAAGACAGAGTCGCCATGCACCGCAAAGGCAGGTCACCCATGCTCAAGCTTGAAGACGATCAAGGCGTTGTCGTGACCATCTTACGGGGAACTATGATCATACAGCGAGCAAGAACGTACCTTTGGGTTTCGACCCTTCTTGTCCGCTTGTTCGCCCTCACGTACCTGACTTCCCTCCTCGTCCGTTGCACGACCCTCTCGAGGTTCACCCGACTGGACGGGCTACAAGTCAACCGCCGAGTGAGAAAGAATACATCTGAGAGCACAGGTGAGTAGATGGGAAAGTAGACTGCCGACCAAGATTGTAGAGAGGTGGTTGAATGCGGACAGGCGGGAAGGGAGACCTGAGCGAGTGGGCGGGGTGCAAGCGGGCGGCCGAGTGGGCGGTCGGACGACTGGACGTGCGACAAGTCGACGGCTGGGAGAGAAAGAAAGAAGCCGAAAGCACTAGTGAGCTCACGAAAAGGAAGGCTACCGAGCAAGGTCGTAGTGGGACGGTAGAAGGCGAGCAGGCGAGAAGGCAGGTGAGCGAGGTAGGAGAGGTGGTGTGGAGTTGTTGACGAGGACCGAAGTGCGAGGCGCCCATTCCGGAGGATGCCGAGTGAAGTTGGCGATCGCACGGTTGAGTGAAGCAATAAAATACGATTTGAAGAGCGATGAAGTTCCGTTGAAGTATCGTTGAGGACGACATGAATACTTGACAGAGTTCCAAATAGTAGAGATCAAACATTGTTCAGTTCGTACTAAAGTTCTATGTAAGTATTCTACCACAGTGTCTGATACGCATACTTAGATGCCCAGTTATTAAGCCAAAACTTAGTAGCTTTATCTAGTACAGTATGCGTGTCCCAGTCATCAGGTACTACTAAGTTATCGGTGCGTGTAGACCCAGGGGGACGTGGAACAAGTTGACAGGATTGTCGGATAATTGACAATGGAATAACCTCACCGACGGGGTTGCCATTCGCACGAAGGGGCGGTTTATGAACCGGGTACATCATGTGTATCGGATCGGCTTGTGTAGGTAGATTGGAGTACCATTCTACGTATGCTAGAGCCCCTTGGCTAGCCCAATTGGGCGGCGCTTGCAGAGGTCGGAGGGTACGGGGATCTCTGATGTTTTGAGGAAGTTTGAATATAACTTTGACACGTCCAATACGTGTGCCTGTGGACGAATAGGACATGAGTAAGAAGCTATGACTCAGACGTGAATAGAAACAAATCTACTCACCTTGCATGCCAGTAGCTTCCGCGTCCTCCCCCTGCAGCACAACCACGGTATCGAAACGTGCGGCTTGTCCAGCTTTGGCGGGCTTCGCCTTCACGGCGTCGGTTTCTTGGGTGTCATCGGTCAAGGATTCGGGGGTAAACTTGAAGCCGTGGAATACGTCAAGACGTTGGAACGGCATGTGGTCGACAGCTGTTTTAAGCAGTGAGGAAGTGAGAGGTCGACCGTCCTTGAGCTTGTAGATGTATTGTGCGACTGCATCAACGAAGCCTGGGGCGCGGTGTTTGTCGACAATGGATGAGAGAGCCTGGAGGGGTGCAGTGGGGTGCTTGGGTAGGTTAATTCGACCGTTCTTGAAGATCCGAGAGCCTGGTATTTTCTCTGGCTCCTGGTCTTCTGCGTCACTGACATCGATGTCATCCCCTGGCTCGAGACCGGTATTCCTGAGCCATCGGCGTATGGTAGAGCTGAGCACGACCATCTTCTCCTGCCGTGCCAGCCAACGAACCATCTGCGGACGCGCGTTGCGATGGTTCGACGCTCGCCAGCCGTTCTTCGCATAGTCGATGTGGAGGCGTTCAAACGCCTCCGTGTTGTAGTTGTCGGTAGTGCCTAAGAGTCGGATAGCGTCAACGTAATGAAGTAATGAGTGGAATTTAGGAATATTCAGATGGTCGCGCACTCCGAGATCTACGAGGATTTGTTTGTTGCGATGGAAAACCTTGAGTGCGTCCTCCATGTATTGGAGCGTAGTGTCGTCGTGAGTGGTGTATTGCGCTATGTAGATGAAGTCCAAAATCGACCTGAAGGCCAGGATGGCCTTCTTCGGTATCTTGCCGACCAGGCAGGCAAGCAGAATGCGCGCCATGTGCTTACGCTCGGTCCCGGAGACCTGGGATAGGGAGGAAATCCCGTTCTTGAAGTGGCGGGTACCGAACGCAGGCGGAAGGCAGCGGATGCGCCTGTCGAGCTCGTGCTCGTCGACAAGTTGAGTGCACCATTCGACGATGTGCTTAAAAACACCCTGGTACAATTGATGTAGTACGTCAGGGGTTATGCACGAATGGATGTCGGTGTACGGAAGATCGCGCCAGAACGGGCGCACGACGTAGCCTGAAACGTTGAGGTCTTGACACGCTCGAGTGTACGCGTTCGAGCTCGTCTTGCCTTGGGTCTTCTGGTTGGCGAGTCGGAGTACGTCTAGCGTCCAGAGGGAGGTTCTGGGCATCCCAGGTTGCGCGGACTCAAGGAGGTCCTCAGGTACCTGGCACTTGGGGCAAGTCCCAGATTTGGCGCAGGTGACCAGGCACTGCTCTGGATAATCCGCGACATACGCGGCAAGGACGGGATGCACTCGACGAACCTCTCCGTCGCCTGAGGTTACGTTGATGCCTTCCTTACCCGCCTTGACTAGCGGCTCCAGGATTGCGCCAACGGACACATGGAACAGTTGTTGTACGAGGGCGTGTTGCTTGCGCTGCGTGATGCCGTCCGAGCTGACTTTGTCCACCGACAGATAACCTATGAGTATGCAGGCGTGCTCTGAGGGCTTGCGCCTCAGAGCCCGAGGTATATTACCTAGCGTCATGTATACAGGGTACGCCGCCTTGTTGCCAGAGAACTGAGTTAACTGGGTTTTGTCCGTAGCTATGATTACCGGCGCAACAGCCGCGCCTACCGGTAAGAGATTCTGTACTGCAATCAGAAAAATCGATCTTCTACGGTCGTGTAAGTACTCACCTGGACGGCGTGCCACCAACGACCGGTCCACATTTCATTGTACAGTCGGTGCTTCCTTGACGCGTCTGAAAACAATCGGCGCGGTCGATACACGATTCGATCGGCGTGCTCCGGGTTGCCTAGTAATGTACGTATCGCCTGGATGATATCGCGGAACTGTAGTAGGTGTTTTTCATTAGGACGATCCTTGAATGAGAGCAGGCGTTCTGTCCACTCCGCTCTCTCAGGCAGAGAGTCCACGCGCTGGAGGAGAGCCCAGCTGTTGTGGTATGAGAGACCCAGTCTCTCTTGAAACTGAGGTGTGTCAGCAGATATTACTAACAGAGCACGAGTACTCACCCCTGGTATCTGCAATACTCTGTCAATGGACCCCTGCGTTAGTCCTTCCTGGATTGCCCAAGATGCGAAGCGCCAGTCCATCTCGGACTCAAACGGCTCCCAAGGGATATTGGTGGGATCTGTGGTACCCCCGCCATCTGGGTGTTCTTCAGCGCGACCATTTTCTGCGTCCTCAACATGATTCGAACGAGCTACTCTACGGTGAGAAGTACTCGTTATCGGTCAAAACATTACTCACCTTTAGGCCTTGTTTCCCTGCCCTCTAGCCATTTGCGCCGCACCTCTGGGTCGACGTGAGTAACTGTACCCGCGTCTTGGTCTTCGTCTACCACTCGCTCGTCCTCATCGTCATCAAGCAACAGCGCGGTTCGTCTGGAAGTCAAAGCTCGTGCCGCCTGAGTCGATGGACCGGGATCGCCGCCGCCTGCACTGTTGTCGCCGCGATCTCGTTCGCCGCCTCCGCCTCCACCATCTTGCCCTGACCCTCCAGGATCACCCTGCGGCCGAGAAGGAGCGCAGACCTGAATATAGTCGTAGAGTGAAGAAAGTTCCGCTGCTTCATCGCTGTCATCTTCTCCAAGGTATGCATCGTCTGGCTCGTCGTTCTGGGAACCGGAACGATTAGGTAGGGTGAACAGTTCCGTGTTTCTACATGCACCGGTTACATTATATGACCAAAGGTGCGATAAAATTTGATTGGCTTACCGTGCGTCCTCGATTGTTACACCGTCGCTTGGCTCTTCTTGATCGTGGTCGACATTGAATATTTCTTTCAGTTTCCCTTTCTTGTACCAGGAGCATTTCCTGCTCGTGCTCTGGTGTGCGGCGAGGCCCTGTGTCGTTTCGAAGGGCTGGTTACAGGCGCCGCAGGTGTCATTGAGGAGGTCCTCAAAGGTGCGCTTCCGCTTTGGTCTGACCATAACTAACCCAGAAATTCACTGCAGACTTCAGAAGCGATGATACAGAGACACAAAACTGCAGCTAGGACTAGGGGAAGAGACTCGAGACGATGCAGAGCCTGAGGCTTAAAACCATGCTAAAAAATTCAGACGTCCCTTCACCTGTCATGTCACTGCTTTAGCGCTTCAGCGTTAGTTCAGCGCGTTACCCGCATCTTTCTCCTTCAGCCTTCATGTAGGTTACGAGCACCAGCAAGTATACATTCGCTTTTCACTTTCCTACATGAGACCATGCTGATAATGGTTCCTGTGTTGTTATAGGTCATTCGTCTGCGTGTTCGCGTGTTCATCTGCGTGTTCGTCCAAAAAACGCGACGACAACTGTTGCGATCTTACATTGACACGCGTTGCTACCGTAAGTACGTACTTTGACAGTTCGTCTCTCAAGCTCAGTAGGGATTTCAAACCCTCTTCGCCAAGTTGGCGTGGACGCACGGTAAGCACATTTTTGATGTTCTGGTCTCTTGAGTACTGTACTTTGACAGTTCGTCTCTCAAGCTCAGTAGGGATTTCAAACCCTCTTCGCCAAGTTGGCGTGGACGCACGGTAAGCACATTTTTGATGTTCTGGTCTCTTGAGTACTGTACTTCAAAACCGCTCGCCAACCTGTGGCGTAAGCCGCTGTAAGCCGTGCGCAATGGCGCTTCGCACGGCACACGGCACGCGCCACAGGGCACCGCGGATCGAAACCCGAGCCGCCCCGATTAGATTCAAATGCCGGCAGTGCCAGAGCGAGCTTGGGTTGATCATGAGGATGAGTCGTGAGACAAGGAACCCTGTTAACTGTGAGCCTGTGAGTGAGCAATCGAGGTGAGCTCGTGTTCGTTCAATGAGAACATGGCCAATACTAAACGGATGTTTTGTCGGAGGCTGAGCGGAAGCGTTTAATCTAGGCCATGTCACTTGACAACGCAGGCTCCGTTTGAGTCAGCAAGGGCGACTGAGTTCTTGAGGGTCTCAGCCCTCTGAGGAACTGACTTGCCGTTAACCACGTTCAGCAACATGTCAACCACCTCTATCGTTCGGTCTCGGACTCACTCATCTCACTCTTCGCGCTCACCCACCCCCTACCTTCTCAGTCTTATACCCACTCGTCTCACTCTTCGCGCTCACCTACTCCCCGACCTCTTGGCATAATAACGTTCGACCATACCAGAAGGGAAGCGCCTGTCACAGTTCAGGATACGAACACCGTGCAATCAGGTGAGCTGTCCAAAGTGCTGTCCTTAACGCAGAGGGAACGTCGGCTTATGCAGTTTAACTACTAAAGGAACGGAGGACGATTACCCGGACGTCGTGCGGAAGGCTTTCGGAGATCGCTACTCTGAGCTTCCGTACGTGACAGGGGAAATAGTGAGTATTAGCACGTTATTGTATCTCGTTTATTGTCACTCATTACGTCGCATGCAGAAGACAGCAGATTTTACGTCGCAGGAGTGGGAAGAATTGCGCAACTGGCTAGGGTCTAACGACACACTCAATCGCTTCAAGTAGGTCTATTTCCAGATGAGACAGACGGATGCGTATGATTACTGAATACAAGAAACCAGGTTTGACTATGATCAAGACAGGCAGGAGTTGACTACCATGGCGCCATCTCCCATACACGATCGTATCATAGCGCTGCTGAGGACGATGAATGGAGAGAGGTGGGCTGAGTCCTTCAGACCGCCGAAGTGGATCCGACGAGCCTTGGACATCGACATCGGCCAGGCGGAGTATGCCTCTGTGCGTGGCAAGAAAGGAAACAAGATAGTGGGCGATATGGTCGAGGCGATCTCAGTGGGCGATGTTCTCGTAGTTACTGACGTTAATGAGACCGCGAAATCTCAGCCTGTCTACACGACTGACAGCGAGGAAGGGGCATTGCCTAAAGTAAGTACGAATAGTTGATAGCAATTTCGCTGGTCACTCAAATGTACGTACAGATTGTGGACATAGCGGACGTCCTGATGGGGAACACAAAAGTGGATGGCGCAGGCGTGCCCTCATGTGGGCTCATTGCCCTGTCCTGCTTCAACATTGAAGAGCTCCAGCCCGGTAAGAGCGCAAAGGCGAAATGGTCTTCGCCAGAGACGAAGGAATACACAGTCAACGCCATCACCTACGACGAACACACCTACAAAAAGATGTTGCGCGAGAATCCGGACTTGATCAGCGGAGCTGGTCCGTTCATTGCAGAGCACAAGGCAACGTTCTTCGGCGCGGTTCGAGTCTGGTGGATATACGTTCCAGTGGAGGAACTCGATACGCTCAGGTTGGGAGTGCGACTACAGTGGAAAATGGAGGAGTGGGTGGCTAGAGGGTTGGCCATCGTAAGTCTTTATCCAGTAGCTGATAGACGTTCACTGACAGCGCCGCACCGCCTAGCCGATCCTCGAGTATTGTGACGACAACATGAAGCCATTGGTCGAGAAATTCCTGCGTAAAGTTCGCAACGGCTACGAGAAGCGATTGGCAACGCTAGCCAAGCTTCTGTCTCGCCGTGAACACAAGCAAACACTCCTGGACGCTCTCAAGCTCGTGGAAGACGATAACGTGCGGGAGGCTCAGGCTGAAGAAATGTTGACGTATATTCGCAAGTTGCTCCATCCCAGCGATGAGGCCCTGTGCTATGACGAAGACGTGCATCGCATCATTCGCAGCATCAGGGAAGGTGCGCGAGGGACCACCGTCGACCGCCTTCGCAATGTCTCCTTGCTCAAGGGCCAGGCTGTGGTTGCGCTGCAGGGCAGCGCGAACAGTCAGTTCATTGTGGCGGTGGAGTCTGAGGAAGACAAGAACGATATAGAGGAGGAGTTCTTCGTCCTTAGCAAACAGGCTCTCAAACGCAAGCGTGACAGCACGTCTGACGGTGAGGGCGAGCAGGCGAAGGATAGACTCAAAGAGCGGCCCAGCTCGAGTTAGCTGGACACGATGTCCTAGTCCTAGTCATCCCCATCACGTCACCGTCATCGCCCTCCCCTTGTCCGAGTCACCGCCATCGCCGTCATCGTCGTCGTCACCTCAACGTCACCGTCCTCTCAACGACACCGTCTCCCGTGTCGCCGTCTCCCGACGCCGTCTCCCGTCACCATCGCCGTCTCCCGTCGCCACCATCTCGCCGTCTCCCGTCACCGTCGTGTTCGCGTTCGCAATGTAAAGTGCTATCGATTGCTGTTGTAGTTTGCTAGTTGTGCTATACATCCTACGTTCTATGTTCAATATATATGTGTGGGTTGGACTGCAAGCCCTAACCCAAATTGTAGCGCTGGCCGCATTCACAATCAAGGACTTGATCGAATCGAATGCGACGCTCTCTCTGGTCCTCTCACGTCTTCTCACATTCGAGTTTTCCACGAAATGAGGCTAAGTCTACAGGAGATGAAGGAGCTCAGTGAGCTCCTGTCCTCAATCCAGGGGACTTTGAGTCCTAACATGACGTCTCTGCTGGCACGTCTGTCATTGGACGTTGCAACAACGGCCTGCGAAATGGCCTGTGAAACGGCCTGCGAAACGGCCTGCGATACTCACCAGGACGCCGAAGACATGGCACATGCCAGTGGTACTGAAGTGGCCGTAGGTAAGCCTGTCTTGTTTCTACATGTCATGCTAGTAAATGACATGCTGCACGTCTAGTCGAAGAAGCTAGTAACATTACGCATACGACCTCAAGCAGTACAGTAACGGTACAAGGTAAACGTATTGATTGATTGTGAGTCCATCGTACTCACAAAGTCTCAGAGCCTGCACGCCGCGCAATAGGTCCAAGGCGACCGTCTAGGTCCCGTCGTAAAATCCCTGTAGCACCGTACAACCCTGCGTCTAGGCCTGCTGGTAGCAATCAACAGCAGCCAGCACACTTCCCACTGCCGCCCTGCCCCAGGAGTGGCATCCAGTGGATCGCCAGCGACATGCAGCCCCGAGCAGCCTGGGAGATGTCGTCTAAACCCCATGAAGCTGCTAACACGTCCGTCGTCAATTTCCTGTCGACTCTCACTGCATACGACCAGAAGGATGATATCGCCGGCTGCGCGGACTCACTCTTTGCGCCTCACCAAGCTTCGTACGGCGACAAGAGTGAGACGTTGTCTCAGCTAGTAAAACGTTGCAAGGCGATGGAGAGCAAACACGGTGTATTTGACTTCCATTTCATGGTCGCCCTCATGAGGGTGAGCTTCGAGTGCGCAAGGTAAATCTAAAATTATAACTTGACAACGACAGGCTGACACGTTTGTGTGTCTAGTTTGTCCGGATGGGCCGACGTCAACATCTCAGCTTTATGGCGCGACCACCTTGCGAGAGAGGCCAAACCGCCCAGCATCCGAACGTTACAATACTGGTATTCCAGAGGTACTAAGTTGGCAAGGCTTGCATCAGGAGGTGAGATACCTGTGTCGTGTGCGCTAGACAGTACTAGATTGATGGTGAAACTGCATTAAAGGAACCGTTTACATGCTTGTGTGGATGGCATACACCAACTTACGTGTGCCGTTCATTGAGGCGAATGGCAATCTGGCATCAGACCTCGCCAACATATTGCGATGCCCAGATGCTGGTGAGTCCAAGTCTGCTCGCATCATGCTGCGTGCACTAAACACTCAACTGGATCTAGAGAGCCCAGTGGGACGACAAGTCCTGCAGACTGTCATTCCCACTGTGGCGTTTCTATCCGACCAGTCCCCTATACGACTGGGCGACCTATTCACAGTAGATACACTCACCGCACTGGGCGTCTCGGCTGACAGCCTATGTGGCGACCTCAATATCTCTGACAGGTTCTTCAGTGCTCTTCCTTCAAAGTAAGTGACTAACAGACCCGGCGATTGGTTAACTTTGGCACTGACTATCTCCCACACAGCTCTTTTACTGCCGTCCCACGCAACCCAGAAGCTTGGGCTCATTTTGGTTGTAGCCAGAGAGAAGAACCCCTTTCCCCTCTCACACCGCTGTCACAATTGTCACCACTACTCGAAATCGATCGCTTCCCTTGTTCGCCTGAACACTCAGTGTCCGCTTCCACTATTCGCGACGACGCTGGATTCGCTACAACTGCAACGATTATCGCATCAAAGTACGATGCAGACCTAACGCACAACCGACAGTTCAAACCTCCTAGGCATAGAGAGAAGAACGCACGATGGACTGAGCTTCAACGGTCCGTGGCAATGGAAGCCATGGAACCTTCAAGCCTAGATGAGCTGCGATCACTGGTAAGTTGCAGTCCATGTACTCGTAATCACAGCTAACGCAATCACCAATTGATAGCTACAGACACAGTATGTGGACGGCATGCGCCCAACCAGCAAGGGATACGTCAGGCTCAAACGAGATCTATTTGAGTAAGACAGAACAATGCGAACTGTTCTTTGACTCTGAAGATCTGATGTCCGTATCGACAGGGACGTACTCGCTATACAGTCTGTACAGTCAGGCGTTATCGCAAATATCTGCAAATCAATGCCGCAGAGCCTGCGAGACGGTCTGATGGATCGTCTCGCAGCGTGCCTTGAGCCTGATGCCCTGAAGGCAATAGACACAGCTCAGGTTGGCGGTGACCATGTCTTCCAGGTCATGCATTTCTCTTGGTACAATCGCCACTGTACCACTGTACGTTCATGTTCTCAACTGATTGAGTGTTGCTCCCTACTAACGAATCATGCACCTTTGTAGGGAAAAGACGCTCCAGTGAACGTGCCGCCTATGACCATGAAGAGGACTGGCGGTCTCAAGACTAACTATCATCAGTTCATTCCATACCCGTCCAAGGACATGACGCAGTCTACAAATGCATCAATTTACCAGTCCGTGAAGAATATCTTAGGACCTGTGTTTGACTGGCTTGACGCGAAGGTAAAGCAATCTCATTATTCGTACCTACCAATACAATATTGAAATGCAAAGGCATCCTCAGCTTAAAGATATGTAGTGTTTGAAAGTCCAGTCCAGTCCAGTCTTTTGACCCCTTGGAGGAAAGACTGGGACTGGGACTGGTCCTAGATTGACCCCAAAATGGTAGGACTGGGACTGGACTGACTGTGACCAGTCCTTTGCAGTCCAGTTGCCTCCAAAGACTGGTTGCAACTGGTTGCAACTGCGCATGCAGTCCCAACTGGTCCTGACTGGTCCTGACTGGTCTTTTGCCAGTTGCAACTGGTTTTTTCAAGCAATTGTGTCTGAAAAAGTGACTTAAGCTACTGTGATATGGTATATGACCGCAGGCAATGGTGTGTATCCCATGGGAGCATCACAGTTCAGTTCATAATGACTGATACAGGCAAGGCATGTGATGTCAGTAAGGGTGAGACAGGTATACCTACCATATTAGGCATAGGTAGAGGTGCATAGACAGATGATACATGTTGCCTAAATAGGTCACATCATCCATATGTCCACCATCTGGTGCCTATCCTATGTATTACTGCTATTTATGACCCCAAAAACATCCCATTTGGCCATGTACACCAGCATATTAGGGGGGTGGCCAAAGACCAGTCGCAACTGGTTGCAACCAGTCTTTTGACCAGTCCCTCCAATTTGCCCAACCCTGGAAGACTGCAACTGGACTGGGTAGGACCAGTCCTACTTTGACCAGTCCAGTCCAGTCTTTCTAAGGCCAGTCCCAGTTCAGTCCCAGTCTTTTTCCAGTCCATGGACTGGACTTTCAAACACTAGACAGGGCCATGGACCTCGCTAGCAGTGCGGCCACTGTGCCCGCTGTCGTTATCTCACCAGGCGACGCATCCGGCGAGCTGCTTAGCTCCTCTTGATTGTCCCATTTTTACACCACGTCTAGCCCGCCGCTCGACGTACACGCAGTTGATTATCGAGATGCACGCGAACGCGAGGTGCTGAACCTATGTGATGGCCTGGCTAACGAGCTCTATGCCGTCACGACGCATGGCGTGTCTGGCGTGCAAGCATGACCGGTGCGTCTCATCTCTCTATAGCACACACGTTCCAAGCGGAAATATGCCGAGCTGGAGGCTCGACGTGCTGCCCACTGGTGCACTGCATACCATGCGCAACGCACGAACCGACGTGCCTATTGCAGTGTCTGAACCTCGGGCACTGGGTAGGCCGAGTGATGTGCTGGATGTACAGGAGGGCAGATCCCACCGTCAATGCTACGCCTAGTGACGCAGTCTCGGTACGCTCAAACACGACCAATGCGTCCGTTTCCACCGTCAAGACAAGACCGTCGCCTACGCTGAGCCCCTCACTCAGCATATATGATATGACCTCCACGTCTGAGATCATGCCCTGCTACGCGATCAGTGTGCATTCACGTTCGACAGCCCCCATGACAACATCTACTGTCAAGACATCCTCGTTGAGTACGGCGAGCTCTTCGCTCACCGTACACTGGCATGACGAGCTCAATGCCCGCCATGCCGTTGTCATTGACGTGCTCCGAGATGACTACGTCGACCGACTCGATCGCACCCACGACCGCCATTGTTCTGACGACGCTACAGGCTCGTCCACACCTATCCTCGAAGCATCACCGTCGTGTACGTCGAGCTTGTTGCTCAGCATATTCGACCCAAGATCAACACTCACTCTTACCCCCAGCTCTTCCAACCTCAGCGGCTCCTATCCAACCGTCACCGAGTGCTCTCAGGCTCTCCGAATTGTACACCCTGTACAACCTAGGTACATGAGCTACGTAGACATTGTATCTACAACATAATACATTGTACGACCTGAACAGAGTGTGCTGTATGAGTTATACTTGTGAAAAGCCCACAAGTATGCGTGAGGGCTTTTGAGTATAATGGTCTCAGGCTAAAGGTAACTGCTGTATCAGCGACCAGAATTCAAGTCAGAGAAGAGACATACCCACGCTTTTGAGCCTTGACGGTCTTTTGACTGACTTGTGAGCCACTCAAGTTGGTTATGTGGTGTTTGTGCCTTGAAAGATTGTGCGGTGTCTTGGCATGACGCCCAAGACAAAGTCGTTTTTCCTGATGGAAGTCTGAGTCCATGCTAGTACCCTGTCACAGAACTTGTCCAGTGCCGCTAAATCTTGCTTGTTATCTATGGCTGTCTGTCAGTACTGCAAAGGGTGGTTTCGAGGTCAAGGTGCTGTAGCAAGGCATCAAACCCAGTCATTGGCGACAGGATGCAAGCGCAAACGCAACGCAGCCATCGAGGAGATGCGAGCGGAACACCGTCGTCGTCGAGAAAAGCACGTCCCACCAGAACCACCGCTGGATTCCCATGACCCCCAATCTGACGCTGACAGTGTCGCCATCGAGACGCCATGTACGACACACACCGCACCATCTGGACCTGGTGTAGCCAGCACAGATACAACGCAGGACCCGGAGGACCTGCAGCATGCCGCGTTTGACCAAGATGCGACGGCTCCATCTCCATCCCAATCGCGGTGCACAACCGTTGAGGATGTCCCAGACGATGATACTTCAGAGGCTCACCTTTTCCCCTCAGCTCACTACTCGCAAGCACTTCCGGATCGCCAGTACGCCGGCTGGTCGTTTGGCGAGTCGAAGACGCAGTTCGAGCGCATCCGCGACGACCAGATCCTTCATGGGTCCGAGATCTATGGACCTTTCGCGGACGAGGAAGAGTGGGAGTTAGCAAAGTGGCTCATCAAGAACATCGGGCATACACAAGCTGAAAACTTTCTCAAGCTCCCTATCGTGCGTACACCCTCCGATGTCCACATGGAGTATCAGCTTACCTATTGACAGATCCAGAACCGTGTGCATCCTGCCTATCACAACAAAGACAGCCTACTTCGGCATGTCGACTCCCTCCCAGGCGGCGTTGACTGGCAGTGTGAGCTTGTTGAGCTTACTGGGGATATTAAGGATCTTGATGGCCAGACTATGACGGAGAAGTTAGAACTGTGGTTCCGGAACCCTCTCGAATGCATCCGCGAACTGATTGGCAATCCTGCCTTTCGCGACGCAATAAGATACGCACCTGAGCAACACTTCGTGGATAAAGACGGGAAATCAAGGGTCGTCAGCGAGATGTGGAATGCGGACTGGTGGTGGAACCTACAGGTCAGTTTGGCAATCCGCGCGAGCTCTTGCAGCCACTCAGAGCTCATTGCTATTGATAGAGCCTTTTGCCGCCGGGCGCAACCATTGCACCCGTGGTCCTGTCGTCAGATAAAACGAAGCTCTCTCAGTTTCGGGGTGACAAGAGTGCATGGCCGGTATACCTAACCATCGGAAACATCGCGAAGGACGTCCGCCGCGAAGTTACCTCCCATGCCACGGTTCTCATCGGATATCTCCCCGTTGCGAAACTCGACTGCTTCACCGACAAGTCACGTCCTGCAGCGAAGTACCGCCTCTTTCACTACTGCATGAGGAAGATCCTTGAGTCCATTGTACAAGCTGGACGTACCGGCGTCACCATGACATGTGCTGATCGTCAGCGGCGGTCCATTTACCCTATTGTGGCGGCGTACGTCGCGGATTACCCCAAACAGTGTCTTGTGGGCTGCAACATGGAGAATTGTTGCCCGATGTGTCAAGTACCTCCGAATCGTCGCGGAGAACACATGACCTGGCCAGCGCGCGATCCAAAGGAATCACTCTCTCTTCTAAAGGCGCAGGACAACTCTACACTCACCGACGACGCGCAAGCACGCTTCAAGGACCTCGGCCTACGTCCAATCTATCCCCCCTTCTGGGCTGACCTCCCCCATTCCAACGTCTTCGAGTGGTTCACGCCGGACCTCCTACACCAAGTGCACAAGGGCGTCTTCAAGGACCACGTTGTGAAGTGGTGCACTGCAATTGTTGGGGAGGACGAGCTCGATGCGCGGTTCCGGGCAATGAGTGACGCTCCAGGGCTTTGTCATTTCGCGAACAGGATATCGACAGTCTCGCAATGGACCGGACGCGAGCACAAAGAGATGGAAAAGGTCTTCCTCGGGGTTCTCATGGGTTGCGCTGAGGTGAAGGTTATCAGTGCAGTCCGTGCAGTCCTGGATTTCATCTACCTTGCATCTCTCCAATCGCACACAACCGAGACCCTGGGATTGCTCCGACAGAGTCTTGATGACTTCCACGAGCATAAGCAAGTCTTCATCGAGCTTGGTGCGCATACCCTAGATCACTTCAATATCCCAAAACTGCATGCAATCGACCACTACGCTGACATGATCCTGAAGTTCGGCAGTGCGGATGGGTTCAATACTGAATCACCAGAGCGTCTGCATATCGACTACGCGAAAGATGCTTACCGTGCAAGTAATCACAAAGATTATGTCTCGCAAATGGTCACCTGGCTCCGACGCCAGGAGGCCGTGGATCGGTTCGCGCGATACGTTGCTTGGTGCCAAAGCCGTCTGCACCCCTCTGTTCAGCCAAGCACGGGCAGTTCTGTAACGCCACTCACTGGCAGTGCCGCCACATGGCCCGCATCTCAGCTTGCGGATGATGATCTGAACACAATCCACGTTGTTCACGCACCAACAAGAGCGGCACCGGCAGCAACATCTAGTGAAAGTCTTGCGACGGCGAATGGCATCCCCGAGTCGAGCTTGAGACGCGAGACTGTCAGGTACAAAATGCCTGTCAAACGACCCCGGATAGCTACAGCGGAGACCATCATGAACGACCACCACGCGCCTCAGTTCCTCACTGCGGTCACGTCCTTCATGCGCACGCATAGCCTCACCTTCACTCCCCGTCTGTTCGATGGGTTCGGTATCTATTCCCAGTTGTGAACATATCTACCAGAGATTGCTGCCGCAAGTTCTCGCAATCTCAACAATACGATTCGTGCGAGCCCGCCGGTCCCCCCTCAAGGTCGTCTTCCCGGGAAGGCAGCGAGGATGGATTTTGCGTTAATCCGCACTGGCGAGGTGAACGAGAGGACGACTGGGAGTGCACTGGAAGGTGAGTACTTGTCCATTGACGAGTTGTAATGGCAGCCTGAGCGTCCACCGTGACGAACAGGGCTCCGCGTGGCACATGTCCGCGCGATCTTCACGCTGCCGGACCACTACCCTGTCCGATGGCCAGTGCACCATCCATTGGCGTATGTCGAATGGATGACGCCGTTCTATAGGTTTGACGCGAACTCTGGCTTGTATACCATTACGCCTTCCACGCGACAGCATCGGCCGTATGGCGAAGTCATAACCGTCGACCGGATTGTGCACAATTGTCATCTTTGGCCGGCATTTGGGAGAACAATGGATAGACGATGGACAGTGGACAATGTGACGGACGTATGTAAGACATTTTATTATAGTCCGTACTACGACATGCACAGCTTCTGTATGTTCCGCTTAGGACATTTTGGTTGTATCAATGAATCGTAGTATTTGCATGTACTGTTACAAATCATACAATGTCCTTGAATCGATCTGAGTCACTGCAGACCAGACTGTCCCGAGCGGCGACAGCCTCGCGAAGCCGGAAAAACGGTCAAGCGTGCAAGTCTGAGGCATGCCGGGACAATGGACTTGTGGAGCATGTGTGTGGCTACAGAGGGCTACGGAGCGATCACGAAGCTACCAGTCTGTCTATAGATCTACAGCTCTATAGAACTCTGTGTAGCTCCGCATGTGCTATCGCAGCAAAAGGCACTTTGCAGATGAAACTCACCACTGCAATAGGACTCTTCGTGACTTCCCAGTCTTCCGGCTCCATTGCTGTGCCCAACATGTTCCAATACTCTCGAGTGCCCCAATATCAAGCTGCCACTTCAAAAGAAGGGACTGTGCTTGCTCTTGGCTCCCAGAATCCGTGGTGAAGAACTGATCGAGCAATGCTGGCACATCATGATTGGCATCCGTCGGGTTGTTGTAGAGGTTCTCGACTGCGGTGCGCTGCTCGCTCGACAAGACTAGCTTCTCGAGAGGTACTGATGCCGCTGAGCTTTTCGCACTCACTGATTTGCTGCCGCTAGGTGCTTCGTTGGGATGCGCGTCATGGTTCGCATCCGTCGTGAATCGGACTCGGAACGTTGGTGGCTTTCGAGGCATGGTCAACTCGGAGGGGTGAGGGAGTGTTGTAGGGAGTCATCTCAAATGAAATATATTTATTGTACACCTTCGGACTTTGACGCCACAGTGTGGCCCTGCAGTCAAAGCGAACATCGAACAGAGGTGGCACGCTGTGGCCAAAGAGATCTAGGTGAACGATGCGCGAGCGAGCGATACCGGATAAGGCTCGATTAGGTGAGCGATCGAGATTTCCCAAAAAGGAAGGAGGTTGGGGAGGCCGCCGATCCATAAACGGTCGAAAGGAGGAGGTCGCGACGAGCGTCTGCGTGCGGTCGAAGGAAGACCTGAAAGCGGTCGGAATCTGCCGGTCGAAGTTTCGACCGCTCAAAGTAACCCAGCCAAATTCGTACGATTACAGGTACAAAGTCGAATTAGGTATCAATACCGGTCGCCTTTCGACCGGCGGCGGATACACAGTGTACGTACATGCTGTCTAGACCCTTGCCCCAAGGGCGCCGTGTGCATGCCTTGTTTGACTACTCACCAAAAGGAGATGGCGATGCGCGAAGTCAAGAAGCACCTGGCGCTTCTGGCGGGGGACAAGGCTGACAAAATCACGATGTCGGTATGATTAGGCATGGGAGGACCGCAGATGCGGGCGTGCTTGCGTGCTGGTCAAAGCATATTCGGCGTCTGGTGTCATGACCGTGGGCACGACATGCAGAATGCCCAGAATAGGGCACACTAGCTTCGCTACTCTTTCGGGAGAAGCCCCTGTGGAGGGCGAGGCTGGGTGCGTGAGTCGCGATAAGAAGAGGGCCGCGGGTGATCAAACTCTGAGTGGCCAGGAGGCTGCAGCCCCGTGGCGATGTGCGGGACAGAAGAGGGAAGGCGGCGTCCACCGTTCGCACGCGAAGGGCGAAGAGGCTCATTGCGGGGCGGAGCGCAGCGGGGCGAGGGCGGCTCGTGCCAGAGGGAAGCTGCTGGAGAGTGCACGGGCCGTGTGTCGTGAGTGCGCTGCGAGGGCGACAGACGCCCGGCGTTGAACACAGCTCGGGTCGGCGTCTGTGGCGGGCGTCTGAGTGCGGTCGCGGCCGGGGCTGCGCGCGTCATCGCGAGATCTGGAGAAGCCGGCGGGATCTGAGATGGGTGTGATCCCGGTGGGATGGGATCGGGGGGCCACGTGTCTGGTGCCAGGGACGGGGCGGACGGCGGACAGGGCCCTTAAGCCATCTCCGGAGGCGCTAACACCTCGCTTCCTTCTTCCCCAACCACCACCGCCCCCCCTCGGCCCATGTCCTCCTCCATATACAACGTCCGTCCCCCCTCGTCCGTCGCCCGTCCATACGCTGACCCCGTCTCCCAGCACAAGCACCTCCAACCCACAGGTGCTGCCACCCAGGGCCCCTCGGGCCTCCAACACAGCCATGTCAAGCTCAACGAGTGCTTCGACACCATCAAGCAGGAGTTTGATGCAGTGGCGCACGAACTCGGTCACCTGCGGGGTCAGAGGGACGACTTGGACAGCAAAGGTGCGTTACAACCATTGAGCCACCCAACTCAATTATTCACCCATCGCCTCCCGCAAATCCTTCTTTTTGTCTATGCACCCGCCATGTTTCGCAATGCAATGCGCTGCATTCGTTCAGTCAATGGCCAAGTGAACGAACTCAACATCATTCGGCAGTCGCTCTACGAGCTCGAAGCTCAGCACAGCAAGATCCGCGTTCAGTACGAACAAGAAATTGCAGCACTTCGTGGCGAGCTCCATGCCCTACGCTCCCAGGGTCGTGAACGTGAAGTCCTCGGGCTGGCCTCTCTCGGACGCGATCGTGACCCCGCGCTGCGCGGCGAACCTCCCCTCCGCGGAGAACCCCCTCTCCGTAGCGAACCCTCCATGCGTGGCGAACCTTCTCGCGATCGCGATCGTGAGCGCGACTTGCTTCGCGAACGCGAAAACATCATGCGCGAGCGAGAGCGGGAAAGAGAGCGTGAGCGCGATCGCGACGGCGACGTTCGCATGGCAGGGCCCGGTCCTGCGTCGGGCATGCCTATCAGAGGCGATGCCATGGGGCGTGACGGCTTGGGCATGGGGCGACCCAGCGCAGTCCAGGGTGCAGGCGAGGGCTTGCCGCTCACCCCTGTCGGGCTGGGTATGGGCGCGGGCCCCGGTGGTGGCGGTGGCGTGTACGACCCATTTTATGGACGACAAGACAGGGAACGCGAGCGAGGAGGGATTGTGCTCAATGACAGAGATCGAGGCATGATGAACGAACGCGAGCGGATAGAGCGAGACAGGATGGAGCGGGAGAGGGAGCGGGAGCGCGATCGAGAGCGAGTCGAACGCGACTCAAGGGACGTGAAGCGCGTCAAGACAGAACAACGTGTGAAGAACGATCGCGGAGGTAAGCCACTTTCCCGCTCCTCCTTTCTCCTCTCTCTGCCGAGCACTCGAGATATTCATGTTTCGTTCGTTCTCTCCTTGTGCACGCCCGCCTTGCTGCTCGTCCACGTGACCTGGCCTTCCCGTACGCCCGCCTTGGCTCAAACTCCCACCGCGAAGATCCCTTCTCGCCCTCCATGAACCACCCGAGCGCGCACCCACCGCATTCGCACCAGAGTATCTCCCTCGGCCCTGCTGTTCCTCCCTCGGGCCCTCAGTCGACGCCGGGGTCCGGCCCAAACGTTAACCCACTCGCCACGCCGACCTCCGCGAATCCCAACCCCCCTGGGCCAAACAGCCAAAACGGCATGAACGCGAGCGTCAACGGCCGAGATCCAGGAGCAAGCAACGCGAACACTGGTGCCACGCCGAAGCTTCCCCCAGCGCCCGGTGCGGGCGGCATGGGTCTGGGAGGTGTATCACTGCCTCCGCCGCCGTATCCAGGCCAGCAGGGGGGGCCTGGCGTAGGTCCGCAGGGACAAGGCGCTCAGCCTGGGACTGGTCCGGGCACGGGGAGGGAAGGGCTAAACCAGGCAACAGGGCCGGGCAGTCAGGGATCGGGACCGGAGCCGGGGGTGAACGGCGGGGGTAAGTGATCAGTCCTGTATACAATGCACGCTGGGTCGCCGGGCCACCTCCACGCGGAATCTTGCCTCTAATTCTGGTGTACTCGCGTAGAGCGCCGAGTGTACTATTTAGTCGTGCGGCACCAGCAGCAATGCGGACTTCTCTTTGCTTTCCTATCTCTTCTTGACCACTCCAGCGCTCGAAGCGTCGAACAGAACCATATTACTCACGGAACACTTCGTCTGCAGGTAACCCACCCTTCCCCCACACGCCGACGATGCCGCCCACCACCGCGCCACCGCCGAACAACGCCAACCCCGATAGTGGAGCCGCATCGATGCAGGTTGATTTGAGCATGGATCCGATGGCCGTCCCCGCCGATCTCAAGAAGGAAGGCACCGATTGGTTCGCTATCTTTAACGCCAACGCGGGCAAGGAGGGCAAGAAACGGGCACTGGACGTCAGTCTCCAGCACACACTGATGCACGAGAGGCAAGCTTACCGTGTGATGGTGCCTTGTACATTATTGAACATTCTCCCACAGCGTTGTATGCTGTGTCCGCTTCTCAGCAGACGGAAAGTTCCTTGCTACGGGATGCAATCGGACCGCACAGATTTACGACACGAAGACGGGCCTCAAAACATGGTGAGCACCAATATCCAATCCTCAGGACAGCCCCGTTGAATTTTGGCGCCAGTGTTCTCGTCGACGAGCAGGCCAGCAAGACGGGTGATCTGTACATTCGCAGCGTGTGCTTCAGTCCTGATGGCAAGTTGCTCGCCACGGGTGCGGAAGATAAACAGATTAGGGTGAGCACTTCTGGACACAAGTGTTCTTGCGTACAAGGGGACTGACTCATCTTCGATCTAGATCTGGGACATCGCCACCAAACGGATACGCAACGTCTTCGACGGCCATCAGCAGGAGATCTACTCGTTGGACTTCTCCAAGGACGGACGACTCATCGTCTCTGGGTCTGGCGATAAAACCGCACGGATATGGGACATGACGGAGCGGACTCCCTGCAAAATTTGTAAGCCAACATCAACAGTACGAACAGACACATGCTGACGAGAGTTGCTAGTGTCCATCAACGAAGACACAGTCGATGCAGGCGTCACCTCAGTATGCATCTCTCCGGACGGCCGCCTGGTCGCCGCGGGCTCGCTCGACACGATCGTGCGAATCTGGGACGTCGCAACGGGCGCGCTCGTCGAGCGCCTCAAGGGCCACCGCGACAGCGTGTACAGCGTTGCCTTCACACCCGATGGCAAGGGCCTTGTCAGTGGCAGCCTCGACAAGACCCTCAAATACTGGGATCTCCGTCCGATCTTGCGGGGCCCGGCGGGCGCTCTTACCCCGGGTAAGAACGGCGTTAAAGAGGGCGGAGAGAAGGGGAGCTTGTGCACGATGAACTTCACGGGGCATAAAGTGCGGCTGCGTTCCATGGGTCGAGTTCTGGGAAGCTGATTGTGACTTCTGACACAGGATTATGTGCTTTCTGTTGCGGTCTCGCATGATGGACAGTGGGTAGTGTCGGGTTCGAAGGACCGCGGGGTGCAATTTTGGGATGCGAAGACTGCGACGGCCCATTGCATGCTGCAGGGCCATAAGAACTCTGGTGTGTTTGATTGCTCCCTTGCTTCTGATGATTACTCACATTCTGGTCGCAGTAATTTCCATCGATCTCAGCCCAGCAGGTAGTGTCCTGGCAACGGGCAGTGGCGATTGGCAAGCAAGAATATGTCTGTACATCTTTGTTCGGCCACGTTACTTTCCACTGATCCTTTGGTCTACAGGGAGTTACACCGCGCTATAACGGACACGACAAATCCTTTACTTCTCATCGTTATATCTAAGCTTTGGGTACCATTGTCGGATCGCTTCTGATGTTCTTGTCTACTCTCGCGCTCACGATTTGCTACGCGTCAACGTTGTATCTACCACCTGTGAATTCTTGCTCGTACCTATTATTGTAGTCTCTTTTTCCCTTTCATGCTGATCCTGGCCGATATGCTTTCTCTAGGGGGTCGCTGCGCTGCCGCTGTGGCTGGCCGTACGCGCGTCCCCGGCGAGTCAGCGATGCTACCTACATACGTGATACGTACGTACATTTTGACGGATGCGATTGAAAAGTAGAACAGTTCATGTTGTCGTATGTATCTATGTATCATGCATGCCCATGACAACAATCAGGTATAAGTGTAACAGCAACACTCGTCCCTACTGGCAGGGGACATCGCGTCCGCCACGCCAGCGTACTATATACGCCGACTCAACAGCTCCAGGGCGACCACCGCATGAGTCCAGCTACCTCACATACGGTCATGATTGCTAAGCGTTGGATATCGAATACGAATGAGTACAGTGCATCCACATGCTCTGTGGCGCTTGGGTATCATGTTGAAGCTGCATTGTAAATGTCTTCATGTTTCGGAGAAGATCTTATCGAGAAATCCATACATCCTCGGTATGTTGAGTTGAACATAACTCAGGTCGAGGATGTGTCTGTTTTCTCCTAGCTGGAAGTCAATCGCGATCCAGTCAGGGACGTAAAACATGACCCAGACAAAACGGTGCGCACCATCTCCATGAGGTCGTTCCTGGTGATGCGCGACTCCAAGATGGCCTTCTCACAGCCATCGTAATACAAGGAAATGACGAATAGTCCTCGTTGAGGACATGCAAAGTGGAAATAAAGGTTGGGGCGTCTTGACAAATCGCGGTTTGAGCCGCCACAAGGGAAGTAAGACGTAGCACGCACTCTTTAGATGGGACTATGCTCTCCACAATTATGCCCTCTTTTTCCAGTTGCTTGTGCAAAAACCAATACGGTTCGTGTTCATCGGCCGGGTGAGCTATGAGATGGAGGACGGCTCTCAGACTGCGTACGACGCGGCGCCTGCACATCTGAGTGTTGGGTATCAAGATGTCATGAGACGGACAGTCGCAAGCCTTTATAACGCGACCACGAGGCGCGAATAACTCGTGCGCAACATCACGGCCTGTGTCTGTTCGACAGTTAGGAAGCAGCGAGGTCAATATCGGTACGTCGACTACTGCCCAGAGCCGCCGAAGTGGCGGTTCGTCCATATTCCGCCCGTCAAACACCGAAGAAAGATGTGTATTTGCATTGAAGAAGCCGGAAGGCGACCCGAATAACGTGTGTGCTGGTCCACTCTCGGTCCACTCTTGTTCTAGGTCCGCGATTATGAGCGTCTCGTCGGACATTAACATCTTTGACACACCTCTTTGGATCATATGTATCAGTTGGGATCGCTCGTTCGTGATGTCATACGCCTATTCCAGTCATGTAATGGAAATAATCGGCTGGGCACGACGGAAAGCCTATCAATTGAATGATGGACATTCCAGTTCAGCGCCCGGCATCCGAAGGGAGCAGTGTTGGTGGCCCAGTGGCTGACGGTTGCTCCGACAACTATCGGTGCATCACAAACTTGACATGAGACGAACATTTATATAGAGACACTCAAATCAAAAGAGGTGCGAGCGCAATCGTACGCCTCATTGGATGTAATCAGAGGATGCGCAGTATGCCAGTAGCATTGAACAACGCCATGCAGAAGACGCACCGTGAGAGCTGACAGAGCGAGCGACGACAATTCAAATGCATCGTAAGGTTTCGTTTGACCATCACATGATGCAGCTTCGGTGCTCCTGAAAGGGACTCTGCCAAACTGCCACTGGAAGGCTGCTACGAAGGCCAACTGTCCGTTGTCCAACTTGAAAGACCTCCTAGTCCTTCGAAATAAAGCGTTAACAAGGTCTCGCAGACAAGATAGAGGCTCGAGGGACGCTTGGCATCTACTACGAGGTCGCGCATTCTGCTTGCGATTCCACCGAGACTCTGCCCCAGTAGCCATGGTATACGGACTTAGGCTAACAGAGCAGTCAGTTATCACCCGGCGCCGCTAGATCGGCTGTACTTACTTCAATTGGCCACTGGTATCCCCGCAGACTTCGTCAGTGCCTCGTCTGACTTTGCAGTAACAGGGCTTCTCAAGAGCGCGACAAAAGAGACGAGGATGCGTTCAGTTAGCCACAATTTTGCCACCATTGATCGCTCTAGCCGGTGTAATTCCAAATAAGGAAACAGCAGTTCAACGCGGCTACACATCAGCGCCTACACTCATTCTAGTCAACTCCTTCCATCCACCAGGTATGTATATTCCCTTGACTCCCGATACAATGTTGCTCATAATTATGCGGAAGTTTTGAATACATATATAGAAAACAGTGAAGAGGCCTTTGCGACGATCAGCAGTCCATTGTTTCCTGAGGGTTGCCATGACTTATAACAGTACTACTAGTACTGTTACCCGTGAAGTCCAATCCAAGCCCAATCTGTCGTTTCGAAGTGGGTGAATATTACTACGCGTCTTGGCCAAAGTTAGTGAGTCGATGCTCTATTTCATTGACCTCTTCGCAAACTTCATGGATTTTCCGCATCATCGTCGAGAACTTGAAGCCGACTCACGTATATCAACGAGGCGTCAACAAGCTGATCAAACCTCAGATACTTGCTTCTACGGAGAACACACGAGAACTTGAAGGCGAAGCTACGTGGTGGATTCTCTGATCCGACAAATGCGTCGTACACGGTACGTTCCTCACCCAAAGTTTTGAACTACTCACTTAGCTCAAGGTTACGAGCCAGGTACCTCCGAGGAGTCTGCGCGGAGAACATGCATGCATGCCTCCGCACCTCTTGCACGAGTAAGCGAAACGTGCATCGCGTGTGCTGGGCGATTGTTGTTTGCCATCCTCCATACACGTTGCATGCGATCCACCGCTTCCGAACGTCGGAACAAGCGCGTTTTCTCTGAGATGCGCATTACGCCCATGATCGGCTTCATTTACAATAGGATAGGACCACTTCGACATATCATCAGGCCTATCGTATGGCGACTTTTCGTGGTCGCCTTTGGCTTTGCTATTTCTGGCGGTTCATCTCCAATATAGAGGTACCGCCTGCTCGGGTCAGCAACCGACTGCCGGACACTATCCTCGAATTAGGGAAGGCTCTGCAAGCACGGGCTAATCAACATCGGAAGGAAGGAAGGTGTTCGCTTTAGTCCTTTTTCCTGTGCTGACACCGAATTTTAGACTACTCTCCGGCGGATCAAATGACTCGCCGTCAGAATACCCCCAAATGCCGACGTTGTGACGTCCCTTGTCAGGATTCCGGCAGAATCTCTTCAAAAGTCTCAGAATATAATACTATTCTTGAGAGACACCGACGGGCAGGGCTGCGTGTCCTCTCAAACTATCGCGCGCCTTTCCCGACTCGAGTACTCCAGCGGAACACGGCGATCTTCGCCAAAAGGACCACCTCAGGTCTGACGAGGTGGCCGCATCAGGTGTGCTCAGAAACGAGCCGGCCACGCCCCTAGGGTGTTGTTCCATGGTTCGCATCTCCCGCCGCTGCCATTGTTGCACAGGGGTAGCATGCTATATGCTATTGTACTGTGACTTACCTTCCCCATGAGTTGGGCGCAGCCTCACCGCCGGACCTTCATCGATGAGAGTAGTGTCTTGGAGCAGCTGAACGCGAATGTCCTTATTCCCAATTCAGCATGTGTCAGTGCACATCACTCATTGTTCTCGGTGCCCTCTTTCGTCGATCAATAGCTGTTCGTAGACGTCATTGATTGCTAATAATTGACCATAGTCCTCGTTGTGTGATGATACACCTAATTACTCCACATACTAGTACTGTACTTGATACAGAGGACGATAACCCATAACGATGAAAGTGAGCGTAAGACTACATTTAAGGATACAGCGGCGTTATGATACGTTCAGACGGATGGCGGGACGGTCGTAATCATTGATCCGTCGTGCCTCGGAGCGGACATCAACCGTGACATGCCTATGGGCGACTGGTCGTGATTGAAGGGTGCGATGTAGACGGACGGCGGGAGCCAGGCATCTTGGGGACCAAGCGATACGGGTGCATACGAGCAACCTGCGAGATGCGCGTGTGGTTCTGCTTGAAGTGATGAACCAGGGGGCCCGTGATGAGAAGCGGCTTGATTGTCCGGCTCGGGCGCGGCGCGGACGAAGTCGTGGACGTCGGCGTCGGTGGCGGACTGGGGAGCTGGGGAACGGGTGGGATTTGGGGAACGACTATCAGGGCGTCCGCCATGTCCATCGTCGTGAGGAAGAGCGTAAATCCCTCGGGGGACGGCGCGAGGGCCCGTGTGTCAGATGGCGAGCCGGAGCGTGACGGTGCGGTGCACGATGATGTCGTGGAAGAGACTGAGGACTGGCGTCCGCGGGCCCAGGCCCGGGTGGAATAGGGCTGTACGGCCTCAGAAGACTGGGAGAAGTCGACATAAGAGTATGTTCACGTGATGCGAGTGAAGAAGGACATACGAGATGGTCATCGGAGTCGTAAGAGTCATTAGGAGACTGCTCTGCGCGCACAATGGGGTATGGAAGCCCGAGGGAGCGCAGCGGAGGCAGAGAAGGGCGGGTGTCGCGGGTCGGCGTGAAGTTGGCCATTGATACAAGGGGTATGATGTGTTGGAAGGACGGTGTGATGTGCGAGACTTAACGGAGGCGACACGAGAGGGTGCAGCGAGAAGTAAGAAGAAGGAGATTCTTGATGGACCACCGGGGTACCAAAGGCCTGCCTTATATCCGTCTAGATGTGTGGGGGTATCGGGCGGTTCTTGGAGCGGACAGGAGGCAGTGCGGATGGAGGGACCGGAGGCACGGCCGGGGGAGCCTTTATAGGCTAGCTCGCTCTGTAGCAGTATCTCGAGCGACATTGTCACGTCGCCAAGCCATGCGACCGAAATCTGCCTTCAATGCAGATCGCTTACCACACCTGCCTTTGTTCCCATTCTCCCCAAACAAGCACAATAGCCACAGGCGCGTTGTGGGCGCCTGTGGGGTGTCGCCGTCGGAGTTTGTATCTCCTTGTTTGCGTAAAGAGATCCTCCTGTGGCTTTGTCGCAAGGAGGCCCGTAGAGCTGCAACTGATGCAGACGTCGCATAGTTACTGACCTTCACGATCGACACTCAGAGCGCAGGAGACGGGATGTAGGTGGGATGAGGACAAGCGGAGACTGGAGAATAATGCGGGATCAAATTGACCGCCAAACAGACGCTCGCTTTGGTTCCCACGGGCGCGTTCTTCCTGCTTTTGTCCGTGAACGGTTCGTCGCCGAGGGGAAATGGCAGACACAACACCCAAGATCCAAATCGTGAGCCTGCATTGTCTCGGTCTCCGTGCTCTGTTGACCGTCGTTGCGATACTCGTGGCCCTTCCATTGCCTCGTATTTTCCTTTTCTGGCACTCCCTCCTCGCCCGGACGCTCAGCTCAAGACTGCGGTTGCGTCCGACTTGTCGGCGGCGACGTACCAGATCCATGACGAGTCACACACGCTTGGGAATGCGCTTCGGTGGATGCTCATGAAGAAGTGCGTCTCACAAGCGCTTTGGCGGCGTCGAGATTTGCACTGACTTGACCGCTCGCGCTTGCTTTGATCCCGGACGAAAAGTCCCAAGGTCGAATTTTGCGGATACAGGTAAGCATTGTCACTCCGTTACATTGCACAAATCTTGGAGACATGTTTCGAGCCGTCAAAGCGTGATGGATGGCAGTCGGCGCACACAGGACTCGGTTGTGCGAGGGTATGGCTATTGTTCGTAAACAATGCGGCAGTTTCAGGACTGCTCCTGATTGCGTCTCAGCCACCGCGACCCTCCCATCTCACACCTAATGCGACGCTTTGAGTCACGTCCAAGCGTCGATCCCGCTTTGAAGAGCGGTCGTGCGAGCCATCTCCGTTGAGTCTTCGAAGTCATTGTTCGAGACAGTCGCCATAGCGAGCACTTTCCCCTTCTCTCTGCTTTCGTCCTGAATGACTTGTCGACGCGGACGCTAACTCACTTGCTCACAGCGTCCCTCACCCTTCAGAAAATCACATCCACATGCGTATCCAGATGTACGGTGCGTATTGTTCTCGCAACCTTTGGCTGTTGTTTGGCGGTCTGAACGTCCCATCCGTCTCCCAGACAACCTCTCCTCTCTCGAAGCCCTTCTCCAGGCACTGTCCGACCTTGACGACGTCTGCATTACCATCGACGAGGCGTACCAAAAGAGCCTCCGGGAAGATCGGTATGAGCAGTGGGACGAAAAGAGCTGAGCGTTGCGCTCGTGTCGTATCTATTCTGGCATCTCTGTTCGTGTCTACTCTGCTGTGTTCCTGCTTGTAGCGTTAGTGATCTCATGCGGTTGACTCTGGACTAAGCGCACGGCGTGGGTATTGCAGTCCCAGTGTGCTACACTGACTCCGTCGAAACCGGGCATATCAAGTCCAGTGGCATCGACGACATCGCCTAGACTGATCTGTCAAGCCCAACTAATAGGTGTGTTCTCATCGTTATGAGACGCAATGACCGTTGTACTCATACAGCGATGGTTTGACTACCCCATTACAGCTGTGTTTACTTCCCGACCAATACTGGCGCGATACCACCCTCGAGCTAGCTACCGGGCTTTCTTCGGAGAGTTCACCCAATGCGACCCGTGCGGCCATTGATATTCCGCGATACTCGACTCGTGCATTCGATGCTATCGTGGTCCTCGTCAGCTGCTGTCCTATCTGCCGTCACCATGGACGACATATCTGTAGCCCTCAGCGGGGGTTGCTCTGCACGCTGTACCACCCGTTCTTGTTGATAGAGCAGGGGTCTCTTCCTGTCGATGAGGTCAGTCCCGGTCCGTGCTTGCCCACGATTCACTCTCGCAACCCCCGGAGAGGACGCATCCCCTGCTGAGGTGCATCCTCCCCCAGTCTGCTCTTCTTTGTCGGGCGATCCAATCCCGTGGACGCAGATCTGGGACAATCACACTCGCACGCGAAGCACGCTCGATTGAGCTCGACGACTACTACATACATAGGACAACGGACCGCGCCTTGACCTGAGCAGGCGGATTCTCGTTCTGTGAACTGCATTCCCAACCATCTTCCATCTTGGCTGCTGGTTCATGATGGTTTGCAGAGACACGAAGACCACCTTGTACTCTCCAAGTCGTATCTTCGGACGCGAACACGGAGAAAGTCAGGCTGGACAACGCAGGTGACTTGTTGATCGCGTCGCCATTGGTAGACAGGACCCTGCCATACACTAGTATGTGTTCCAGCCACTCCATACGCCGGCATCGGCAGTCGATTGACATGCATCCCATTTTCGGGGCCCGATACATGATTCATGGAAACTTGCGGGCATCTTCATTTCGCCCGATTCTCAGGTTCAAGCACTCCTGTGCATGTTCGCCGGTATGTCGCGGACGTCGACATGCATCGTCACTAGCGGCACAGCGCAGACTGTTCACGCGATGCACAGCGGAAATAGAATATGGAGGGGGGGAATAGAGACCCAGACCCGAGCCAGACCCGACGCACTGCGAGTGCGTGATAGTTGTGTGACAGGAGCCGGAGGACGAATGTACCCTACTTCAAGCAGATAACGGCGTGGATACAACAGGCTGTTGCGTCTGAGAGACTCGTTGGAAGCAGCTTCTACGTTAGTAATGAACATAGTAATTATGTAGTACAATATAGCACACTACAAACGCTCGTACTCAACCTGGTGCACGGTGGTCTGTGCGACTGGACATGCTGAGGTGTCGAGCTTACAAAAGTGCAAGCCATTGATCTTTACTCAATTCGACTGTGTAACCGACCCGGGAACAACTTGAGATTGAAAGAACACTGACTCACCCGCTAGAGGAACAGGACAGCCAGTGACGTACATGCCGCTCCGGCGACGGCCACCCCGAGCACGTACCAGAGCTTGGTCATGGCTGACGTTCCTCCGTTCCGCGGCGGAAGGCGCGGGTGTAAGAACTTTACTAAGCGCTGCAACGAAGCAGACTGCCCGTCCGCAGATACAGAGTTATTGACGATTCTTGGCAGTTAAACCCGGAATAGACTCACATTGTAGGGCGTGTACCGTGCCGACATGGCAGTATACTCGACCCTGTAGAAAATGTCAGTCTCGATTGCAGCGGTGACATGCGGAACAGGTCGTACCAGTTGGGGTTATCGACAGTGCACCTGAAGTGCGTGAATTCGTCAAACGCCGCTTTCCCAGTCGAGTAGCCGTCTAGGTTGACTGAGTTTCATCGCTGAATGCACCAGGCTCTGTGATACTCACAACCACTAGCACCGAATCCTCCGAAGGGTGCATCGTTAGCTACGAGACGAGTGAGCTAAAGATCCTGAATTGGGCTGAATGCATGCGAGACGAACCCATGACGTGCAAAATGGTGTCGTTTGCGGATACCGTTCCACTCCGGGTGTTATCCATGACTGATAGTAAAGCATAGTAAGTCGATAGCTTCGCGCAGACGACATTCACTCGTACCTTTGCTCTTGAACTTCTTCTCGCTCGTGAAGACATAGATATTCAGTGCTTCGTCCCTGGTGTACTGTGAGTACTATACTCATCGGATCGGCTTTCTCAAAGCTCACATGCTATTTATGACGGCGATTGCCTCATCGACGTCCTTGACAGGCACGACGGGGAGCAGCGGGCCGAATATCTCCCTATGAACCACGTCGTCGTCAGTCAATTGGATCCTGACCACAATCACCGCAGCCGACTCACTCGCTCATGAGCGAATCATCGCGCTTCACGTCTCTGATGAGACTCGGTGCGACGTATCTGGCCTCTTTGTCGACTTCCCCACCAAAGACGATGGTGCCGTTGGTGTTGTCTAGGAGGCCTTTGAGACGTTCGACGTGGCGTTCGTTGACGATGCGGCCTAGCATGCCCGACGTCTTCGGGTCAGTAGGATGCAGCTCGTGGTACCTGCAACGGTCGTCGAGCATTGCTGTGTAACAGAAAATGGAGACGCACGCGTTTTGGAGAGCCTCGACGAATTCGTCTTGGAACGACTCCGGCACCAAGACATAATCGGGAGACAGGCACACCTTCGCGTCTCCTTCAGCGCCTTGTAAGGTGTCCGTTCACGGGAGAATACATACCTGTCCACAGTTAACAAGCTTGCCCCACATGATGCGCTTGGCCGCAATTTTGGCATTACACTTGGGGTCTATCACACACGGGCTCTTTCCTGGATCAAAGTCGACGTCGCAATTTAGATCACGAAACCGTAAAAAAACAGACCTCCAAGCTGTCAACATGCTCTCAGTGATCAACCCGTGTCACAGTAGCCGAGATATCATACATACTTCAAGCGTGACTGGCGTCAGGTGCTGCGCTGCGGCCGTACAGATGATTTTCGCGACACGCCCATTGCCTGCGATATGTTTAGAGAAGGATATGACCGATGAACAAGGTTTACTTGCCTGTGTAGAGAACTACCAATTCATGAACGGATTCAGTCGCCATTCACCAGTTGGTATAGAACACGCTCAACTGTGGTTGAAACGGAGTTCCAGAATCTGCAGATTTCGCGTCATTCAGATCATATCATCATTTCCGCCAGGTGACGGGTACCTTTGTAGTTTCAGGCACGCCGCCATTGACAACCTGGACCAGCTCGGGGTCCAAGTACTTCGGGATAAGCTCAGCGAGCAAGGCGGCTGATGCAGGAGTTAACTCCGAGGGCTTGAGCATCACTGTGTTCCCAGCTGCTATCGCAGCCGACTACACGGCAATTAGCGTGTGCTCCGCGCCAGCGAAGAATGCACATACCAAAGGGGTCAATGTAAGAAAGTAAGGGTAGTTGAAAGGGCTTATGATGAGCACCACGCCCTTTGGCTCCTTCCTTGTTACCGGAGACAACGAGAACCATAGGAGAGAGAACGGTGACTTTTGTGGCGCAGACCATTTCTCGACATTGTCGTAGGCGTCCTTGACCTCGAGTAGAGTCCCGCTCAACTCGAGGCTTTGTGTTTTTCAGCAAACCTAATTTACGAGTAGAAGTATAGCTTACAAATCTGTCTCATTTCGCGGCCTTCCAAGGTCCGAGGAGATAGCCTGCCGTATCCGCTCCTGGTTATCCTCAATGAGGTAGCATAACTGCAGGAGCTGCTGCTTGCGGTACGCAATAGACCTTGTCCTTCCCGAGTTGAAAACGGCTCCTAGCTCATTTCGGATCTGACGACGAAGGTTAGTCACGATAGCACTATGATGATCAATGTTGCGTACTCTGGGTATATCTCCAATAGGTGTGTACTGCAGTGTACAGGACATTGTGAGGTGTTACACGGTGGAAGAAGGAATCAGAGAGAACGATGAGCGGCCGCTGCGGCGGGGTTGTGGGGGCTAACGCATGCCGCGAAGGAAGTTGATAAGTGCGGAGCATGGGCGTCGATCGCATCAGGCAGCGCTTCTGCTGTGTGCGTAGGCAACACGCTTGATGCGACGTTCAGTCGGCGGCGTGCTCTCGGCGGTGCTCGCAGAGGTCGTGGGGCTTCGCAGGCAGGTATCATCCATGCGCGGATCATATTTTTGATGTGGCTAGAGTCACGCAAATGGCAGGTATTGAGTACTGAATATTGAATACCGAGCGGTCCAACGTGCTCGCGAGAGAGCTTCCATCATACCGTTGCTGAGGTCGAAACAAGGTGTACGCATCTGGTCAGCATCGCCGCGCGGGTCTCAGTCTGCGAGCGCCAGCGCTGCGACGTGCAGGCCCGGCGTTCGACCGAGCTCGACTTGATGTCAACTTCCACTCTTCCACTCACTGGGGCATTCGCATTAGGTGCGTCACGAATCCAAGTGACCTTGATTTCGGAGCGTAAACTCATGTTGAGAGCTAGCGCAGCGATATTTGTCACCATGGTGTAAGTGCTCTGATTCCACTGGCAGTTGCGAGTCGCCTGGCTCCGAGCTGACGCGCTGACGGACCGCGTACTACTACTAGTAAAAGACGTCCAGAAACCACAATCGAAGCTTTAGAGAAGTGCAGATGAATCAAGGGCACCCGGCGTCGACTGCCATTCCGTATCAGCAACATCCTCAAACACAATAGATAGGTCACCTCGGATACGTTCTCTAGTCGGGGTCGTCGGACAAACTCATCATGAAGGCTTCGCCAACAGCGCCCGGATGATCATCCTCACGCGCACAACAACGTTCCAGGAGGCTGTGGGGCTTCTGGCTCCAAGTCCGCTGCAATGCGGACGTACTCTTGTACTCGAATTACGCGTAGTTCCGCGGTATAAGAGACCGTAGGTCAGGGCGAGCAGATCTGTGACCTTGACGTCGTGAGTCTCCGTCACCTGTTCAGTGATGTCGGCACTCGATTTGAATCCAAGTCTGGGATGCTACTATATCGGAATCGTGATCTCCCTTGTGTACGTGGCATTCAACTGTTTCCTATCACTCCGATTGAATTGAGACTCGACTTGTCCAATATAGATTCTTTGGCGTCACCTGCTCGCAGGTTCTGTTCTACGCCAAGACGTATCGGAATGACAACCTGCTCATGAAGTGTTGGGTACGTGTATTGTTTCGGGCTGCGAAAGACGCATCACATACACTGATCACACATAGGTTGCCACCCTATGGTAGGCTCATCACGGAATCTACGTGGGTTGTCCCCTCATCAATCGCTCTCCCAGGCTGCTGGATACGATTACTACTATCTTCGCCTTGAGTGTGAGTGCGACGTCAGTGCTACCTCATTATATGGTATTGATGTACTGCATGTACCATAGATTCTATGGGGAGAGACGATCACGTCTCATGGACAGCCATTAGCTCTGCTCCATTTGGATAAGTACATATACATCTGTCTTCAGCTTTACTTGATTGCTGATGGGTGCCATGCTTGTAGTGTGTTCATGGTGTGTTCTAGTTTGATGACTGGAAGTATTGACAAGACTTAGCACAGGGTATTATTAATATTGACATAGGCTGAGTATGCATTTGCAGTAAGTACAGTTTCTTGATCAACTGGTGTATATCTTCGACACCCTGCAATAGGCCATAACTGTGCTGCTTGTACAATGGTATGTACCAATGTCATGTTTATCAAAGTAATCTCATGGATGAACCAGCCACTACATTTTTAACATATGGAGATGTATGGCCCATGTTACTTCTTCATTGTTGTTGAACTCATGGAGAGCAGTCCACCAAGGGAAGACATTCAAGATTCCACTTACACTGACAGCTGTGAGTATTGTTATGCCTGTTCAGTTTGAATTTGGATACTAATTCATGTTAGCTCTCCCTGGCTTTATTGTCATTTGGTGAGTTATGTATGCTCAGGTGCATCTTTTCTCTGTTAGCTGATGAATGTTTGCCTTGGGTAGCTGGTGCTCTTGGTAAGGTTCTTGCTACCACTTGGTCTTGAACTCTCAGTCTTATTGCCTTTATCCATCAGTATGTGTTTACCTAGGGTGTGTATTGATTTCCATGAGTCATATACTCTAAACTCATCATGTGTACAGATCTATTCATCGCCAAATTCCAGGTGCCTTTAATTATATGAAGGTTTGTGCATTGTGATAGCCCAAGTGTCTCACAGTTTGCCTGACAGTTTCTTAGCCTTATGTTGCCTTGCAAACCATAGTGGCATCAGTCACTGACATATACATTACCATGTGTCTCACTCTGATCCTGAGAAATCAGAACACTGGGTTCAGAAGGTAAGTGGGTTACAATGACTGATTTATCCCTGCATCATGACTATTTTTTAGCACTGGGGCTCTCATAAGAAAGCTCACCATGTACATTGTCAATAGGGCTATCCTGACCATGTATGTTGTCCATGAACTCTTTCAACTATAGTTATTGATTTGTGAAATTGAAAGGGTGTTGCAAACAGTTCAATTCATCACAGTATGTTTCCACATGCATTGTGTATTTGACATGCCACATCTCATTGTCTGTCCACAGTACATCTCCCTCCCCAATGCTGTACAAGTTTGGGCAGTATTTCACTTCCCTGGGAGTAAGGGTCAGTGTAAATGATCTTATAATGATATGCATCAACTGACACAGGCCTCTTCTACATAGCATATGTGAATTCTTTGTTTGCAATGTAGGTGTATCAGTGCAGAGAATGGAGTTGTTGTTGACATATGGACATGCACAGGTTTAATGCGAGGGAATCCTTGAGGAACCAGAGGAGTTATGTATCAGATTTAGCTTTGGAAGATATGTCAGGCACCAATCATGGACCACATTATAGACACGGTGAATCCACATTACCCAAGGTTAGCAGGTAATGCTAGGCAATCTATCTTGAATTTGTAGAGAACATTAATCTATGTCTATGGAACTTGTCTTCTTCTCTGAATATCAAATTTATCAGCAGAGGACCCTATGTGTGAGCTTTGAAGGTCATTGTCCTTGCTGCCTCTCCGTCTCATCCCTCGGGGTGCCATGACCATCGTGATGATACAGCAATGGTTCCCCATTCCATTACAACAGTGTGTTACTTCTCGACCAACCCTATCGCGATGCAACTTCGAGCTAGCTACTGCGCCTTCTTCGGAGAGTTCACCCAATACGACCCGTGCGGCCACTCAAACTCCGCGATGCTCGACTTGTGCATCTCGATGCTATCGAGGTCCTCGTCAGCCACTGTCCTATCCGCCGTCATCACGGAAGACCTACCTGTAACCCTCAGCAGCATTGCTCGGCACGTTGTACCGCCCGTTCTTGTTGATCGAGCAAGGGTAGAGGAAGTGTTCGTGCAAGTGGTCCACAAACTCGAGCACGTTGCGCTCCATCGACCCCGAGATGGCGATGTAGTCGATCAAGCTACACACGCCGAACCGTCAGCACCAGTATCGCCCCCACATAACGGAAACTGGACTGACCTCAGGTGGATGACATACTCGCAGAGACCGACACCGCCCGCATGCGGGCACACCGTCACGCCGAACTTCGCTGCCATGAGCAGGACGCTGAGGACCTCGCTCACGCCTGCAAGGCGACAGGAGTCGATCTGGCAGACATCAATCGCCCCGGCTTGCAGGAGCTGCTTGAAGACTATGCGGTTGTGCGCGTGCTCGCCCGTCGCGACGCCGATCCCGTGGGGCTTCAGCGCCTTCCGGATGGCGGCATGGCCGAGGATGTCGTCGGGCGCCGTAGGCTCCTCGATGAACCTGCCCTCGCTCAGCTTGGTGGTGCGCCGGAAAGACAGTCTCGCTCACCAAGGCTTGATCTCCTCCAAACTCTTCACGTAGTCGATCGCTTGTGGGACGTCCCACACCTGGTTCGCATCGATCATGAGTACGCTCCCCGTCGGCCCCGCGTTCTTCCCCTTCAAGTCCGGGCCCTCCGGGTCGCGCGGCGTCCCGTACTGCGGGTCGTCGATGATACTCCTGATGATCTTGCCCCTCCGCAGGTCCGAGTCGCGGTCCGCGCCGACCTTCATCTTGAAGTGGTTGAAGCCCTGCGCGACCGCCTCGCGCGTCAGCCGCGCGACCTTCTCGTCGCTGTACCCGAGCCAGCCCGCGCTGGTCACATATGCAGGATAGCCCCGCTCGCGCACCGTCGCCTCGCGCTCATCCTTGGTGCCCGCCTTGGCTTTCAGCATGGCGAGCGCCTCCGTGGGCGTGATCGCGTCGGTGATGTAGCGGAAGGCCGTTGCGGAGACGAGCTCTTCCTGTGAACAAATGTCCAAGATCAGTCTCAATTCATTCTGTCTCGCTGTCGCGGCTCCCGGGGAGGACGGATCCGCTGTTGAGGTGCATTATCCCCCAGATTGCGCACCTTTGTCGGGGCGATCCAATCTCGTTGACGCGGACAATCACATTCACACGCAAAGCAGGCTCGATTGCCCGACGTCAATGCAGGCAGCACCCCGTTCCGGACAGCCGGGGTCCCTTCATCTCGGAGCGCCGACTATGCGGAACAAGCACCCCAAGGCCTCCCGAAGTGTCTCGCATGTGGATCGCGACAACAGAGAGAGATTACGAGAGGGACTCACGGGGGTCATGTCGACAATGAGCTTCCAAAGCGGCTTGTTCCGCGCGCGGGCGTACATATCCCACAGTGCATTGTCGACGGCGCCGAGCGCGATGTGGATGACACCCTTTTCTGGGCCGATCCTGAGAAGAGATCGAGGTCAGCACGCAGTCACATTTGAATTGGGCATGCCAAGGAGCGACGCCAGCGTATATGGACAAAGGTTCAGTAGCCGCGTGCACAGTTCGCCGATCGCGGGAATACACCAGCGTTCGGTGCAAATGGCTTGCTCTTCTGCAGCGTCCGAGAGGGTTGGAAGAGAGGTGGGGGCGGAAAGGTCAACTGGTGCGTACCGTGACCAACACGGTACTCCGCACCCGGGAGACGTCCAGTCCCGTGCACTCAAACTTCCTTCGCGAAGCCTAACGCAACCTTAACTCACCAGCGCAGTTGGGGGTCGGAGCACAGATATTCCCACGTCTTTCCCATGTTTGCGAAGAGCTCTTCGACATCCTTGCCGACGAGGCGGCGCGCGAGTTCCTGGATGGCCATGCAGACGATGTCGTTCCCGCGGCCAATGGTGAAGGTCATGCCGTGCCCGACGAGGGCGGACGAGGTCTTGAGGGTGACGTATGCGGAGGAGTAGTCGCAGTCCGTGTTCATGGCGTCCGTACCATCGCCCGTGAGCGAGGTCGGAAAGCGGACGTCTGGTGCATCGGTCGCTTGAGTGCCAGTTGGTCTAAGCAGGAGCAGGAGCAGGACATACCGTGCGTCTCGAATCCCGTGATCTTGACAGACATGGCGGCACGCTACTACGGTACAACGAGTCAGAAATCTCTGAGAACGAAAGGGCGAGGATAATTGAGGCCATGGCGGGCGGAGGACCGACTCTTTAAAGGGTGAGCGCATCCTATGATGTATCCCGGAGAGGCGGCCCGCCGGCCCGGCCATCCAGCCTCGGACGAGCAGCGGCAGGCGCCCGCCTCTCCCTCTTCCCCTTCTCGACTGCAACCCAGGTCAGTTTCCCTCTCGTGACCCGGCCGGACCACACGATGAAAGGTCAACAGTACTGCTGCACGGCGATGGAAATAAGGGGCCAAAGGTTCGTAGCTAGCTAGTACTCCGAATCTTGTTTTATCGACGCAAAAAGGAACGTCCACTTGTCTATGCCTGGCTGTATTTCTTCTGTACCCCAAGAGAACTTCACCCTTTCGTTCCCAAACGTCCATGCTGTGTGCTCTACACGCGGCTAGTTGAGTGGTGTGTTCGCGATATGACTATATGCGCACTTACTCGCGGTCAAGACGTACCCGTCGCCCTCGAGAAACATGGGTGAAGGGAGCCGGTTATGGAGGTGAGCGGTGACTATGCGGGTGACAATGTCCTGCGCGATGTTCGTCTCATTACATTATGTCGTTCCCCTTTTGAAATCACGCGTACTCACCGATACTTCCCGCTGTGCATAGAAGAAGGCGGCCAAGGCATCAGTCGATGTTCGACTACAGTACGAAGTTCTGGTGAGTGAAATGGGGACTAGCGACTGGATGTATGCGCGCATTACCCGTCCGCTTTGACGGTTACTTGGACTGTCGTAGGAACGACTAGATCCGTGTCTTCAGGGTGCAGCACAACTATCGTGGTGTCGTTCAATGCGTACAGCATCTTATCCTCTCGCGAGCACAATCTTGCGCAGTAAAACAATCAGGAGCGAGGGTCTCTAGTCGGCGTGGTGGTGTGCAAAACCTCCCTCCTCAAAAGCCCGCGAGTCTACTGCGCGATACATCTGACAGCTGTTGAACTACGCCTGGCATCACTGCCTTATTGGGTCCATGTACTCAAATTCATTGAAGCATCTACTACACTACTTATTGATTGTCCTTCGAGTTGACTACGTTCTCCAGCCGGTCTCACAATGTTCGTCTAGTAGTGCATTCTCCGTCATCTTCTGCCGCGGAGACCCGTTGTTGACTATGTCCCAGCGGATGGTCCGCAGATACGTGCGCAACGAGGGGACGAGGGGGTACTATGCACGCCCATGTCCAAGGTATCTCATGACTCGGGCTCTGATGAAACAGCGTAATGATATGCAAGCGAGATGGGTTACTAACAGCACCAACCAGGATCAGAACTTGCTGCTGGAAACAGGTATGCCGGTGAACACCGAACTTCAGACAGCCCAAGGCTGTATAGCACCGAACAACATCACATTCAAGCTTCAAACGGAGGCTACACGAAGGCGTCTTGAAACTCCCGGACCCTTGAGCAACCAGAGAAGTGGCACGATGGACTCGATTCCCTCAATCGAGCTCATCAACCTCCCAACGCGCCCAAAGGTCCTCATCCAAACTCCGCCTGCGGCGGTGTCCCTTGGTGGGCGGGGGTGGGGGTGGGTACGTCGGGTGTGGCGGGATGACCGGACGGGGGGCTTGGGGCCATCCCTCGCCCAAAGATCCTCATCCAAGTTGCGTCTGTGGCGACGACCATTGGGCGGAGGCGGGGGCGGATACGAAGGGTAGGGCTTCTGTGGCGGGATTGGACGGGACTTGGGGTCATCGCGGGGCTTGAGCCAGTCGCTACGCACCCAAAGATCGCTGTCGTACTCGCGCGCATAGAGCGAGTCGTCCTCGACCGTACGGCTGGCGAAGCTGCTCAAGCATTCAGCGAACTCATATACGTATATATAGGATCGACATACGTGTTGGTGGGCGCAGCGAAGGCCGGGACTGTAGCGGCTGCGGCGAACGCAACTGAGAAGAGGGTAGTGAAGCGCGTCGTGTATTGCGCGGGTGGGCGTCAAGAAAACGTTGGTGAAGAGAATGTGAGTCGTCAAAAAAAAAACAGGGCTAGCGGGGTTCAACGTCGTCAGCCTGCATGGTCCTCGAGTCGTACGACTGATTGATACTCACTATTCAGTACCTCTGCTAGGGAGAGCTCGAAAGGAAAGGGTGAGCTGGGGATGACAGCAAGAAACGGCTTCCTTAAATACTATGGGCCGCAACTGCGCATCCGCTCCCTACACCGGCTACCTGTGGCAGGCTGGTAATTCTTCTGAGACATTGCCCGAGAAATTTGCAGTGCTACTCAAAACCCGTGCGTCTGTGGAAGCTTGGGGCTCGTAAGTAGGCGAGCCAAGAGCTCGAGGGGAGCCGGATGGGACCAACGTCCGCATCGCACCGCAACGTTGATCGCTCCAGCGTGAACTCGGAGTGTCATACGAATTACTATGAACATGCGGTGACAGGCATACCAAGAGCAAGCCACTGGAAGAGGTCCGTACTTTCCTCGCACCAGGCACCGAGCTCGATACACGGCCAGAAGTTTCGGTGTATCCCGAAAGAGTGTCCTGCGCGGTGCATGGGCCTTGGAGACGATGTCAGTGATTAATCTGGCATTTTAGTATTGAAATGTGGTAGGAAATCAGGCTTGCCAGAGTCCCAGGTCGTCCAAGTTCATGGTCGCGCGACACCGTGACGGCGCCACCCGCCAGCCACAGCAAGGGAAGTACATGATCGTGGGAAAGACGCAGTTGATGCGCCGGCCGGTGACACGAGGCTACCAACCGCACCGCCAGTTGCAAGAATGAGCCCCATGTGAGCCTAGTACCAATTGAGTCTGCCTCCAACGGGGAAGCGTCGGAAGGTTCGGCGAAGCACGCCGTCGAAGGAAACCATAGCGTTCTCACCTGTCCTTCTCCCAACAAAGCCTTCTTCACAGCCAAATCTGTAACCCACATTAAGTATATTCTCGGAGCACCATGATTGGAGTCACGCGGCTAGGCGAGTATGCCATCGATGGGTGTAGCTACTGTTAAAAGGAGTGTACAGGTAGGCTTCCCTGCATGTTCTATGACATCCTCGACCGTGGCATGCTTACATACTCGATTGTAGGGGTCAACTTTGCTTCCCTAGCCAAGCGACTGCGTGTATTATACATACTATGTGCTAACTACGCTTATGAAGTCTGCGTCGACAACACCAGAGAGGTTCTCATGTCATACAATTGCTTGTGCATGCGTAAGTCTAGATTGTCTCATGACTCTCTGACGAAAAGCCATTCAATGATGCTTCAGTACATGAGCAATAGCACCGGCGAGATCCAAATGACAGTGCAGTCAGCAAAGGGCACGACGACAAGCACCGACACTCACACAGCCCCCAGGCTATAGCATCTCGAACAGCATCACATTCAAATTCGTCTTGTCAAGCCAAGGCTACACGAAGGAACGGCACATCCGGAGAAGCGACACGGCGGACTGCATTCCCTGTCGAGCTCATGGACCTCCATCCGCGCCCAGAGGTCCTCGTCAAAGCTGCGCGTGCGGCGCCGACCGCCGGTGGGCGGCGGGGGCGGCGGGTACGTCGGGACGGGCTTCCCGCGCCCACAGCGAGTCATCCTCGTAGGCCCGCTCGACAAGCTCGTCGACTATGTCTTGCAGACTGCGGCGGTAGCGACCGCCAGTGGGCGGCGCGGGAGGCGGGTACGTCGGCACGGGCTTCTGGGGAGGCAAACCGGGGCGGGGGTCACGGCGCGCCCAAAGGTCGCTGTCATACTCGCGCGCATAGAGCGAGTCATCCTCGACTGTACGGCTCGCGAAGCTGTTCGTACGATTAGCGAACTGGACACTCGGTGATACAATAGGATCGACATACGTGTTGGTGGGCAAAGCGAAGGCCGGGGTGGCGGCGGCGGCGGCGAACGCAACTGAGAGGAATGTAGTGAAGCGCATCGTGTATTGCGGGGTTGGTCGTCAAGAAAGCGTCGGTGAAGAGAATGTGAGTCGTTAAAAAACAGGGCTAACGGGATTCAACGTCGTCAGTCTACATGAAACCCGAGTCGTACGACTGATGTGATGCTCACTAACCAGTACCGCTGCTTGGGTGAACTCGAAAGGAAAAAAAAATGAGCTGGAGAGGGCAGCACAGCTTCCTTAAATACTGTGGGCCGCGACTGCGCATCAGCTTCCTATGAAGCACCATCTCTCGGGGAGACGCATCACAGCGCCAGTCGGTGCATCGCAAGAACAGCGTCCAGATCGACCAAGCGAAGGCGAAGCTAGTGAGCGCCGTCGTTTGCAATGTGTGGCCTTGAAACCCGAGACCCTCCGTCAGGCTAGTAGGAATTCTAGCAGGCACATCAGGTTAATTTTTCGAGCTGACTGTGCAGCAGCGACGGTCCACGCACCTCGTGAGCTCCGGCGACGAGTATATTGATTGTTCGGCTACGAGAACTCCGAGTGTGGATGTCCCTGAAGTGACCGATTACTTACTATTATCAACACAGGCGTAGGTGCTGTAAGCTATCCAGTCCATGACGACCTGTAGCACATGAGAGCACCGAACTTTAGTCCTAACAATATCGGGATACTATTCTGTACTTTCACGACTCGAAGACCTTCAACGCGTACGCAGAATTGCAGCTTGAGAGAAACCCGGTGGCGGTTTCATGGGCGAACCTAGGTTCCGATGCATCCAATAATGGCGGCAACCAGCGTAGCCTGCAAGAGCCCGTCAGTCAATACAGACGGCACAGCATTCTCCAGTCTGCCAGTAATGAACATTCTGACGACAATGGCGGAGTGACTTGCGGTGCCAATGAAAATCGCCGTGCGAGCATCACTGGGAAGCTCGGGACCCAGGCTAGGCGAGCCGGATGGGACCAACGTCCGCGATGCGAACGTTGATCGCTCCGGCATTGACTCGGAGTGTCATACGATGAACGCGTGGGGACCAGGTCTTCGACCGAACAGTCGTGTCTCAGGAACGCGCTACAGCAGTTCCTGGCACAGTGTCAGAATCCGCTACATCACCGAGCTCACCATTGAATGATCCCGAAATACCACTGGCAGTAGTGTCCTGCTCGGTGCATGGGCCTTGACGATAAAGCAGCGATTGCTCCGGGATTCTGGACTTGGTTTATGGTAGGGACTCGGAAGCGGGATTGCCAGAGTCCCAGGTCAGCCTGTGGGCGGCGCCGCGACGGAAGCTGTGTGGCATGCCATGTCCCTTAAACGAAACCTCACCAGGACCTTTTTAACGGCGGAAAAGGCAGTCTTCTACGTACCTTAGACTGAGCGTGTGTAGCTCATCAATGAGATCGACGACTAACCTGAACGACTGCACTGTGGTGACCGCTCAGCCGCGTTCAATGACCGCTTAAAGCTGGAGGCAGAGCGTCGGCAAAGCCTCGGTGATCGTCGGCCCGTCGAATGATCTGTGGGCCTGCTTTCTTCTTTATTTTACAAAGCCACTGATGCGACGGGCATGTGGTGTAGTTGGTTATCACGCTCGCTTAGCACCTTGTGAGCATGCGAGAGGGGTCCGGTTCAATCCCGGACATGTCCATGGCCATGACTCGCTGACGGCTATGTCTTTTCTTTTCGCTATGCACATGATTGTCATGCGGCAGCATCTACGTACTGCACTCACTTTATACCTTTAAATCTCACTCAACATATAGAAATGCTAGTGCAGTTGCTTGTTCCAAGTCCATCCCAACAGGCGGGCACATCCTTCAGAGACATGGAGTGCGGTCGTCAATAGAGTCGCTATCGAGATTGACCCGACGGCGTCTAGACCGGCTCAATGAGCGCTTCCAGCCCAGCATGATCGTGGGAAAGGCGTTGTTAATGCGCCGGCCGGTGACACGAGGCTACCAACCACACCGCCAAAACGAGCAAGAACTCCCGTCGACCTCCGAGTCACAGGCAGTCCCATCGCACCAGACAGCTGTTGCCGGCCAACTGCGCGCCGCTTTCCTGCCAATGGGGAAGCGCCAGAAAGCCCAGCCAATCGCCCCGTCGACGGAAGTCGTCTCACTCGTCCTTCCCCCGTCTCTATACCTCGGGCCCTGCTCAGCAGCATCAAACAAAGCATTCCTCACAGCAAACTCAGTCACGCATGTCCTCAGCATCGGCTCGACACCGTCCCAGAAGGTCGACGGCGTGACCTACCACCGTCTTTCTCTGAACGACTCCCCTTCCTCATCCATCTCCAAAGTGAGCGACGAGGCGTGCAAGCTGATTGACGGCGCCATCGCATCGAAGTCAAAGGGCAGCAGTGGCAAGGGGAAGATTTTGGTCCATTGCTCCGCGGGCATATCGCGCTCGCCAGCGCTCGTCGTCGCCTACCTCATGAGATCGCGCGGTATGTCGCTCAAGGCCGCTCTCGGACAGGTGGTGAGGGCCCGCCCGCAGGTGTCGCCCAACTCCGGGTTTCTGGAGCAGCTGAAACGATTGGAAGAAGAGCTGTTCGGGAGCGTCTCGTTGGACATAGACGAGATTCCGAAACGAGAGAAGGACCGACTTGCGTTGTTTGCAGACGATACTGTCGGAGACGAGGCCGAGGCCTCGCAAACCGAACAGCCTCCAAGCTTGTGACTCTGCGCGCGCTGGGTCTCGATGCGTCTGTTCCTGCGGAACGGAAGGTACGTCCATACAAGTCTCTTGAACTACAGGCCGATGATATGATCTCGTAGAGGTCAAGAGCATTTGGGAACGACAGGGAATGCATCAGTACGTGCTCTCGAATCAGACCCGCAAGTCTCAGTGGTGTTCCCCGAAATGCCGATCGGAGACGACTTTCCAGAATATCCTGGTTGGTGGTAGCTGGGTATGTCTCGGAATGGCTTCCGGATTGCCTCCAACACTGAAAAGCCACCGACAGAATGAATGCGCAGCCCTACCTGTTTGCTTGTACGGGAGGCGCGCTCTACAGCGATCCTCACACAAGTCGATGAGACAACACAATGATGTCTCATTTATTTCCGTCAGAAACGAAGAAAGTTGACGGTCATCATATTGGGCTTCCTGGATGATACCCCTACGCTAGAAACGTGTGCTCTTGCTCGTCAAGCTAATCTACCCATATATCCTGGGCATGAAGCACGAATGAAGCTTTCCAGATGCGAATTAGGACAAAAGCTACGTACCCATGGCACGACAGTCACGTTGGATGGATGTGACGACGTGGCTACGACTAATTTCGGCTCACAAATGCAAACAGAAGAACAAGAGACATGCACCACGTTGATGGATACGTGCACTCTTGACTCATCCGTCGGTTTCGCGACAGCCTCCGTCAGCCTCTGGACGGGCTTCAAATCCCACCAGCAAGCGGGTTTGGTCAACGACAACGAACGACAGTACCAACCACTGCGCGCCGCGCCAACCGTTCTCGCTGCGTGAGGGCCACGCGCATGCGCAACGGTCCCAACAAGAACAGCCGAAACAACGTCTCACTGTTATCAGTCCTATGAAGGCTATATATCGCGCCACAGTTTTGAACAGCACTCGAAGTAATGACACATTTGATTGCGGACAACAACCACCTCGGGGTGTGCACGAGCATGCAGGAGCAGAACGAGCCTAAAGATACAACAAGCTAGGTATAACCCCACAGCGTCCGCGCGCACGCGAAACAAGAGCGCGCTCCGGGGCCTCCACCAACGACACCCTACATACAAAAACAAGCGGCCGGCCTCCCGCCAACCGCACCGAAAGGGAAGTCGAACACACGCTGATGCCAAACGACATCGACGGGCAGCGCGGGAACGAAGCACAAACAGAGCGGACGGGCGGGGCAAACGATAGACAAAAGATCAGCGAGAGCTATGATACAGCCATGCGTCGGTGCTTCAGATCTTCACAACGGGAGTCCATGCGACCAGCGGTCTCGGGCACACACATCTATGTCTCTTGACTACAGACGGCGGGGGCGCCGAGCGGGCTCGGCCGGTGGTGCGCCCCCGCGGCGGTGGGCGACGCGGGCGACGTGGGTGTGAGCGGGCTCGGCGAGTGCGTGCTCAGCGGCGAGCTGTCTGCAGTCAGCGGGCCCGGCCCGTCGAACGATTGCGCGAACGCGTAGCCCCTGCCCGCGCCCGCGCCCGCGCTCCCCGTGGGGTTCCACGAGCTCCGGTGGAAGCTTTTCTTCTTGCGCACGCTCGCCTTGTACGCCGCGCGGATGGCGGCCGTCGCGTCGTTCGCCTGCGTGCTGTGCGAACTGACGGAGGTGACGCTAGGAGGTCTGCTGTACATGAGTTGGGAGGAGGATGGCGTGGCGATGTCGCGCTGTGCGTGTGGAAAGGATGGAGATTGGGGAGTAGGCAGCGGGGACGTCGCGCAAGGGGAGGGCGGGCCGGATTCGCAGCTCTCGTAATGACTGGAGCCTGACGACTGCGAGGAGACTGAACAATGCGACATGAATGGTGACAGCGGTTCGTCTGGGATGCGGAACCGATCAGGCAATGTAGGCGGGAATGCAGACATAAACTCCTCGACACGCTGCGTTTGTGTTGCAGTGGATTCCGGACTCGCTGCTTCTTCTGAACCAGCCGTCAACTGCTCGGAGCGCTCGGTCCATATTTCGAGGTTCTCTCTGCACTGGTGCGCAAACTCGGCCAATTCTGCGACGGGACTAATATCAGCGCCACAAAGGAAAGCAGCGAACAGTGAAGTCATGCATACCTGGTATGCCTCGCGCAACGAGCTCGAAGAGGGGCTTCGCAAACGCGCTGATGAAAAACACCTGCCCTTTCGCCTGCCCTAGAGGATGATCGGACGGTTTCACCGTGGCAGGCAGGTGTAGATGTTGTTCTAGCAACAGCTGGCTCGTCCACTCGGACTCGAGCGCAGCGGCCCAGTGCTTCGAGACACTATACGGACGACTCTGACGGTCCGGTCAGCTCATCGACACACCCGCAGCGGACGACACGCTCACCGGATTGCTGATATCCGCGCACTTGATCAACGCCTGGCAGACAAGCACTCTGCGCTTGTGCTCACCTACCTCGTGGCCCGCGACAAGCTCCTGGAAGTTCGCCATGAACTCCGCGTGCACGCTCATGTCCGTCGCGAGCACGGTGCCGAGCAGCAGCTTGCGCATCGCCTGCCCCGATCCCGGCCGGTCGAGCAGCGGCGCGAGACCGTTGTGCCGCATGACCTGCAGTATGAGGGAGTAGTGCATCTGCTCGAGGACGGACTTGTCGTCGTAGACGACGGCTAGGGGCGTCTTGGCGTTTTTCTGTGAAGCGAGTGTGAGCGTTGACCATCGACGATGAGTATGTGAGAGTATTGACCATGAAAGCGTTGCTCAGACCTGGATGACCGACGTCGTGGCCTATCGCAGCTATGAGGAGCGCAAAGAGATCTTGTGGTGATAGACATGACAAGAGGTGACCGTCAGTAGAACGTCGATCTCGTTTCCATGTCCGTGAGTCTGGCTGCAACACTATGGACACAGGAGGCACCATCCCAGCTCGGAACAGGAAGTGGTAGGTTGCTTGGAAGACATCCAGTGCATGGTGGAAGTTGTGATAAGAGTTTGCTTGGCGATACATTTGTCGTAGATGTCGCAGGAACGAACCAAGGCAATCTGCGAGAGAAACGCATGATGAGTGGACTTGCTCGAAACAACCCTGTGGCTTTCTGCGTTGAATACGAAGCGAACGCGACCGAGGCGCACACGCCGGCTACAGCCACATGGTTGATAGGAATACCACTTACTTACAGGGACTCCCACCGCTTCCTTCATGCCCTCTATTCGAAACAATGCTTCGAAAAGGATGTAAGAGCAGGCAACCACTTGCTCTTCCGGTAGCTTGTGCGGTTCGAAGTTCCACGTCCCCAAGGATTTGACTAAACGATCGCGCATCATGGGCTCCACTTCAACGAAAGGGGATCTGCAAATGGATTAATTCCAACCGTGAATTCAGGTGTGGTCAGCATTGGGCATGAGTCTAGCAGAGAATGCCGCGCAAACGCCGCAGCTCAAGGACATGATGTTCTGTCATAACAAGCAGGGATCTAAGACAAAACGCGTTCGCGGTTTCTCCTCGCTGAAGACGACACAGGCAAGGAAGCGGCCCAGCGGCAAAAGGGCTCTTATCGAAGAAGTGTACATGACTTCGCTGAACCACCTGACTGGAAGTTTCGAAACATAGTCGTGTTCATACCTCAAGTCGAGGTAAAGGGCTGAGACCACCAGCGGGCGTGTAATGGACAAGGAGACATGATGGTTGGGACGTCATGACCGCTGCACCGCGGCCGGGCAGTCGCGTTATGCCGATACGACCGACTTAGGACAACTCGGCTGCGCGAATATTCCAAGCGAGGTCCTTCGGATATGCTACCCAACACTGAAGCAGAGAAGCGAAGACTTCGACACTCACGACTGCGCGGGGTCCACGTTTACGATGTTCTCCGTGTGCGCACGAACGTCAATCAGGACTTCGGCGTATCTGTGCGGTTGTAGTTAATACAGCGCGAACACGCGACTTTTGAAGTGACATGTTCCATACCTGGTTCCCCCGTCGTCCGCGTCCTCCCAGCCACCCCATCCGTGGCCCGACTGACCGTCATTGAGGGCGAGGGCGAGGCCGCCAACGTCAACGCTCCGCCGGCGCCCGTAGAGGTTCTCGGTCATGAAGAGCGTCCAGGGTGGTGAGTGGTGGGGAGTAGAGGTACAGAGAGAGAGTATGGGCTACAGAAGGCGAGGGTGTGGCGGACGTCGTGGCGGTCGGCGAGGAGGAGGGGAGAGACAGCGAGCGCGTGGGTGTCGAGGGCTGTGAAACATGTGCCGCGGCCGGGCCCTGCCTCGCGCACGTGGCAGGCGCTCCGATGCCCAAAGCGGCAATCCGCGATGGGCGCGCGGGCCGACGATCACTTGCCTCGCAACCACGATCGCCGTGTCAGTGATGCCCCCGCCCGCCATCCCAGGTGGTCCTCCTCGTCGCTGCTACCCTGTCCTCCATGACCGCAAGCCGCACGACAATGCGTCGCGATCCTGACGTGTAACCTACAAAGGCCCGGGCCGGTGAAAGTCGTCTAGGGCAGTGGAGTTACTCGCGGTAAGGATCAGTGAGACTCGAGAACTCACTACCATGCTTTAAGATTAGAATTTTTGGCCTTTCTTCTTGAATGCCTTTCTCGCTGGTCGGATATCTCAAACAGGCCCTCGGGCCATACAAGTCCATGATGACCACCGAAAAATAACTTAATCAGAGTGTCAAGCGCCAGCAACCCTGAGTAACGTACATTCGCAGGGTCTGGTAAGTTTCATACAAGCGAATAATATACAGTTCTGTCACGACAAGCCTTCTCAACGTGTTTCGCCAAGGGTCTCCACAGTATTTATATAAACAGACCCAACAACTAGGTGGCCACTCCCGGCTCGCCTCGCTCATGTCTTCCAGCCACCCCTCGACTACATAGCCTGAACACGGAGGCTAATGACACACAGGCACAGATCTTGGGATGCGAGCCCTCGTCGATTCACAGTGGCGCGTCCTCCACTTCTCTGCGGCTATTCGTCCTACACTGACTTTCTTCGCTGCATAGTCGACCCGAGCATTCCCAGACGCAAGTGCTACGGGACTTACCGGCGCAGTCTCCATCGACCCCACACGCACTCCCGTGGCTCCTGCATGACTCCCGCTGCACGTCCAGAGCTTCTGGTAAGGTGTTCCATTTGATTGGCGTCCTCCAGGAGGCCACATACACTTTCAGCCAGACCAGGCGGTGAAGGGCGAGCCACACTCGCTGCATACTCAGGCACATGGCGCTCGATTCAACCCTACACTAACTGGTGGCGCACAGATGAGATGCCACAACGTTTCCTTGACTCAGCCGCATTACTCTGGACCGCACTGGGCAGTGTAGACCGTTGCATCACCGCGAGGCTATTGCAGCGGCCCCCGTAGCAGTACTATACCCGTCAAATTAGCCGCACAGGCAAGTACCCTGTGTTCGGGTCAGCGAGCCGTGCCCACTCGTGCATATTTACGACATTGACGACCCACCCACGCTCCCAAGCTCTCGTTATAGCGCGCTTCGCACACGCATCGATCGGCTTTCCGTCAATATATGTCCACACTCTACGAACAAACCGGTAACATCGTCTCAGAGGACCCTCGCATCGGACCGCCGGCTCCATGCGGCTCTAAGGCGGTGAGTCGTACACTCTTCTTCTGGATTCCTTCCAAGCGCTATTTGTCGGTTCCTAGCCAGTTCCCCCCATGCATTCCTTCCGCCTCGCATCGCGCCCCTAATCGCTGGATCAGCCTGCCTCCATCACCCTTCCACCACCGTCTCGCAACGCAGAACTCAGAACAAAGGGCCCAGTGACGTACTGCCGCGATCGTTCCCCGTGCCGGAGACCAGAATCTCACCACGCGCCCACAGCTGTACGGCCGTCAGTCTCCTGACACATGCACGCCTCGCGCCGGCCGCCCGACTTCTGTGGCTCGTAGATCACCGACGTGGTCAAGCAGTTCAACACGCGGTGCGCGGCTAGTTAAGGCTACGCTGGGAACACCACGCGTATCCAGGCGGCTGTGCGCAGCAGGCAGGGCCCTGCGCACTAACTACGCACGGAAGTCCGAAAAGCTCGGACGACCGCACGAGGTCAGGCGCGTCTGCACTAGGTCCGTCTCGCGGGTCGCTACGTCGCTGGCGGAGTCGGAGTCGCGGGTGTTCTGCGGAGAGCGCGTCGCGTCGACTGCAGACATACCAGTCCGCATGCGCAGGTACACCGCGCCCGCCGCCTGCCACCGGGACGCTCGAGCAGATCGTCTGCCAGAGAGTGACTGTTGCCAGCGAGGGCCGCCCGCCGCGGGCACGGTTCGGCATCCCGACCTTCCAAGCGTGCAGACCGCGGCGGGGCCTACTCGAGCGAGCGCACGGTCCCAGTCGCCCCAGAAGGCGGTCCAAGTCATAATGCATGACTTGTTTGCGTCACCATGACCTATGTAGGGTGGTTCGTTCGAGGATCCGATGGCTGTGGTCACTGTCCGAGTACTGGAGGGTCTGCATCGCGCGTCTCCCGTGGCCTCGCTGTAGAGTGACGGACGACGTTCTCGGGCGCGTGGCGTGTGTCCTCTGCGACAGCAGGCACCATCGCGGTGCCTCGGTCGACGTTGGTGGGAAGACGAGCGCGCGCAGAGGTGGAATACCAGGGCCAGGGCGGGCGGGTGTCTCGCTCGTCGGAGCCAGCGTGGATCACCGCGCTGCAGTACCCCAGGCTCCCGCGCAAAGTCAAACTGCGTGCGTAAGCTAGGCAGGCTATGGACACCAGTGCGGTAGATCCTGTGCGTGCGGATCGCGTCCGCACGTATCGGTTGTTTGGCAGGTTATGGCCCGGCCGTCGTGGCACAGCGGTCTGATTGAACGATGGACGATGGTCGTCTACCGTCGGCGTGCGGGCCCACTGGCACCCTGACTCTACCGTCCGCCCGCCGGCATGCACTCCCCTGCTCCTCGGCGCGCAAAGTCCTCAGAATCCTTAGCACCGGCACGCAGCTGCCCTCTTCTGCGGCAGCGTCATGCGTCATGTCTTATGACTCTGACTCGAATCTGTACGTATCCCGCGACGCCCTTCCGAGTCCCCTTCTCGCCCCCCCTTCCTTCCCGCGACTCATCAGTCGTTAGTGCTCCACACTTCTCACCGTCTGCCAGTGCCGTGCGCAGGACGCTCGCCCCCCAACGGCAGCCTCAGGGTCCGACGCACGGCCGCGGTCTTCAATTCCCTCTCTGAACTTGAATCGCTGCAGGGCACTCTCGCGCCCGGTCTCGCGGACCACACGTACCCCGAACTCCAAACTTCGAACAACTCAGCGAACTCCGCCGCGAGCGAAAGCCTGGGATGCATCACCGATACAGAATGTGATCAGTCTTTTGAGACTTGGTGCCGACTCGGCCTGTTTTCAGCGTGCTTCGCGGGAGCATCATGCTTCGCGATACGCTGATTGCAAACCGATAGGCTCCTCGTAAAAATGCGTACGCGGGCGGAGAGCGTCGGCTCTTGCTTTCGAGGTGCATCCGCACCGTCTGCCGTTCGACCTCAGCCACCCGCCGAAGTCTGGCTCGCCCTCGACACTGCCGATTATGATTCAATCTTGATGAGAACAGCAAGACCGTCACACTGCTCGAGTGGACCTTTCTGACGTGGGGCCTGAAGTTGTTCTGGAAACAGCTGTCACATCGTGATGTAGTTGCGCAGGCGAGGAGAGCCCCCAAGCTCCGCAACCCACACAATCAGAGCCGCGGACCTTGCGAACGCGCTGAGCCGAGATTCACTGCTTCGGCGTGGTCTCCGAGCGGGAGTCCGCTGCTGGACTCTCGCGCAATGCGTTCGGATCGTCGTCTGTTCAGTTCACGTTCAATATTCAATACGGAGAGCGCAGGCAAAAGGAGCGGATCCGTGTATAATCGTTTGTGCAACGTACAAAATACATGACCTAATTTTTCTACGGGGTCGTAACGATTCGTCATAGAGATACAGTCACTACACATTCAGCCCGAGAACCACGCGACGAGCCCCCAAGACAGTGCCGCCGGCGACGATAACTATCGGATCGTCCAGCATCCAGCGCACCCTACGTCAACGAGAGAAAGGTATACCGAGGGGTCGTATCAGAACATTGCATGCTACACTGGACAGCGGGAAGACAGCAAGAGGACAGCAACTAATGGGGGATGGAAACAGGATGGGGTAACAGGACACGTCCACCGGGGATATATACACTATAATCCAAGAAATAATTTCAGAGCACAACGGCAGGTGGGGGCGGGCGCGACGTCTACTCGCACCGCCGCGCCCGCTGCTCCGCCACGCCGCGCTACGAGCGCCTGCACAGAGACACAGCAACGTCCACGCCCTCAGAAGACGCAGGCACACCTCCGACTCGGAACGACGAGCTGAGATGACGCACGCCGCGCGCCCGATCGTCGCCCGTCCCCCCGAAGCCCGAGTCCGCTTCGTCGCCATCACGTCACGTCGCCCACGCCATCCCGTCCATCTCCCACCGGCCCATCGCTGCATCTCCCATCTGCCACCTGTCGCTGTCACCGTGTCCACCACGCCACGCCCCTCGTCACGATCATGACGAAGCCGCACCGCCGCCTCCGCCGACGCGACCACGGGTCACGTGCACGCCGCCGCGGTGTACGCCTCGAGCGCGAACGCAGAGCGGCGGTACCAGCCCAGCGTGTCGTCGCGGTAGCGCCCCGGCCCCGCCGCCATCCCCGCCCCCCCATCGCTGCTGCTGTTGCTCGAGAACGCGGGCGGGCTCGGGCTCGCGTAGTGCGGCTGCGGCTGTGCGACGGCGCTGCTGTGCGTCTGAGCGTAGTCGAGCTGGGGCCGGCGCGAGAGGCTTGGGACTGGCGCTGAGATAGAGGACGAGGACATGCGCATCGCAGAGGCGGCGGCGGCGGACGGGAGTGGCTGGGTATGTTGGTGCTGTTGCTGGCGGTAGTACATGTCGGTCGCGCTGCCGGGAGTGCTCCGTTGCGAATAGAGCGAATGGGAGAGCGATGGGGACGGCAGAGCGCTGGGCGACGGGAGCGTGGCCGTGGGCGAAGACAGCGCGTAGTTCTGCGTTTGGCGGTAGAACAAGGACGGTTGAGGCTGGGGGAGAGACGGGAGGGAGCGGGATATTGATGCTTGGGACGAGGACGAGTGCCCAGACCGGTTGAACACTGAATGAATACATGTCCGTCAGATGTTGTCGACTCGATTAACGGCGGGCACTCACTTCCTGAGAGCGGCTGCACCGGGTATCCCGACGGCGAGGACGACGCCGCCGAGACCATCCCCTGCTGGTCCGCGAAGCCAGCGCCCCAGTTGACCGCCTGCGCGGGGGTCATCACCGGCTGGAACGCGGCGCCCGCGTCCATGTCGTCCGCGCCGTCGTACGCCTCCCCGTACGCCTCCATCGCGCCCGGGTGCGCCCACTTCTCGTCGTCGTCAAACGCGTGCATCGGCTGCGCCTCGGGGGACCAGCGCGGGCTCTCTGGGACGAGCGGCTGGACGAGCTCGGCCTGCCACTCGAACATCACGGGGGGCACGCGGAGGGGCCCGATCTCGATGCCGGCGGGGACGCTCTGGCTCGCGGCGCTCTTGACGCCGTTGTGCATCGCGAAGGGGTCGAGGCGGAACGCGCCCATGAGCGCGCGCATCTCCTTGCTCGCCTGCGTGGCGCGGAGGGGCACCTCGGGCATGCTGTCGAGCAGCGGGTTCGTGAGGAGCGAGGGCGGCGCGTCGGACGCGAGCTCGAAGATGAAGCCGGACTCGAGCTCCTCCTCCTCGGTCTTGACCTTCGCGTAGGGCGCGTCGGGGCGCGCGTCGGCGTCGGGCTCGGGGGCGACGACGTAGAGCGCGCTGGCGGGGGCGTTGCCCGCGGGCCAGGAGCTGCGATGCATGCTGGGGAGGGCGGGTGTGGAGGAGGCGGAGGCCTGCGAGAGGGAGGACGAGGCGTAGGTGCGGGAGGACGAGGACGATGGAGCGTAAGGATCCTGGAGGCCGGTGCGGTGGGGGGACGCGGTGTACGCGGAGGGATAAGACATCGGCTGGGAGGACGCGGGCGAGGGATAGTCGGAGGTGGAGACAGAGGCGGGGTACGACGCGGACGAGGACGGCTGGGCCGGCCAGTGCGCCCTGGAGGTGTCTGACACGTAGGAAGTCTCACCCGCTGAATAATCGTGCTCGACGGGGCTCGCACTCGTGCCCGCAGGGTAGTACTGGTGCATGCCGTAGATCGCGTCTCCGCCGTGGTAGGCGGGGTAGGCGGCGGTGGCCATGGGGCCGGCGCGGTTGTGGTGGTGGGCGTAGTGGGCGAGGGACATCGGGACGTGGACGGGAAGGGCAGTGAGCGATCGGAGGCAGATGGAGATGGTGCGGGTGGGGAAACCGGCTAGCTCGCCTGGGCGTGCGTGGGATCGGTGGCAGCGGGGGCCGGATGCGGGGACCTAAGCCAAGCTGGAGGGTGTATATGAGGGCGGCGGGAGGCAAGCGCAGGCTGCGCCGGCAGCGCGAGGAGCAGCCTCCTCCCGCGTGCGCTTCGGGAGGCGTAACCCAACGCCAACCCTACGCGTCCGGCCCATTTCTGCGGAGACTGTCCGCCGGGGCTCGCGATCTTCCGCGGCAGCGTGCGGAGGCCTGCTGGGGCCATCAGCAACTGTCACTCCCACTCGGCTGGCCGACTCACCTTCCTCTGCCCGGGTTTCGTGCCATATAAGGCAGTCTTCTTAGGAGGATCCGCCGTGTGTGTGCCTTCGCGCGGCGCGTGTCGCGACGTCCCCACCTCGCTGCCTGCCGCCCGACCGTGCTGCAGGGGGCTCGTCAGAGAGATCCTCCAGCCCGCGTTCTACGATCTTCGTCACTCCTCCGATCCGCTGAGCTCCTCGCGGTCATTAGATCGCCGGCGCGGTTGGCGCAATTCCCATATCAGGAAGGCGCGTGCGACTCCGCCCAAGGTTCACACCCCGCGGCCCTCCCGCCACCCCGACGTGGTAACCACACCGCCCTGCGGTGTTCAACCGGCCAACGCCCTCGAGCACCCATCGAACAGACCGGGCCTGCTCGCCTTCCTGATCTACCCAGCCCATCTTCTCGGCAGGGACCTAATCTCGGGCGACGCAAGCGATCTCCGGCTCCATGTCCCCACGCAAACCTTGCACTTACACGTAAACGCCAGATCGCGCCCGCCGGTGTGCCCTCGCACCATCCCAGGCTCCCCGCAATCTCCCTCGCGTCCTCGTCTCTGCGTGTCTGGATCCGCCGGCGCGCGCCCCTCCCGCTGCCGTGTCGCTCCTCGCCCCCCATGTGCCGATGGTGGGTGCGCCGCCGTTCTGCCACTGATGCGCATTACGTACTCCGCTGTACTTCCCTACGCACCTCCTGATGGAATGCGATCGTGGCGTGGCGTCGTTCCTGGCAGAGTGTCCGCACACTGTGCTATTTCGGCGTCCAGTCACGCGTCGCCGGGGTGCCCATGAACAGTTGCTGTCACGGTCATCCGGTGAACCCTGCCACGCGTCATCCGGGTCTCTGTCCTGCGTCACGCGTCACCCTGGTCGAATGGGAGCTGCTACGATGTAGCACCGTACGTCTCGTAGGTACGTGGCACGGCCCAGGGGCGACTTCCCCAGCTTCCGCCCCACGAGCAGCGGCGGCTCGTGCCCCGCGTCGATCGTGAGGGCAGCCGGGCGTGAAGTCATCGCCTCCGTGCAATGCCCCCGACATGACATGCATCACGCCCCCAGCGCGGCCCAGCCCGCGTCTCGAATTCATACACAGAGCGCACTCAGCGCACGGGCGTGCCCTGCGGCCTTCTCTTAGTCGTGGTCCCTCCACTCGGGTTCGCGCGCTTCTCTACCGCCGCGAGGCTAGCGGCCGCGCAGGGGAAGCTACCGTACCGGCGGGGTGGCCGCGCCACCAACGTCGCGCTTCCCCGAGAGAGTCGCAATAGCTCGCGGATGCGCGCCCGGCCGCCCCCTGCCTCCAGGGTGCGCGCGAGCCTCGCCAGCGGGGCAGCCCTGACCTGCGCTACGCTGTATGGACTGTGTTGCGGCTCTGCACCGCCGTCTGGATGGCTGGTAGCCTGGACGGCAGTGTGCCAGGCACGCGCACGGGCCCGCGCCAGGCAGCGGCGTGGGCACCAGCAGATGCGATGATATGATCCTGCGTCTGCGTGCGTTGATCCAGTCACTGGCACCCGTGCCCGTGCTGCGAGATCGATTGCGCGCCGCCGGGAGTCGAGCAACACGTCGAACGTATGTCCGTCGTATGTCGCCCTCCGAATCTCTCCATCTCTGTCCCATCTTCATCTTCAAGCTTCATCTTCATCCATGATCTCGTGCTATGCGTGGTTCATCGATCGTCCCCTCGCTCATCTCCATCCAAATATTAATCACGAAAAGCAGACAGAAAGCAGCAGCCCGCGCCGAGCACCTCTGGCCATATACCACAGACCACATACCACAGGCAACAGGCTCCCCCCGCGGACTGGCAGTCATGTATCCCCCATGCGCCGTGCGATCACACCACAGCCCAACGCGCAGCCGCAGATCGCCTCGGGCCTCCAGGCCTCCCCGGTCCATGGCCTGCCTCCACGTACTGTGCCATCTGCGCTTGGCATCAGCAGCGTGCCACAGCCCGCCTCCGCACACGTCCCCCGCGCCCTCTGCCCCTGCGAATCCCGCCGCGAAGCGCTGCGAACCTTACCCTTGATATGTGATATTGAACGTTTGGACCAGCACGTCCGGGAGGAGAGCGGCCGCCCGGCGAGGCGAGGGCGCGATCCGCCCCTCCCGCTCGTCTTCCCTCCGCGCTGCCGTCCGATTCGTCCCCCGCGGTCCACGCCTCCAGCTGAAGACGCAGACGCAGGCGTGACGCCCCGCGCCCCGCGTTCTGCTCCACCGCTGATGTTCTGGACGTTCCACGCCCCCTTCCCGCGGACGGCTGCCCTTTGTATTGGATTTTGCTTTGGCTTTGATCCGAATCGGGCTGGCTGGGTGGCGGACACTCGGCGCCGTCGCCCGGCAGGACCACCGGGGGGCTACGCCCGCGCGACCGTCTGTGGGTTATGAGCGAAGGCCAAACGAAGGCACTACTGAACACTGTCCACAACCCCCGCGCGGCGGGACAGCCAGGGAACCGGTCTCTGTCTGGCGATCCGCGCGACGTCGAGGGGGCCCACACATGCACCGCGACTGGAGTCTGTCTGTGAACACACCACTCGCCTGGGCGGGGAAGCTGGGGCTCCGTCCGGCCGGGCTTCTGGCAGAACACACCGGCAGGGTGCGCGCTCCGCCTCTGTGGGGAGGTATGGCCGTGGACGACTCTGCGTGCTGCTGTTCGAGCGACACGCGCGGCGTGGGCGAGTGGGACGGCGTGCCCCTGCGGTCCCCCTTCTCCCTTCTCCCGCGTGCCGACTGCTTCTTGTCACACTCTGGCGTCGAAGGGAGGCTGCCGGGGCCAGTGATTTTTTCTTTGACAGCCCACATCCTGCGCCATCTGCGCCGCGAATCCGGCCCCTCCTCGGTGGCCTGCTGGACGACCGCCCGTGGCAGAGATGGCGATGGCGGGTCGGACGAGGAGTGGCTACGGCCACGGTGCCCGTGCACTCTCGCTCTCGCTCGCCGGTCGGCGACGCGCCCTGAGCGCGGCACGCAGCGGACGCCGCAACATCGTGGACCTGAATAAGTTCAACCTGAAGGGCGCGCGGTGCTCTACGCAGGCACCCCACGCCAGGGCGCGCAATACACCCGCGCAGCCCGAGTCCCGCTGGCAGTCGCCCCTCTGCGTGATCAACGTGGACCGATCACGCCCAGCGCTCGCACCCCGCAAAGCCTCCGACGACCACACCCACCCAGGCGCCAACCCAGCTCGGAGGCTGTTCGTGTCGGTTCTGATGTCTTCCACTCCGAAGTCGCTCGCAGCGCGTACGCGCCCGGGTATCATGGACTAGCTATAGCATCACCGTGGGTCAGCGGGCGAGGGATCGCGTCACGGACCGCTTTCTCTGGCCACTGCTGTCACTCACTCGGGCCACAGGTGTGTCTCCTGTGGCGCGGCGATAATCTACGGGGCTTGGTGGCGCTACTACTGTACATATCCCCTCGGCACGCGTGCCGGGTGTGCGAGATAGCCTCCGGGTCGACGACTATAGGGGCACGTGCATCTCCATGAGTATGGATCTCGTCTTCCTCCTCCGACCCGCCGGCATGTCTGCGGTGTCCATTGTGGCCCTCGAGTCGTGTCTGAGTGTGTCCGGGTCGTGTTTATGTTTATTTCGCCGGAGACGAGGGTCCGTCAGGAGCTTGTGGGACCGGGCGGGATGCGCGCGATGTGCAGCGGACGTTTACAGTAATTGTAATTGGAACTTTGAGCTAGGTGCAGCGTATCCCCATCGGCGTAGCGTTGCGCCGCGCTGCCGCCCGCGCGTGTGGTGTCGCTCTAAAGCTAAGTTGCGACTCGAGTTCTGCGTTTGTCCACGATGGGGGGAGGGGTATCTGGACAAGATTTGCGCCGCGCCGGGCATCCGTGGGATCCTCGGGACACCTCGCGAGGGTAAGTGCTTGCTTGCTTGTGCTCCTGCTGCTGGCTGATGCGGACCTGAAATCGGGCAGGTTCGTTGTCGCGGGAGAAGCACCGGGCCCCAGAGTTCCCTGGGTGCGCCTCGACGGTGTCCGTATTGCAGCCACGTCGCGATCACCAGGCCTCCCTGCGTCGAAGCGGACGCACGGCTTCCGCGCTGGACGACCGTCGACTATCTCTGGTCCAGCCGTAGAGCCGTCTCCGTCAGAATAGCAGACGTTCTGGACTTCACGCGGCCCCCGTAAGTTTTCGCGCGTATCGACCGGGCGCAGACGTCGGACACCGTCAAGCCACATCAGCATCCCATGGCTGTCTACGGACGTATCGATGGTCGGTCCACGGAATCCTCTCCGCCCCGTCGTTCTCGGCTGGTATCTCCACCACGCGTTTCTGTGCAGACGCGGTGTGCGCCGGGTGCCGGGGGGCGACCCCGCCCAGCTGGAGTGGACAGAGTTCATGGAAGCGACTCACCGGGTTATCCCTGTGCGTTTCGCTCTCCTTATGGCTCGTGGCGTCACATAGAGTTCCAGAGTGCAAATTCAAACGTTTACGTTCAGATCCTAGAGTTTGAAGCTGAAGACACGCCGCGCAGTCCCCGCGTGGCGGGCTTCCACCGCACGATCTGCGTGGACGTTGCGTGTACTCCCGCTGCCGTGCGAGGCCACGGTAGCCGGCGCGATCGGTGCCACCTTCACGTTGACGGCCACGGTTGTTGTGGCTGCAGTGCTATAGGCACCGCTTCCGCTCGACAGCTTTCGCGGTTCGCTCAGGCATAGATGCTGCGTCGGCGACGGCGACAGGACACTTCGTGGCTGTCCCTGTCGAGAGGGAATATTATCGATGAACGCACAACGTCCCCTCGAGTCGTTCAGCCAAATCTCCATCGCAGTCTGAGGACGCACGGCTCCCGCGGCGAGCTTCCACCCATCGATCGTCGCCTGCGTGTCCCCCGCATCACCACTTCGGACTAGGCGCATGACCCCGCGGTCTCCCAATCTTTCATGGCCCCAGCCTAATCCTACCAAACTCGCCGTCTGTCCTCTACCGCACCCAGATCTGATTCCCCCCGCTCTGCACGAGCCGATCTGCGGGCTCCCCCTCCCGGCCGATTGGCCCAATGTCGTAGGCGTATCGTGTCGCCCGCCGCCAGCGAGCGATCCGCTGCCCGGCTACTCAGTCCACGTCCAAATATACACGTGCGTGGTTTGTGTCGAGTCTCACCCCGTCCCCTTTTGTCGCGTCCGTAGCCTGTTTCGGGCGGCGACGCCTTCAGGTGGCGCCATCGATGTGATTGCGAGTGATGTCAATCGGACGTCTGTGCGGCGTGGCGGTGGACGAGTTTGCGAGCCTCGCAGCGAAGCTGCCCCAAGAGTGTTGTGAAATCCGGATGGACGCGGACGGGTGGGTTCGTTCTACGACGGATGTTTTAGTGCGTGAGAAGGTCTGGTCACTGGTATCGTAGGACCGTGACTGGGAGACCGGTGTCCCAGCGCAAGGCACGGTATGCCCGTCGCAGTTGGCATGCCATATCCACCCATCGATATCCATTCAGTCCCATTCACGCAGCGTGATGAGAAGCCTAATTGACTGGCCCGGGCGTGCCAGTGGAGTCACTAGTCACGGTGCCAGTTTGGCTGGGATGCGTGTCAGTCAGGGCGTCGCCCATGCTGGACGTCGCCTCTTCGCTGACTATCCGCTCCTGAGTCAGCGCTCGCGGAGGATTGGGTGCGAACGACACCCAGGGTTCCATTCCAATTATCCGTGAGCTTCCTCTGCCACCCGTGTTCTAATCGAACACTGACCAACGTACGGCAGGGGACGTATCAGCCCGAGCCCAGGATTCCGGGTGCGAGATGCAGCAGTGATAGTGATTCGTGGTAGTCTGATGTGCCGCGTTGCTCGCTGTCAAGAACTTGGCCGCTGCTTCTGTGGCAAAGCCACTCGTGCCACATCGAGGCCCGCGATCGCTCACATGACGCTGCGTACCGCACGCATCCGTCCATCCGCCTGCTGTATCTGCACGCCCGGACGTCCCAGAGACACGCCGGGCATCGCGATCTCGTCGCGCGAGCTGGCAGTCTTCAGAGTGCGACATGCGCCTCCCGGTACACTGGATACTTTCGGGGCATGTATAGGCCACCCGTCCCGCCTTCCTCGACGCGATTGCAAACCGGCTCAACGTGGTTCGAGTTTACGTCCAGCGAGCTGTCGTGCGAGTCGGCCCGGGACGCGTCCACGTAAACGATAGCGTGCTCAAGCTCAGATTCCGCGGTGCGATGCCCTCGTCGAACACACAACGCATCTATCTGGCGAGCAGGCCCTGGCTCACCTGGACAACCCGACTCCCATATGCGTCCGTCGGCCTCCTCGGCTTCCTCGTCTGCGTCGCGCCCTCTGCCCCCCCTGTCGCACGTCAACTTGGATGACGTAGCTGTCCGTTCGCCTGTCACAGACATACGCACCAACGTCGACTATTGATTCCCTGCTCGCCGGTCGATGCCCGAGCCCCGGCCCCAGCGCACGGTGCTCTGCGACGTCAGGCTGAGTCCATCGTGTCCAGTGCGCATGTCCGACAGCCTGGACTCAGAGGACGTCGTCGGCGTCCCGACCGCCGGCAGCGAGGGCTCCCATCGTCGGACGCGCACCGCTGCCAGACACTGGCAGGCACGCTGACGGGGCTTCCGATGAACATCGCGCATCGGGCGGCGCAGCAATCGAGCTGGGGCCCCGTACCGCGTCCGCCCGGCAGCTGTCGGTGAGCCCGCTCCTCGGGTGCAACGCTCGCGCAGTGGACCGCAACCACCGTGTACGGGCGCTCGTCGCGTTCCGTGAACACCCCAGGCGATTCAGGATAGTACAGAGGTGCTTCGGGGGCTTGCGGTGCCCTAGTGTTTGAATTTGAACGTCCGGAAGGCGGGCTCCTCTCAGTCCAGCTACATCCGTCGTGCGTGCTGCGAGCAGCAGCAGGGGCATTACTTACGTTCCTGAGGGTCCTCCTCCGAGTCCGTCCGCACCTTCTCCAGATCTCCTGCAGCATCTCTTCCAAAGGGACTTACCCGGGAGGCAAACCCGCGTTCTCGAGCACACGCTCCTGAGCTTGCTACTAGCCCGCCGGCACGCACACTGGCGCATGGCCTGCCCCGGAGAACCCCGCCGCTATCTGAGAACCTTCGGACTTGGATCGAACGGCGAGTTTCCCGACGCGGAATACGCTCGGGATTCTCGCCATTCAATATCAATGTTCAGAGACCGAGAGGAACCGCTGCGCAGAGGTCTTCTCGTACTCAGGCTGTATCTTCGACTTACGCTGGCTCGCGGGAGCCCCGTCGAGTGTGCCTGCGATGCCCGGCGTTCTCAGGATCCTCCTGGCCGCCGCGTTTGTGCGACGAAGTAAGCTGGCCTGCCGGTGCTGCTAGCCTGTGGCGTCTGGGTTGATTCTGATGTCAAACAAGTCAGGGGTCCTTCACCCAAGGCCTCACGTTCCGCGCTCGCTGCCGCTGTGTGTTGCATATGTTGCAAACTCCTCCGGCGTCCGCACTTGCAATCCGGGGTTTCCTGGACCGGATGCAAGCATTGCAGGCGCAGCCTGGACCCCGCCGTATTTTCCGAGTACTTACTAGTACTGTAGGCCATCGACGCACGGACACCAGGCTCCTTCTCAGACCTGGCAACCCAGCGTGACTCCGAGTCCGCGGCACAGACCAGTGCGCGCTGCGACTACTAATCATGCTTACGCCAGAGCGACGTCTATTCGCCCCGAGACGGAGAGGTGCGAGGAATCCACTGGAATCCATCCACTGTGGCCGCGAGCCAAAGCGACACGCCAAGGGTCCCGTGTGTGCCTTGTCTCAGCTGGCGCGCTCGTGTGTCGTGTCATCACACACAGGCGATTCGGCCCTGTGTCGGTAGACGATGGCGGCCTCGGTGCGTGTGCGTCTTGCAGGTCCACCGGGAGTCTCGTAGCGTACCGTACGCGCTCGCGGATCTGGAGAAACTTGTCATGCACCGAGGTCACCAGCAGTCAGGCCCAACAGTCCGCGCAATTGCTGTACAGACGTGGAGGCTACGATTGCCAGTACTTGGTCCGGTGACCGAAGGCGTCAGTCTCGCTGCGTCTCCAGCCACTGGCACGCGCTGCCTTACCGCTCATAACCTGAATGTATAGTACCGCGCGCTCTTCCCCCGCTGCGACGTGTCATCACCACATGATACAGCCCCCCCCCGAAACCGGTAACTTTTCATTCCAGAACGTCGGCCGCACACGCTACCCGCGCCACACCGTGCCGCCCTCCCCCTCCCCTCCACCTTCTGTGTCCTGATCACACGGCCAGGATCCGAGCCAGCGCTCAGAGTCAGGTCAGGCTCCGTCTCAGCCCCCGGCTTCCATCCCGCCACCCGAGCGGTACACAACTGGGCCCGCGCTGCGCTGCGGATCTCGGGGGGAAGGTGTCGGAACAGGAACAGTACTCAGTCAGTGCTCAGGTGCGCCATTTGTGCGCCACAACTTACCCATGGGGGCGTGACCAGCAAGGGACGGAAGCTCACTGGACGGTAATTCCGCGAGTGCGAGTGGGAGCCTCCGCGTCGGCGTGCGAGCGGGCTGAGCTGAGAAACGGACTGGTATTTATGTCGGGAGTGCGGATCTTGGACCGAGGAGTCGCCGCCTGAGGATGAGGACGTGCTGGGGGTCAAAGTTAAGTTGGTGGTGACCGTAGGACAGAGTTTGACGAGAACCACCCGCGGCGTGGGTACGACTGCAGCACGACCGTCCTCTTGCACAACAGTGGCTGCGCGCACGCCCTCGGACGTCGAGCAAGACGCGTCTGCGTCCACACGGTCTCAGGTTTAAATTTGAGCGATTGGATACGGAGCTTCGCTGACCCGGGACGCCTGACACAGCGCGCTGCCAGTGAACGTTGAACGTTAGATATTGAATGCTGCGATAGAAGACGGTGCCAACCGAATGCGGTGAGCGACGATCGCGCCGTTCGCGTGTTCCTGTCTCATCGCTATCGCTGGCCGTGTTGGATCTTCGGACCACGGGACCCAGCTGGCGAGGGCGTGCCCAGTATCAGAGACCCGACGGGGTGGCTCAAGCGTGCCTGCAATAGGCCGCAGCCACTTGGTCAGTCTTACTCTCAAACATAGAGACAGGTATCGGCCAAGGGTGCCAGCGCGACGGAAGTATGGGTTCATAGCACCACGGTACGGAGGACGTCATCGCGTCACTATCGACGGTTCGTCGCTGGCGAGCCCGGGGCACGACAGCGGAGCGATAGGAACCTGTAAGTTACGGTGGGAAACAGAGGACAGAAGCTGGTCGCACTCTGGCAGAAGGTTGCGCTCACATACAGATGGGTGTACCTAGCGATCCTACCCGTAGACGTCAAGGAACGCGACGTCCTTCGCCCGGGGGAGGCCGTCGCAGTAGGTTCTGTCCGCCCGTACTGGACGTACTGAACTCTGTGCGGAAACACGTCATGGTGCACGCAACACACGCCGAGCAGAATGCGCACGAGGGACGCGCACCGTTGGCCGGGAGGGGGATCGATGCTGCTCCGCGACATAGACGTTCTCGGACATAAGGTTTCTTGCGCGCTATAGCCACCGCAGAGCACGAGGGCGCGAGCTTCGGGACGCAAGTACTGGCTTCTGGAACAGCTGTCAGAAATCAGAAGGCCTTGCCAGTAACGTCATCCCACGAAGGAAGACGCGACTGACCTCGATGGATCCGCAGTGGCACTGAATGCACAGACGCGCGTCACGAACAGGAAGCTACGCGGTGTGGCTCGATAGTGCACGTAGACGTCCAACAGGCCCTACTTTCTTTCTCAAAGCCCGCGAATTCGCGTACGAGAAGAGTACGTAGGACATGCTCCGCCACAGGGACCGTGCACTTCCGGACTGCCCCGTCTCAGCACTCCCCAGAGTCAGCGATGAATGCAGGTCGACCAATTCTCCGAACGAACGAAGGTTGCGAGCCTCATTGTTCCTGCAAACGAACCACGCGCGGAAGCAGATGGTCAATACAGCGGACCCCAGGCCAAGTCTTGGCATTCCCGACTTGATCATACAGTTCTACGTAGACTCATACGTCAGGCCTTCAGGCATAATCTTAGCTCACTACACGGTGAAACACGCCTCGCGCAGCAGAAACTATGCCTTCGAACCACCGCCGCCCCCAATTCACGCACTGGCCCCGTCCGGGTCCGCCCAGCGCCCCACCCACCACCGACACATCCCTTTCCTCACCCCGAGCTGCGCCCGGTCCAAGCCTCCCCCGCGCACCTCCATCACCCCGCGCCACACGCCCCCCTCGCCCTCCGCTGGGTCCGTGCCCTCCTCCAGCACGATCCCCGCGTCCGCCGCGATGCGCACGAAGTGCGCGCAGTGCACGGGCAGCGTGTACTTCCCCGCTGCGACGTACGCGCGGGCGGTGGGGGACCTGCGGAGGAGCGCGGCGAGCGCGGCGAGGAGCACGCCGTGCGACCCGTCGAAGTGGAGGAGGTCGGAGAGGATCACGACGTCGAAGCCGGCTTCCGGGTCCGGGAGGAGGGATCTGGGGCGGGGACGTCGCCGTCGGGTTGAGGAGAGGAGTGCGGTGTACGTACAGTAGCGGGCTGGAATCCCGGCCCCATTCGTAGCCCCGGCAGTGCACGGCGCACCCGGGCGCGGCGCGGTACGCGTTCCTCCGTACGTTCTGTTTGAGGTTCCCGAGGATCGTGTCGTCGGGGTAGTCCGTGATCACGACGAGTGCGGGCGGCTTCGCGAGCGTGGACGCGAGGAGAGACGGCAGCGCGCACCCTGCGCCGAGCTCGACGACTGGGGCATCCCGTCGTGACGTGAACCGCGCGTATTGGGTATGTGTGGGAGGAGGTGCACGTACCGGTCTTGCCTTCGAGCGGGATGAGCCCGCGCTCGATGCGCTCTGCGAGGAGGATCGAGGGCGAGAAGAGGTGGTCCGCGAGGAGCGTGTTCGCCTGGACGGGTGGCGGACGTTCAGAACGTAAGCCTCCACCACCAGAACATCCGCCGCGCACGAACGCACCTTGCCTTCCTACGCGACCCAGTCAACACCTCTGATCGCAGCCATACCTAACGACAGTCCCAGCTCCCCATCACGCGTGGGTGCAAGGAGCCAAGTTCGCACGTACCTTCGGTGCGACCGTCAGGACCAGCGGCCCGTAGTGAATCTCGCCGCCGTCGTCGGTCAGGTCGACGGTGTCGTTGTACAGCGCGGAGGCGTCGCCCATGAAGTCGTCCGAGTCCATTTCTCTAGACAGATCGGATTGGAAGCGCGGTCCAAGACTATACCAGGGGGTGGAACGACGAAGAGTTGGTAAGGAGAGACGCTCAAGCGCGCGGCAGGAAGGAGGACACCGCGGGAAGTGCCGCAGCTAGGATGCGCTGGTGTCAAGTCGATCTCGATAGCGATCCTATTGAACGTTTAAACACTAGTACTCCAGCAATCGACTTTGGAGCAGGACGTGCGCGTCATGTCGGATTGGGACGAGGGCGGAGTCTCCATTGCAGACCAAACCAAAGCCAGCAAGCATCTTTTATGAGATTGAGACGCCGATTGAGTGGGCGCCTGGACTGGCCACTTTTTGTGATGAGAGTTGAAGTACATGTAGCGAGTAGGTGACTTATCACTGGCACCGCTTGACAAGATTCGCACTGGCATGTGTGTAGCAAGATATTATATAAAAAGAGACAATACCATGTTTCATGGACATGTCCGGGATTGAACCGGACCCCTCTCGCATGCTCACAAGGTGCTAAGCGAGCGTGATAACCAACTACACCACATGCCCGTGATCAAAATCTCTCTGCTGGTACTCTATACTTAGCACACTCACAGATCATTCGACCGGCCGCCGTCAATCTGAAGATTGGTGCGCTACGCTCAGCAGCCTACAGATATCTAGAAGTTGAAGAACTCCGTTCAAGACGACTTCGTGAGGGTTTACCTAGGGAAGACTTAGCAGTGTACAGGATGACCTCTGCCATAGGGCTTGCGCGACCATCGCAGCGGCCCGGGTGCCTTCAAGTTGTCGCGCCCATCTGGCAGTGAGTGCTAGTGACAGGAGTATATTCGAATTTGTGTGTTTGCGATCTTTGAATGTTTTGCGACAACTTGAACGTGCTGACGAATCACCCAAGTTGACTTTCTCCGGCGGAAAGAGGTCGTGCATGTACGTCCGCACATAGTATTTCAGTTTCATTGCTAATCCTCCCGCACAGAGGCTTCAAATTCGCTGAAATGGAGATCAGTGAGTTTTGACAGTTGACTGACGCAGCGAGGCGTTGGCTAACTCCAGCGAATAGAGGTGGTGCTAGCAGTGTTGATATCCGCGTTCACCTTCGAGTCGACCGGCAAGCCAATCTTATGGACCACCGCTGACAACATGTTCCCCACAGTCGGGAAGGACGGCATCAGACCAGAGCTTCCTCTGAGAGTAGGACTTTACAAGCCGGCCTGATCGCCGGGACTAGATGTATCGCCAACGCATGTGGTACATTGTGACATTGTGTTGTTATTTTGCCGATTATTTATCAATACACGCGTCCATTGTGTCTGAGTCACGGTTTCGATGACCAGATGAACGACTTCAGGTACTCAGCAATGCCTGCTTTCTCCGTCCCCGAAATGCGCACAGCATCGGCGCCGAACGTGCCCATAGCGTCTGCCTTGGCAACGGGAGGCAGCTTCCTCGCCTCCGCGATCCTTGCTTCAGTGATCAGATAGCCTTTGGGCAGGCCCACCGTCTCCACAACGCTCTTGTGCGCCTCTGACGCAGCGATACCTTGCTCGTCGGCTAGCATAAGCTCAACGGCCGCCTTGCCACAAAGCGTGCCATTCGGCATGCCGTGTCCTTCGAAACCGCGGCTCAGCATCGTCTACGGGCTGCGAAGCCGCGTCGTTGACCACTGACCTGAGTAGGCTCCAGCAAGCCAGACACCCTTCATCCCTGGCACTTCGCCGACCCAGGGCATGTTGTCCCGCGAGTACCCCATGATCCCCGTCCACTGATGCGTTGCCTCCAGCTCTTCGAGTCCCTCCGTCTCTCCCCCCAGCTCCAAACGTACAAGGAGTGTCCGGCGGAGCCACGCCGCCATGCCCTCGTCCACCACGCCGTCGTCCCAGATGCCAACGCGGGGATAGTCCGCGCCCGCGTCGCCGCCGCCGTACATGTAGTGTCCCGCGGGGTTCGGCACGCCGTCGTACGGCCGCTGGTTCAGGTAGTCGGAGAGGTGGCCGGGCTGGTCGGGCTGCCCCTCGAGGCCGTACGAGTTCGGGAGACGCGGGGCGCCTTTCGGAGGGAGCAGGGCAGACATCTCGCCACGCACAGGCACGATCAGGTCCGCGAGGGCGGGAAGGAGGTGCGAGGTGTAGCCGTTGGTGCAGAGGAGGACGGTGCGTGCGCGAATGGGGCCCCGGGGCGTGTGCAGGACGTGCGGGTGGGTTGCGTCGCCGGACGCGATGCGCTCGACGGGCGTGTTGGTCTGGAGATTCAGCTGGCCGGCTCTTACCAACTTCTCGAGTACGAACGCGACGAGTTTGTAGGGCCAGAGACTCGCTGCGGAGTGGCACAGCGTGCATCCTACGGCCGTGCTCACACGATGCTTGGCGAGCTTAGCCTTGTCGGTGATGACCTCGACGAGCTTTCCGAGCTCTGGGTCGGCTGCTTTCAGCGCGGCGACTTTGCTCAGTTCTGCTTTGAACATGTCTTCAGAGAAGAACGCGCGGCAGCCCGACACGCTGCGCCATTCGCAGGCCACGTTGTTCTCGGAGATGTACGACTTGACTGTGTTGTAGTTCAGGATCTCGAACTTTGCGACATCGAGGCCCCGCGCGACGGGGAGAACTTGACAGTGGCCTGTGATTCATCGATCAGCGATTCACGTACATCGAACACGTAGGAGTAGAACACGGATACCTCCGTTCCGGCCTGTCGCACCCCAGCACGCCTCTCTCGCCTCGATCATGACGATGCTCCGGCCATTGTATCGCGGGTCCTCTGTCAGGAAGCGCGCAGCGGATGAGCCTGTGATGCCGCTCCCAACAATCACTACGTCGGCTTCCGAGGGCAATTCGGGCGTGGTGCGATGGCCAAGTAGAAACTCGTTCGGCTCGCTGTGCCAGAACGAACGAGTTGAGTTGGGTACCGGTATACCCGAGGGCTGATCAGGAGCTACGGATGTCATGATACTAGTACGGTCTCTTGTGTAGCTTGGAGAGTAATGAGCACGGATACCGGTACCGTTTATGCTGAGGTTGGATACTATAGGGCTCGCCTCCAACTTGAGATGTATGTCGATATGAGACAGCCTGCAGCCTGGGTGGAGATCACGGTAAGATGTACTGCGCAACGGACTTCAGCGGGAAGAAATGGCACCGTGACGAGGCCTGGCGGGCCGACTCGAACCCCTGCATGTAGCACTTACTCACCCACGCTGTAATGGGGTTCTCAAGATCTCACCTCTCGTAGTCTGGCCAACTCCGGGCCTATCATTCGCCGTAATACCAGCGCGAGCTCGAACTAGCAGGAAATCAACAGGAAATCAACAGGAAACCAACAGGAAACCGCCTCGTACTGTGCCGATTACACGATCACGAGACCGCGTGCGGCAATACGCGTCCACGAACGGCCCGGGACTATGATCCCCTCTTGCAGTCCCCGCCCACTGGCGACTTGACGCATCGTCGTTGATGCGCGCTGTACGTCTTCATAATGTCACGCACCTCGTCTCTGTGCGTATCATTGTGCCGACAGTACATAGTCTGTCACTGCAAAAAGACCGTGTTTGGTGGATGAGGATGTGACGGGGGTTGTGACGAGAGGGTGGCGCAGTGGCACGGCGACGTCATAGTATACATCGCGCCATGACCGTATTCGGCTCAGCAGGCGACTGTTCGTCTTCCTCCTCCTTGTCTCTCCTCTACCAACAGCAATCATGGCGGAACAAGACCGTAAGTTGTTCTTTCGAGTCGCTTTTGATGTTCTTTCGTAGCACGACAATATCTGACCCCGAGTCCAGGCTACAGTGCACACTTCAGCACCCAGCGCGACAACCCGTTGAGCATCGCAACGACCGTCGGCATCTTCAAAAGCACCATCTTCCCCTCGTTTGCCTTCCACACCGGCCTCTCCCTCGTCACCTACGGCGTCTCCCGGTACACCGACCGCGCAGACGGCAAGGACTGCCTCTGGCCCGCGAGCCAGCTCGCCAACGCATGGTGGAGTGCCCTGGGCACGCGCGTCGTCTACGACGGCCTCTCCCTGCCCGACGCCTGGGCTCAGCTCACGTACTCCGAGCGCCTGCTCCTCACCGGCGTGACCACCTGGGGCATCCGCCTCCTCTACCGCATCGCGTCGCGTGCGGTTAGGCGGGGCGCAGACGACCCGCGCTACGCCGAGGACAAGCGCGACCCCGGCTTTTGGAGCAAGGCTTTCCTCACGCAGTTCCTGCCTGAGGCTGCCGTGCAGACCCTCATCACGCTCCCGTTCACGCTCCCGTTCCGCGCTGGCCTTGCGAGGGCGCCGCTGCCAACGTACGCGAAGCTCGCGCATGCAGCGGCGGTGTTCCTCTTCTCGTCTGGGTACGCGTTGGAGGTACTGGCCGACACGCAGCTCGAGACGCACAAGCAGCGCACGGGCGACATCGTCCTGAACCGCGAGGGCGTATGGAGCATCGTCCGGCACCCCAAGTGAGTCTCTTCACCCTCCGTGTATCCGCTCCCGCTAACATCCCTGCAACTCGAAGCTACCTCGGCGACGCGCTCGTGCACTTCTCCTTCCCCGTCCTCCTGTACAGCGCCGGCCTCCTGCACCCGCTCGCGCTCCTCGGCCCGCTCGCGAACTACGTTTACTTGCGCGTGCTCGGCGGCGACCGCGAGACGGAGCGGTTCCAGGAGGAGGCGTACAAGGCGGACCCGCTCAAGTACGAGCAGTTCCGGCATTTCCGTCGCGAGAAGAACAGTTTTTGGCCCGGCCTGAAGGAGCTTGCGAATGGGTGGACGTGGGCGATCGTGGCGGTCGGCCTGGGCGGCGTCGCTGTGGAGAAGGGGATGCGCACGTGGTTGTGAGAGGGAGATGGGATTGTTGACTGGTAACGAATAAAGGACTCGGAGAGTATCAACTGTAGTACTGTAATAACATTGTGAATGTGATTGGGCGTGACGCCCTCGGCTGCATACCATACCTCAATATATGCGCTATAACCTGTCTTTCTCTGCATACTCTGGCCGGTTCCACGGCATCTCAACCACAATGTGGTCGTAGGTCGTCGTACTAGGTCGTCGTACTAGGTCGTCGTACGCCTCCTTCAGGCACGTACTACCAACACGCGTTCACGTGATCAGGAACTGTAGCAGGAGCCTGTGCGGAGGGACGTACCCCGCCATTGTATTCCGGATCTTCGAGTATCATCCCAACCCAGAGCCAACGCTGTATGAATGTGCCAAAGCTTCGCCGAAGAGGTCTCGCCTGAGCGAAGTTGGTGACTCAGGCTTGAACGATTGAACATCGGGCCTGCGCCTGTGCAGCGTGCAACGTTCAATAGTCAATGGTCGAGTGAGCCGGGACTTGGGAGCGCGACAGGCGCGATGTCATTCATTCTCGCGTAGCCGCAGGGCCTCGAATGAGCTCCCCACGGCGTCTGGTGTTCTACGTCAATGATCGGATAGCCACTGCATACTACTTATCCTTGACCGCCTCCTCCAGCCAGGTCCACAGCTTCTCCCCTAAAGCATCGTCGTATGCCTCCTTCCTGCACTCCCCAACGCGTGCCCATGGGATCAAGAACTGAATGATGCGAGGAGGCCCACGTCAGCGTATCTGGGTCAGCGTCGCGACAGGCGGGGGAGGAACGTACCCCGCCGTTGTGTTCCAAAGCCTCTGGCATCGTGCCTGCCCAGAGCTGTGTGAGGGCGCCGGGGCCCACAGGGTAGAGGAACGTCGCGTGCTATGATGAGGCGCCGTGGCCGTTAGTTGTTTGTGTCGCTTCGCAGAGTCGGAGTCAGGGTGGGACCTACCATGAACGACCGCACTGGGCCTGGTGCGTACCGCTGCAATTCAGTGGCGATATTCCCTGTGTAGAAGCGCAGGGTCGGGGCTGTCAGCGAGGAGCATACGCCTGCACCGGGAACCTCCGCTGACCTGGGTTCAGCGAGATAGCGACGATCCCTTGGTCAGCGTAGCGTTTTGACAGCTGTCGTGAGACGACCGTATTCGCCTGTCCTCTGCGCGTCAGTTCCCGAAGCTTAGCAAGAGCAAGTCCGGAGGAGACTCACAGATTTCGTCTGGCAATACAGGTCTTGCGACGATATCTTCCTCCGCGCCGGGCCATCTCTGAGCGTGTCCCAGTTGATAGTCTGTAGGTACGCGCCCGAGGAGGAGGTCGTGATCACGCGGGTGTGGCCGTCTGGTGAGGACGCCTTGCCTGCAACGAGCGCGGGGAGGAGGAGCTTCGTGAGCAGGAACGGGCCTGGTGGATTCGACGAGTCAGTGCGCGAGACATAAGAGGCTGATGGGTTCGTACCGATAACGTTAGTGAAAAATTGGAGGTCGTAGTCATCTGGGCCGAGGAGGTCGAGGGGGCACCCCATGAGACCACTACGTGTCGAGTTAGCTTCTACTGTACTGAGTGGCCTGTTTATTTAAGAGGCGTACGCGTTATTGAACAGCACATGTAGATGTTGCTCTTGGCTGAGAACATTATTGCCAGTGAGATAAATGCACGGACAGACAGGAGCGAAGCGTCCTACCTTAGGAACTCCGAGGAAGCCTTTTGAATGGATGCATAGTCTGCTAGGTCAAGCTCGAGGAAGATGGCCTCCTTTCCTGTTTCCTCCTTCAGCTCAGTGATAGCGGCCTCGGCCTTCGGTCGGCTTCGCGATGCCATGTAGACCTTCGCGTTGTGCTGTAGGAGCACCTATGATTCCCGTTAGTTGTCTGCAATACGGAAGCCACGCGAATCCTCAGCACCTTCACCGTCTCCTTACCAATCCCAGTGTTGCCGCCTCATGCAAGGACGTATGAATTCCGGGACGCGCATCACAGAACCGGAGAGACGTACCTGTCACTATGATGACACGACCAGTGAGATCCGGTATCTGGTCCGTACTGAACGTAGCTCTGGGTGGTTTGAACTCGCCCAGGAGCTTGAGGATCATCTTCGCTTCGTATACGAGCCCCCTCATCTCGTGTTAGCCTTCTTTACTGTGTGCGGTCAAGTGAAAGGAGATGAAGAGTAGGGGAAGGTGTTTTTGTAAGCAAAAGAAGTGTTAAGCTTTATATCAAGCCCACGGTTATCCCGCTGTCGTATGTACGATACCAGTGTCCTCTATGCCTACGAAACATCGGTTGACTATCTGCCGGCGCACTTGCGTCACCGTGATGCCGAGGCTAGCGGTTGGCAGTCGTGTGAGGCTCTGATCTTGATTGGCGGGTATACTCACGGTATACTAGGCACGCAACCTTTGTATGACAGCAATCATGAACAAGCATACTTTAACGTTCTGGCTAGTCGAACCTTCAACTCACTAGTGAGACATGTCCGGGGCCACTGCAGCGACTCACAATGTCAATGATACTGACCTCGCCAGTTTTGATGGGCAGGAGACGTATTTGAGGATAGTATGTGGATGATTGAGCCCCAGCCTGAGACTCGTCGAATGCCTGGAGTCTTTCAAAACTTGAAGAGGACTGTGCACTGGCCGCCACATAGCCCTGCCTACAGCCGCATGGCATGAAGCCGCCCGACGCCGCCCGACGTGTCCAGAAGCATGAGGGCCCTCGCGAGAGAACGCTAGAGAGGAAGCATATGAGCTGGTCGCGGCTCGGGGGTCGGGACCGGTTCCTCCACTTCGCAATCGCTTTCGTACGCGCATAAGTACGACTGACAGTCCCTCGGACTTGACGTTGATGGCTGCATATGTCTGGTGTCAGATACGAGGGAGTATATATATATATATATTGCTCACCAAATACCTACCTACAGTGGCGTCCTATTAGATGCCCCGCGAGTCTTGTCCCGAGTCACCGTCGCAACGCGGCGACCACAACGTGTCCGGGACGACGCATCGCCGGTGACTCGGTAACAGCTCAGGCCAGGGCACCTGGCCAGCAGTGTATTGCAGATGTGGATGTCCATGTCGGTTCTTCGCTTTAAGTTTCAGTGCGGAGGCCAGCAACAGCTAAGCCCAAGCTATAGTTAGCTAAGTAAGCCCCGGGCCAAGAGCGGCAAGCAGCCAACAGTGATCGTGGGAAAGAAACTGGAAAGAGGAGGAGTGATGCGCTGGCGGGCGGCGGGCCGGTGACACGAGGCTACCAACCGCACCGCCAGCTGCCAAAGCGAGCAAGAGCACCTGGCATCAACCTCCGAATCATAGGCAATGGCAGTGCCATCGCATTCCAGCCAGACAGTTGTCGCCGGTCGACTGCGCACCGCTTTCCTGCTAATGGGGAAGCGTCAGAAAGCCCAACTGATCGCTCCGGCGATGGAAGCCGTCTCACCCTGCTCTGATTCCTCAGCTGCTTCAAACAAAGCATTCTTCATAGCAAGCTCCGTTATGCACGTCCTCAGCATCGGCTCGACGCCGCCCCAAAATGTCGACGTGACCTACCACCGTCTCTCCGAACGACTCCCCCTCCTCATCCATCTCCAAAATGAGCAACGAGGCGTGCATGCGCAAGTCTAAATCGTCTCATGACTATCTGGTGAGAAGGCGATTCAAATATGCGTTTAAAAATCAATACCAGCACCAGCGAGACTGGGACATTCCGGTCAAGAAAAGCACGACGGCACTGGCAAGCACTGGCACTCAGGCTACAACATCTCGAACAAAATCATATTTTCAAGTGCGTCTTGTCAAGCCAAAGGCTACACGAAGGACGGCGCGACCGGAGAAGCGACACCGCGGGCTGCATTTCTCAGTCGAGCTCATCAACCTCCATCCGCGCCCCAAGGTCCTCGTCAAAGCTGCGCGTGCGGCGCCGACCGCTGGGCGGCGACGGCGGCGCATACGTCGGGACGGGCTTCTGTGACGGCATCACGATCGGACGGGGCCGGGGCCGGGGCCTGGGCTTGGGAGCATCGCGCGCCCACAGCGAGTCTTCCTCGTCGGCCCGCTCGACAAGCTCGTCGACTATTCTTGCAGACTGCGGCGGTGCGACCGCCAGTGGGCGGCGCGGGAGGCGGGTACGTCGGCACGGGCTTCTGGGGAGGCAAACCGGGGCGGGGGTCACGGCGCGCCCAGAGGTCGCTGTCATACTCACGCGCATAGACCGAGTCGTCCTCGACTGTACGGCTCGCGAAGCTGTTCGTACGATTAGCGAACTGGACACTCGGTGATATAATAGGATCGACATACGTGTTGGTGGGCAAAGCGAAGGCCGGGGTGGCGGCGGCGGCGAACGCAACTGAGAGGAATGTGGTGAAGCGCATCGTGTATTGCGGGGTTGGTCGTCAAGAAAGCGTCGGTGAAGAGAATGTGAGTCGTTTAAAAACAGGGCTAACAGGGTTCAACGTCGTCAGCCTACATGAAACCCGAGTCGTACGGCTGATGTGATACTCACTAGCCAGTACCTCTGCTTGAGTGAACTCGAAAGGAAAAGGTGAGCTGGGGAGTACAGTAAGAACCAAATTCCCTAAATACTATCGGCCGCGACTACGCATCCGCTTCCTATGAAGCACCATCTTACGGCCAGACGCATCACAGCGCCAACAGGTGCATCGCAAGAACAGCGCCCAAACCACTCAAGTGGAGGCGAAGCTGGTGAGCGTCATGAGGTTTGCTCTGCGTGACCTTGAAACCCGAGAATATACGTCAGGCTAGTAGGACTTCTAGCACACACATCGTATTAAGTTTTCGAGTTGAATTTGCAGCAACGACCATCCATGCACCTCATGAGCCCCGGCGACGAGCATTTTGATTGTTCGATTGAATGTATCCGAGTCGTGAAAGTAGGATAGTATTGGGATCATTGAATGCCTTTCCGCAGGATTTCCAGGCGCTGGAAAAGCTAGTGCGGACGTCCAATACAGCCGATACAGCATTCTCTCCAGTCTGTAGTTATCATTCTGACGACAATGCCCGAGTGGTTTGCGATGTTACAGAAAACCGGGCATCAGTCACGGTGGATGCCTGGGACTCGGCCTGCTTTTTCAATCGCGACTTGCGATCTATCCAGACCCCAAGGATCTTGGCATCTGTGGAGGGTTCCACTGACCCATCTGAGAGGTTCAGCGCGGGGCCCATGTCGTCGTTCGCTAGACTCGGGTCGGCATGTATGAGACAGAGCTTCGAGATTTCAAAACGTGAGTTCCGCGTTCGGTACCACTCCTTTGCGCCGCCCGTGCGCTCCATGTAGCTCCGTAGGGTAGCACACGTTGTGTCTAGATCTTTGCCCACTGCGATAGTAGCCACGTCGTCGATGGAGCCTAATGCGAGCCCTCCCCTTTTCTTGTCAGCGCACTCCAACAGCACCAGGTTGTAGACTTTGTATAGTAGGACCGAGAGCGGACACCCCTGGTCTATCCCACTCAGGATGACGAACAGGTTTGAGACGAAGTCATCAAACGTCAAAGGTGTCTTTCGGCCATGATGCTTCTCGCGCAGCCAGTCAACGACTGCTTTGGGTACGCCTCGCATCCGGAGCTCGTGAACAAGGCGCTCTGGGATTGCACTTGGGAACGCCGCCTCTACGTCCAGGAACAGGACGGAGGCGACCTTCTTTGCCCGCCAGGCGTCACGGATTGTCTTGGTCAGCAAGTGCAGTGAGTCAGTCGTTGTACGCCCAGCTCGGCCTCCGAAGTGGAGGTTGGGAACAGGTGGAGTCTCTCGAACTCGTGTTCGACTGTCTCGGCGACGCATGACGAGACGATTTTGGCCATACAGCTCATGAGAGCTATAGGCCTGTATGGCAGGCTGTACGCCTTCGCGACTTTGCGCGACGTTGAGATTGATACTTCGGATAGTAATGTACAGAACACTTGTGCCGGCGCAATATAAAATTGCAACTTCAGGATAGCGATGCATGATCAGAGCGGCTGGACAAGAGCGGTCAGTGAGTAGCAACAGTGTAGAAACACATTTATCTCACGGGCGCGACGAGGACAGGAGTCGTTTGGCAGGGGCTTCACCCGATCACAGTCAGAGATGACGCACTGTGCCTCTGTGATTGTTCCACAATCAGTTCCGGTAGTCAATTGGAAGCAGAGTGAACACACCAAACTGAGGTGCCAGCGTATTGGCGGCGACGCCGCCTTGTTCGGAGACAGGGCGGACGGGGATAGACGCAATATTGGCGTCGCGGCCACCTTCAGCCTCGTCATATCTCTCGGAGTGGCCGGGCGAGACGTATTCGTCGACACCATGCTGTCTCTTCGGCAGCACGACCCTTTCGCCGGCGCGAGGGTCATCCTGCTCGTCCTCGCCCTTGCCATGTTCTTCGGCTTCGTAGTCCCACTCGTTTTCGTCTCCGTATCCGTCTTCGTCCTCGTCTACGTATTCGTCTTCGTCCGTAGGGACGTCGTCAACGAGGTCATCATCTTCGCCCTCGTACGTACCAGACCACCGCTCTCCTTCCCACGGGGTGTAAGTGCAATCCTCGGCGCGGTACCACTCGGGTTTGGCCTCAATCGGCATGTATTCTGCGAGCTTGAACCATTATTGCTCGAGCGGAGCCATCCTTGACTTCAGTACGCGTTTCGGGGGATGCTTCCTAAACCTCTCGTCGACGTACACGCCGTACACGAGTTGGCTCTCTCCTTTCACCCAGCAGCTTCGTACATGCTCCCATCGTGCTGCGGAAGCGATATGTCTGGTTGCGGCGACGAAGTAGTCGAAGTCACGCGGGTTCGGGTACTTGACGAGATTGCATTCCTTTCCAATCCGAATGGCGTATCCTGCGTCGAGAGGGAAGCCAAATACCCAAGGCATTGCTGTGTTGCAGATGATCGGGAAGACGTGTGGGTGTGGGCGAGGGATGGGGCCGAGGTTGCGGTGGTCGGGAGCAGGTTGGATGAAGTCGCCAACCGAGAAGCGCCCGAGCCACGGAGCTTCGCGCCACTCTCCGGCCACTCGTCGATCACGATCGGTACACCAATCGGGGGAACGATATTGCCCTCGAGAGGAAACGGTTGCGTACAATGAGTGGGTCGAAGAAATTACAGTTCCGGCCGCAATTCGCGGCCGCCTACGAAGACCTAGAGTTGAAGGATAGGGAGACGAGGGGATAAGCGGTCACACCACGGAGGGATCGCGGTTGACGTGCGAGGCGACACGAAGGCCAACTTCCATTTCACCTTCTCGCTCTCTGGTACTTTATGGTCAAAGGTAGTTTCAGGCGATGCAATATCGGAACATACCTTTTAATACTATCAGAGATCTGGGGAGACGACGTAAGTGCGTACTCAGGCTGGAAAGTAAGCACGAGTCAATATAATGTCTCCATGATACGATCGCACTAACCGCGATGACTAGCTGAAGAGCGCAGGACATACTGCGGGAAGGAGGGTGGAGGGGGTAAGGGGGCGCAAAGTAAGAAAGACTACCGTTCTCGGCGACAGCGGGTCCCTTGATATGTACTGCATCTCGTTTACAACCCAAGCTTCACTCATGTCAGAGGAGAGACGTATGAAAAGGCGACTTGACCTACATAGATAGGTCTGTGAAGCTCGTTATGGCGCAGTCGCACGGAAAGAAGGACCTGGTGCTCGCGGGTGCAACCGCGCACTCAGTATCAATTAGTACACATCTCCAAAATTTTCGTGTGCGACAGGGCCCACATTTCCTCGCGCTCTACTGGAGCTAAGGTTGCAAGAGAATCCGCCCGGGTTGCGGCCTAGCCGACGTAAGACCCGCTCTTCGCAATGATACCACAACAATGTACCTCGAGCCTGCTGACCAATACGGGATCATATCCTTTGCTCTGCAGCGCAGCGACGTCCTTCGTAGATCGGGCATGAGCCACGGAGTTTGGCATCGCAGTGCCCACGGCTTCTCGGATAGGAGGGAGTCTGACTGTACCGTTTACTATCAAAAAGATAAATTGAGCGAGCATTGATGATAGTCGCGAAGAATCTTTGCATGAATACAGTTGTGATCTGTTGCTACAGTGTCTCGTCCGTAAGTAGAGCAATAAACAAGGTCAAAGTTTCGCAGACTACTATACCACTACCTCATCCACCTTCGACCTATGTATGCAGAATCCCTGTCAAAAAATAAGCAACGCAACGCAACAAAAGCGAGCCTGAGAACACTCACAGGCACAACCCACTGCTTGCAGCTGCAACACACGCCCGCCCAGTCGTAGTTCCCCAGCTTCGCACCGCACTTCTTGTTCGGGCATACGATCTTTCCCGCCATCTGACCGTCCTGCAGGAAGAAGTCCATCCACTTCATCGGCTCGACGAAGTATCCCGAGCATGTGTTGTTCGCCAGCAGCGGCGGGCTGACATTGAACGTTGACCCGCCCCTGCCGCTCCCGGACCCGCCGGCACCGGGGCTCGACGGCGTCAACATCGTCATGTTCAGGCCGCTTGTCGGCGATCGAAGGGCAGCGAGCTTCGGGTTGCTCAATAGTTGGGCAGCGAGGTCGGACCCGTGCGCGAGCGGGGGGCCTGACGAGGAAGACAACCGGCGTGCCATTGAAGGCGGGATTGCAGGAAGCGGTTCTGACGTAGGAGACGTAGCAAGCGCGGGTGGGGACGGCATAGCATTTGCGAGGGACAAAGACTTGTGATTCATATCCCTCGATGTGGATGCTGAATTGGACGGTGCAGCTGTAGTCGACAGAGAGTCAGACACAGCGTCTCCGTTCCTCTCAAGTGACGGCAGTGCTGTGTTCGGAGGCCCTTGTACCTCATCTTCCTCGTCGTCCGACCCCTCCAGCGCGCTCTCCGACAACGAGTCGGAGATATCCTGACCCAGCTGCGCCGCGCCCTCCAACGCAAGCAGACTGCTCCTCAGCGGACGCGTATCGACATTGCTCGCTAAACGCGACCGTGTCGGCGGCTCGTGCGTTGATGCCGACGGGCGACGGGCCATCGGCGACGGCCCAGGAGCGCTTATCGGGGACATCGGTGTCAGTGCTGCGAGTCCAGCCGGTCGAGCACCTGCATCGTTCATCGACGGCCTCCTAGACCCCGCAGGTGAGAACGGCGACGACACCGCCGGCCTGCTGTCGTTCATGGAAGGCCGCCTCGAGCCGGGCGGAGACTTGGCTGCCGTGAGTGGGGTGAGCGGGGCAAAGGGCCGAACAGGCGCATCGTGGAGAGAAGATGACGGTCGGCGAGAGGCCGCGGGCGTAAATGCGGGAGTGGTAGGGCCGACCTGGCCGTGGTCGAGCATGTGCTCGCGTGCAGCGAGCTCTTGACGGCACATCTTGCAGCGGATACGACGACGGGGCCCGCCTGGCGTGGCGGGTGCGGAGTCGGTCGGCGTGTGCGGGAATTTGGCAAAGAAGTCTGTCTCGATGGAGCCGTCTCCGTCTGCGCAAAGTACGGATTAGCTCAGTGCGATCGAATGGTACTATTCCGACCGGTAGATTCAGCGAGGCCAAGAGGTTGGAACCCCTGCCATATCTTATGCCACTGCCATCCACTTGCTACCAAACCCTTTCTGCATGTTATTTTATGCGCGTATGCGCGTGGAGTGTCTCCGAAATAACATTGATTCCAGAAACACTGCATAGAATGAAAGCCGACATGGGGTTAATGTCACGCTCGTCAGCCACCAGGCTGAGCGGTGCTACCAGCCGTCGAACGATCATTGCTGTATCAGAGTGATCTCGACTAGTGCGGATACTGAGGCTGTCGCCGTGTCACTGATGCGACCGCCGACTTCTGGGGCTCACCGAATCCACCGGTCGGAATAGAGTCAAGGCGAGGTAAGAGACAGGGGAAGTGCTTACTCATGACTTCCTCTACGACACGCTCAAGGTAGTACATCCGCGTCGCCTTGTCGCGTCTTGAAACTCTGTACGATGCTTCTTCGAATACAGCCAGCTGTCGCAGGAACCCATCATTGGGTCTATGATAGCGTTAAGTACAATCAGGGCCAGAGGGCGAGGAGACAACTCACTGGATGTTCGGACGTACGTTCCGGATGAGATCGAGGGCGGCTTCGTAGTCGATGTGCTGCACATACATCAGGTAGGCGGCAACAATCGTCACACTACGACCTGCATAGAGGAGAATCAGCGATGCGCCAACGAGTTGATACAGGGACGCAATGAAGTCGTTCGGTCCCTCATACAGCACTGACGCGTAGATGATCTCTCGTCCATCCAGCGTCGACTTGCACGGCGATCTATACAACACAGTAGACATGCGTTGATAACACTCACTCAGACCCGCCTGACAGTGTACCAACACAGCCCTTCCCTTCTCAAGCTCAGCCTCGATGAACTGGATCGCGGCGACGAGGTGGCCGAGGACGTCTGCATCTTCGGTGTCATCGAGGTTGATTTGCAGTTTTTTAAAGGCCTGCGCGCGCGCGTCCGGCTTGAGCCTTGGAACCCACAGAGAGACACGCACCTCGTGGATGCGTACGCGGCCGCGCATCGCAGTGAGGACGCTATGGATGTTGTGCTCGCGGAGCTTCTCTGCGTTCAGCGCGCTCGAGAGGTCGCCGATCCAGAGGCCCGGGACAACCTCGTCCATCGTGTTCGTGCTCATCGTGCGTTGTTGATGGGTCGTTTCCTCCGAGCGTTACGGCAGGCTCATGAAAGGGACTCGGAGGGAAGATGAATGGAGTGAAACAAGATGAGGACGCTACAAGCGCTCATCACGCACGATGATCGCAAACTCCGACTCAGTATGCCTGCAAGTACACTAGTACTTGAACTTGAAGCACTCGTGCATGAACGGAACTCAATACGCACGAAGACTCTTTCCACGTCGCTAGATTTTGAGAAATACGCTGTTGTCTCGCACTCAGACAACTTGGATCCTCAGGTATGTAGTGTCCAGCCCTCCGAGCATCTGATGAAATAATGACCGCGTCAGCGGTAGAGCCTCGCAGAGTCGCAGCTCATCTCGCGTCCTATGGGGCACCTTCGCGGTCGCTTGATCTAGCCTCGTTACACACGAAAGCCCCTTTCTTACCGATAATGATGATCCACAGAGAGTCATGCCAGAAGTCTCGTCTACTCGCTCCAGGGTGACTGTGGAACCTACCTCCGCAAATTTCGCCGCCTTGGCCGATGGACCACAGCGCAGGATGCCGAATGTCTTGTTGCCTCTTGGTGTGGTGCCAGCATATCCTTCCTCTTCTCCGGCAGCTTCCTCAGCATGCGGACCGGCTCGCGCACTGAGCGCAAGGACTCGTTGAATGGCGGGACTCCGACGATAGCCTGTTCAATCGTTGCACGTCCGACAACTGATGGCGACCCGAGCGCATATGTGAAGACGTACGACTGTAAGCCGTCACAAGAGGTTGTTCTCGTTCACACGGACACCGCGTTCGCAAGAATCCTACCCGTCAAGATCACGCTGACTCTCATAGACTGGGCGTCCGTGTTCGAACTGGAGAGCATCATCTTAGATAGCGTAGGCAATTTTCAGCTATGAGTGCTATCCTGCCAGTGCTGACATCCGTCGTACAGGGGGGCAGTATCCAGGCTCTCCCCGATGATCCTCGGCCAGTCAGGGTACTGGTCATCGGAGACTCAATCACGGCGGGCTATTCAGATGGCTCGCAAAACATCGACCTGGGCTGCCTCAGTGCATATCCGCACGTGCGAAAGAACAGATCTACGCGAGCACGGGGATTCAGATCGACCTCGAACTTGTCGCCTTCCCCGGCGTGACGCTCGTTGCACCCACTCCAGAAGAAGCGGACGAGGGCGCCGGGCAGGGAATGATAGACCGGTTCTTCCATGTGCGTATCATGAAATGCCGCGGATCCGTTAAGCAATTGATCGACGCCATCCGACAGGCATTCCCATGGTTGGACGAACCTGCAGCACTAGACGAACAGCCCTCAATCATACTGATCGCACTCGGTGCGCGCCATGACCAGAAATCCCGCGATGTATGTCGCTAAGGTATATCTCAGGCACGAACGACGACGCGCAAGACGTGTCCCCCGACCGATTCGCTTCACATGCACAGCTTTGTCGACAGCCTGTTGCAAACATACCGCACATCGGTCCAGCACGTATGCGTTCTTGTAAGGTCTTTCTATATCGCATCATCATACCGTTCGCTGATAGCCTTTTAGCATCCTTTCCCGACTTCACTGAAGATCTGAACCCGAAGCGACTGGAGCCTCCGAGCAGGTTCCTATCACACGGGACTTAGCGTCAGTCTTGACTTCGTTGAGGCCGAATGCAGGGTATGGCATCGAATTCCACGAGTGGGACATTGGAGGCGGTCTCAGAAAGAACACACAATGGACGGACTACATCCGACACTCCCGGGCCATCGCATCCTTGGAGATGCGCTCGCCCAAGAATTGGTAAAGCTCAGCACCTCAATTACCCAGACAGAAGAGAACGACTTCACTGCGCCTGTCAGGTTCAGTTCTTGAACGGATGGAACGACGGCCGCTGTTACCAAGAATACAGCAATGCTATCATGTATGTATGTCTGTGATTCGCGAACACCGCTGTACTACGTTGTTGACGAGGCTTGCATAGATCGGTTCCGCGGCGGTGTCGCTGTTGTTCGTGACCAATTGCTTGGGTCTGCGATGGTGTCAAGTACAAGGCAGTTGTGACATGCATGTTCAAGGATTCCTCGGCGGTGCTGTAATGGCAAGGTGTGTCTACGTCTGGGCACATCAGTGACAGGACGATAATGACAGGAGAGGATTCGGCATGTGCTAGTTTCCCTCAACTCTCTTCGCACAGTGTCAAAGAGCATCAAGGTACTCAGCCCGGGGACCAACGACAAGGTCCATGCCAGGATCAGCTCTTCTGCACGCGTGCGCGTACTGACGAGGAGCTGACCCTTACCCCGGGAAAAGATGGGAAACTACTTACCTACGCACACCAGCCGCGATGTCCGCCGCCCACTATGCGCTGCAGACACGACCTCGTCAGCGCTGCTTGACGACTGAGGCCTGAGGGCCCAGCCTGAGCTACTCACGCGTCCATATTGCCACGACCGCTGTGCCACGCCGTCCAGTCGCTCCGGGTCGCGCTCCTCCACCGTGGCATTGCCGGCGGTGCGTCCTCCCTGGGCTCACGGGAGCGCGACGAGGCTGACAGTCCGGATGCCTGGTTCGCACGCGTGACTTCCGTCACCGCACGCCCGGCAGTGCCGCGCCCTTGCGGCCGTACTGGGATAGTGGCTCGCCGATCACCGCAAGGGCATTGACTGTCGCAGGGGATGCGAAGACGTTGGACGTGGCTGCCCACAGCGCCGCGCAAGGGCTGAGCGGTAGGATGGCGTGAAATACCTGGTGAGCTTCCCGTCGGCAGTGAGGCTGCGACAAGGACGACTTACCGTCGGTGGGCCATCTAGTTGCTGTACCGTGGCGGCAGCTACTGTGGCGTCCACCTTGAGGCCTTGAGTCTTGATTGTGAACTTGCGATAAAACTTGAATGTTGAGGCTCATACTACCTAGCAGACCAAGGGACGTTGCGGAAGAGACAATCGTAACACTCACCTGCGCAGAAATGCCTTGTAAGCCACAGAGAACTGAAGATGGACTCGGAGTCCAGAGAAGGATGGGAAGCAGAGGCATTAGGCAAGGACATTATCCTCTTGTCTGTTGGAGTTGTGACTGACGATGATTTGGTGTCAGCCCCCCAGTCAGCTATTGTGACAGGCTTGAGGGTGACAACCTCTGAACTGTCAGCCTCGCAATACCCATTGTGGCAACTGTGGCGACGGTTATTGGCTCACAACAATTTCTGCATCGTCGAGCCATGTTCTGCGCAATATGGAGGATATATCATGAACGAGGCATGAGCCTCGCCTGCTCTCGAAAGTTGTATGACGCTGGTCGATTGCCAGGCCATCGCGATGCGCGGCCTAAACTAACAGATGGGAATTGTGACAGTACAAGACTCATGTTTCCTCTTGGAACACTATTACATCGCCTTAATATCGACTACATGCGCAACGGTTCACCCATTTACCTATGGCTCCCTTGCGAAGAGTCGTCCGTCTTGTCTGCCGCCGCCGCCAGTAGGTCGAGATTCCGTACGGCGATACGGCATTCGAAAGGCTTGACATGGCTGGCACATCCTCCGCGTCAGACATCCTCCACGAAGCTCACAAATATTCCGTTTGACTTACGAGGTGACAGCTGTAGTGAACTCGATCTTAGGCTCGATCTCCTCGCCATGCTCATCCAGCGCCTCGGAGATATTGAACACCGATAGGATGTACGTGATCGCCAGGAACGCCGTCACCTCGGCGAAGTGTGCGCCTGCAAGCGCCTCCATTTCAGTGTGATAGTACGTCGCTTCCTTTACAAAGAGATCTCACCCGGACAGACTCTACGACCGAAGCCGAAGACGTATCGCCGCGGATCGAGCTGTGGCTCGACGTCCTCCTTGGGATGAAGCGATCCGGGTCGAAAACAAAGGGCTCTGGGTATGCCCTGATTCGCACACATCCCATCAGTATCGCTGCGGGTGCGGAAACATTCGGGAAATACCAGTTATTTGCGTAGACGGTGGTATCCTTGGGAATGAAGTAGCCGGAGTAAGTGTCGTCCTTAGTCAGCCTGTGAGGGAGGCCTACCATATCGCAATGTCAGACTGGCCGTCCGTGGAGATCTGCACCAAGGGTTACATACCGAGCGGTGAGACGGATGCCCAACGGAGTACTTCCTTCAGCAACGCCGATACGAAGGAAAGGTTTGACAGGTCGTCAATGTTAGGGAGGCGGTTGCCGACGATGCGATCGAGCTCGGATTGCGCCCTCTTCTGTACCTCAGGGCAGAGCACCATTTGAAGAATGAACCCAGTGAGCACGCCGACCACCTGGCAGGGTGTGAGGAGCTTGCTACGTCACCCAACCATGGGATATGTACTGTGTCAGCCCCGCCTGCGTAAAGTGCGCTGCTGCACCACTTAATTATGTCTTCCTCCTCCGTATCTGGCGGAACCCCTGACTCGGGGCGCATATGTATAGAAGTGAAAGATTCTACGTAGTGTCCAGATTCCTCGCGCACGTCTCAGCGCGCACGTCTCAGCGCGCACGTACGAGGCATGAGATGCGACCGGTATACCATTTGCTTTTTCGCCCACTCGTGCGGAGTTGACTCAACGTTGCTGAAAAGCCCGCGGAAGGTGGCAGCGGCTTCTCTCTTAAACTCTGCGAAAGGGAACCATGCAGGGACAAAACCTACTGGGGATAGCTGATCAATGTCGTAATGCAACACGCAAACACGCAAACACGTACGAATAGGATAACTGTCCACCCACCAGCGGCCTGGTTTCGTTATATTGGCATGGGTAACCAGTGCTTTTTCCATGAGCGAGACGAAGAAGTCATTCTTCTTCGATACCGTCCAGCCGTAGGTAACCTCGAGTATGACACCACCTGCATACCTGCGATGTGGGTTGATGAGCGCTGCTCGACACCGCGGCGAGTCTGCTTACCTGCGAATTTGATATATGAATTGTTCCGGCGCCGTCGCGAGGCCCTGCACCAATATCCGAGCCTGCGCTTCTTGGGTGGTCCGGTAACTCTGGGTCGCCCGAGGGTTCAGCCCCGTTTGAAGTAGCTTCCGATACTTCTTGAATCGAGGGTGTTTCACAGAGATGTTGAAAACAGCGAGCTTCCGGCCGATGAGCTCCTTGTACATCCACGCCATTGGTCTGTCCGAGTATATCGAGGACCGAGATGATTCGAGGAGGTCCAATGCAGATTTGAAGCTATTCAAGACTAGCGCTTTCCTACTGTACACACGATAGAACACAAGTGGACCTTCAGAGATTCGTCAATCAATATGTAGATCAGGAGTTGCTACAGGACTTACCATACGTCTGAGACCATCTGGCGTATGTCAGCCACGGCTCGCCTGTTGGAAGTTGATGCACGTTCCCGCTCCAGAGCTTCGGAGGTGGTCCTGGGGGAAGGTGTCCACGGCGACTGAATCGTAAGTAGACAATGCTACCCAGGATCACAAGCACAACGCCAGCATAAAGCAACAGCGGCATCATATTAGACGAAGGCAAGCAGACTGTTTCTTTCACCAGACGGAGGACGTCAGTGGGTCGAGGGTATGAAAGAGTTCGCATGCAAGCCTCAGCTGAGGCCGGGAACCACCCTCTTCTGGAGTATGGCCGTGGCAGAAATCAAAGAACCTGCTCACCGATGCTCACTTGTTCATATGTGCCCCGCCAGATGATTAGGCCGGTGAGAGGCTTGTGAGCGGCGCGGACATCATGGGACGACACTCGGACAGCGCCAGTAGATAGAAGCTGGATAGAAGTTACTGTACAGAGATGAAGAGCACAGTTAGACTGGCACTGATTCGGAGCTGAAAACGTATTGTAGTCCCTGGAATTTGCTATGCGGCTTCTATCACTTCTGTCTCCTTGCAGAAAAGCTTCTTCTGTTCGGCCAGCATCGTCGTGCGCAGCAATATGAACGGTTGAGTGAGGAACGACTTCAAGTTCAACGAGAACGAGATGAACAACTGGGTCACGGTACGTGATGGCGGCGACGCACCACTGGCAAGCAGTTGAGTGTAGCATGCGAGCTGAGGGGTCCGGTTCAATCCCGGACATGTCCACTATCATGATCTTGGTGCGTTGTTTCTCCTCATCTGCACTTTTTGGAGTCCCAGGCGCGGCCCCTCTGACACGGATGAAGCTTGGGTTGCGAACGAGGTGTAGTAAGTTGTATGTCGAGTGATCCGCTGTCGCCCAGAACAGCAGTCGTTCTGAGTACTTTGCGCCGCCCTAGGACCCGAGTCAGGCTTACCCATACCTCTTGCAGTATTAGCATGTCCTGCGCTCTCAGGTCAGCTAGGCAATTGCCTATCACCTCCGCGCGGACTTCCGCAGGGCAGGTCGACGTGACCTAGTCAACTCAATAGCCTCGTCCGAAACCAGCTATACGGCTGCAAACGGTGTTTGTGTCTCCCCAGTTGTATCCGGGGATAGCGATTGGTACGGCACATTTTGACGCTTCGTGGAGCATAATCATTGCTCGGGCTTATATTACAGGAACCAACACCCCGATAGCTGGGACTGCTCCTCCTCTCAGGCTCCTCCTTGGCTGCCCCGTAATCTCTTCGCTCGAGGTAGGCTAGTCTTGACTAGACACCATGATATTCACACTGAGTACGAGGATGTGCGAATCAATGCGACTACTGACCATATACTTCAAGAGGTATGTTGTCGACGTAGACTCCCGCCCTGTACGACACTGAGGCGAAATCCCTAATCAAGTTCTAGCTCCCTCGCTATGTCTTACAGCCTTCTCCTTCTAAGCGGCACAGTGATTGCCACACTGTTATGGAGAATGTCCGTATACGTGCGTTTACTCATCGCTAGTTCACCACTGTCCCTTCTCCCCGGTCCTCCAAGGGAGTCGTTCTGGAATGGTGACGTTGTGTTTGCCAATCGAACATTGGCGCCGTCATTCATAGACATATCATTTTTAGGAAACATGAAGCAATACCTTGCCCGGCATGCGGAAGACTATCAGAGACATGTCGCTGTCGATTTTGGTCCTGTCGTCAAAATGTCTGCATATCTTGGTGTACGCTGGTTGATCATCACTGTGATTCATCTCCGTTGATCAAACTCGTCCTTGATTGTGCGTTCCAGCGTCCTCTACTATATGTCTCCGATCCGAGAGCCCTTCATAACATTCTGATCAAGGAGGAGCATATCTTTCAAGAACAAGAGGTGTTCGTATCGTGCGTACTCCGTCGTTGAGTCTACACGGCAACCTTCTAACAATGGTAGCTCTAATATGAGGTATTCGGGCCGTCGCTACTGGCTACATCCGGTAGATACGCAGGGCATATTCGCTTACGGTCTGCGTGTTGACAAGCGGGTACTCGCACAGGCCAGCACCACGGTAAACAACGCAGACTATTGAACCCCGTCTTCTCAATCAACCACATGCGCCACATTTACCGTTGTTTTACTCTGTATCTCATAGGTGAGCCGTTCCAGGGCTACGGCGCCTGACAATGAACGCTCACCAAGGCTTCGGTATGTAGCTCAGAGAGGCGATCACTGCCGAGTACAAGAAGGCCCGCGAGAACTCGACATCTTGTACTGGATGGGCCGTGCTTCGCTCGAACTCATCGGTCAGGCAGGCCTCGGGCACTCCTTCGACCCACTCATTGAAGATCGCGAAGACCCGTATGGCCAAGCAATCAAGGCGTTGATGTGGGTCGTCCTCTCTATACCGCCCGTAGTCACTCAACACTGAGATGTTTTGGTCATGCAGACCGAACTATGGCCGGGTGCTCCACCTGCGGTGGCTCGCCGTCCTTGCGGACAAGTGGAATGTGCCGAAGTGGCTACAGCGTGCTGTCGTACAGGTGTTTCCGGCCGACTCTGCCGCCCGCAGACTCATGCATGTTGTCGACACGATGGACGAACAATCGCGGATGATATACAAATGAAGAAGCGCGCATTCGAGAAGGGCGATGCAGAGGTGGTAAGCAAGTTGGAGAGGGTAAGACATCCTGAGCGTCCTGAGTAAGTCGGCTGTGGTTCAAGCCGATGCACAAACTGATATGATAATGAAGTGCGCGCGAACGCGAAGCAGACGTGAACGAGCGACTCCGGAGGAGGAGGTCATTGCGCAGCTGTCGTGCGTGCCCATGATGTCTCGGACACCGTTTACTTTGGCTTACTGACTGACCATGTAGCACGCTTATCTTCGCCTCGATGGACACAACGTCCAACACGCTCTCTCGCATGCTGCAGACGTTAGCGGAGCACACAGACGTGCAGGACAAACTGCGCCAAGAACTCCTAGAGACCGGCGCAGCGCATGGGATGTCGTACGAACAGCTGAACCAGCTTCCTTATCTTGATGCTGTGTGTCGGGAGTCGCTGAGACTGTGAGTAGTGAGATGCGGACACGACTATGGGGCCGAGGGCACTGATTGTGCATGCACGCAGGCATCCTGCGGGTGGAAACAGGTTCCGAATGTAAGTGTCATACCACGGCTCTGCATTGTACACGAGTTGATTTCAGTGATCAACCAGGGCTGTCGCCGATACCGTCCTTCCTCTGTCTCAGCCTGTCGCCACTCTGAATGGTGAGGTCATGTCAGAGATCCCCGTTCCGAAAGGGACCGGGATCCTTATCGGTGTGATGGGTAGCAACATGAGCAAGACGTTTTGGGGAGAGGATGCTCTCGAATGGAAACCTGAGCGCTGGTTTTCCCTGCCATCTGCTCTTACAGACGCCAGGATTCCAGGAGTATATTCGAATTTGTGCGCACGGGATCTTTGGATGTCGACAACGTGCTGACGAATAATTCAGGCTCACTTTCATCGGCGGAAAGAAGTCGTGCATGTACGTCCGCGCATAGCAACACAGTCGATGCGCTAATACTTATTACTTCCGCACAGAGGCTTTAAATTCGCTGAAATGGAAATCAGTGAGTTGCACTATTTACCTACGCAGGCGATGGCTAATTCCTCGAGTAGAGGTGGTGATAGCAGTGCTGGTATCTGCATTCACCTTTGAGTCGACCAACAAGCCGATCTCATGGGCCACCGCTATCAACATGTACCCCGCAGTCGGGAAGGACGGCATCAAGCCAGAGCTTCCTCTCAGAGTAGCCCTCTACAAGCCGGCCTGACCGCCGTGACTAGATGTATCGCGAAAGCAAGGCATGTGGATATCGTGTTGTAACCGTACGAATTGTCAATACACGCGTTCATTGGTCCGATTCACTGTTTCGATGACCAGACGAACAACTTCAGGTAATCGGCCTCCCGTTGGCAAGGCAGACGCTATGGGCACATTCGGCAACGATGCCGTGCGCGTTTCGGGGACGGAGAAAGCAGGCAACACCTTTCTTGTCGGTTAGCATAAGCTCGACGCCCGTCTTGCCACAAAGTATTGCTATTCGGTATGCCGTGTCCTTCGATACACGCCTCAGCATCGTCTATTAGCTGCGAAGCCGCGTCGTTGATCATTGACCTGAGTATGCCCCACATCACCTCATCTCGCGCCGTCCTCACGCATTCCCCTGTTACAGCCATGGAAGCCCCGAAGCCCGCAATGACCACCAGCACCCAGCCCCAGGCGGTCCAGATGCAGCAAGCCTTCGTCCCGGGAACTTCGCCGACGAAGGGCATATTATCCCGCGAATGGCCCATGACTTCCGTTCACTGATACATCGCGTCCGTCTCTCACCCCAGCTCCAAATGCAGAGGAGTGTCCGGCAGAGCCACGCCGCCATGCCCTCGTCCACCACGCCGTCGTACGGGCGCTGATTCAGGTAGTCGGAGAGGTGGCCGAGCTGGCTGGGTTGTCCTACGAGTTCGGGAGGCGTGCGGCGCCTTTCGGAGGGAGCAGGGCAGACATCTCGCCACGCATGGGTACGATCAGGTCTGCGAGGGCGGGAAGGAGGTGCGAGGTGTAGCCGTTGATGCAGAGGAGGACGATGCGCGCGCAGATGGGGCCCTGGGGCTTGTGCTTGACGTGCGAGTGGATTGCGTCGCCGGGCGCGATGTGCTCGCCGCCGGCGGAATCAAGATAGGACGACTTTTGGACGCAGTTGGTATCCTCGGACACCTCTTTGTACTCGCAGCGAGGTCCACCTCGCTCGATGGTTTCTCGTCTCAAGCATACTGCAGCTGGTTGGCGTCGGCGTTCTGGGAGTGCTGAAGCTCCTGTAGGACATCTTCTTGCGCCCAAGGTGGCTCGGATATTTGGTCAAACGTGGAGGTGCGCTGGGCTTCTGCTAGTCCTGATGTGTCTTGCACGCTAGGTTCACAATGAATATTACCAGAATTGTGTGCTTTAGGCATGAATGCGATGATCCGGAGCGAATTTGTTGGTATATCGCAGGAGGTGACTGGTCCCGCTGGGCTCCAGTAGCTCGTCGGTCGCCCATACGGGTCTGATTACCCAGGGAAAGTCAAGCCCATAGTAGATGGTGTGTACGCCCTTGACAATGCATGTTCTCCGTCTGCATGAAGACAGGCTGTGAGAGAGGCGAGGACATTGTGAAGGTGGACCATACGATCTATGGATGACTGCAGTGTTGCGATATTTATTCCGCTGGCGAAAACATGTTCTTAAGTTCGTATAAGTCTTAGTGTACTACATGAGCGATGACCTGGAGCGAAGCGGTTGTTTGGTTCTAAAGCCCTTGGTCACAAACAAGCCCGATATGGTACATTCGAATCAATGCTACGTCGGGCGTCTATACCTTCCTCCTCCATCTTCGCTCACCCATGGGTCCGCTGCCTCCTACTTCGCCAATACAGCAGCCACCGCACAGTGCTGGCCTCTCATACAAAGGTCTGTAGCGCTTTGACTAGTGCATTCACAACCCTGACTCATTATGATGCTTCTGTTGCAGGCCTGCGCGCGGCGATCGACCCGCAGTCCATTCCCTCGCCCATCGACGCAATTGAGATCGACCGCGAGCAATGGGACGACCAGCCATTCGGAACACTTCCTGGAGGACATGTGCCTCTATCCACGACCGACTATGTCGCCATTGACCAAGGTGCGGACTAGAGGGTTTTGGGAACGACTGTCGGAGTTGGATTGAACAGTCGAGGTGGGGCTGAGGTCTGGTCGTCGAGGAGTTGGTCGACCAGTGTCGCCCGCTGTATATCCAAGGGAAAAGTGGCCCCGTCGGAGCTGCGGTCTGGTGGTGACGTGGAATTCAGAGTTACAGTCGTTTGCATAATGTTTGTCGCACACGCGCGCGACAAGATTTGGTCCTCTACGGCTGGCCCCGACGCACCACCAGAGCTGGTCAGTCCCATTGTTTGTCCAGAGTGAGTCCTCGACAGTATTCTCTCAACCTCGATCCCAGTACTCATGGCACTTAGCCTGCATCCTTACCACAAAGTATGGAGGGTAACCAGCGCGACACCAGGTACTTATCCCGAACCACTCGGACGAAGGGCGCAGGTGCTATAATTGTTCTGTCAGTGTGTTCCGTGGCAGTTTGGAGCGGGGAGCCACAGTCCACCCGTACCTCGGAAAACGCGAAGTGACAACCATTATGCAAACTACTGTATCACCAAACCTGTCTACTACCAAATGCGTCTCCTCACAGGCTGACTGGCCACGCAGGCAACTCGTCCCCCAGGTTTGTCCGCGTATCGACATGGAATCTACCCAGCACCTCCCGCCTCGCCTCGGAATGTGAGGTACCGCTGGTCGCAATAATTCACCCGCTTGCAGACCAGGATCCGAGGGAAGAGCCCATCCCTCTTGTTGACACCGGCGACGTCGGGCCTGCGCGGTGTGCAAAGTGTCGAGGGTACATCAACCCGTGGTGCAAATGGGTAGCTGGAGGGATGCGGTGGAGGTGTAATCTGTGCTCGCATGAAACCGAAGGTGCGTGTGTACCCATCTATTGAAGTGGCAATGCACCTGAGAATGCACTGCAGTCGCGTCGGAGTACTTCTGCAACCTCGACGCGAACATGACACGACTGGATCATCTACAGAGACCAGAACTGAACAAGGGCACAGTTGACTTCGCGGTGCCGAAAGACTACTGGGTTCCTCAGTCAGAACCACGAATAGAGGCGCTGTACCAGCCGGTAGTCCCCACGTCAACGTCCGAGAAGAGACCACCAGAGCCGATGCACTACGTCTTCGCATTCGATGTCTCGCAAGACGCCATGACCTCCGGCTTCACGCGAAGTGCGTCGTTGCAGGTGTTGGACCTACTCTACGGATATGATGCGGAAGACGGGACGCGTGTCGACCCCTGCTTCCCCTCCCAGAGCAAAGTCTGCATCCTCTCGTACGACCGTTCGGTACATTTCTACGACCTCTCAGTACGCGTTCGCTTCCCTCTTAAGTCGAGCTGACTTGACGCTTGGATGCTGCAAGCTTAGCCACGCGGAGCCGACAATCCTTGCATGCTAGTGCTGCCGGACTTGGACGACATTTTTGTGCCCATTCGAGATGGCCTTTTCGCCGACATTCAAGACTCACAGTCAGTATTTGTCAATTCCTTAGGTCCGGGCGCTGACAGTCGTTTAGACGAGTCATCACGAACCTGCTCACCACGCTAGGTGACACGAGTAACCGCTTCCTCGAAACCGAAGCCGCGCTGGGGTCCGCGTTAGCTGCATGCTTAGCCGCACTCGTACGTATTTGCTCTCGTAGAAGCTGGTCGTGCTCATTGACGATGGCAGGCTGGAAAGGGTGGCCAAGTGATCGTCTTCCCTGGTGTCATCCCTACGATCGGCCTTGGAGCGCTGACGACGCCAGAGGACATGTCCGTCCTGATCGGCACGGAAAAAGAGAAGACGATCTTCACGCCGCGGCACGAGGATTGGCAGGAACTGGGCGAGCAGTGTGCGGAGGAAGGCATCGGCGTGAACATATTCTTTGCGAACAGCCGGCCTGTCGACCTCGCATCGATCTGTGAGCGCGGCCGTCATCGTACTGTGTCAGTTGCTGACGCTGACTCGCGAAGCGGTGGTCTCCTCGGTTACCGGCGGTCAGCTCTACTTCCACCCCCGGTTTGATCCTGTACGCGACGGGTTGGTCCTCCACTCCGAGCTCAGACGATTGTTACTGCGGACGACCGGGTACTCGTGTCTCATGAAGGTCCGCTGCTCACAAGGTTCGTCAGCCATCGTATGTGGGACACGGTGCTCATGCGTAGCCTCTGCCAGGTCTGCGCATCGCACAGCACTACGGCAACTTCTACGAGCCCCCCACGTCAGATCTAACCTTCGGCACGCTCGACGCGGACAAGGCTATCTCGGTCGTCCTGGAGCATACCAGATCCCTTGCCGAAGGAGAGTTCGCGTTCCTTCAGAGTGCGGTCTTGTACACGACTGTCACTGGCGAGCGCCGCGTGCGGGTGTGCAATCTTGGTATCCAGGTCGCTGGCATGGCCGGGAACGTGTTCAGGTTCGCGGACATGGACGCCGTGGTGTGCCATTTGGTGAGGGAAGGTAGGTCGCTACGGTTTTGTCGTTGGTACGAGGGAATGACGGGTATGTAGGCATACATAAAATGCGTTCTCAGAAGATCGCGAAGATTCAAGAGTACCTGACCGACAAGTGCGCAGCCATCTTGCTGGCGTACCGCAAGTACTGTGCGGCGTCTGCACCCGCCTCCCAGGTGAGTCTGAGGTCCGTTCTGTATCAGGATATTGCTCACTTCATACACAGCTTATCATCCCTGAAGCCTTCCGAGCGCTGCCTCTGTACATCTTGGCGATTATGAAGTCAAGACCACTCAAAGGTACATTGAGAACCCACCTTTTAGCTTCGCTTCTGTCCTGATGGGTTACCAGCTCAGAATGTGGTGACCGACGTGCGGGTGTACCATGCGCACAAGATCATGGCGATGGGCGCTCGAGCAACGATGCAACATCTGCACCCCCGCCTCATGGCTTTGCACGACCTCACTATGCGAGCCGCGATGCCGGACCCGCAGACAGGTCTGATTCGGTTGCCGGGGCTCATGCGAGACAGTTACATCTTCATGGAATCGTACGGCATCTATCTCATAGGTTTGCTTCTCGTTCTGTGGGCCGTCCCGGAGGGCTCACGCGTTTTGTAGACAACGAGGAGCTTTTGGTGCTCTGGATAGGCTCAGATGCATCTCCGCAGTTGTTGAAGGACCTGTTGGATGTTGACGACTTCTTGCATACGGACCCGAACATGGTACGCATTTTCAAGTACGTGGGCGGCATAGCTGTTGACGCCGCTCTTCGCAGATTCAACTCCCGGTACTCCCAACACGGCTGTCAGAGCAAGTGCACAACATTATTGCTTACCGGCACGCACAGAGGGGGTGGACGCCCAAGCTATCCATCGCGCGGCAGAACATGGACGGTGCGGAGCTCGAGTTCGCGGACATGCTAGTGGAGGACAGGAATAACGCGGCGATGTCGTATCTTGACTGTGAGTCTGCTGAGTCGTCCAGCGAATGTGCGTCTGACGTCTTTCATGTACAGATCTATGCCTGGTACACAAGCAGATTAACACGGTGGTACGTTGCACAGGTAATCGGGTGGTGGCACGGCTCACACGAGTTATTAGCTCACCGGGGGCACTTCGTTCAATAACAATCGCAGTAGCTTCAAGTCGGCACCGTGGTAGCGTGTGTAGCATATACTCCGACGGACATCTAGACGCGGCAATGATTATTATGGATAGTGAATGTATACCGGCCACCGTCAAAATACGGAGCAGGCGGGAGACACTGAGCTCGCGATCAAGCCTTATGACATTGAATGGCAGTCTGCATGCGCACTCTGCAAGCAAGCTTGCATGATTTATTCTTCCCTCCCTTGAAATGAGCCCAAGTGGGCATCGGCTTGTGTGGCGCTGACACCGCGACGGTGAGTATCGTACAGACCCATCGTCGGCGTCGTGGACGTGAAATGACTTCGTCACAGTCCCTTCCACACCCTAATTGAACCGCGAGTGCTGTGGCGAATCATGCCCCGAGCGTTTCTCGTCCTTCGGACTTATGCTGGTCCTTGCAGATATTCAAAGCCTGCCGGGCTTTAATAACCCGTACGTTGCCCACGGCTGTCGTTGCTGATGCAGATAACGGGAACTGAAGGCTCTGGCCTCGGACCTGCTACACCCCCTGAGCTGAGTCTATGCGAAGACGAGTCTGTGGGGAACACATCTCTACGCTGATTCTCTGAGGATCTTATGTAGCACGAGGTAGGTTGCCACGGAGTCCTAGGAACATTGTGATGTCAATTGTAACGACCGCAATGCATTGGAGCGCACTGCGCAACGTCTACACAGCTCCGTTGATTATCCTGCTTAGCATAGGACGCAATGTGCCCGAGTTCAAACGTTCACGGCCCATACTACTACAACAAGCACAGCCTAGTGGAGGTCCGGTAGGGCTCATCGTTGAGCGAACAATATACACATGTGTACACACGACCGCGTCGTGTAGGAATCTTCAATCGCCTTCAGCCGCTTCACGTTCCCGAAGTTCGCGTTCCAATCGTGCGCGCTCGGCCTGACGCATTCGCATAAGGGTCAGGGACTCGTAATCGAGGCCCGTCTCAGCGAGCTTGGCGGAAGACTTCGGGGGTGCGTCAAAGCTCGGCTGCAAACAAGTATATCAGCAACGCAGCACGGTAGAAATGAGGTGCACACTTACGAAAGTCGAGGGGAACGAGGAAAAGGGTGTCCCAGAGTCGGTCCCTGGTGGTGCATCTGACGTCGAGGACTCTGCACCAACAGGCGTGGGCTGCGGAGTGCTATCCGACGGACGTCTTGCATCGTCCCTGCCTTTCGTCGTGCTCGCTTTGCCGTCAGTCCCGAGTTGGCCTTTCTTCTTCAGCCACCCGATGAGCTCTGGCTCCTTGTCCTCCGCCCACCCAACCTCGACGTCCGCCAATCCGCTCTCTGGTCGCCCGCTTGCGCACACGGCGGCGAACGCACCGCCGATCTGTTTAAACGGTACAAGTGCGATACCGCGCTTTGGCTTCTTTGGCGGCGAAGGCTTGAGGATGAGTTTGACCGAGGCTTCGTCAATTGGGCCAAAAGGCGACATGAGCGCCGCGAGGCTGGCCGGCGTCGTAAGCGATGGATGTGAGGACAACGAATACTTGAGGCGAACGGTCGTGTCTAAATCCCCTGTGGAAACAGCATGCGTGTTAGTTCCGAGGCATCGTCATCTGAAAGTCTGAGACACGCACCAACCTCAGGTGGCTCATCCTCTCCTGCAGCCTCTCTCTCGGTTCTCAATGCCTCTTCTTCTCTCCTTCGCAGCTCCTTCTCCCTCTCTTCCCTCAACCTCCGCCCTTCCTCCATGATGCGTTCATTCTCTCTCCACCGGGCGTGCTCTCCCTCCTCCTTCTCCACCCGTGCCTTCTTGAATGCGCGTTCGCGTGCCTCAAGCTCCTCCACGAGGCCCTTGCGTTTGGCGTCGTACGACGCGAAGCGAGTCTTGCGCGCCTCCTTCAGGCGCACCTTGGCGTCGAGGGCCATCCGCCGAAGCGGATCCAGTAGCAGCTCATACGCTTGGTTGAGCTCGTGGAACTTCCGTGCTGCAACATCGGCTCATCAGTAACATGTCAGCGAACGGACGTATTCGAAGACATTACCTGCATCTGGGTTACCGCGATTCTTCGTGGAGAGACTTGAGTCAGAGGGCGACGTTCAAAACGCGAGCAACACAACATTGAATGGAAATACCCACTCTATCGGGATGGACCTTCAATGAGACCCTACGATAGGCGGTTCGTATGTCCTGCTCGGTAGACTCCATGGTCACTCCAAGCAATTCGTAGGGGTTCACCTCCTCTTCATTAACAGTCGACATGGCGTGGGGGCGTCGCGGGGAGGAGGAGTGGAGGATGGGTGGATTGTAACTTGTAAAGGACGAAACGCTGACTGGAACAGTCACTGGCGACTGAGTACCAATCAACACGATCACGTGACTGATCTCTCGGTTCCTCGCTCTTCAGTGTTCTTCGTTCTTCAGTTTATTACTTACTAGTACCAGCCTGAGAGGTATCGTGCAGGCGTCCTCGCAGAAAAACTCAGTTGTGCATAAGTAAGTTCCGGGTGGAGGATGTACTGGAGGGACTCGGACTCGGACTCGGATGCCCCGGGGCCAACATGACAAGTACATCGGCTCGGAGTCACACTGTGCAGCGAGCACCTAGTCGCGTCAATCAGATAGGCTTGTAGAGTCCTACTCTGAGAGGAAGCTCCGGCCTGGTGCTGCTCTTCCCGACCGTGGGGAACATGATGTTGGCGGTGGTCCATAAGATCGGCTTGTCGGTCGACTCGAAGGTGAATGCGGATACCAGCACTGCCATCGCCACCTCTACTCGCGGAATAAGTCATCGCCTGATAGCTCAACCGTGCAACTCACTGATCTCCATTTCAGCAATTTGAAGCCTCTGTGCGGAAGATTTAGCGAACTGACTGAGTTGTTATCGCGGACGTACATGCACGCCCTCTTTCCGCTGATGAAAGTTAGCCTGAATGATCCGTCAGCACATTTTCCAGACATCTACGATCCGGAACGCACAAATTCGAATACACTCCTGGAACCCGAGCGTCCGTAACAGTAGATGGCAGGGACAACCAGCGCTCGGGTTTCCATTCGAGAGCATCCTCTCCCAAAACGCTTTGTTCAAGTTGCTACCCATCACACCGACAAGGATCTCGGTACCTTTCGGGACGGGGACTTCTGACATGACCTCACCCTTCAGAGTGGTGACAGGCTGAGACAGAGGAAGGACGGTATCGGCGACAGCCCTGTTTGGCCCATCACTTAAGTCAACTGCCAGTGGTGTGTGACGCAGAAACACGGTGCAACGCTTACACTCTGAACCTGTTTCCACCTGCAGGATGCCTGTGTGCATGCACAATCAGTGCCCTCGGCCCACATAATCGTGTCCGCATCTCACTACTCACAGTCTAAGCGACTCCCGACACACGGCATCAAGATACGGGAGCTGGTTCAATTGTTCGTACGACATCCCATGCGCCGCGCCGGTGTCCAAGAGTTCTTGGCGCAGTTTTTCCTGCACGTCTGTGTGCTCCGCTAGCGTCTGCAACATGCGAGAGAGCGTGTTGGACGTTGTGTCCATCGCGGCGGAAGATAAGCGTGCTAACATGGTCAGTCAGTAAGCCAAAGTAAACGGTGTCCGAGACATCATAGGCCGCACGACAGCTGCGCAATGACCTCCTCCTCTGGGAGTCGCTCGTTCACGTCCGCATTCGCGTTCGCGCGCACTTCATTATTTTATCAGCTTGTGCATTGGACTTGAACCACAGCCGACTTACTCAGGACGCTCAGGATGTCCTTACCCTCTCCAACTTGCTTCACCACCTTTGCATCGCCCGTGTCAAATGCGCGCTTCTTCATGTTGTATATCATCCGCGATTGTTCGTCCATCGTGTCGACAACATCCATAAGTCTGCGGGCGGCAGAGTCTGTCGGAAACACCTGTACGACAGCGCGCTGTAGCCGCTTCGGCACCTTCCACTTGTCCGCGAGGACGGCGAGCCACCGCAGGTGTAGCACCCGGCCAAAGTTTGGTCTGCAGGACCGAAACAAAGCATAAATGTGTCTCAGTGTCGGAGTGACTTGGGGCGGGATAGTAAGAAGACGGGGAACGCACATCAACGCTTTGACTGCTTGGCCATACGGGTCTTCGCGGTCTTCAATGAGTGGGTCGAAGGAGTGCCCGAGGCCTCCCTGGCCGATGAGTTCGAGCGAAGCACGGCCCATCCAGTACAATACGTCGAGTTCTCGCGGGCCTTCTTGTACTCGGGCAGTGATCGCCTCTCTGAGCTACATACCGAAGCCTTGTTGAGTGTTCATTGTCAGGCGCCGTAGCCCTGGGACGGCTCACCCTATGAGATACAGTGTAAAACAATGGTAATATGTGGCGCATGTGGTTGATTGAGAAGACGGGATTTAATAATTTGCGTTGTTTACCGTGGTTCTGGCCTGTGTGAGTACCTGCTTGTTAACACGCAGACCGTAAGCGAATCCATGCAGTATCTACCGGATGTAGCCAGTAGCGACGGCCCGAATAGCCTCAGATTAGAGCTGATATCATTGTTTAGAAGATTGCCGTGGTAGACTCAAACGATGGAGTACGTACGATATGAATACCTCTTGTTCTTGAAAGATATGCTCCTCCTTGATCAGAATGTTATGAAGGGCTCTCGGATCGGAGACATATAGAAGAGGACGCTGGAAGGCACAATCAGGCAGGTTTTTGGTCAATGGAGACGATTGAATCACAGTGATGATCAATCAGCGTACACCAAGATATGCAGACATTTTGACGACTGGACCGAAATCGACAGCGACATGTCTCTGGAAGTCTTCGGCATGCCGAGCAAGGTATTGCCTTAGGTTTCCTAGAAAACGATGTGCCAAATTGTGAATGACGGCGCCAACGATCGATCTGGCGAATACAATGTCACCATTCCAGAATGACTCCCTTGGAGGACCGGGGAGAAGGGACAGCGGTGTACTAGCGATGAGCAAGCGCACGTATATGGACATTCTCCATAACAGTGTGGCGATCACTGTGCCGCTTAGAAGGAGAAGACTGTACGACATAGGGAGGGAGCTAGAGGGGATTTGCCTCAGCATTGTATAGGACGGGAGTTCACGTCGACGACATACCTCTTGAAGAATATTGCCACTAGTCACACCAATTCGAACGGTTCCGCAGTCGTCAGAGTTCCTCGTCAAGACTAAGTAGCCCAAGTATCTTGAGCGAAGAGATTCTGGGGTAAGCCAAGAGTCCCGGCTATCGGGGTACCGGTTCCTGTAAGCCCGCGCGGTGATTACGCTGCACACACGAAGCGTCAAGATGTACCGTACCAATCGCAATGCCCGGAGACAACTGGGAACCCACAAAAGCCGTTTGGGGCCGTACAGCTGGATGATTTCGGACGACGCTATTGAGTTGACTAGGTCATGTCGACCCGCCCTCCCGGAGGAAGTTCACGCGGAAGTGATAGGTAGTCACGAGTTCGCTCCCGATAGTGGCGAAAGGGCCGAAGCTGTTGGATGATGCCGTCGGTCACCGGTGTGCTAAGTATGTATATACATACTTGATTGCTTGCCGCTTGTCTTGCAGTGGAATTGATCATCGATCCCTTGAAACGAGTATGTTGTTCCCCCATCACCTTCTCAATGAGGGATACCAGTGCCTGGAAGGTTTGGCCGCACGGTATTCAGCAATGTAAACACATACCACTTTGAGTTACGATACCATTGTCGTCGTTTGCCTGGCCGCCGGCGTCTCCACGATGATAACAGCCCGAGACCATCGGGTGTAATGACCACGTGTGTGTGACAGTTCGCAATTGCTGTCCTGGTGCTGTCTGAGTGCTGCCATCTTAGCTCAATCTATGAAAGAACATTAGATGAATATTCGGGAACTTGGAACGAGGTGAAAACGTCGTCATTTGAAAGTGAACTCATATGTATGCCAGTGTACATCACCACAGAGCGATGTTGCAGTGTAAGATGTCGAGTTTTTGAGGACGCCTCGTAGACGAGTCTTCCTGAAGTTGAAAATGGAGAACTCACATGAGAGAGCGTCAGGATTTGACGTCTACACGTCCCAATTGACTTGACATATGGATACCGTTAGACGCGCGGCAGCCGCCGGGCAGCGTGTGGATTCTGTGCTGCTAACCGCGGTGGTGGGCGTTCAGCGCTTCAGCTTAGGAACATTTAACAGTTGCTACAATGTGAGTACATACTTCAGGTCTCTAGAAGTGACGGGTCAAGCACGTCGAATCGATCCTGTCTCGACTCACAGGTTGACCGATTACGTCACCTATATGGCAGTGCAACTGCAACCACATCTTGCTCTAAAATTGCATGCTCGTCTTGAAGTGCGCGTTATGCAATGCCTTTGGACGGTCATATACACGGGAACCTGAGAGGAGTAGTCGAGTACACTATAGAAGAAACAACATAGATACCATTAGATAGCCCGACATCTTTGACATCTTGACGATCGACACTTCAATCAGCTCGCCACAATTTAGCAGGTTGCCGCTCGGGATCGGAAGGACGCACTGGCCGGCTTGAAAGTCACGGCGAAGGACTACGATGACGATGTGGAGAGATGCCCCTCGTTCTCGGATGACCTCGTCCTTGAACGTCTGGGGTTGACGGCGACTCATTCTTGATCGCTGGGAATGAGTGTACCGTGCGTGGGGGGGAGACGGCGTCACGGAGCTGTATCGGTGTCGCCCAGATCGCAGAGACTGCCTTGTGAATGTTATCTGTTAGTACACCTCCAGCATCATGCTCACCAGTAGCGTAGAGTCGATGCATGACCACTGTTCCAATATGTGACAAGGAAGATGATATCAAAAATGGACAGCCATCTGGGGAGCGTCAACAACTAGATCTCCCACCGCGTGAAACCTCCGCTAGTTCTACAATTATGATTTGACAGCGTCCGTTTTGAGGAGAAGAACTTGCGACACTGCTCGCAGACCCACTCGCAGACCCGCCCATGCTTAGTCACCTCATGGCGCAGGCGGTCATGCTGGCGCGAGAAGTGTTCCTGACAGCCCATCATGCATGGTATCGCCTTCGTCTGCTTGGGCGTGTGCGCGCGGAGGTGCACTTTGAGCGTGTACTCGCTCGTGAAGCGCCGCGGGCACTTGGGGCAGGAGTAGGTGCGTTTGCGGCGCCCCGACGCCAACGAGGTTTCCGACTCGGAGTCCGACGGAGTCGAAGGGGTAGACGTGGACGACGGGCCCAGAGTTGGGTGTGATGAGTCGACGAAGACGGCTGAGCTGCCATCCGCGACCTGACCGCCGGTCTGCGACGATATCGGGAAGTCCGGATGCATCCAGAGCGCCATGGAGGCTATAGGGGTCGACGGGCCAGCGAGTGCGTTAATACTGCTGCCGACCGAGGTATTTGCGTAGGTTCTCTGCTCACTGGGCATCGGCGCTGGCTGTGCCTGCACTGACGAAGTGCACTTGCATGAGAACACTTAGCCCGCCGTTCCTCTGTTAAATTACTCACTGTCACTAAGGAAACAGTCGGATACCAGAGAACTATTGCTGTATGGTTGGGTGTCCGGCTCCATGGAGGCGAAGTCGAATTCTAGTAAGTATCAATCTTTGAGTATGCTCAAATCAAATTGATAAGTGTGCTAGTCGCGAGTACCTGAGAAGGCTCCCGACAGACTGTCTACTGGAGGTAGGTTGTAATTTGCGGTGGGAATTGTTTCTAGAATCAATATCATTCACTACCGTTGTCGCGTGCAAGAAAGTCGAGCGTGTTACCCATTGTAGACATCGTCGAGACTGAGCTATTGAACCCACATGAGTCCGCCTGTGCTGTTTGCGTCGATGATCCTGGCAGCGCGGTTCGGTTGGGGAAACTGCAGACTTGCAGAACATGTCCTTGGTGATCTTCTACTGCTTCGATTTGGACGGTATACGGCGATGGAGGGCAGATCTGACCTATTGAATCTAAGTGGACATCAGTATTCAGGGACGTGGAACATAGTATGGCGTATAAATAATCTACTTACCGAATGTCGGTTGACCGCCAGTATGCGGCTCGAAGCTGATAGCGAATCCACCCGACTTGAGCACGCGGATAGACACTCGCAGTTGACTGAGTTGTTCGACCGGAACACAGAGGGAGGACATTGGGAGGACGGGATGCACGGAATCAATGGTACCTGCAAAATTGATCGGACCATTATATCTATGCTGCAACAGAGAGCGCAGTTATTCCAACTCGGTGCCAGCGGACTTGAGCGGGTATCATCATCGCCACCTCGTGTGTTTCCAATGATGGACCGACAGGCTCCAGGAAAGCTACGCGACGCACCGGCGGCCCCTGTGGCTCACGGCAATCCATCTGGAAGGAGCTGCACAAGGAACTGGCCTCAAAGAGAACAAGTGCTTGGAGTTGCAAATGAATCCCGTTCTACCTATATGCCGTGGTCTCTAGCACGATGATGTGGCAGAATATCGGCACGCAAGCCACAAAGGTCTGACTCGGAGCTGTGTACTTACCAGTAGCCCTTCGCCGGCATGGCTCACCACTGGCATCATCGTTGCACAATGCACTGTTGAGAAAGGTACGTACTCGTGATGCAAAAGTGGCGCGCCGGCGGTGGAACGGCGCCCAGGGTGCTTGACTTCTGGTCCCTGGATCCGAAGGAAATTTCCATAGCTCCGAGAACTCAGAACTCAGAGGTAGTCAACGCGAGGCGCTTCGATCTTCGGTAGTTCGAGCTTGAGTAGCCGGCTGCCGTTGCATGACCTGAGTGTAGCTGGTACAGCACTCGACAGTGAGGGCCTTGCGTGCAAGTAGGTAAGTACTGAGTCCCAGTGAGAACGTGCAAGATTCCCTTCGATTCTCAGTAATCCCTGTGTGTTGCTGTCAGCGCCTGTCAGCAAATTATATTCCCGTTGATTCGTGTATGTTGCCGCATTCGAACCGCGCGATCGCAAGCCCATAAACTGCTTCCACGATTTGACACTTTCACAAATCCCGGGTGTCCCGCAGTTCAAAATGTTCAAATGTCCAAATGAATGCTTTCGCTCAATCCGAAAATTTTCCCGCTTGCCAATGGCCCAATTGTCCAATGTGCACTGCAATCCGGCTTGCGGTCCCGTGACCACTCTCCCCACGACGTCACTGACGATGCACTTCACGCATGTCGAGGTCGAGACGTCTTTGAATCTGTACCACCACCTTTCCCCTGAACTTCTTCGAGTCCTTGTGCGCTCATACTTAACAGGTATGTGTGATTGATCCTCGCAGGCGACGTGCGGTACGACGCGCACGACGACGGCCGTGGGCGGACGAGTCAACGAGCGGGTGGCAGGCGGGCGGGCGAGCGGCAGCATACACGCCGACCGCGTGAGTGCTGGGCAAATGCCCAGCACATAGATAGGGCCGACGAACATACATCGAGCACGCAAACAAGTGGGTAGGTAGGCTGGTGGACGGGCGAGAGAGCGGGTGGATGGGCGGGAGAGCGGACGAGTGGGGAGACCGGTGAGCTGGCAGGCAGGCGGGTAGGCGAATGGGTCGGCATAGGGCGTGTCGTCACGCAGCACGACACACGTCGACGGCGAGTACGCAGGGCGAATGCCATGCGTGCAGACGCAGCCCACGAGCTGACTGCGGGCGAAGGAAGGTGAGTGCAGAGACGCGCCAGCGAGCTAGCTGACCGCAAGCATAGGGCGTAACGACGTGTAGCACAACGCATACGTCGACCGCGAGCGCACTGGCAACTGCCCAGCGTGCAGACACGGCCGGCGTACGGACGGCGTGCGCGTGAGCGAAGAATGGGCGTACGGTAATGCGCTGCACATCACGCGCCGAACGCGAGCACGTAGGGCCAGTGCCCCGCGTGCAAATGCAGTCGACCAGCACGCTGCGGGAACAGGCACAGAGACGGGAAGGTGAGAATGCGTGTGGACAGGAGCGAGCAGTGCTCACGGCTGCGGGTGAAGGCCTGTGCGAGCAATTGGCGGGAGCGTGTCCGGAGGGAAAGCGCCAGCGAGCAGAGAGGAAAACGAGCGGGGAGGACAGCGAGTAGGTATCCGTCCGGCTGCATCCAAATGCGACCGCCCCATCATGGCTACTCACGCGCATAGTGTACGTTCGGACTGCTACGAGACGCGTAGAATAAATTCCGTGAAAATCGAATTATATTACAATTTGGGCACGGATTCGAGTGATACAGAGCTCGTATATTAAACAGATGCCAATTGCTGCCATTCGATCGCAACATACATGCATTCGAAACGAATTGAAGAGAACATACAGGGAACAGAAACCCATCTGTTAATCGGACAAATGGCCATTCCCTTCGTTTCGCAGCGTTTGGTGGAGCGGGGTGGAGCGGGAACAGCTGGGAATGGCAGGGAATGGCAGGCGATCTTGCACGTTCTCACTGGGACTGAGTACTGAGTTGTAGCATGCACACAGAATTCGAGTAGGACCTCCGAGTCGCGCCACCGTCGCGGCGATCGTTCGATCTGGATCAGTGGCGATATCATGATTTGTCATCAGAACGACTGACCGCCGGGAGGAGAATTACCTTACATACTTACTAAACCTGTAAGTACGCCCACGTGTCGACAACATTGGTACTGCTTGTGGATTGAATTGTGCCGTCGCTCGGCCTGTCGAACCTAGCTCTCTTCGATTGCATTGGCACGGCCTAAAGCAAGATAGAATATACTGGCGGCAGAGTACCGCCCGGCAAAATCCCGGTAAGTAGGGATCATCCTCCTCCTGCAGGTTCGTACTTCTTCGCCTCTGCATAATGCGCTACTAGCCTCGGAGACAACGAAAGGGTCATCTTTTAGCCTACTCGTAGATACTCTTCCTGACCGTGACAAGGATCCCACGATGCCAGCTCATGCCCGATCTCCCTCACAACTTCATGATTGCAGGGCCAGGTCTCTACCCTCGTCAGCATTCCGCAAAAGCATTGAACAGCTCAAGGTCAATGTAGCGACTGTGCCGCCGCAACCCCCAGACCACTGGCGATGAGCGGTTCGGGACTCCCTAGTGAGTCCAAAAGAAATTCTCAGCTCAATTGGAGTTACTTCTGGCGGGTTTTACAAAGGGCCGGACGTATTGAGTCCACAAACCTCCGCGAAGCTTTGATTGCTAGGCTATGCCGTATGTCGGCAAGGATCGATCCTCCTAAGTGTAGGTTTAATGGAGACGAACCGTACAGGTGGAAGGCAAGCGCTACTGATCTTGACGTGGATTTAATAGATCCACGGCATGAACGACCGTCTGTACGGGAGCCTCAGAGCAAAATGAACGGTCGTCAGCACACACACGTTGTGAAGAAGCATTCGATTAACTTACATTTGTTACCCCGGTCCCTCCTGACCATCCGCGGCGATCCCAGGCTCCCAATCTCAGCGACAATTCATAAATTGACTTGAGTTTGCCAAGAGGAACGCGTCGACTGCGATCTTGTCGCAAGGCACGACGGGCCAGCGACGGAACGCCCTCAATTTCGGCGCCCACTGAATAGCTCTGATGTTCCCTGGCAAGTTGCCGTATCGAGGAGAGTGCGCGCACGAACGTCTCTCGGCAGATCCCTTCCTGCGCGTGGAGGATTGAGAATGGACGGCATCCCGTCTCCGATTCGACAAGAATGTTGCGCAACATTCTGCACCCCGCGAGGGGCCAGGCGGTGTTCCCCGTCCGAGGACTTTCCGGATTTTTCTGGCCGTCTCGTCGTGTACAATGGTCCTTCGCAGCTCGGGTGAGTCCGACACGATTATTGTCAGGGCGCAAGTGGACGGTGTGCCGACATGCATCTTCGTCCCATAAGTAGACGCGGCATACCCGTGCCCAACTCCCCGGGTATTGGAAATCCTCCCCGCGCGTGAACTGCTTGCATCGGAAAGGGAGACCTTCGAAGTCTCAGACCGCACTGGAAATTTCTGTGACACACCCGATTGGCTGCAAACCAATTTGAGGGCTCGTACCACAGTTGATTGTGCTCCGTAGAAACCCCTCGCCTTGAAGCCAGTTTTCTCTAGGCGGTCAACAACGCCATCCTTCAAGTTGCATGTGCACGACGTCAGGTCTACGCAAAGCCTAATGCCGAGTTCCGCTCGCCGTTCCAAGTCTCATCCGCAACAGAGTCAGCATCTCAACGCATTGCACGTTATGGGGCAGCGCTGACTCGGATCCGGGCGTATAACGCCTCTGCATTGACTAGCCCAAAAGAGCCTTGTGTCGGTTCGTCTCCGTGGCCGGCGGGTGTACCATATATTCGAACGAGACAGTCGGCTTTCTGGTCTGCAAAGGAGCCTAATGAACCGCTGCATCACGGTGGAAGTACACCGCGTAAGTACTAACGTGGTCTGAGGCATTTGCTTCACTCCCGCCCAGTCGACAGCGCGATTGAGCCAAAAGGGCTGAGTTGAGCCTGCGTCCTTTGCTCCCTTGCCCCGAGCTCCCGACTCAACGTACTCAACGTCGGCGCGCAATTAGTATAATACTGTCTAGGCTGTTGGCGCGGCACATAGTAATGAGGTATGCAGTCCGAAGCTTATTCGAGCACATACAATCCAACACACTGGTACCATAGAATTTCAAGGAGTGGCCTGATCAATAACGCATCGTCGAGTAATAACATAACTGGGTACATGCATGTTAGAAAGCCTGAAGGAACGGTGATGGTATGGACAAGAAGTACGAGACTAAATGAATGTAAGGACTTCGAGTAAGCAGACGATAGCAGCGCGCGACCTTCCAATAAAATGCAGATACGATACAGTGACCATTATCAAGCCTTAATATTGCTCCTGTGCCCCAGCGAATACACCTTGTACAGCTCTCGTTGACCGCTTTGTCCCAAACCGCGAGAAGAAGCCTGCACCTTCGTGGGAGGTGGAACTACCTGCCCGAGAGCGGAATGACCATGCCGGCGAAGATGGCCGGGACATCTCTTTCGGTGCCGCATGGAGGTGTTGATCCAACGTACGAGATGGTTCGCGGTGAAGATGATCGTGGTCGTGGTGATGATGGTGGTGATGGTGGTGGTCAGGTATCCCCGAACGTCCCACCGTATGCCTCCCATCACAGCAAGCCCGCACATTCTCCAAGCCTTCGAAGCCGCCGTCAGACATGGTCTCGTCATGCAGCTCGAAGTCTAATTCCCCGTCGTCTGGACCAGGGATGTGCTCATAGTCCTTCGTAGGACTGTGCAGCAGCTCCTGCTCACCACGCTCGCTCCAACGAAGATACTCTGCCGCCGGAGTCCCGGCGCGCTTGCCGATCGAACCACCAAGCGATATCTGTGAACGACTCCGTTGGCCACGGGGAGTCACGTTCCATGAGTCCGCACTCAGCGCCGTTCTGCCTGTCCGAGTGCTACGTTGGCTCTGCGGGCTAGCCAGGACGTTTGGACGAACAGACGGTTCATCATCTGGCAGCTCTCTGTCGATAGACATCGGACTCAGAGGTGCTGCGACGGGGCCGCCCGGTGAATTCGCTGGGATGGCACTCGGACGAGTCAGCAGATACTTCAACGCCTAGGTGAAGTGATATCAGTTATGATGAGTCCATGACCGAAAGAAATTCGGACGCACATTCAACCAGATATCATGCCGATCTTTCGTTGGCGCAGTGAACTTCATCTCGCGTTGCGGCGTAGACACCACTACGCTGTATTGATGGATACCAGGAGGCATAGGGTTGGGGTCAAGGACGGATCGTACACCTTCGATATATGCTGCAACGCGGATATGGCATTTGAGTTGCGTCCAAGATCATGCAAACATTTACATACCGCTCTTGGCACTTGACTCGGCAACGTTGGATGAGCCCGGGTCAGCTGAACTCCAGTACAGAGTGCGCGTATAGGGGTGGATCCAAACGAAGCGCTTATGCCTGGAATTTCCGGGTCCCTTGCCGATCGTGCGTCGCGTGTACTTGTAGAGGAATTCACCTATCATCGTCTGTGTGATGGCATGGATCACGGTAGGATCTGTTGAGCCAACCGCAGCTGTACGAGCAGACACGTCGGCAGAGCGGTCTCCAACCGCTCCGGCTTCAGCAAGGCGTTGTGACGGTTGGAAGCCATGGTGATCAGAAGATATGGACGAACGCTGAGAACCCAAGCTATGCCCACCCGAGTTCAGAGAGGTCGTAGAACGCTCACGACGCTCCTTGATGCCGAATGACATGGTAGACGGTGTGGGGCTCGACAAAGGTGCGCGGGAGGCGGCATTAGCAGCGGAGCGGAAGCTGCTGGTCGACGGCAGTTCACGAAGGCCATTCTGTGAAGGAGGCATACTGGAGCCATGCTGCCTGAGGCCAAATGGTCGTGCTCCTGGGACAGATAACACGCTGCCGAGAGGTGTCGTGGCACGCTGAATCAGTTCAGGCGGGGGCGGCGAAGACGGTCGAGGCGGGGGTGCGTCCTGGGAAAGCCTCTTGTCGGGTATGAAGGCAGGTGGAAGCATGCTGTTAGGTGGCGGAGGGGCGCGGGGTGGCGGAGGCAATGTCATCATTGGCGGACGGGTTTTGTCGATGACGGCTGGAATGACGGACGGTGTTCGGGCACGGTTGGATATGTCGTCCATGATCGACGACAACGTAGACTCGATAGACTGCCTCCGGTCGGAATGAGAAGTACGAGGGCGCGCAATGAAGGTAGCATTCGAGTCACGGATGGTGGTATTGGGCGAAGGAGCGGCAACAGGAGGCATCGACGTTGTGTAGGCCCAGCAGACGACGGTGGAGAGATGAACTGGAATTGCTGGGAGTTGACGCCGACACGATACAAGGGTGGAGGCTGTATGGGGGCTGGCGTGGGCGGAGCGGTGATTGGAACGACTGCAGGTACAGCAGCTGGGGGAGACACCCAGTCATCAGTCTGGATCGATATCTCCCTGACCTCTGGCTTGGGCTCGGTTCGGGAGCAGGAGCGGGCACCTGGGTCACTGCGGCAATTGGAACAGTTTGGACCGGTACCTCCTCCACAACCTCCGTCTCGACAGCTTTCGAATCGTAAGTAGGAGGCGTGATCACCGGAGACGATGTCGAAGGCGACGGCTGCATGAATGAGAACGTGGACGATACAGCCGACAAGTGACTTGGAAGGCGAGACGCCACAACGCTCTCATTGTCGTCATCAGTCTCCGAGAAGTCATTGTCAGACACGGTCCTGATGGAGTAGAAGTCGTCGTTCGAGTCTGTCGGAGTCGGTATCACAGCACCTTCGTGCGCGCTCTGGTAGTTCTCCGTGATCGAGTCCATCGTTGAACCCGTCTCAGTCGCCATGTCCTCGTCCAGAGAGCCCTGAGAGAATGCGAGCGAGGCTGGACGACGGCCATGGACAGTGGTATCCCCGCTGGAATCGCCGTACGACGTCCCGACAGACATGTCGACGGCGCGTATGTACGGTACCTCCGACTCCATAGCTTGGACCTGCGCGTCAGCAGATACCAGAAGGCTTGTTTGTGTCTGCACTTCCACTGTGGCCGGAGGCATCGTCTGGACATCCATCTCAGACATCTCCGGTAGCGCCCGGACCGGCTCCTCCGAGGTCTGGACATTGATCTCGACAGACTGAGTCCGCGGCGTCTGCACACCGGTCTGTACGAGCGTGGGCATGGGGAGCACCTCTGCTTGTTCAGGCGCGACGACGATCGGCTCCGTGCCCATCGCGCTAGATACCAACACGCGTTCAGGCTGCACGATATCGTACTGAATGCCGCTGTCAGTGCGAGCGGGCGCAAAGATCGCCTCAGTTTGCATCGACTGGTCAACGGTCTGAACGACGGGCGCGGGCTCAGGTTCGACTTGAATACCCATCTCGGACATCGCAGGAGTAATCTGGATCGGAGGTGGCGGAGTGACGACATCCTCGAACCCGGCCTGGCATCCAAACTCGGCAGTCTCAACCGCACGAAGGGTGTCCTGTTCTTGCTCTCGTATGCTGTCGTCCGCAGCAGAGACATGCCACCGAAACCGAGGCCAAGTTCCGCTGCAAGAGCCTCCGGCGCGCCGACGAGTGAGGGAGGGCGTGCCTCCTGGTATGCGGCACCGCCTCTCGACCTGCGCGGGAGCGTACCACCGCGCGCTGCTATAGCCATGACAGACTGACGCAAGGGACTACCGTTCATCGGCAGTGAGCTGGCTGAGTTGGAACGTCGAAGTATGTTGGCGAAAGCAGGGTCCATTCCGTCCACGCTGACGCGATTAGAGTTGGGTTGAGGTGGAGAAGGGGAAGCCTGGACGTCGGGTTCTTCATCTCCTCCTCAAACTCTTGGCGATCAACGTCTTCGTCGGCGGGAAATGCAGCGGGCAGAGGCGGGACAGGAGGTGGCGGCGAAGTTTCACGAGGCTCTCGTCATTGTATTCCGAACCAGGACTATTGGCCGCCATACCGAGACGTTGGATGAGCGTTAGACCACCTCGCCCTCTACCTCGTCCGCGACCCCGGGCTGCACGGTACGGGGTCAGACGTGGCTTAGCCTTCGGCTCCTCGACTTCTTCCGCCTCGCCTCCTCTTCTTCGATGGCATAGCCCGGCGACGCGTCGAGCTTGCGCCTGTACTCGATCTTGAGCTCTTTCTCGCGCTGCAGGCTGCCCTTGAGCGTATTGATTTGCCGCTGAGCATGAGCAAGCCGCTGCTGCAGTGCTTCGATTTCGTTGCTAGGATGATTCGGCGCAAGGAACGGCTTCGAAGGTGAAGGCTCGGGAGATGACTCGGTGTCGTCGAACGCTTCTGGAGAGTAGAATGCTGTAGCATCACCGTTCTTCCTGTTGTTGGTGGATGGGCGCCCTGTCGTCCCGAATACGTCGTCTTCGTCAATGTTGCTCGGGGTGAGGGTGTCTGTGGCAGCAGCGCCATTAGGCGTGAGTGGCGATCCGAACCGCGGGAAGCGTCGATTTCCCTTCGCTACCTCAGTCTTCATGGAATCGAGAGCCTGCTGCAAGTCTGACTTGTCGCGTTGGAGGCTCGCTGCGTGCTTCCGAGCTTGGGCCACATCCGTCTCATGCTTAGCCTTCAGATCTTCATAAGCGTGTTGCTGGCGCTCAGCCTCGTTCTTGTGCTGGTCCGCCGCCTCACGGGCTGAGGCGAGGATCTTCGTGAGCCGCTTGTGCTCTCCCTCGAGTCGTACGACGGACGCCTGAGCGTCTCCGTGCTGGGTGCGTAACTCTTGCATGGTTACCTCGAGGTTCCAGTTCTCCTCCTTGAACCGATCCGCTGACTGCTCCTGCTGGCGCAACGCCGTACGAAGGCTTTCGATTGTCTTGTCCAGGTCATCCTTCTCCTCCTTCATGTCCTGGATTGCCTTGTCGCGCTCTCCAAGTAGACTTTGCAGCCTGCGCACTTCCGTCAACAGCCCGCTCCCGATCTCGAAGGCGAACTCTGCGCCATACTCAGCCATGAGTTGTGTAGTCATTGGAGTAGTTACGCACCGACATCATCCGCCCGATGAGCGGCGTTCTTGGCACGCCGCGACGACTGTGCAGCAGAAGGGCCAGCTGCTGCTGCTGCAGCTGCTTTGGACGAACGATCGACACGCTCAACCTCGCGCGTAAGGTCCATTTGCGGATCCGCCTACGAGTCACAGTGAGCTGGACCTTCAATTGATGTACACGCAGCACACCTTCGATCCAGTGAACATAAAGGAAAGTTGCTCGTTCTCCGTTTCCCATTGCTTGACCGTATCCGCTAAGTCTCGGTACTTCTCCCGTACACTTGTCTCTGCGTCCTCGTCGTCACTACCAGCATCCATCTCCGCCTCCTGCAGCTGCCTGATCCGTTCCTCCAATTCCATCCGCTGCGCAAGCAACTGCTGCCCGAGCGTGCCTGCATTCTGCAGCTGTTTCTCCTTGTCGTCGAGGAGGTTTTGCAGGTGCGACCGAACATCGCCAGGGGACATAGAGCTGTTGACATGGTGCCGGCGTCGACGCCGTCGTCGCCGTCGGGGAACGTTGGCATCGCCAACCGTGAGGTGGGAGAAAGAGGTGTTTGCTCCTCGTCGCAACCTCAACACGCGTTTGTCACGTCACAGTCACGCTGGCGCATCAACGCGCACAGTCACACGGACTGTGCGACGCCGAGCTACTGCCTGACTTAACTTGTTCCGGCCAACTGAGCTGAGTACTCAATATTCGATCTCAGGCACAACATCACTATCTTTCAATCGATGACTACTGAGGAAACTGCTGGATAGCGCGTCGTCGAACTCACGGAGCACGACTCAGAGTCACCCAGCCACTGCTACACTACCACAGTAGGGGAGCTCAAAGTTAGAGTGTGTGGTGCGCACTATCGATGTCAGCTTAATGAATAAAGCCAGAGTTGCATCATGAAAGTAACAAAGTCAACATTGTACCTACGTATGCTAATTCGATCCATATGTGATCAGAAGACATTCTGCTCGCCGCAGTATATGGCATACGAAGTGTAACTTGAACGAGCTCAGCAACAAAACATGTCACTCGCTGCCATATGCGAGTACACTCCAGTGAGTACGATGCATTGTTATATATGGCGTGTATACGCCTACAACACAATGATGCGGAAATACGCGAATCGCAAACAACGAGTCGTTGGATACAGCCAAGACAGCAAGACAGCAGCTCGATAGCAACGGCAGTCCGTCAAACAAAGACATTGGTATCATAGTGGTGAAGGGGGACGTCAATCGACGTTCAGAATAACCACAATACTTACGGACAACGAACAGGTGACTACCGCTTTCACGACCTTCAGAATTTCAGTGCAACGACGACGTGCCCGCTGGCCCAAATTCCGTCTTGAACACCCTTGATCTCGCGCTATCGAGCACTCTGTGCATGTATGGGTATGCAGAACACCACGAACAAACGTTCAACGCACTGCGCAACTTCGGATGACCACCTTGCCCGTTATTCTGGTCGCTGCCAGCGACAGACGCGGTTTCTATGCAAGATCCACCCACGACTCTCCGGGTTTCGCTCGGAGCTGGTCACTTGTGTGGTAACAGACCTGTCCGCGACTCCTTGATCAGCCTAAGGATAGCACAGTCAATCGCTCAAATACAGTCGCAGTGCGAGGAAATCATTTACCGTACGATCTGTTCCACTTCTTGGAGGAACTCATTCGGGTCGTGTACTTCGTTCAACTCCAAAAGTCGAGTCCAACATTGACAAGCGGGATGAGTCGCGATCCTCGTCAGGATTGCCCCAAAATATGCGCATCAGTATGTCCGATGTCGGTGACTGGGCAACGCTGGTTGATCGCTGATGAACTGGACAATCGAGGTTGCAGTATCATCAGGATTCTCCGGGGGTAGCATCTCTGGGGGACATAATGGTGTATCGTCACCTCCGCATCTGGTTGCCTATGTTCGTCGACATATGTGGCGCCCTTTCATAACCAGCGGCATTGCCTGCCCACTCTGAGGAAGCCGCGTCGGGAGAATGCAGACCAGGCTCGGGCTGAGCAAGAGAATGGGCTTCTTGTTGGACGCAAGGACAGGAGCTTGGAATTGGCGGCATCGGCTCGAGTCCGGGTCTGCAGGGCTCATAACGTGACGATGCCACCATCACCGCATATGCGACTCTGTGTGCTACATGAGTAGCTCCGCTTGACTCGCGGGCCCCCGTGTGCCTTACAGGCATTCCCTGGCTGATGAGCTCCCGGATGACAGAGCTGGTCGCCGAATGCGAGCGACGCGTGGGTGCAGAATCCTCGCGTGGTCTTGCGACAACGCCGTTCTTGGCCTTCTCAAGATTGAGCCTTTTGCCTCGGTCTTCATTGACATACATACTATCGACTACCAAGTCGCGCGAAGGCAGAGTGACGGCATTTTCAAGATTGTAGAGCTTGTTGGGGATACGGATGGTCGGCGCTGCGAAAGTGTAATGTAGCAATCTTGAAATGGAAATGAAGGTCTAGGTCGTAGGGGCTTGCGTGGAGAGGGTGCTCCGTCGCTGGAAGATTGGAATGCACATGGTCGGATCAACCAAGTCGTCCTCGTTCTTTTTGCATAGGCCTCTGCCGATGAGCTCGACGCAACATTGTGATCTGGTTTGCCCGGCAAGGGAAGTTCTTCGATCTGGAGTTGAAGAAACTTAGTCCTAGCCCGTTCAACCGCGAAACAGTTACCTCGAAGACGTATCCGATGTATCTTTGAGCCCGCAACTGCTGAGCGGCGGCCCCAGGATGGGGTCATTCAGCGGCTCGACCATTTGAGCGACATCAAGCTGGAGTACAAGATAGGTGCCACAGCAGGGTACCATAAATTCCATATCTGAACAGTAGCCGTCGTTCACCAATCTGCGTATCTTCGCAGCATACATGTATGAGGTTCGTACCTCCGTCCGAGTGTGTTACAGAGGATACTGATGGGATGCTGAAGCTCCGACCAGAGCGCAAGGCAGCTGGTGCCATAGGGTCGCGAGTGCTCTGCATGAGGTCAAGGATCAACAGTCGACAGTCGATGTCCTGGTACTTGCGAAGTTGAGTAGACTGAGAGAACGGGCCATTGGCAGGCACGGTGGCTGCAAGGAGAAACAGTGGGAGATGTCGCCACCCTCCCCTGGGCACACGGCTGTTATCAGGGCTATGCAGCACGTCCGAGAGCCCGAGCCGCCGTGTATCTTCGAGATTAGCCGAGAAGCGTGTGCGTTGATGTGCCCCTTCGATTTTAGCTGACGCATGCTATCACTGCCACGGTCGGGCGCTCACCCAAGTACGCAATCCGGTTGGTACGTAGTAGGAGCGTACCTGATCAGACTGTTGACTTGGGTACCCCATGCTAAAGAAAAAGGCTGAAAAATGGGTATATGTTAAGAATCAAATGAGTAGAACAGAGCATGTGAAATACAAGCACAACAACACAGCGACTCGATAGCAACGCCGATAGCATGCATGACCAGCTCCATAACAATAGGGCAAAGATTTAGTCCAAGTCCATGGTAACGACGACACGAACTGTGAAGGAGCAAGTGATGACTGCTTTGGCGACCTTCGATAGAGTGACACAGCCTTGGCGGATTCGTCTCGCACGAAGTTTGAAGTTGAGAATCGCGCTGTTTACTCGGACTATATATTGGTAAGTACCCTGGAAGAGAGCGGACAGGCATGAGACGCACTGCGGAATTTCGAGCGAGCGCTTTCATTGACGTCCTGGTCTCCGACGGATGCCATGTCAACGGCGAGATCTACCCAAGACTCTTTGGCGCTTCCCAATGATCTGGAGTCGTGGCCAGGAGCAACACATCTACGCCGTGATTCTTGTATCAATCTATCGGTTGTATAGTCAGTCGTAAGCCTCGATTGTCGCCGTCGAGATGATCCTACTGCACAATATTCTCCACTTCTTGCAGAAAGTCGTTTGGATCGTTCACTTCGCTCACCTCCGATAGGCTCAACCAAACATTGACGAGCGGGATGATGATTCGATCCTCGCTAGGGTTTCCCAAAAACACGTTCATCAGTACGTCCGACGTGGTCGAATTTGTAGCAACTGGACGATCGCTGACGGACTCGATCATCGACGATGTAGCTTTATCGCCGACGTCTTCTTTTGGCGGCAGCGTCCCCGGCTCCGGAGCTAATGCCAATGGTTCATTGCTAAGTCTTGAATCCAGCGAGGCTCGCCCAGCAGGATCTGCGGTAACACCTCCAGGGGTATCTGTCTGCACGATGGTCCTTGGTAGCATCGTACCAGGCTCCGGTGCAGCACCAATTACAGAAGGGACGCCAATCCTTCGTAACGATGCGGCCCTGGGCCGGCAACTGAAGGCTCAAGCTCTTCAGACGCGGCCATTGCTTCTTCGACTGTTTTGCCACCGCCGTCTGTTTCCACGTTGCCACCAGATTCGTGACCGCGTGCGCTGGCGACAGCAACTGGCGCTGTCTCAGCTTGGCTATCATCCGCATACACCACCGGTACTCCCTGCCTGACGAGCTCCCGAATGACTGAGCTAGTCGCCGAGTGCAAACCATGTAGATCTTCGGAAACGTCATCTTGAGGGGCTGCAGCGACGCCTGATTTGGCGTCCGCAAGAGCATCTCTCATGCGACAATCCTCACTGACATAAATGTTGTCAGCAAGCAGATCACGTTGGTTCAGAGTCACGGCGTGTTCGTGATTATAGAGCTTGTTCGGGATGCGAACCGTCAGAGCTGCGAAGCTATGATGGTAGCAGTTAGGAAATGGGAAGGAAGGGACGGGTCGTAGAGGCCGCCGCGAGAGGGGGTGTTCAGTTGCAGGGAAAATTGGGGTACACATGGACGATTTCATGTACGCATCCTCGTCCTCTCGACAGAGACCGGAGCCGACGAGTTCGACGTAGCATTTGTGATCCGGCTTGTTGGGCATCGGCAACTCGTCAATCTAGAAGTGTTCATAAGCTTGACATGGAACAGTTTATGAATGAAAGGGGGAGCTACATCAGAAACAAGTGCAATATATTTTTGCATCCGCAAATCTCTTGCGGCGGCAGACAGAGCGGGGTCGTTCAGTGGCTCGACCATCTTGACCGGATCCAGCTGAAGGCACAAATATGTGCCACGACGAGGCACTAAGAACTCCATGGCCGTTACACTGTAGAACATCCGTTTGAGGTGCAAGTTCATATTCAGTAAGATGGCAGGTACCGGTTACCTTGATGCTATGTTCCAGAAATGTTGATGTTGTTTCGTGGCGCCGGGCCCTATTCAGCAGAGTTGGGCATTGGACAGTAGCTGGCGGTGTTGTGTGCAGGATGACAACAGACAATGGCTAGCAGTCGAAGGCAAGTTGAAGACAAGAACCGTGAGTGCAGTGCGAGGTGAGAATGAGACGTTGTTTTCGGGGTGCGGCCGCTGTACTTAACTTATTACTAGCTCCTCACGGTCGCCATATGCCAGCCGGGAGTAGCCGAGATGTATTTGCGCATGTGTGTGCTTGAGTGCGCCATGACAGTTGGACGCTCACATGAAACACTGAAGTTCGGCCAGAACAACTGCACATCCCTTCTCAATACCACACTGCTCACACACTAACTCATTCTATCACCGGAAAGGCGCTCACAGTAAATACAAGCAAGTGCATGATTCGGCACAATCGACGGCATAAATAGAGAAATCCCTTACCAGAATCGAACCCACAGCCATGCGATGAGACGATGTTCAGTTAGGTCTTATCAATGTTACCTGTGGTCCAGTGCGTACAAAATGAACGCCGTTTCCATATCACTACAGACCACTGTCCTGACCAAGGGGGCTATATAACAGTGATTTTTAATTATTCCCACTCATGTCAATCCTACGGACGCGAAGACGGCGACCACTAGCACACGGAAATGCGTGGGTGAGCACAAAGAAGTGACAACCGCATCGGCCTGTTTCACGGCATGTGGCATGGCCACTGTCTTCTCCGTCTACCACTGCACGAGAACAACTACACCCAAATACAGGCATGTCTTATGAGGGCGATATATGTAGGTCGGGCGTCGGTGGTTCCGAACATGAATAGTCGTCCGTTATCACGCTGACATGCCCTCTTGCCTGCAATGTCTCTCCCGAGCTGCAAGTCGTGGAAGTCGTCCAGGACGCGCTCCGCAAAATTGGGTGCTTTTCTCGGACACGGAGCCTGCCGCTTTGGGAGACATTTACGGTGTGCTGCAGTCTGTCAAGACGCCGATACGGCTCATATTGGCTCGAAGTCTGGGCTTCGACCCCGGAGACGGTGCGTCTGTCGTTACGGCCAACAGTCCCTTTGGGAGTGCCAGAGCTGTCAGCCGTGCTGCACCGTCTTGGGCCTCCACCGTACCTGGCGCTGGGAAGATACGACCGTGTATCATCAGGAATACCGCACCAGCTCCCAAAGCTATGACGAACGTCTACCTCATGGCGACGTACAACGACAAACCTTTCGATGAATTGCCAAAGATTTACCAACACTTCTCTCTGGCTGTCTATCCTAACCAGGAACACGCAGTCCACCTGCATACACAGCCGGAGTGGCAAGGGAAGGAGGTGCAGTGGGTCATTGCTTACAGGTTTCCAATCATGTTCGGCAAAGAAAATACACGGTGGACAAATACATGGGTTCAACACCCCGGAAATTGTTACCTCACGTCGCACCATCGCATTGGGGAGGACATGCTAGAATGGCTCAACTCCGTTGCGGATCGCAAGATGGATGAGTGGCAGCGAATGTGTACAAAAGATCCGCGATTAATCTCACAGATGTTCAAGGATTGCCGGGTGCGAACCGCCACATCTCATTTCAGTTGTTTAACTTACATTCTTGCAGATCAAATCAGATGACGCTCGTAAACAAGCAAGAGCCGGGGTCGCGAGATGGCGAACCCACCAGGTGCTCGTGTTACTCATCGTCTTCAAGTTGGCTGACACTTACGTCTCGGATCGCAGACGCCTTCTGCGAGCGGCAGCCCGTCGCCCTATAATGCCAGCATGCCCTCACATTGAATCGCAATGCGAGTGTGTGGTCTGCCGGAAGCAACCTATCAGGTCTTGCTTCGAATGGCCTTGAACATTTCAGGGGCGGCGCACAGGTCAAGCTAGAAAACATTAGATCTTCGGAACACGTACTGATTTACTCGGCACTGTACAGAACATGCAACGTACAACGAAACAGACATGGGATCCGCATGGCGCGCTGGTCGATCAGAGCTGCATAGATGCGAACAAACAAGTCGATGCAGACGGTTTCACGGTTGTGAGCTATGGAAAGCGCAGGCAATCTCATGGATCTGTGAGTATTGTCAGGTACCATCGTCCCATTGTCCCGTCGGGCTCACCGACCCTGGATAACTGTCACCAGAGCGTTACCAGTGGGTCGTACCGATCCGGTCAGCGGGCTCAGTGACCGTCCGTTGGGAAGGCTCTGCGTATATACGGCGCGATCACTGGCATATCCACATTCTGCAAGCACACGGGTCCAGTGCTGCCAGTCCGCCCATCTGTCTGGCTACGCATTGGCCACATGAAGTGCGTATTTTGGCCGCCGCACGTCAGAACTCGGATTTTCCATATGTAATACAGCCAGTCATCACATTTCATATCGACTCTACATTTAATCTCCACCTGCTCCCGCGGCCCGCCCTCTGGGACTATCAGTACTTCAGTACTTCAGTCACGGTTACAGTAGAGTCACTGTCACTCGAGTCTCCGCCACCGAAGACAAGCAGTGGTCAATAACGCGAACGCGTACTTCCAACGCATACTAATATACTGACACCAGTCACGCCTCCACATTAACCTCCATCATCATCTCCTGACGAGCATCCTTTGCAGCCTCTCCTCACTCATCGCCTCTCATCCTCTTGGACAACAGCGTGATGGAGATCTGCTGCTCCTCTCGCACCCTTGATCTACCGAGCCTCGACCCACCGGGTACTAAGCGCAAGGTCCGCCAGCCATTCGCGTACACCAAAGTCAAACCGAGATATGATCAGGTAATTCCGTGCCCTTGCTCGTCTTGGCCTCGCTGACTCTGTGTAGGTCAAAGGCTATTTGGCCACCGCGGAACCGTTCCTTACCTTGCCCCGCCTCCTCGTCCCCTCCCGCAGAGTCAAGTACAAGCCACCTCTCATGCACTACGGGTGGCGAGTCTCTCGATACTTGCTCCTCGACTATGCACGGGCGAATAGGCTTACAAGGAGATGGGGTCGTGACCTCACCAACTACGAATGCATGGATCGAGCTTTGGCTACCATCAACAAAAAATGTGGCGCCTCCATGTCAGACGTCATCCTTCAAGTGCAGACAACCCTGTTAGATGGCATCCAACCGAGGACCTTCGTCGTTTCGTTGTATACCAACTACGAACTGAAACGGATCGATCTTCCGTCGCAAGACGGCATCGAGCGGTTGCAACGAGCCTCGAACTTCGAAGAGCCTCCGAGGTGGTTCCTAGACGGCCTAGAGTGGCGTTGGTCACGCTGGTCATATTGAGGAGACGGATGAATCATCCTCCCATGGTACGCTCTTTCATCTCTTCCGCCGTGTATCACTCGCACTGATTTGCCAGATCTTTCAGCACCTCCGCGATACCTCTGTCGGGATAGCTGCTTGGCGCAGACACACTGTACTATACCTCACGACTATCTCATCGTTCTCCTGTGCTCCAAAGGAGAACTTGAATTTTCTTCCTGTTCCACTGTACTGAATGCAAACTCCATCGACCGTTTGCCTGCACAAGATCTAAGCCGAGACATGAGCAGGTCAGTTCACTCTCGGATTAATGTGTATTCCCGTTGTTGACGCAATTCAGATTCGCCCTTGCATCATTTCACAAATGCGACGTACAGGCGCAATGCACGGAGGTACGGGCGGAGGAAGGTCTCACTTCAAGTCACTTTCGATTTGTGCTTTCCCACCTCTTGAATGAATCACGGTCGTTCCTACCTTACCGAAACTCTTGCTCGTTCAGTGCGTACACGTCACGGTTATGGGCCATGTCACTTGGTCTCTTGTCAAAATTGCGGTTCTCCTCCCTCCTTCCAACGCGTCAAGCCGGAACGGTGAGTTAAGCTTTCAAGTCTCGCAACAGGAAGTGCCAATTTAGGATCTGGCAACTTGACTCGGACTGTGAAGCAACCCGCAACAAGATGGCTGGTACACGAGAATTAGATAAAGTAACGAGTAAGTACTATGACCGATGGGCCCTCCAGGGATTGTGGGCCAATAGACGCCACCGAAGGCAAATATTAGTAAACAACGCGTCCGCGTACTACTGACGCGCGACTCGTTCTGACAACCGCGCCGTTGTCCTTGGCAGACTTTTGGCTTGTCGTCTTACTTCTGGCTCGTACGCGCTATGGCTTTGATTGAAGATGACCCGAAGGGCTCTCAGAAGATGAAGCAGAAGAGTCTCATGTCGTTCTTTGGCAAGCAACCGCAGGCCAAAGCGAGCGCGTCAGCGCCGAAGGAACCAAAGACGCAGACGAAAGCGAGGAAAGGGACGTCGAAGCCTGGCGCGACGGACGTGTCATCGTCAAGTCCATTAGTGGTGGAGGCACGAACTCCGTTGTCTAAAACAGTGTCGCAGTCGTCAGCCGTTACCAGCGCGATGTATACCCGTAGTTCGGACGGCGGCTTCAGCGCCCGTGACACGCCCCCGACTAGCGACCCTATTGACGTGGATATGCTGTCCGGTGATGACGATATAGGCAGTATCAAGGCCGCAAAGAAATCGGTGAGTACATGCGCGTTCGTTTTGCTGTATCGCGTTATGACATGGTCTATTGTAGGCGAATACGAATCGCAAGCGTAAGGCTGTAGTGGAAGACTCAGATGACGACGAAGGAGGCATTGATGCAATCGCATACATCAAGAGGCAATCTGCTAAGAAGCGGTCTCCCGATCCTGTCTCCACAAAGAAACCGCGTGTCGCAGCTCTTTGCCTTCCGACGACGAGCAAGACAGTGATGATGCAAGTGCGCCGCAGGTCAAGTCTTTCTCGCAGCGCCTTACAAAGTATCAAAAGTCTCCTGCTCAGAAGAAGCCCAACAAAGGCATGTCGTTCATTCCAGTCACTGTTACGCTACCGCGGTTCGGGTCTCTGCACTGAGGGATCTTTGAGGACAATGGGTGCTTGTGCTTTTTGTAGTTTCTCACTCAGGGTGTCTCAATTCGCACAAACGGAGTTGCGGGACCCTTGTTTGAGGCCATCCGAGAGATGGACAACGAAACTTCGCGTTGACGGCAACTGCAGTGAGGGAGGATGAAGGTTGCCTAACAAGGCGTGTTTCGATATTTGAAACCAGCTTGACTTAACAGTCAGGTGAGACGTGTTGTCTGTGATTTGTTTCCAAGAAGTCAGCTGCAGGGAGCTGACGAACCATGACACGATGACCTCGCGAGCGGTGTTTGATGTTGGCGTACACTCGGAGCCATCGTCCAATCTATGGTTTTTGGCCTGCAAAGTGCTGACTGTTCTTGACCATAGCGCGTCGAAAGGCATACGAAGATGACGATGACGACTTCATTGTCCCCGATGACGAGGCAGAGCCAGAAGATAACCTTGACGACGACGATCACCGCTCATCCTCCCGTGCATCCTCTCGTGCCTCTGGCTCATCGCGCCTCTCAGCCTACGCCCACTCCTCAGCTGCATCGGAAGCTGAGTCCGACTCTGCCGCTCCCTTGGCTAGTAAAGTCAAAGCGTCTGCACGCCCCGCGATCAAGAAGGATGACAGGTCAAAGGGCGGCAACAGTTTCTTGACCGCCGCTGAACAGCGTGCACAGAAGCAGAAGGTGGACAAGAAAAGCTCAGAAGATCCGTTCGCGTTCCTGCAAGACGTTAGGGACAAGGATGGCGTGCGACCGAGCGAACCGGGATATGATCCGCGCACCTTGTACATCCCCGCGAAAGCGTGGACGGGATTCACGCCGTTCGAGAAGCAGGTATGGGCACCTCTGCCGAGATTTACGAGCACTGTGCTGAACTCGGGCTCAGTTCTGGGAGATCAAGCAGAACCACTTCGACACGGTATTGTTCTTCCAGAAGGGCAAGTTCCTTGAACTGTACGAAGAGGATGCAAGGATCGGGCATCGTGAGTTTGACCTGAAACTGACACAGCGAGTCAAGATGTCCATGGTCAGTAAATCAATTGAGGTTTTATAATACATATTTAGCTTCTGACTATTTCTCAGGTCGGTGTCCCAGAAATGTCGTTCAACTTCTGGGCAGCCAAGTTCCTTGCTAAAGGTGAGCGACGTTGAACCTGCCATATATGCGCGTGTTGATTGGCTGGTCAGGCTACAAAGTCGGACGCGTTGACCAGGCCGAGACAGCGCTCGGTGCGGAGATGCGACTCGCCGCGGACAAGAAAGGCGGAAAGTCGAAAAGCAAGCCCACCGCAGAGGAGAAGGGCAAAGACAAGATCGTCCGGCGCGAGCTCAACAAAGTGTACACAAATGGCACCCTCGTGGACGCGGAGCTGCTCACGGACGAACAAGCTGGCCACTGTGTCTCGATTCGCGAGGCGGAGAGTGAGGACGGAAAGGACCAACAGACCTTCGGTGTCTGCGCGCTCGACAGTGCAACCAGTGAGTTCAACCTAAGCTCATTCGAGGACGACGTGTGTAGGACGAAGCTGGAGACGTTAATGCGGCAACTCCGCCCGAAGGAGGTCATCTTCACCAAGGTGAGTTTGCGCGACTGATGGCAGGCTAGTTCTGACCCCTTGTTTAGGGTAATCTATCCGTGTCGACCACACGCCTGCTCAAGGCCATTCTTCCCGGCAACTGCTTGTGGACAAGTCTGCGGGACAGCGAAGGTTTCACGTACAACCAGACGCTCAAGGAGCTGAACAAGCTCTTCCCCGCTTCCGACGATGACGATGAGATGGCCGATGCCGCACATAGCCTGAGCAGTGCTGTTCCCGAGGCTATACGGGATATGGCTGGCCAGCAAAATGCAGTCGAGGCCTTGGGGTCCATGATCTGGTGCGTAGTAGCGCGGATCGGAGAACTGCTTTGGTGATTCAATCTCGGGCAGGTATTTGAACACACTCAACATTGACAAGGATATCTTGAGCATGAAGAACTTCAATATCTACGATCCCATGAAGCGCGGTCAAGGGCTCGTCCTTGACGGGCAGACGCTTGCGCACATTGAGGTTTGTGATCCGTCGTTTGTGAGCGATGGCGTAGCTCACGTTGTCGCCAGGTCTTAGTGAACAGCGAAGGTACCGAAGACGGATCTCTGTTGAAGCTGCTTTCGCGTTGCATCACCCCCTCAGGCAAGTCGTAACCGCATGCGACATCACTCTATACTCAGCTGTCTCATCAGGCAAACGACTCTTCCGTATCTGGCTCTGCATGCCTCTTCGAGAAGTTGCCGATATCAATGCTAGGTCTGAGCGTCCAGGCGTATTGGCAAGTTAGTTGGCTCACGTTGTTTGTCCTTCAGGCTGGATGCTGTTCAGGACCTCCTAGACCATGCCACCTTCGAAGGCGAGTTCACGAAGGTAGCGAAAGGTCTTCCGGACCTCGAACGTGTCGTATCTCGCATACATGCTAAGAACTGCAAAGTCAGAGATTTCCTGAAGGTTCTGACTGTATGTGGATCACCCTGTAGACGCGAGCATCCGGAGTCCATTGACCCTTCTCTGAGTAGGCGTTCAAGTCGCTTAGCACGGGTCTGTCGGAGCTCGCCGACATCTCTGAGACGTTTCAGTCAAGGACCATCCTCGGTCTGCTGCGGTCTGCACCGGACCTGCTTCCGCACATCAAGCATGTGAAGTCTATGTTCAAGAAGCCTGAGGATAGTAAGTGGTAGAGCGTTGTTCCAACGCGATGCCTCATTGTCGCTCAGATGCGGACGAGTTGGTCCCTGAAGATGGCAAAGACAAGGTATATGATGAGATCATGGAGGAAGTTCGAGAGCTGGAGGAGGAGCTTGATGACGAGCTCAAGAAACTCCAGAAGAAAGTCGGGTGCGTTGGCTGGTGACTTCATACCTTTTGATAGCGGTCTAACCCAAAATCAGCTTTAACTTGACCTATTGGCATAGTGCTATAGGCACCAAGGTATGTCTGACATGTGCGACGAACCAGAAATGCATCAGAGCTTGGCATTAGGATATCTACCTGGTGCAGACCAAAGCTTCGCAGAAGGAGGTTCCGAAAGACTGGACGAAGAGCGGGTCAACTAAGGTGAGACAAACATCACTTATCACGGTACATAGGATAATCATGAATGATCCTGTCCCTACCAGGCTGCTGCACGATACGTTGTGCCCGCTTTACAGCCGACCATACGGAAACTCAAGGAGGCCAGGGAGAACCGGAATACCGCCATCAAGGAGTTCAAAATAAGGCTGTACGCTGAGTTCGACGCTGATCGAAGTGTATGGTTGCGCGCCGTCAGGGTTCTTGCCGAGTTGGATTGCCTCTTCAGTCTCGCGAAAGCATCTGCAGCGCTCGGTGAACCCTCTTGCAGGCCGGAGTTTGTAGAAGGCGACGCCGCTTGGGTTGACTTCGAGGAGCTGAGGCATCCAGCCCTGTGTGCGAGTACGGGGTTGAAAGGTGACTTCATCCCGAATGATGTCAAGCTTGGCGGAGAAGTGGGAAGAATAGCCCTACTCACTGGTACGTTCAACACTATGTTCTCGGAGATTCACTTTACTGACGTGTTGCAACACTCTAGGACCGAACATGGGGTAAGTGATCCACGGTAAGGTAGATATGTAGTGACTGACTAACTATCACGCTCATCAGAGGGAAGTCTACTGTAAGTCTTAGCACTTCGTCTTTACCTTTCTGTTGCTGATTGGCTTACTAGGCGATGAGAATGTCCGCTACGGGGGTGGTGAGTATACCTGGTCACGCTGAGAAGTTGTGCTTATCACCGTTGTCTAGATCATGGCCCAGCTAGGCATGCTGGTGCCAGCAAAGAAAGCTAGGTTGTGCCCGGTCGACTCGATATTAACCCGTATGGGCGCATACGACAACATGTTCTCCAATGCTAGCACCTTCAAAGTAGAATTGGATGAATGGTATGTCAATGAACGAGTGACAACACGAATGTAATCTGATTGGGCCGTACAGCTGCAAGATCCTACGTGACGCCACACCTAAATCACTGGTGATTCTTGATGGTGAGTATCCGCACGCTTCATACATTGGCCGCGTTGACAGGTTGCGGTACAGAACTTGGTCGAGGCACATCGACATATGTGAGTGGGAGGATCTCAGTACGAATGATGACAGCTAACACTGCGCTAGGATGGCATGGCTATTGCAGGGGTACGCACTCTAACTACTTCCTCATTATCCCATAATTGATATCGCCTCTCAGGCCGTCTTGCATCAGCTCGCTACTCATACGCTGGCACTCTCATTCTTTGCGACGCATTACGGTTCCCTGACAGATGACTTTGCTTATCACCCGAATATCCGTAACATGCATATGCAGACATTGGTCGACGACGAGAAGCGCGAGGTACCTTGTTCTTTGTTCCTCATGTCCATGGACATCGATGCTCATTATCGCCCACGTCAGCTCGTCTTCCTGTACAAGCTCGTCGAAGGTGCGCCTTGTCTTCCTTCGGTACACACGTCGCCAGCCTCGCAGGAGTACCCCAGGAGGTGGTCGAGCGCGCCGACGTCGTCTCCAAGGACTTTGCTCAGCAATTCAAGGAGAAGATCGAGGGCAAGCGCAGCTCGGCTTCCGGGCGCCTGCCGCTCGTCGCCCAAGCCGACTTTGCGTACCTGTATGGGTTGGCGACCGGTAAACAGGAACTCCCTGAGAATCCGGTACGCCAGAGGGAAGTACTCAAGATCTTGAAGGGTGCTGTGAGTGGTTACCTGAAGGCGGCTTCTGCGTAACCGAAGGCTCGGAAGACCCAATGTCGTCATGCTCAAAAGTACTAGTTATCGTATAGTGTATCATACAACTTTCGTGCTTTGTCGTTGCTGATCGTGCTGTACATAGACCTGTATCATAATGTCGATGGAACTGCTGTCATATGATATCCGACTGCGTTGATGGAGTTCTGGTCTGCGGTTGAGTGGACCTCAATCCTATAATTAAGCCTCAGGAGCGACCTACGCTGTTCCAGTTCAAATGTTCTTTCTGGGCTTATTGAGCTGTATCAAGGATAACTATGAGGACAAAACTGAGTAGCTGAGCGCTCATCAGTTCGCGATCACGGTACCTCGTATATCGCTCCTGCCGCGTGTCCGCCCCTTTTGTCTCTTCATTCACTGAGTCTGAGGGTGAGCACATCAGTTTTCTTGCTCTACATATCGGCCCTTGCTCACGCGTACACCTCGGTCCGCTCTTCAAAGGCATTTTCTGTGCTTCCGTTCAAGCTGCAGCCGTAGCTTCGTTCCCCGAGTTCAACACCTCAAGCTCTCGTCGCAAATGCTAGTGGCACTGCTGGTCAAGATATTCCTCTGGATCCGCAGGATCACTCAATATACAGAGGATCGACCTTATGCGGCTCCCACTTCAACCCAGACGTCTAGCGTGATCAAGCCTGCACCGGTCACCATTCATATACACCCGTACCACCCAAATCATGCCGGCCCTACAGCGCAATGTACGTAGGTCCTCCTGTGGTACCGTAACAGACCGTCTTCATTGAGCATGTCAACCTTCAGGAGCACAGAAATCGTCCAGGCCAGTGCATACCCAGTCACCGACATCTAGCAATCCGTGCTGAGATGGAAAAGAGGTATCCCCTTTGTTCACGCCACGCTGATGTGTCCGCATGTCTCACCATCCTATGTCAAGGACGCTGAACTGCGCTCCGCCAGGGAGCGCAATTCAGACTGCCGGCGAATTGGCAACTTGAACGAGAGTGCGGGCGCCAGTGGCTCCGCACGTCCGTGCGTTCGCCCTGGGAGTGGCGCAGGCTCACCAACCAGCGACGACGAGTCGACTACCAGCACGCTCACGCCGCTCAGTTCACCGGAACCTGAGACTCCAGGGACGTCGCCCTATCGCGAGGTGGGGTCGTACGGGCTGCGCATTCAACCAGTACAAAGCCCCACCATTTCGCGCTGCTTCCCCGATCCCAAGCCGGAGCCGTATGAGTCGTCTTCTGGACGACAAGCAGGAGAGCCGCGCCCGTCCGATGTTTCCCTGGGGAAGCGCCCCGAGAGATGGCAGGAGACCAGTAGCAGTACTTGGCCCGCCCCAAGGCGTCGATCGACATTCCCTGCTTTGAATTGGCGCAGAGAGTATTCTGTACAGCAGTTTACCGTGTAAGTTCGCACATTCAACACTGCAGCTTCAAGACACTTACCTCCGACGTCTCGCCACCAGTGACCCCCGTCGCGAACGCGCAATCCGGTCTCGCAACGAGAAGGTAGTGTGGCCACCGCCAGAGGGACCACGCTCTCGAGCGTACCCCTCCCCGCGACGACAGCCGACCTCGCCGACCTCTACGTCAACCTCTTCGAGGAACAAGGCGCGCTCCGCTGGCGGGTGTGGTTGCGCGTGGAGCCACCCGCCTGGGAGCTGATCGGGGAGAACCATCCCCACCCGTTCATCCAGGGCTACGTGCTCCGCATGCTGGACAATGGCCAGCCGCGGTGGGTAACGAAGCACACGTACCGCACATATGTCTGGCATTGGAAGAAACTGGGATTTGGCCTGTGGAGGGTATTAGGTCGGGGCCGTCTCGCTCGCCGTGAATGAGCTCCGAACCTGTGCTATCCAAGGCAATCCTCCGAGTTAGCAAGAATGCTTCAGTCCGTACAAGTCAAGCCACCGAATCTCCAAGACTCCAAGATACATCGACTAGGAAATAAACAGCGTCGCTCTCGCAAATTGTGTACATGCAATGTAACAATGTATTCTTACAATCGTCAGGTTTCGCAGCGGAGCCATGCACACCGTGATGGCAGCGTCAATTGGCGGCGTACAGCTCGAACTCCCAGGGCAGCTTCTGTCTGGGCCCGTTCTCCGTGAACCAAATCCGCCGTAACCTGCACGTTGCGTGCACCTTGACGTACGATACGTGTGAGTACGTTCCACTGGGTACCGCAGCCCGTCCGGCGGCGTCTGGCTCACGCGGTACATCGTCGGGAGGGAACGCATCGTCTTCGTCCAGATCTTCATCCGCGTCCCCGGATCTCCTGTGCACGAGAAGGGCAGAGGAGAAGTGTGGCAGAAGGGAGGGTAGGTTGAGCGTGATTGTCGACCAGGACGTCAAGGGACGGGATGACGACGTCGGGAACGCCAGCGGCAAGTGTAAGAGTGGGCGTTTTCCCAGCTTCAGTCGAGGTTCCTTCTGCGAAACCAAGTGTGAATGAAGGGACGCAGAGGTCGACACATGCAGAGAGAGGATCTCACAAGTCTCGCGGCGGCGACATGCAGCAGTACTAGTCATCACAGTCTAAGTCGTAAACAACGGAATCAACAGTACCTGAAACGTCGAGCACCGCACGATGCCCTCTCTCCCGACTGATCCACCACGCCGACTTCGAACGACCACTCTCTATCCAGGTTGCGCACTTGGAGGTGTATCCACGGATGCTCGAGCCCAAGTCGCCTACCCTCGCGCGTGTGCTTCGGCCGGAGCCCGACCACCCCAGCGGTGGGCATCGCATATACGTCGTTCGCAGCGTAGGAGATTGGATGTGAAGGACCGTCTGGTCCAACTGGTAGTCTGGCCTGTCAGCCTCGTGCTCTTCACCGAGCGAGATGAGGTTTGCCGGCGGCGGCGGTGTGGAAGGGATGTTGAGTCGTTCAGAAGACATATGCAAGAGTCTGCCGACAGTGACTTGTCGGTGTGCGATGAAAGAGGGTGAGAGGGTCGCTTCCGTCGACGAGAAGAGCGAGATGAGGGGTGGTTGCACGGCGGAGGAGAACATGAGCACATGGGCGTCTATGAACACGCCCTCAACCTACCTCCACCTACATACCTGGAGTCGACCCCTTCTCTCACCATCTCTTCGCGCGTTCGACACTATGTGATCGTGATCTGATCTACGACACTCCCGTGGCTGTGTTAATGGCTGGTTTATGATCACCGGTAGTCCTCCATGCAGCTCAATGCTGGCATTAGGCTGCAGTTCGGACGTCACGGTGCGTACGTACTGACCACGAAGAATGGTACCGTCGCTGATCTGCTTTTACCTGTAGCACATGCTACGTTATGACTAACGAGAATCCGACATCTGGCGCGCCGTGCTGTACATGTGTACTTCGGCCCAGACACTCAGACTGATTCGACGGATCATTGCATACGTGGCAACCTGAGGCAACATCCAGACTACTAAGTAGCTCTCGAACTCTATGGATCCAATTGTCGAACTGTTCCGTCACAGTTGAGCCTGTTCACTGGCTCTGTTCGCTGTCGGGCCTGGTTCTCGGATGATGAAACAAGGTAAGTATTCACCTACGTACACGAACAGAGCAAATAGAGTGCTGATAATAGTACTACAGTGTGTACGTACGCCGGTGAGTATACTTTGTCTAGACTCGTGCGTCTAGTTACTGGATCATTGACTTCCATTGTCTTCAGGTCACCGGTCAGCTGGGACGCCTGCAGCCATTATGGTTTGCAATGGAGACTAAGTGGTCACTGCGCCCTTTCCTGACTTCGAAGTGACGTTCTGACTGACGTAAAATCACCACTTACTTAGCAGCGTCTGTGTCCACAAGCGCATTGATACTCCTCACAGGTGAGTACAAATTCATGTCAGACAATGCCGGTGTCATGTGTTGCGGTCTGTATGGGTGTACCGCTGCCGGCTCACACGAAATCTTCATATAACGTCTATCAGACAACTGGTCGAACTGTCCGTGTGATCAAATACTACTGCATGGAACCCACGCCTTACGATAACGGCGCCTGCGTCTGAGTGAAGGCCATCGACACCCTTGGTACGGCAGGTTGTGCTGACCTCGCCTTCGAGACAGTGCTAGTCAGTACGCCTGCTTCTGTGGCGTGCCATTCACGACTAGAGGGCCGTACCGATCGAACTGGACTGTTTCGCCTCTGCGCCTGCAAGTATCCCGATAACTCGGCGCTGCCATGCCTGTCTGGCATGTACGAAAGGAAGCCGTCGGCGTTTGAATGATAGCACTCGTGCCGACTCTCGTCCCACATATGGAGCTGTGGCGTGCGACCGAGGTGCGACCTAGTTTCGACCTAGTGTCTACATATACCCCGCACGGCCTCCCGAGGTAGCTAACGAACGCTCGCCTGTGTACCGTTTTACAGTACAGGCCTCTGAATCCTTCATCTACAGTCTACTACCTCTCTTACTTGCCTGCCAATCTGCCGGTCGTGGAGCCTGAGGTACGCATTCCTTTCGAGTCGATACGGCAGACCTAGGCAATCTGTCCGAGGCTCTATGCATCTTACCTTATTTGGGACTAGTCGCCATAGTATTCCATTCAGAAAGAGGACATCAAGGACCGCTCGTTGGTCGCCGAGTCACAAGCAACGCCTCGGTCGAGCTCTGCCATCTACTTGTCGGGTGCAAACATGAGCAATGTATCGTTGTCGGTGGGAATCTACTTCATCAGGTGGTGACCGTGCTTCGGACTCATCAATGTGCGCGCAGTCGTCGAGGTCTCCCTCTCAGGCGAAGACACACACAATGCATTCGCGAAGCTCGTCTACAGCGATGAAGGTACGGGCTCGCCAGCTTCAGCCCCTCAATACAAGGCAGTTGACACAGACCTGAGCAGTCGAACGTGAACGCGGATCGAGCAGAGATGCACGAAGGAGTTGGAGACAGCCCGGCAAAGAAACTCGAAGTTGCTCTTTCCAATGTCCTCGCGAAATGCATGGTTCCGCGGGAGCCGCAGAACGCACCAGACGCATGGTCACAATCAGCGGACGAGATTTCGTCTCATGAAAAAGACCGTGTACAGCGATTGCGGAACGAGTCAACGCGCTCTTGGTCCTCGTAAGTCCTTCGATGCTACTGATCATGCAACCGGCACGAAGGGTACTGGGAACTGATCCGTTCGTAGTCTTGCTTGTTCTCCATTGTCATCGCAGCCTTTTTAGGCCGATACTACGCCTTAACGCGACCAGCACCAGACTTCAACACGGGCATCCTCGAACACATATCCTGCAGCTGGGAATCTGGCTTCTAACGCCGCTCTCGCTGATCATCGACACCGAGGTTCCTCACATCCACAAGCCTGCCCTCACCGCCACTGCGCCCTGTGGATCGCACCATTGTGGTTCGCTTCTCTGGCGCTCAGCCTTGGCGCAGCATCGGTTGCCCTAGTCCTCAAACAGTGGTTGAGTGCTCATGCATCATAGCTTGTCCATATCATCTCGTCTTCGTGGCTGCTCACGATAAACCCGAGGTAATGCAGGTCTACATTGCGTTGCGCGGGGAGTGACGTTCTTTCCGCAGACCATGCTTCCCGGAACATAGTGGAGCCACACTCGTCAGGTAGTGTGCCGTATGCAGATTGTATTCCTATCCCATCAATGCAAGATTGTACTCCATCCAATGCATTTGGCACGAGTGCCTACTTAATGCGCCGAATGGTTTTCGACCATTATTGGACATGATGGCGAATTCCAGGTGAGAATTGGTACGATGCTCGTTCAAACTAGACGAATGAACATACAGGAACTACTAATACATGTGAATATACTGTAACTTCGTGTGCCACAACTGTTACTAGTGATAAGCGGCCGAACAACCTTTGCTCGCCACTGCGTGCGTTAGGTATGAGTGAGTAAATTGCGAAGCATAGCCTGAGGCCTGAGTCCTTCGAAGCGATGGCACTGGTCCTTAGTGAAGTCTCGCCGTGGCGCCGCACTTCGGAGTCAAGACGATCGACTCGGAGAGAATTTGAGGGTCGCCGGCGTGCCGTTTTGCACGGTCAGCAGGCTTGCTTGCTTCAGAAGGGGAAAGAGGTCCTGCTGAGTGCGGATACCATCGCTCAGCCAGCCTTTCCCCTCCAGGAGCCGCAAGCACTGCATGATCCAGTCGCGGCAGTTCCACTGATCGGAGTCAGGCTGAGGTGTGTTCCCGGCGACAATCTACCCGCACGTATTCGTCAGACTCGACTCATACGATAGAATAGGCAGGTTTGTGTGGACATACCTTCTTGAACTCCTTCAAATCCGACTTCATGATCGTGCCGATTCGAACGCCCCCAAGACACATCGAACTCTTCATCAATGACACGCTGTCCGCGTACGAGATATCCCAGGCGACGCCGTCGCGAGTGTGGTTGATGCGATTGGTGACTTGATACATGGGGCCGGACAGGTCGTGCTCGCCGGCAATAACCACGAGTGCCCAGTGAAAGCTTTCCTCGTCGCCAACGCCGTAGTGACCTCGCTTGTACTGTGCGATCACCAGGGCGTACTCGGGATCGTCTTGCTGGCAAGCCTGCGAAACAGTTTAGACATGATGGGTCGAGACGGCGCAGTGAAATGGTCGGTTCCGGGGAGTCGAGCAGAGTGTGGATGGTGTTTGAGGATGTAGCGGTCCTTATATGCTGTTCGTCCTGTTGTTGAATCTCAAGATGACCGGCTCTACAAGTCAAGGCTGCGACAGGACCTTGTCGCTTTGTTCTCGCTTAGCGTGGTCCTGAGTCGTGTAGTCCTGGTTGGTATGCAGGCATCCACCGCATGCGCAGAGATGTCTAAAAAGGGGATTGCCTGTTTCTGCAGTAGCAGTTGGAAGTTCATACGTACACAAGGATGCTCTTTAACGTTCGTACGCAAACCCCCATTGTCCAATTTATGACACGGTTGAAGTCTGTAGCCCCAATGGGCTGGTGGCGTTCCCAACCATAGGAGTCGTCGTGACCACAACACGATCGATACCTAGTTCTCATGGTGAGTGCGGATGTGGCACAATGCTGACCCAGGTATTGAATACCACACACCAGACGTATGCCGACATGTATGTTCAGACTGGTACTTTCCACCCTCCGGCCAAGCCCATCACGTTATATGGATCATATCTCTCCTTGACCGCCACCATCTCGCCTAGGGACGTCCCGTAAATGCTCGCTAACTAGTGCCGTAGAGTGCATAGTTCGGATAGCGGGTGCTGCTGGGACGAGGACTTGTCCTTCGCTGACCGCCACCTCGGTCAGGTTGTAGCAGTTGCCACGAGCGCGTTGTAGAAATCCGAGTCGTCCGTTGCGTTGGTCCACGCGAAATAGATTCAGCGGGAGGAATCGTGGAGCACGCGTCCATGGATACGCCGAGGGCCACCGTGGTGAGTATCGTTGGCAGGAAGGTTCAACGTCGTAGCTGAAGAGTGTTCCGAGTCGGACGCTAGAATCGATTCCCAGTACTGCCAGTAGTTCATAAGAGGAGCCGTGGAGTTATTGCTCTCGCGTACCTGCAGCTGACTCACGACAGCCTCTAACAGAGGATCGTAATTCCATGAGCGGGACAGTGTTTAATACCCTCTAACCAAATCAGCTTCAAATGACGGTGCAAAGCGTGAATAAAACTCACCTCAATTTGACGAGTACTCGTATCCTCGCTGAGCACCAGGTCAGGTAGGTACGAGTGAGGACATTGCTTTCCAACGTGGGAATGCCAGGAACTCGTCAAAGATCCCGCAGGCTGGGACGGCGCATCATAAAACATCAACAAAGAGATCACAGCTATCCGTGGCGTATTAAAAAGGCGACAAGGCAAGCAGACCAATGCACGTACCGCTCCAGACTCGTAGTCATACGTGGTGATGAGGGCTGCTTTGGATCGGTCACGTTGTTGGCGAAGTTGGCAGTGGCCGCATTGACCTGGTCGGCGTACTGGCCAAGGATGATGTTTTGACCACCCTAGGCGTTTCTATGGTATCAGAGGGACGAATCAGCTGTATCGAAAAAATCAACACACCCAGACGAGGCCTTGTGGATAGGTTTGATAGTAAACGTCGTCACGATTCCCTGTCAGATGTAACGTCGCATGAGTTTGTGTCCAGGCTGGAAGCCCTGTACACCGCACATAGTTATTGTATCCACCCTACCTGACATCAATATCCTGCCTAGTAAAAGGAGCTGACGCTTTCTGACCTTCAAGGCCCAAAACAAATCTGGATGTGTCGATTCCGTGACATTCGTCGCCGTACCATTGGGCAAGACCAGCTCAAATGCGCGAACCGTGTCAATTGTAAGTCCGTACTGGTTCGTCAGATACGAGTATCCTGGAATATCGCTGAGCATCAACAGTGTTATGACGGATCATTGACACATACCTCCTCCTAGAGTATATCCGGCCACGCCGATACCCGAGACTCTTCCACCTACGACGTTGACATTATACGGGAGCAGTGCCTCGTATACGTTGTCCCAGATGTTACCAGCACCAACTGCAACGGTGCCTGTGCTGGAGTCATAATCGATGCTAGTAAAACGCGACATCGCGATCTGCACGCCGGCGGTGGAAGAGTAGTTGGGGTTCATGATATGCCCCCGCCTTTGATCTGAAAGGCGACTGTGATCAACGCTCATCTTAAGTACAAAGTACAGAGATGCTCACACCAAATGGTGTCCTAGTTGATCCCAAGATGGTGAGCTGGTTGTTACGAGATGATGCCCGATCAGCGTCCCACACATGCTCGTAAAGCAAGTATAACATACAATTGTTCCAACATCCTCAACCGTTCCTGGCTCCACAGAGCACGCCGCGGTCTGAGAACTAGACGTAGCATAGTGATATATATCTGCGATATACGAAGGCTCCGCTGCAATATAGCAATTTCAGGTACAAAGCAAGTGGCTACAGGTGACCATGGTGACGTACGATCGTAGAACACTCCAGATGCCAGGGATACAGAGTTCGAGATCTGCTGACAGACTGATAGTGTGCCTTGTCCCTGGACGAGAGAGACATATACCAGGGCAGCGACCACAGTAGAAGCAAATTCGTTGACGTGGACCATCGCGGAGCGAGGTGATCGTCGGTAGCCAGACGACGACACCCGGAAGAGCGTAGGGAGGCGGACGCGAGGCGAGATTCCGGACTACTCGATGTCTGGGAGGACACTGCTTATATGCGACAGACCGTCCCAGCGACGGGCCGTGCGTGAGTCCCATCAAGCATAGGCTCAAAGACCTCGCCAGGGATAGTCTGAAACTGGAGCAAGACGGGTTCATTCTACACGCTCCATAAACTCCCGCATATGCAGATGTTCAAGGAGGCAGACCTGATCTATGCCTCCATTAAGGTATGATTCCAAGTTTAATTTGTCAAATAGACTCACCCATTAAACGCCGACCGTTATGGCTGACGAATTTGGTTATCCCATCGTCATACGGGTGAGGCGCACTACGGCGTACAGACTGGATTTATCACCCACTCGTGTGCTACCCAGATGTAGGTAGCGTGGCCAACTTGCACGACATGCATTTCTTGGTGCAAATTCAAAACGGCGAGTGAGTCCGCTATGTATGCATCGTAAGTTTCGAGATAAGCTCACATACCGGGGCCGAACTTGACAGCGGGTGGATACCTCGCAGGTCCGATGTCTCATGCGCACTGATTCGTGAGATACCATCCTAGGGCTTCAGTATTCCTGAGACCTGCATTCGGAAGACGTATCTAGTTGGGTCACCACATGCACCTGTTGCCACACAGCGCTCCGTTGAAGCGAGACACCCGACAGGGGCACAGTATAAGACAACTTGGGGATGCGTCACATCGGTTGCAATTGGTGTGGTGCCCGAACGCTTGCTCGTGCAAGCTTATTCGACCTGTGTACTTGATGGCGCTCGGGAATGTTTACGCAGTGTAGTTACTAACACCTGTCAGTCTATGATGATGTTGACAGGGCCTGCATTCGCGACGTCAGACAAAGCATTTGCATTATATTTGCGTTCAGAAAGACTCACTTCGTCCAGCGTGCAGAGCGTCATACGAAGACAGCCTTCGGACATGCTGAATGTCAGATCGCACCGCATTCTATACAAGATGTCGCCAGAGGAACTTACTAATGAATTCAACCGCACATGCCGACCTATGCTTCTTTCAAGCTAGTGCGTTAACCTTTTGCAGTTTGGTTTGTAAGAAGACCGACACTACAATGCATGCGCACGTACAAAGCATGTGCGAACTACGCCTATCCGATAATCCTTGCTGTGATTGATTCCGGAAGTACGAACATGATATCACAACCGCTGAGTTGCACTGACGGGAGAACCGAGGCTAACGAGACACCGAAGGGCGAAACTTTCAACATGCGGCGACGGCTTCCGGCAACATTTTGGGCTGGCTGCCAGCAAACGCGGTGGATGGGTCGGGGATGCCGGGAAGGAGCCCGAGTCTAGATTGCCGGTCGCCCGTTTGCCAGACGTCTCAGCCAAGTCTGAGAGTCCAAGCCACGCAGAACCACATGCGTGTGTCAGCGACGCGACTGCTGCAGAACGCCGGAGCTCGTAAGTGGCGCCCCAAATTATTTTGACGACGAAATATGTTCCGGCATGTCCGGCATGCGTCGAATCTACCCATCAGTGAAATTCAGAATATAGCTGAGACTCACCTGGTCTCTGTTCGTCGCGTTCGTCGCCCACCCAGGCTGAAAACACCAACGGACAGGTCCGGCAGGACTTGGGAGATCTCGAGAGAACACGCAAAATTGCCCATCCAAATTCAAGCGCCGTGCTGGCCAGCGCCACAACGGATACTTGCTGCACATGGAAGGTGCCGAGGGCGGGCCGAGGTTAAGCATCCTTCCACCCTCCCCAGAATCGCCCAGATAAACATAAACGAGTGCGGGAGGACCGTTTAGTCCATTCCATGACATAGTCGTCGCTGCGGAGGCAATCGGTTGGTAAGCTACGTGCGCGAGGCAACCTGCGTCAACGATGTCCCCGTTGCTGTATAAAATGGGCCGGACACTGCCCAGCAGAATAATATCAATCCTCTGCCCGACATGGCCCCTGCCCACCCAAAGACGTACAAGGCATATGCTTTCCTCGAGAAGGGCGGGCCCCTGAAGCCCATCGTCGTCGACTGGAAGGACCCGGCACCCGGAGAGGTTGTTGTGAAGGTCCTCGCATGTGGAGTCTGTGCCAGGCACGTCGGCCCGAACTCCTGCTCGCCCTCGTCGCGGTATTGATGTAACACATCTGTAGTGACGAGATGGTCAAAGGGCAATTCTTCCCGACCCAAGCCTACCCCCGCGTGCCGGGTCACGAGATCGTCGGGGACGTCGTCGCGGTGGCTGACGGCGAGAAGTCCTGGAAGACCGGCGACCGCGTCGGCGCAGGCTGGCATGGCGGCCACTGCAATTCCTGCCGACGCTGTCGCATCGGCGACTTCGTGACATGTCCCGTCGGTGCTGCCTGCCCAACAGGTGAGTACGTTCGCCAGGAGAAGCGGCCACCTCTGACCTGAGGTATCACAGGCATTGGCAGGGACGGAGGGTACGCGGAATACGCCACGCTCAGGTCCGAGTCGCTTGCTAGCATCCCTACGGACCTGGACCCCGCCGAGATCGCACCACAGCTGTGCGCTGGTGTGACGACGTTTAGTAAGTGACCGCGCGCACTAGTCAATCCCACAATACCTGACCGTCGACTCTCCAGACGCTCTCCGACACATGCAGAGTACACCGCCGGACATCGTGGCCGTTCAAGGCATCGGGTACGTCCACCCGCATCACCCACGCACACCCTAACTGACCCCACAACAGCGGCCTCGGCCACCTCGCCATCCAATTCGCGCGCAAGATGGGGTTCCGCACCATCGCGCTCTCCACGGGCACGAGCAAGAAGGAGCTAGCCCTCTCCCTCGGCGCGCACGACTTCATCGCGGGCACCGCCTCAGAGCAGGCGGCCGCGCTCCAGAAGCTCGGCGGCGCGCGCCTCATCATGTGCACCGCGCCCGACACGCAGGCCATGAGCGAGCTCATTAACGGCCTCGACTACGACGGCGAGCTCCTCGTGGTGGCGGTTGCTGCGTCTGCTATTGCAGTGCCTGTCCGTAAGTGATCTTCCGTCTACGCTTCGCTGGACAGGCAACTGACGTACCGTTCAACTGCAGCGCCCCTGTTGACCAAGCGCGTGGTGATCCGTGGATGGCCATACGGCACTGGCTCGGATTGCGAAGACACGGTGCACTTCGCTCGGGCCCACGACGTGAAGGTCATGGTTGAGAAGTTCCCTCTCGACCAGGCACAGGAAGCGTTCGACCATCGCGCCACTGCCCGGTTCCGCGCTGTCATCGTCCCATGATGGCCTTCCGTGACGAGAGCTACTAGACTACTTCATAGAGTACGTGTCGGACTATAAGCCTGGATTATAGAGGTTAGTAGAGCATAGCCGTCTAGAGCAATCCATAACCTGTATACCTGTCATCGAGGCATCGAGGCATATGTTGAGAAAGGCTTAAACAGATCATGTTAATGATCACGTACGAACCTGTCAATGCTCGATATTTCGTCTTCAACGCCGACGAATACAGCAGACACCTGCCCCAACTTCCACAATATCCACCCACACCAGCAGAACGCAACCTATACGCCCGGCTTCCAACAGACGAAACACAACACTCGATAGAAAACCATCAAAGCATCCAGATAACAGAGTCAGCGCGGTCCCAACACAGGGACCACACCAGAATATATTCACAACACATGAGAGCCCTTTGAATTAGCCGTTCATCAGTCCAGATACCAATACTTATACCAATACCAATACCAATCCGAGAAGACGTGTCCTTGTTCCCAGTCCGGAGCTCAACTCGAGACTGCGTGCCGTACACAAGATTGGACACCAGCGCCGATGCAAAAGCATCGTCAACCCCAGAGACCAAGGTCCGCTCAGAAGAGCGCGAGGAGGACCGCCGCGCCGGTGGCGAAGAACGCCCACTTGGCCGAGGCGGGCACGCCTGCGACCGCGCCGTTGCTCGAGATAGTCGTGTCGTTCGAGAGGTCGATCGACGGCGTGTACGCGGACGAGTTCGAGCTGTACACGTACGACGTGATGTTCGGGCCGGGGGTCGTCGGGTCGTTGCAGGTGATCGCCACCGAGTCGAGGTACGCGTAGAAGTGGCCTGCGCAGCGGAACACCACCATCGGTCAGCACGTCGCGAGAGACAGACTGTCAGAGAGGGAAGGCGTACCGGCAGACTTGTAATCGGGGTCGTTCCAGTCGATCATGCCGCCCGCCCACTGGACCGTGCCCTGGGGCTCGCTGCTGATGCCGGCAGGCCAGAGACTAAATTCGATGCGGCTCGGCGTGCTCGGGAAGCGGCTGAGGCCCGTCGAGTTGTCGGTCGCCTCCGCGCGGGTCAGCGTGCGCACGACGTTGCCATCAACGAGCCAAGTGAGGCTATCCTGCTGCCAATCAAGCTGAAAGGCGCTCGTCAACGACAGGTTCATGGGCAAACGCAAGAGGCAGCGCAGCGCACCGTGTAGTCGTGGTAGTTGCTGTACGTGTCGGTCAAGTTACCGGTCGTTTGGCCAGCGGTCTGTGTGGCTGATCCACGCATATGCCGTCAGAGCGTGGCGAATATCGAATAACGACGGAGACGTACGAACGAAGCCCTGCCAGAAGTAGTTAGTCTGGCCCTCAGTCGTCTGGTTTCCAGGCCACTCCCAGTCAATCTCGTCCTTGATGTCCGACATCGTGATGAACGCTGTCACGACACCACCCCATCGGCCAGTCTTCACTGCACGGAGGCGTCAGCGCATGTTGAAATTATCATAACACCACAGAACGTACTCCTTGCCGTAATCTGGCCGTAGTGGACGTAACGGGTCGACGTGAGCAGCGTGCCGTTGTTCTGCTCGCTGAGGGTCAAGACAAGCTCGCCGGCGGTCGTGTTGAGGATGTTGCCCTGCTCGAGGATGAAGTCCCATGCGCTCGCATTGCCGTTGTATTCCGTCGAATTCATAAGGATGCGGTCGAAGCTGGAGAACGTAATCTGTGGCAGTCATCTTCAGTTACTGCGCTCTCGACTGAGAAGGGATGTCTGGTCCATTCGTTCCAAGTGCCACGAGACGTGCGATCATTCGCAGACGGCCACACGTCCCACCGAACAAGACGCGTACCATGCGGATTGCACGCAAGTGACTGCTCCTGACCGAGTGCGAACAAGACACAACCCATGCATTTGCTGCGCACCAGTGTCGATTGTGATCACAGACGTCACTGGTAAGCTCTGGAAGGACCAGTCTTTGACCAAAGGAGACATGTGAGCTGTGCATTCGGCGACTGATGAGGACCGCATGAACGCATCGAAAATAGCTCCTAAGCGCCATGATGCAAAGGCTTCCCAGGGCGACAGACCACAGCCCAACGATGGGCACGAAGACAACGGTGACCGAGTAGCCAAGACCCACAGAGCGAACGAAGGACCAGACACCTTGGCACCAAGAAGTGGGATGTACGCACGTTCTGACTTTCACAGACGGGCTCCGGCATGCAGGACGTCAAGTGTTCGAACCGAGGGGTCGCATCCTCCGAAGCAGAACTCCTGAACGATGTATCAGTAACTTGTCGTGTTAGTCGGTGAACCTGGGCACGCACGGGTCCGCTACCACAGAAGCCATATGAACCTGGCAAGATGAGCCTGCTTAAAGCGAGAACACGAAGCAAGGCACGTACTGCAACAAGGGTTCGCCGACCCACAGAGCTGAGTAGCATTGCTAAAGACCACTCCGTTCAGACAGCTGCACGCGCCCGACCCCCAAGTACCCTCACCAAGAGTCGCTCGCAGCCACACCGGGTACAAAGGACACAGAAGAGGAAGCAGAGACAGCAGCGCTGCCGTGTTTCGGTGCGTTGAGAGCATGTCGGGTATCTTTGCAAAAGAGTGGGTGAGGGAACGAGTGAGGGTGGGAATGCAGCAGATGCTGTCCGTCGACGTTTGAGTATAAGACCGCGCAGCACACACCGTCCCCTTCCACACTCGGAAGGTAGGAAATCCCCGCGTAAGTGATCGCAGCCAATTGCCGGTTCTCGGCATGTCTCGGCAGCACCTAAGAAATGCCCGTTATGGCTGGAAATGGTATCTATCCCACGTCGGGCTCTAAATTCCGCGAAAAATGCTATACACACTATCTTTGATATTGCCGCGCTGCCCGTCTCTCCAGTCTCTCCCTAGTCTCCCTTCCGTGCGGTGGTCATTCCCCGACATATATCTAGCCGTCGCTTTGCGTCCGATCCGAGGAGTTTCAGAAGTCTCTCTTGTCGTAAACCCGCTCGCGTTAACACGCTATGCGACCGCCTTGTGACCAGCAGGCTGAAGGAAACACGGTAGAAAGCGCTGTCGAAGGTACGTGCTGTTATGTCTGGGGAGGATGCATGGTCTATGGCCTGATGCGTTCCGACGGACGGCGAAAGGACCAGTGGCTTGTGCAACGAGACAGTTCATGCTCGGTGTGACAAGCACTGCGATGCGAGGAAACATGAGCTACTCGCAACCAACGCGCTCCTCCCCAACCTTCGCCCGGTTTGCACTCGATATGTGGTGACACCTCCTTAACGTCGCGTCCGAGGGCCACGAACCGAGGATCTCCAATTGCCAGTGCATACTTAACAGTCAATAGCAGCCTTCAGAGGTCCTGGACGCGTTCGCAGCTGGTGGAATGCGCCGTCAGCCTCACGCTCGTCCATTCCGAGTCTGTAACCTTATCACACAAAGCCCATGGACTCTGCGTGGGCAATGCGTTGCCGGCACTTTGCAGGTTTCGCTCAATTGCATATCGACGTGCCGAAAGGATGCTATATTTCTTTCACTGGCTCTCGGCGTGCAGGTTCGCAGGTCATGAATAGACTTACATAGACATGCTATTCTGAATCGAATCAGCCCACAGTGTGCAGAGCCTCATCCGACCACAGGATGGCGATGTTGCAAGGGATGATGCATGGCGAGCAGGTATGTTGGCCCATCTATCATGGTTCCGCCTACGTCGGTGCTACATAAGTAGATGGCGCACTCGACGAATACATCTTCGAACGCCTTGGGGAAACGCCCAAGAAACGCCACCCCGTCCGGTGTATGGTTTCTGTAGCCGATTTTGTACGGTGAGTGGAGTTTCCGGGCTTTTGGCTGCATTAATTCTCAACGAGCACAGAGCTTATATGACAGCCATCACTGAAACCGATGGCGCCTGCGAGAGATGGGCTGAACAAGGGCTGAGATCGGAGTTGGCAATGGCTATTGACGAGGTTCAAATCGGTCCCGGGCATCGAGGAACTTACCCCATTTCGACAAGTTGGCTGCACTGCTCGTGCCTTCAGAGACTGACAGATTGCTGCTCTTGTCCCCCTCGTCTCTTTCGGTCGTACGCGTATACTTTTGCGTACTGGAACACCGTCGTCCATCTCACGGACACCATGCTAGGATGGCTGTTGATGCACCGGGTTGGTATCAACCACCGGAACGTTCAGGGCGCGCGTTACGGAAGCACCGTCTGTGCACCAAGCACAACCCACACAATTTCCGTCGGGGCGATCTCCTCTTGATGAACTGCACCCGTAACGTCCAGTCGATCAGGGTTGCACTGCCGATGCCCTAGTAGGTTGCGCACAAAGTGCATGGGTGAGATCGTTTCTGACATACGGCAATCCATCGCGCGATGGACCTCACGTAAGTGAATTGAGCTTGTTCGTGAGAGCGTACGCTGACTTCCACCTTCGCATGGCTGGCACAGGCTGCTGCTGCCCGCAAGCGGCTTCCTCGCCCCGGCACATGCTCGCATTAAGCTCAAATCTCCTGCGAGCCATACTTACTGGCAGCTCGGCTGCCGGAGGTCGGTTCAAAATCCATATCGCGCCCCAGCTCCATGTGCAATCGAGTCCGAAACGCGAGCAGTTGACTGAATCCGGAGACATCCAGGACAAGGGCCGGAGAGACATCGGACAGGGCGGGGCGTTCGGGAACAATGATGCGGACTTCACGGTGCTTGTGGCGTTTGTTTGACATACCACCAGCTCTCATACGGCGACGATATCACCGAGCCTAGAGGCCCTGCCTAGTACGCGGAGTAGACATGGACCGTGAATAGTCAAAGTTGGTAGGTGAGCCTATTCGACAGTCATGTTCGAGCATGTCGACTGATCTCACTCGCTTTAAGCTAGTATGGCACGCACGCCTGCCAGCCTGTGAGTCGCCTTCACATCGTTTGAGGGATCAGACATGCCCATGCATACCACTGTCATGCCTCCGGAGGTCTGACATAAAAGAGGGCCAGAACCGCGACGATGCCACACAACCCCTCGGCCGACATTGGGACCAGGCCCAGCGGGACCCATATCCTCGGCAAATGGACTCTGCTCGCCGACACAGTCGACGCGGTTCTGCGATGCCGAGCTTGGCTTCGATCCTCTACGCCGTGCTTCTGCTGCCCAGATCGCTCGTGGTCGCCCAAGACGTCGTATCCGTGTGCGGACAGATCGCCAACGCCGTCTCTGACGCTTCGGCAGTGTTCTATAGCCGTATGTATACGGAGCTTGTCGCGATCTCGTCTTGGCCTGACGTACTTTCGGGCGTAGCGGACCCTTCGTATCTCGCGGATATCGCGCACTACTCTACTTCCAGCACCGAAGACGCAGCGTGTTCCGTGGAGCCAGGTACTCCAGAGGATGTTGGCACGATCGTAAGCAAGATCTCTTACAAGGCCAATGAGTGCCTATCACCAACGAACCGTGCTCTGCGCTCTACAGCTCTCGATCCTGGGTTCTACGTCAACGCCGTTCGGGGTGAGGCACCATGTCCTCGTGCGTTACCAGCAGCTCACTGGCATCCCGTATCCGCGTAGGTGAAAGGCGGAGGCCACGCGAACAACCCAAACTTCTCTTCCAGCACCGGCGTGCAGATCTCCATGACGCGTTTCAGCGCCATCGACTACGACTCGAGCGCCGGGACCGTCGCGGTCGGCGCGGGCAACGTCTGGGACAACGTATACGCGGCCTTGGACCCGTACGGGGTCAACGTTGTCGGTGGTAGGGTCTCTGGGATCGGCGTGGCTGGCTTTACGTTGGGAGGAGGTACGCAGAAGGTGTTGGTGTTGTGGGATTTGGTTGGCTGATCCCGGGCACGCAGGCTACTCTTGGTTGACGAACCAGTACGGCCTGGCGCTGGACTCAGTCCGTGCATTCGAGCTGGTCCTGCCGAACGGCACTGTCACCAATGTGACGGCATCGACGAATCCTGACCTCTTCTGGGGCTTAAAGGTGAGGCGAAGTCATGCCACCGCCCACATACTGACATAAGGTGTACTCCACGTCAATAGGGGGTTATAACAACTATGTGTGTGAACTCACCATGCTCGACTTCTCTGACTCGACTGACAACCAAACGTATAGGGCGTTGTGACGACTTTCACACTGCAGACATACCCGCAAACTCTTGTCTGGGTGAGGCGTCCCTTTCGGTGGCTTTTGAGGAGGCATATACTGATTCTGCAGATCATAGGGCGGACAATTGATCATCCTGGCACGTACATCGACCAAGTGAACGCCGCCACAGCCAACTTCGCCGCAAACGTCACTGATCCCAAGGCGCAAATCATCGCTACGTACGATTATGAGGGTGGCGCCGTGCGTACAAGTCCAACCTTGATCCATCTTGCCACTAAGAAGGTTGTGATAGTTGTTGGCGGCTGTTATGCTGTTCTACGACGCGCCGACGCAGCCCGCAGGCATATTCGACGAGTTCTTGGCCATTCCAGCGTTGTCCACGAACATCTCCACGCAGAGTTCCTTTCACTGGTGCAGTTGAACCGACGACGACCTCCGCGAATACGAGGTAGTGTCACAGTTGAACTCGTGATCGGGACCAGCGCTGATGCACTGGTAGGAGCTTTTCAAACACAGTACCCTTCATGGAGATCACATTCCTCTCCTCGAGACGATTGTGGCTCAGCTGGAGGTACGCCCTCCACAGACATCCCGCCTCATACTCATCGCGACGCAGTACTGGGGTCCACCTAGCGAACAGCTCGCCACGCTCCTCAGCTACGACGTCGAGCCCTTCCTGCCCACCATCCTCACCCACGGCAGCGCGTCCGCATACCCCTGGACGCGCCCCAACGCTTCCTCCCCTTCAACATGGACTTCTTCTGGACGGACCCGCAGTATGAGGCGCTTTACGACGCCATCGTCGCCTCATCGCGGAACCTCACGGACGGCTGTATGGAGGCCAAGCTTCCGTTACGGGAGCCCCGCTCTACCCGAACTACGTCCTGTACGGGACGAGCGTGGCGAGCATATACGGGGAGTCGCTGGGCGAGATGGTGCAGTTGAAGGAGAAGTACGACCCGCATAACGTCATGGGGCTCACGGGAGGGTGGAAGGTCCCAGGTTGAGGCTCGCAGCAGAGCGCGAAGGAACGGGCGGCGATGCAGATGTAACAGCAGCGAAATTGATGCAATGATATCATACCATCAATGTAGTCCATCGACAGAAAGGAGTTTGCACGCATACATACGTGCGTTCCAGTCACAGGGTCTAAGGATACTTGACGCGACCCCGCCAGCAAAGACACTACCACGTACAAGTCCGATATTTCCCTCGATTTCATGCACATCGGCTCCTCACGACAGCGAGCTGACCTCTGACAGGCACATTCGTCTCGCGGCCAGGTTCCGGGAACCCGTGCACGTCCGTCTCCCTCCTGAAAATGACACAATGCGTCGAGCCGCCGAAATGGAACATCCCAAGCTGGTCGCCCTTCCTGACCCACTGCCCCTCCTCCACGGCGACTCGCACGTCGACACCTCCGCGAGGCCGACGCCCAAGAACGCCACCAGGCCAATTGCGGGGTTGTCCGCCTCGATGAAGACGATCGCACGCGTCGCGACGGCGGTGACGTAGCCTGCGAGGTGCTCTTGCCGCCGTCCGTCCCGCCGCGTCGACGAGCGGCTCGGATAGTACGCTCCGGGCTGGACGTACGCCTTGACGCATCTCCCGCTGACGGGCGCGTGCCAGCGGTGGTAGGAGAGTGCGGAGAGGAAGGCCTGGTAGACGGTGCCGCCGGCGAACTGGGGGCGAGCTCGTCGTGCGCGAGCATGTCGAGGAGGGAATAGGGCTCGTCTTTGATCCAAACCGGTCCCGGAGGGCGCAGTCGTACGAGACCTTGTACGGCTCCGACTCACATGCGTTCGCAATGACGTCGTCGTCTTCGGGCGAGGCCACGGGGCGGATCCCTTCCTGAAAGTGCGCGTGAAGAATGCGTCCCAGGAACGGAAGCCGTAGTGCGGTTTGAAGGCTCACACCGAATATCTCAGCGAAGTCGTATGTGGTCCCGGCCGCCCCATTTGCTGCAGCGGTCAGGTCGGCCTTGGCCTTCGCGTTGAACCAGCCTTTGGCGTCGTCCCCGAGCGCTTGACGTGCCGATTCCTCTGAGCGCAGAAAGTCTCCCCAGGCGTCGAGAACTTTCTTCAGTTGTTCGTTAACAGCAGGGTCGAGGAAGAAGGCGAATCCACTCGGCGTCCCATGGGCCAGTCCAGGACGGCCTTGATGCGTACGGCGATCATGCTTTGACGTTTGATTGGTCGTCCCAGAAGGCGCGGTCGTGATTAGATGGTTGAGCACCTGCAGCATATGTTCGTAGTTGCGATTTGCTTGTAGCCAGCGGGATCGTCAGCGTATGGCGCCTTTGCCGGTATCTGTTCGAACATCGACTGAGCGAGAAAACAAAGCCGAGTTTCACTCTCGATGAGATTTCGGAATCCCTTCAAGGCTGAATGCAGCTCCTTTGGATGTTCTGCGACATAGCGAACCAGTTCTTGTAGCCAAGTTTTGCTAACGAAGTGGTCTCCCCCCACACTGGTCACGATGCGACAACGCAGTAAGTGCTCTTTGCTCGTACGTGGTTGGATCTAAGTCTCACCTGCGCGTACTGTAAACACTCTGAGGATTATTTGAATATTCTGCTGTCATTTGGAATGGATAGGGTTCCCGACGACTGCGTTTGGCCCACTGATATGGAACCGCCGGCGGCTGACCTGTTGTGGTGTGTACCATGTCAGCGACAACAGGGGTTAGTGACGCGCTCCGTTCCGTCTGTTCCTGGTGATGAGGAAAAGAGAGTAAACTTTTGCCTGTGGGCGGACGTGCCTCCGATCACTGTCCTCGTATAGCGCCTGACCGCACCGTTCTGGAAAGAGCAGGTGTGCGATCATTCTCCCACTGAGCCAAGGAGTGGGAAGCGGGTAGCAAGTATCCAGGACTCCAAGCTGCTATGGACAAATGTGGATGATGACTGCAGTGGGTGTTTGTGTCGGCGCCTGGTTGGTGGAGAGGAGGAGCAGCGCCAAAGCAGCACTGAGGAGCCGGGGTTCATATGTCTGAAAATGGTAACAATGTTGATCAACCTACATACGCTACATGCGAATCAATACGTGCCCCAGTGCAGCAGCAGCAGTACTTACGGTCGTTCGCGAGCCTAGTGCAACTGTGCGTCCGATCTAGTACCACTTGATTATACGACATGATGTACACCTTATACATAGTTCTACATTACTTACGAAAGCGACTCTAGCGCGACATGCGACATCCTAGCAAATGCACAATAGAAGTGTAGTGCGTAGTGATCCCTATAATCCAGTGTGTCTACCATTTTGACGGAGAGGTCGGTTCCTCCGCGTCAACCATAACAAGGCTGTCATCGCCTGCGCCCGCGTAGTCCTCACGGAACTCCTCCATCAGGTCTTTCACCTCCTGCAGACTGCCTCGAGGCCTCCTTCCTCGTCCACGCCCGCACCTGCATCTCATTGATGTCTTCCTCTTCGCCCTCGCCAAGCGGCAGAACCGTGGAGTAGCCGAGCACAGTCTGGGCCAACCGTATCCGGCGATACGTCGCGCGCACCAGCACGACGCTCGTCACAGTGCGCTCCTTCGCAGCGTCGAGAGCAGTCCCCGCCTTCCCGCGCGACGCACCGCTAGGCGACGCGGCTCTCCTCGCATGGAGCCCGCCATAGACCGACAGCGGAGTGACCGGGCCAAGGTGAACGATCCTGGGCCCCGAATCTCTTCCGGTGCGCCCGGATGGAGAGATCGGGCTCACATCACGCGCGTAGCCTGCCAGCCGCGAACCTTCGTCCTTCCGCGGGGTCGACGCGCGCAGGTATGATTCGTCAAACGTCGGAAGCGACAGGGAGGTGTTGAGGAAGGTAGAGTGCCGTGGGGTCGAAGCTGCCGAAGATACCGCGCTCTCGTTCACCATACTCCGTCGCGGTTTCGTGAAGACGGAGAACCGGCGGACCGACATCGGGCTCGCCCCAACGACGTGCTGAGGTTGGGGTTGGCATCCTCGTTGCGGGCGGTTTCCTGATCGACGAGCGCGACTTTCTCCTGCACAACCCGCGCATCTGCGCCACGAGCGGGCTCTTTCGCAAGCAGAGCCACTGGATGAACGACCACACAGGTAGTCGATCAAGCGAGGCTGAGATCCAGACCAAGACCTCGAGGCTATGCTTGGCAGGAAAGGATTGTCCACGTCGGGCTCCCATTCTTGGGTGAAGCAAAGGCGAAGGCGGCTCCGAGTAGTCTCGCGGCGTTGTAGCAAACGCCGCATCCCGTCGCAGAGGAGCGACCGGAGCGTCGTACCTACATGTGACCACACGTGGGCATCAGCGAAGACAAGTCGTCCTCCGCACGGACGACGATGATCTTGAGGATCTGCAGAGCGATCGTGAACGACATCGCTGGCTTCGGGCTCGCTTCTGAGAGCCGGCTATCCGAAGATTTGCGCCGATCTTCGGCCTGCTCTCGTGGGACGTGCGGGTTCTGGCATGCTGAAAGGATATACGTGAGCAGTCGGGCCCATGCTCTCGAGTGAGCCTCTCTGTGCCACGACTCTGTCCATTGGTTCCCTGCGCTGAGTTCGCTCGCGTTCTTGAGGACAGAGTCAGAGGAAGCACCACGCCGGTGAGGAAGTCGTACGAAGGCGAGTGCTTTGCCAGCTCCTCCAGGACGTCCGCACCGACCAGAGTCACAGCCGCATTCATGAGCCGGATCACGCTCATGCGAGACGGCAGAGACAGGAGCCAGCTCTCCGATGCAGCGGCTTCGCAAGCCTCTAACCCAGCCCTGCAATATCCCGCCACGACTACCTGGGCGAACCGTGGCTGGTTGGCGAAAACGGAGTTGCCGCACAGAGACGCTAGTACATCGAACACTCCGGAGAAGTTGACCGAGGTACTGTATGCGCTGACGAGTGGAACGAAGTCATTGAGCAGCGCGAGTGCTTCTTTCAGACTCGGCGTCGGGTCCCGGAGCAGGACTGCCTTCATGTAGTCCGTCAAGAATGCGGCGATGCGGTCAGCACTGATGATTGAATCCTTCAAAACCATCTTCGTCAGCTCCACGACGCGGCCAGGAGCAGCAGGTCCCAGTTCTCCACCGGCCTGAGCGAAGGCTACCACGAGCGACAGATAGTCAAGACGCATTGCGATGATGTCTGCAGGAGATAACGCAGGCTGCGCTTCGTTGGAGTTCCCTTCTACGAGTACCTCATAGGTGAAGTCATCGGTCGCACGCGGTTGCATGGTGTCGGGCATCTTCGCCTTCGCCGCGTTCCGGCTGACAAGGATGGCCCCAAGCGCGTCAATACCGTCACGCAGGACCGTCCGAGACGAAGTCGATGCGTTGTAGAGATAAGGAGCCAGTAGTCGCAGAGAGCGCATGAAGCGCTCCGCGCGTTGGATAGCAGGGTTGTGGGCAATCACCGTCAGGAACAGGCGTACGAGGTTGTCGAGTCCCAGTCTCTTCCACTCGTAGTCTTCGGGAAGGACTAGAGTGACCTGTCGCTTCCCAGAACCACCTTTGCGGAGCGAAGCAAGGAATGTCTGAGGTACCTCTTCGGCGACGGCGACCATCCGGTTCTCCTGCTCCTGCAACTTTGTAAGATCGTAGATGCCTGCGACGTCAGGAGCCAGAGGTGCAGTCCCGTTCTTGAGCGTAGAAAACAGAGCGAAGACCTGTTTGGCTAGCCATGGCTGGTCCATATCGGGGGACATGAACATGCGTGACACGACGTCGAAGCTCTGGAAGACGAAGGATTCTTGGTGCAACGCGTAGAAGCGGTTGACAGCATACTCGATTGCAGCGCGTATGCCCGGATGGTACTCGGCCTCGCAATACGTCTTGATAATTGCAGGCATGAAAAGCGCGTACGCACCGCCGGAGATGAACATGCGTTTGAAGCGCGTGCTCGCCAACATGAAAGCTTAACCCCGAAGTCAACTAATGCTATCGCCACTATTGGATATCGGCTTACCTAGCAGAGCATGCCCTACGATCCCAATGTCATCTCCATGCGTAAGAAGCACGCGATTCAGGCCGTCAACGAGGATAGCTAGCTCCTGCCGGTCATTCAAATGCCGTGTCATGGACCAGAATATTTGGGCGACTAGGAGTAGGTAGCTCCGAGCCAGCGTCAGGGACAATGCAGTGAGGATTGCGTTAACGGGTTTCCGTGTGCGGCTCTTGTGAGGTAAAAAAGAAGCGAAGGCAAGAGATCCGGGAAGGCCGTCACCATCAAGTGAAGGCAATTCAAGTCTCACCAGGTTCTTCCTGATATGCTTCAATGCCTGCGGATCTCGCTCCAGCATGCGCAAGAACAGCATGTTCTGTGCCGTTCTGATAAGCGTAATCCAAACGAGAGGTTTTGGCAAAGATTCGAATGGGTCTTGATTGGCATCAGGCCCCCGCGGGAACATGGGTCCGGCGGGAGCAGATGGGGCAAACCAAAGTGCACCTGATGGCAGCAGAAACGTGTCGGCCTTTGCTCGCCGCAGCTCGCGCACCGACATCTTGCTGACCTGTGTTGCGAGTCTGGCTATGGCTGGTACGCATATGCATAGCCTTGGAGAGGATGGGCGCGAGCCTGCTGGTTGGCGGACGACTTCAGGAAACCAGCCAGGTGATTCAGCAGGTGGTGGGCCATAGCCGGCGGAAGTGAGTGTTGAGCATGTAAGAAGGCCATAACGACGAAGTGGCGGAGATGAGGCTGCTCTCTTCTCCGGAAATTGAGTGGTATACAGAACGGGAAAGCAATGAAGGGTCGTCTCGCATGAGGTCAAGGATGAAATTCCTAGCCGTGGTAGCAACCTGGAAGTCTTCGTCGTTGTCCATAGCAGCCAGTCGCGGAAGTAGAGATACCAAGGCAGGACGAAGATGGGTCGCCGCTTGGACCCCCGGGTACCACTGTCACTGGACTGCCGTCTCAAGCGCGGTCCCTCTTTCGATGGTGAGGCGGTTGGAGATGGATCAGGGCTAGGACCAGGACTAGAGGATCGACCAATTGAAGCCATATCATCCAATGGTGCGTCGAGGGACTCCAGGTGCAGACTTGGTAGCAGCGACATAGGTGTTTTGATCCATTGGGTCTTAGGATCTATCGTGCGGTCCTCCTCGTCCCAACCGATCTCAGCCAGTCGCCTACGAAGTTCGAGAGGAAGGACATGTCCGTGGTTGTCCTTGAATTCGTAAACGTCTTCATCCAGAACAAATAAACTAGAACCCATGTCGGTCGGTACGAATGGGACCGGCGGCCGTGTCACCTTGAATGGGCGTCGGTACGTACGGTCGAGGATGACATCCAAGGCTAGCAGGTGGGAGCGCCAGCTTGCAATCACCTCCACTTTCTTGATCGCAGATAGACGGACTTCCGGGTCTTGACTGTAAAACTCGTAAGAACAGAACCACACTCAAAGCGGAAGACGTACTGCGACAAATCATGCTCGATTACTCGAACAATTTGATCTGGGGCCTTCTCTGCACATTGCATAGCAAGGAACGTTGTCTTGAGCATGGTGAGTAATGTACCGCCATGAAGTGAGTCGTCGAGACATACCGAGGAGCCCGCTTCTACACTAGAGTCGCCAAGACATCTCCAAAGCGTCGGACCAGGTGCGCGTAGTGTTCTTGAGATAGCAACCCAGACACCAGAACCAGCAGCGAAAACATGGTTTTCAGGGATGACCCATGCAAAGACCCCAATAATTCTAGCCGGCCAGAAAGAATATCGGAGGAAGGCATATCGGTGGAGGAGGCAGACCGCTGAATTCCGAGGCTTGGGGACACGAATGCCGTGGTCCTTCGCTTTATCGTCAATGAGCGCAGGTATATTGTCTCAGAGAGGGAACGCACCTTGCTACCGCCACGCAAAGCTTCATTCGCGTGCGCATATAGAGCCCTCAGCTTGTCAAAACTGATGCTGACCTCCTCTTCTTGGTACACGTCCTCTTGATCTGGTTCGTCTGGTTCGTAGGAGGCCCAAGAAATGACAGACGATAGCCAGGCAGCACTACGGGTGATACCGTGAGTCTGGGAGCGTGCTGGCACATAGCAAGAGCGACGTACGGCTTCAGCGACCGAGTGATGAGCCTTATCTCTCGAAACAAAGTACAAAACAATATCCTCTGCGAAATGGGAATTTTGAAATTTGTTCCTAGCAGGAGAGGTTCAGCGACCATCATCTTGTAGGACATACGTTTGTTCAGCTCACCTTCGCATGTATCAAGGCTCCGAGCCGCGCCTCCAGAGCGATTACGAACCGCGTCGCCGTAGAAATCTGCAAACGCTCGTCAACGAATGCCCATGAGGTATAGAAGATTACTCACTGTTCTTAAGTCCTGGGCTTGGCGAGCCGCCCGCAACGCAGAAATCAGTTCGACCAACAGGACCGACTGGCCGGTACGGGCTCTACCCCACTTTGCACCTTGTCCCGGCGGTGACTTCGTGCCCGCGGGTCGCTCATGAGAGCGACGGAGACCATGTCGGCATCGTGAAACCAGAAATCTGCTAGGTAGCGTGTCAGGCAGGTCAGAACACATAGCTGCGTCCCGATCGTCAGGTCTTTCGCTGATGCTGCGCAAGTAAAAATCGGCTTGAACAGTAGCTTGGGGTACGCGTGGGAGACGACGTCGAGAAAATGGTGAGGGGCTTGCAAGGATGCTCTGGGCCACTGTCTATGAGCCGCTGTCAAAATGTGTCCCTCGATGAGTCCCCGCATCATGCCAGATGAACGTATCACGATCCTCACATCTTGTAGCAAAGGTAAATCAGGGTGACCAATGAGCTTCGTGATTCCTCAGTAGGGTGTTCACGACTTCAGGCAATAGACGGAGAACGTTTGGCCATTCCGCGTGGTGATCTACTCGCTAGTCAGTACCTGGGACAATAATTGTATGAAAGAGCTACCAGTTCATTGACCGTCTCCTCTACGCTGCTTTTCCAATCTTGCGAGTCCCTCAGCCAGGCAGCGATTTGAGCAAAAATTGGGTCTCTATCGGGGTTGCTGGGAGTGCATGCCAGCTCTAACGCAAACTTAATCACGGTGCGTCGCGTCTGGCCAGCGTCCTTGTTCCGTATGGACTGAATCTCCGGCAATACACGCGTATGGAAGACGCGACTTATGACCGCCACATCAGCTACTTGAGCTCCGGCCTCCACCGCAGCCGAAGAGAACAGCAACGCTGTCGCCGCGTTGACGAATATCTGGAGCTTGTGGGACTGGATGCACGAGTCCAACGGAGTCGTGATAGAGGGCCCTCAGGCAAGGGCCAGAACTCCTGCATGCAGCGTTGAGTGTGCATTTCCTGTAGAATGGCGAAGCCTCACCTCTAGCAAATTGTGCAACATCCACTTGCGGCTATTCTCGGATCCAGTCTCGATGCATCCGATAACGCTCTCTGTGGCGATAGCACGTCGAACACGCGTATCGCTATCGTTCTTCGTCCACCGCACGCCGTACTCCCTCTCGAGGGCCTGCGGAGAGGGAGTACCGCACTGGCCGTCCCGTACGGCAGTGATGTATGCCCTCAGAGAGTCTGCCGCGGCGCTGGAGTCTGCTGAGGACGCAAGGCAGAGCAGAAGCGAGAAGAGACCCTGATACAGTGTCCGAGAATCATAGGCGTCTCCGCCGTGAACGTTTTGTCCCGAGAGAAGAGGAGAGAAGACAATGCGCCTAGAATGCGCACTCGCGAAGCTGAGGGCACTGAAGCAGCGTTACAGCACCAGAGACAGCGCCCCAATTCTTCCTGTCAAGAACACACTTCATTCATCGTTCCCCAGGCATATGACTGAGACCCACCTCGTTGGACGGAGCTCTCCATGTCCTAAGAATGTATTCGAATGTCTCGACAGCTGTCTGCTGCTCGACGGCAAGGCGCTCACCAGTGAAGGGTCCTAGAAAGGGAACCAGTAATGCCGATAGGACATGCACTTCGTGAGGGAGAACGGGTGGGCGGCTAGTAGGGACCATGTACGTGAGGGTCCTGGAAAGGGGATGCACAGACGGTATATCTCGGATATCCGCGACAACGACTTCGGACTGCTGTGCGCTGGCCGAGGAATATAACGAAGACACACTGGGACTCGTCACAAGAGACGTCGCGGACGCCTTGAATGGTAGATGCAGGCTGGAGCTGAGTGTATGCTGTGACATTTCGCGTTCGGTCTTCGGGCGCATCCAACTTTGGCCAAACCGTGCGATCCAGCACGCCTGGAGGATGTCTGCAGATAGTTTCCTGTTTTCTTCGACGGCTGCCTCGCGCGCCTGGTCAACGACCTGGCGGAAAATCTTCTTCTGCCCACCGAAGCGATATGACTTTGGCGTCGAGGGTCGGGAGGGTGGAGGTGTACTTGACCCAGCTGAGCCAGGAGTGGGCGGGCGGGGAGTCGGGGAGAATACCGAGCTAGTTGAGGATAGAATAACGTGTTGTCGTAGAGTATCCCAACGCCGTTTCGACGGTGAAGGAACTGGAGTATCTTCACCTGCCGCCGCTCCCTCAGCACTGAGGTTCAGCGGCATTGGCCTCGGTGCAACGATCCTCCCCCTTGCTCTCAGAGCCGGTCCAGCATTCGACGTAGGCGCGGTGTGCACGGCCTCAGGAGAACTGACGAGTACCTTCTCAGTCCAGTTACTTGGGCTTTCGACCTGCTCCGGTATCGCGTCCGGCCGCCCCTCGCCCGTCTTTTCCCTGAGTCTCGAAGGTCGGATGGAGGAAGTGTCCGACGCGGCATGACTATGCGTGTGCTCTGGGCCGTCTCTGGCGATGGACGCGCCATCGGTGTCGGTACCAGACTTGTCTTTACGCAGTGAGTCGATCGAAAACAGGCGTCGAGGTAAGGGACGTGAGATTCCTGCTCTCTTCGACCCGTCTCTGTTAGATGGCATGGCGTAGTATCGGCCTAGTTAGAAAGGCTTGTCAACAAACGGTAGAACTCCGGTAATGGTACACGCACCGCGACTCTATGGGCTTCACGACCAGACCTCGTCACCAACGAGTTTTGAGATGGCTGCACTGCCGTATTCTGATAGAATTAGCTGTCGTTGTCGCTCACTGTCGACTATGCATTACGGAGAAAGGGTCGGCGATATGTAGCATGAGTCTATACGAGTTGCTGTTACAATTCAGTATCATCGCGTCGCGGGCGCTTAGCGGGCGGTACATCATCCCCGTACAGCGCCTCGGTCTTCGGTGTTCCTCAATTGGGCAAGTGTGCCCACAATCTGGCCACAAGGTACAGTCGGGATACAGTTTCATTGCGCCTCAACAATTGGTTTCCATAACGAGCCATTACAAAGTCCAGAAAGTCTGCATGAATGAACGAAAGTAACAAGTGAAGGGGAGGCCCAAAGGAGAGACCGAACACGGACGCGAAGCATCTGAAGAAGCACATCGCAGCCCCGGCGACAACACCCAGAAAACCTTTGAAACCGCAAGTATCCACAGGTAGGCACGAAGCAGAGAAGTCATTACGGAAAGGAGGAAGTAAGGAAGTAAGGTAGCCAGGCGAACGAAAGAGGGGAGCTCCAGATTAAACGGTGTGGTATTTTTGAGGTTCCGGACAGTAGAGCAGAAAGGGGACTGTCAGAAGTAGCGCAGCATCGACGTTCTAGGTGAAGGTCTGTCCAAGCGAAGGAGTGGACATATTGGACAGACGGTCCAGTTGAGCGAAAGCCCAGTGCCCGGGACGACGATCAGGGGTCGGCTCCGACCAGCTGGAGGTGATGGTGAGATGGCATCACGCATTCAAGAGGAAGAAACATACGAAGGAGCAGAGCTTGGCCTAACAGTCCCGGCGACGGGAACGTACAGCTGCGTATACAAAGAGGGAGGCGTCGCGTATTGAGAGAGAGCGTAAGGGTTGACAGCAAGCAGTCCGTTGGGGAGCGCAGTAGCAATACGGTCTTGGTCAGGCCTAGCGCAGAGCGAGGCTACGGGGGCAAAGAGGGTGTCGTGCGGCATACCAGCAGGAGCAACGAACGGCGCAGCATTAGGGTTCAGTCTAGCCTTGAGATCTTTGCCAGCAAAGAGAGGGAAATCGACAGTGGGCTTGTGCGTGAACTCGACCTTGACAGGCTTGCTTGAGTACATTTGACCTTGCAGAGCGCTGTAAGCGTCCTCGGCCTGCGCAAGAGTCTCGTATTCGACGCGAACAGAGATGTCGCCCCGATCCAGAGCAGCGACACTAGAGTCCAGGATCTCCAGATTCTTGATCTCCCCAAACGGACAAAAGAGGGGGTACAAGTCAGCCATCTCAGAGAAGAGCACCGCAGGAAGATTGGAGACCAGGAGAGACGCTGGCTGGACAGACAGCATATTCATAGGACCTTGTTCGGGCACAGGTGTCGAGCGCAGGGAACATTGAGCTGAGGTGGGGCTAGATTCAGGGACCCGGAACTCGTAGGGAGACGGCGTAGACGGCGGCGACTGGCCCAGCGCAGTTGTACGGTCCCCGCCATCCAGGAAGCCTTTGGGGAGGTACCTGGTCAATGCAACGTCTCACGCTTATGAACGACACGACGGACCTTGAGAGCGTTGGACGACCGCCCAAGAGACGTCAATGGTGTGCCCCCTTCAAATGTACATCATTGTCAGCAGAAGCAACCCTACAGAAAGATACTCACTTGATCTCCTTGCGACTCAACCCATCCATAGCGGCTCTAGCCTCGCTAAAGGTACTCATTACGACGAAACCACGGCGACGGGAAGCGTTGTCCACAGTAGCGAGTATGACGGCATGAGACACCGTTCCGTAGCGAGAAAATATCTCAACGAACTCAGATCTTAGTGTAGAACGCCCGTCATGTATCGTCCAAAGTCACAGATCGTGGCGACTTACTTGGTGAGTTCAAAGGGTAGTCCTAGCACGTAAAGGTTGCGGCGGGCATCCGATTGCTTGCCTTGTTTGGCATTGTTCTTCGCTTCACTGTGAGACACGGCAGTGACAGTCCTGATGATGAATACGTGAGATGCATCGACGACAGCGCTCGCATGCCACGTACAACGGGACACCGGCAACCGTATAGCCCGACATGCACAAGGCTTTCCTTCAAGGTGACAGGTCAGTTCTCTCAGGCACTTGAATCATATTTACGTATGAGAAGGACCTACTTGGTGGCGTCATGAGTCAAGAACGTTAGCCCGAGGACCCGGCGGCTGCCGTCCTTGAGTTCCTCGCACTTGCGCACCTCGCCTGAACGCGCACCGTGAGCATGTGGTCAAGAGTGGAGACGTCAAATGGAAGGTTACCAATCAGAGTAGTGAACAAGTCGACGATGTCTTGCACGCTGGCTACATATGCCCAATTATGAGCACATACGAATCACCCCCAACGATACATGGATCGCCTACCCGATTCTGCGATGTTTTCCACCCTGATTGTATGCATCTCACGGTTAAATTTGAAGACGGGGTTCGGGACGGCTGTCATATCTAGAGGGAGCGGGGTGGGGGATCGCTTTTATCTTGGTTTATAGCAAGAAAGGTACGAGGGTAGTGTATGATAATGTCTATGGGAGCGTTCGACTCGAGCAAGAAACGGAGCAGGAGAGTTCAAGAAAGTCCGGCAGACTCCGCGACGGTCGAGGTCCATTTCATACTCCGTGACCTTCCCACGCCACTGACGCGTCTTCACCTAAGTTACGACGCGTCCTTCACTTGACACCGTCTTCACCTAGCCACACCTCGCGTCGCCTCAGACGCGGTTCACCCGCTACTACCGCACAGCTGCGCAATTAAAGAATTGATTCATCGACAGTAATTACGATTATGTCTAAACGACCGCTGTCTACTCTACCGCTGCCTGGTCATGTCCTCTCTGCTTTAGGAAACGCTGGGTACGAAACAGTAGCGGATTTATCTGGTGCAACACCCGAGGCTCTAAGGAGAGGAATGGATACATTTGACATGGTCATGGAAGCGAAGTCACTAACATCACGCGCCAAAACAGACCTCAATATACCTCTGGAATCCTCCCAAGCCATCTTTTCGGCCACACAGGTGCCGAGGACAGCGCCATTGACACAATCGGCCGCGCTTATGGTGGGGAATCACAAATTGTATTCCACCCAATTCTCTCAGCTCGATGCGCTGCTTGAGGGGGGCTTGAAGCAAGGCTTCATTTTGGAGCTGTCCGGTCCGCCGGGTTCCATGAAGGAGACAGTGGCCGCAAACATCGTCAGCAGTTTCATCGACACGTCTCAGCACGTGCTCTTTGTAGGTAAGAGCTGTCCAGGTGTGATGCTGTACGCCATAGTGACGAGTGCAGACATGCAAAACATGACAAGTCCCGCCACCCTCGTTCGGTTACTACGTAGTGAGTATGTCATTAAAACGGACCTAGTAGGAACAAACCACCCGCACCTTTTGCAGCATCGTCATCAAGCCTTCAAGATCATCAGGGACGAGTGTATCATCTCCGAATACACACCCTTCCAGACCTCATGATGTTTTTTCGAAACCTGCCCTCATATCTACAAGACCATCCGGAAGTAAGAAATCACACATCACGTCTTCGGGCTCTGATTCGGTCATATTTAACTTTGTCCGCATGCTTCTAGACCGCCTTGCTGGTGCTGAACTCTCTGTCGTATCCCTTTCAGTCTGCGGCAGGTTTGTCAAATTCGACGCGCAACGCCCTCCTAGATAGGGTGAAGCAGACGCTCGCCCGCGCTTCTGCGTCCACGAAGCTGACCGTGCGTAATCTCACGGAGGCTGTCCGGTCTCACCGACCGCTAAAATACGTACTTCAGGTCGTTATCACGAGCCAGCTTGCAACTAAATTGCTGAAGCCCGACGGCTCCGCAGCGGACTTCGAGACGGGCTCGAGGGCGATCATGGCACCGGCTCTAGGTTCGCCTCTTGACGTCTCCGAAACACATACGTTAGGCTCATGCCGGTGTCACATATGTCTCAGGACCTACCTACCTACCCTCAGCGAGAACACACAGAGTGTGTATTATACCACGGTCGAGGACGGCTGGGTGGGTCTTGGCCGGCCGCTCTGTTCATCGATGAGATCAACTGACGAGGCTGGATAGTGTCTTCCGCCTACTGTTGTCACCCTTGCTGGCGCATGGTAGCCAGCCGCCCATCGAAGAAACTTACCAGTTGGCGCGGTGACCGGGCGTGTTGTATTGGTAGTTTGAGCCTAAGCCTTGAAGAGGGTGCTCTTGTAATGGATGTGTGGCCCACCAGCACGTACAACGCACGCACAGCGCACGGACTGCGGGTGGCATTCTCCACAGTCACAGTACAGCAGCGGGTTCACTGACATGTATCAAGCGGACGATTTTCGGACACCCACGTTTCCCTGACAGGTATTCAGAAGTCACTGGAGTTCATTTCATTGTGAACTATCGGCAGCGGCTTCACCCAGGAGCCCGTCCGGGCCTGCTATTACGTCCATCTTCCAGTCATGCGGTGCTACCGGCACCTGTCCTGCTTCAAGGATTTGCTCTCGTAAGGACAGCGCCACTGATTGATGAATGGTGAGCATCTCCCACCTGGCAAGACGGATGAAGCGCACCTAGCAGCGGTTTCCGCTGGCCCTTTGCGGATTTGGAAGCTGCATAGGATGATATGAAGCGATCGTAGTACCCTTTGCCATGCCCCAGTCGCGACATGGATCGATCGAACGCGACACCTGCGTGTCGGCACATGTGTTAGCATCGTTGCACAGGGATGCAGAGGATGACACCCCGGTGAGTACCTGGCAAGAAAATCAGATCGAGGTCCGTGCCGTCATCCGTGGCTGCGGTGAGTGATGATTTGCGTTATACGTCAATCCCGGACATGACGGAAGGCGGGCATACGGACCGCTGCGACGCCGTGCGCCCTTCCATTCGTAGGCGGGTTCCTTAATCCCCCAGGTACCAGGCGGGAAGGCGCGGAGGTCATCTTCGCCGTACACCTGCAGGAAGTCCATCGTGCCATCGCAGGTAGTGTCAATTTTAGGAACGAAAAGTGTCTTCCCTGTGCTCGGTAATGATCAATTCAATAGGGTCGTGAGGGAGTTCGGGACGTCACACCACTTCGCAAGATTGCAGATATGAGGGAGGATGTATCGACCTCCCCGGATGGCATGCTAAGATAACAGCTCACGCACTGGCTTCGGGCGAAGTACGGCGAAGCCAGCACGCGGTCAGTTATCATCCCTGCTTTAGATACAATCCCGTTCAGTTCGACTACTATGAATTCAGAAGCAAGGCAGGACGGCGTTACATTGTTGCTGGACATCGGATACAGAAAGCGAACGCAATCGCGTCGCCATGGTCTTGCGCAATGCTTTCTTCTGAGCCTGTAAAGCTGTCATGAGGGAATCGTTACGACGCCGCAGATAGTATCCCTCTAGCCTGATGGCGGCTTAAGACATGAGTGAAATGCATGAGAAACGCTGCAGCGCATAATTGACTTGCCCGGAGCAATGTCGTCCTGCCGCTTGCGTGTCACTATCCCATGCTATCGTCAGCGGAAGGAACTTCGGACCAGGCCACCGTGATACGGACCGTATGTCGACTTCGGAATCCCACAGACGGGAGTTTCTCCTGACCAAGGCTGGTCCCACAGCGACCTGTTTAACCTTTGCCCGCCACACTGGGCGCCCGCTTCCTAAAAAGGGAAATCAAGAACGCGGGCAGCGTGCGTCCGTGGCTCGAGCTCCAGGTTTGCTTTTCATTTCCCCTCATCATGCCTGCTTGACCGTCCGCTAGCAGCTTTCCGGCATGGTCGAGAAGGACCCGACCTCCCCTGTATCGCCTCTCGCACCGTTTCCCCCATTGCCGCCGACGGAGTCCCGCAGTCGCGCACCAGAATTTTACGGTTTCGTGGCCTGGACATCCACGTACCTGTTGTTCTGTGTCTACCTCCTATGGGCTCTTCTTCCGGACACATACCTCATCAGTCTCGGAATTTCTTGGTACCCAAATCGGTAGGTATTGTCTGCCATATGTTCACTTCTTCCTCGTGCTAATTTCCGTGCATCGCACCGGCTCATTGTTGCGCTAGGGAATGGGCTATTCTCCTTCCGGCATACTCAATCGTCCTAGCGTTGTTGACGTATTTCACCTACTTCGCACTGGCGCTGTCCGGCACGCCACCTTTCTCTGATATCAGTACGATAACAGGTGCGCTCGGCATCCACAATCGTAACATGTCTGACTGAATACAAAATACAACGCCACAGATTCAAGAGCGCATCTGCCGCCTGATGGCGAGGAGAACCCGTATTTTGCTCATGCAAGGCCTAACGCTATCCCGGAGATGTACGATATACCCATAGGGATGGTTAACCGTGTCGTATACGGTAGCCGCAGAAATCGCACTGAACAAGAGAGAGCGCACTTATAGCCAAATCACGGGATGCTTTGCATGAGATAAGCAGCGAAGGTCCTTAATACTTTGTCGCAATGATTATGGACTTTTTGTCGCCAGTGCTCCACGTATCCCTTTGCAATACGTCGCTCGCCTGGCCTGCAGGAATTTGTTTCGCACATTGACCTAGAAATAGAACATCGGGGTGAATGACGCTCTGGCGACTCAACAAGACTAGAATTGAAATCTATTCGTCCTGCAACGCTCCTTGAACACCGCATTCGAGGGCCAGGCAACTTCTAGGTCGTTGTTAAGGTTTCGCGGGGACTACAGCATTAACTATTATGGTTGGCAGGTTACAAACGGTATAGTTACAATTCAGCGACACGTCATGCTTAGGCGATGTACTCGAGATAAGACGCACAGCCAGATACAGCCCAAACTTCACCATACGACGAACGCATGCGGTATACAGTAGCTACGACCGGAGAGTATGCTTGAAGGGGAATATGACAAGAGATTGCGTATGCTTACAGAGTTTGATGCAAGATGTCCGACATGAAATGGGGCGTATACTTTGTTCACATACTATTGGACGAGACGATGGCCGGACCAGGCAGAGCACGCCACTAGGAACACGCAGGTAAGTCATGAACAATGGGAAGCAAGGGGCGGCGAATGCGTACCTGACTCGCAATGTACGGGCTCGTTTCCACGTCCGCGTACGAGTCGCGTTCCTCATAGCGGTCGTCTGGATTCCACGTGGGTGAAGACGGAGTGACAGGCGGCAGCGGAACAGGCAGCATAGGGCAGGACGGCCGCAGGTACTCCTCCTCAGAGTCAGACGGTGCATCCCTGAGGTACTCCACGTTCGTGCGCGTGGACAGGCTCTGCGGAATCCAACGGAGCTTCGACGGGAGCTTCCCGACCTCGTGCACTTCGGAAACTAGAGGCGTGTCGAAGCCAACGGTAAATTGCGACTGGGAAGTGCTGGTGTGATCCGAAGTAGGAAAAATGCCATGCGTACGCAGGTGACGTTTGGCGTTGGATCGCACGGCGAAGCTCTTCGTGCACGTCGGAATAGGACACTTGTACGCTGAAAGGGGCGCGATAAATAGGTGAGATTGGCTGCTACGCGAAACATTGTTGGCGGAGTACTTACGCTTGGCCCCGGAGTGGGAATTCATGTGCGTAGCCAAACCGCTAGGCCGGGGAAACAGCTTGAGGCAAACCTTGCACTGATGCATCTTTGACTTCTTCTGCGAGGGCTTCGGCCGCTCCGAAGACGATGCAGTGGACGGCGATATGGCGGTAGTCGAGCCACTATCAGCAGATCCCGCAGGGCTGCGCGGGTGATGGATGGCAGATTTATGAAGTGCATGTGCGCTCGACGTGCTGCCGTAAGCCATGTCAAAGGCGGACCTCGACCAGTTGTTAGGGCCATTGATGTCCGTGGTCCGTGTCGACTGGTAAGGAAGACGCGCGAGCTCGGAAACGGCAGATGGGGGGTCGCTCTCGGAGTCGTCGTCGTAGTCGTCGCCAGTGTCCGCGTCGTACACAAGAGGGGGGACGGATGAGGGACTCATGGGGTCGTGCACCGAGTCCATCGAGTGGCGGCGCAGTGGCTGTGAGAATTGTGGTAAGCGCGGCGATTGGGTATCTATCAGGGCTGACGAGGGTTCTGAATGCGTGGATTGCGCAGAGGATGATGTGGTCGACGTGGGTGATGCATAGACCATCGGGTATAGGGAGGGCGTGTGGGTGGCACCGAGTCCAGGGAACAAGGTCGGCGACAGCTGTGGCAGTATCCGGTGGGTGGATCCCGACTGTTCGAAGTCCGCCTGCGCGTTCAAGTATTGGTTATTCGTCCCATATGTCGAGTTACGGTCGGCGTCGTATCCCTGCTGCTGGCCATGGCCGTGATGACGGTCACTAGTACCAGCTGGCATCCCGTAGATGCCGTACTGCGTCCCCACTGAGACGGATCCGGGCATCGTGGACGACTCGCCAAAGGATGCTGGGTCCGGATACGACGAGTGGTACGCAGGGCCGTACGCCGTCTCGGGAAGAAGGGTGCGCTGCGACGACTCGGGATACCCTACGAGGTGGGAAGCGGCCGACTCGTTGTAGTAGGCCGAGGACGGCTGAGCGGGGTCGCAGAAGGCGGGATGGGGGTTAGAGAACTGCATCTGCTGGTCCCCCATGGTCCATACGTGCTGAGAAGATACGGAGGTATGTCCTGCGCCAGTGTTCGGTCCTGCGGCAGGCGCGTGGACGTGCGGTCCTTGGTACGGCGGGACATTGTATCGTGGCGTCGATGAGACGTTCGTCGGAGGGAACTGGTCCCCATATGCGAAGGTGGCGCTCGGTACCCGCAGGGGATTCGGAGGCGAGCGAGGAAGAGTCTCGCTATGCCTCCGCCAGATGCCAGCCATGGTGTTCTCGCCAAACATCTAGGGCTTGTACGCTGAGGACCTGCGTCAGTACGCCACAGCGCCCAAGGCAGGAGCCACTCACCGTGCGCTCCGGTGAATCCGACGCTGTGCGAGGCGGGGAGGGTGAGCCAACCGGGGCTGCGAGACGGTGGCCTTTAGACTCGGCGGATGTGCAGTTATGAGTGTTAGATGAGCAGCATCACTGCAACGCGCAATTCATATGGCCGGAAGTTCGGACACGAGACAGGAGGGTGCCAAACCTACCATAGGCGGCGACGCACTGGAATAACGTGAGACTCGAGAAGTTGGCTCCTTGTCCTAATCTGAGAAGGCTACCGCGCGACATGCAACTGCCATGTTATCTCGTTGCATCAAGGTGCATCAAACAGCAGCTGACTGGATGTGCGAATCAGGCAAGGAACTTTCCGCCCCTCTGCGTCCGAGATCTGGGTGTACGAGCGTCATCGGAGGCTGAAATGCAGCTGCAGCCAAGCCCTGCGACGCAATACCACCTGTGGATTGTGCCCGCACAGTCTGGATGACCGCCGCTCGGGCGGCACCCCTTGGCGTCTGCGAGTGACACGCAACCGGGTGGTCCTGACTGGATGGTAGCATGCAATTCCCTGTCTTGAGCTGGAGTGCGGATTGGTCAATGAGCGCGCCGGCTGCTGGGCTCCGCGGCTATTTGGAAAGGGCCGATTGCGTTCTTGTTGGTCGAGATCGGTCTGCCGTAATAGCATCCTTGACCGGGACCACGGGCAGATGCGAGATACGTCCCGCTGCCTTGCTTCTCTCAGGAGGCACTCTTCCGAGGCTTGATCTGGATAGGGACCACAAGAGCTCCTGCCTGCTGCTGCCCACACGTATGCCCAGAAGATGCGATGTCATTAGATGCAATCGATAGCAATGCGAATAAGGGAGAATGAACCAATCAGACCACGTAACGTGCACGATCCTTCCGACGATAGCCTTTCAAACCGACGATACTCACTAATATCAGATCCTGCATGGACTGACGGAATCGTCAACACCCGCCCACCTGCAAGCCCGTGCGCTGTGAGGTCACCCACGTCGTGTCTGGGAAGATCCATGACCTACCTGAACTCGGCGAATCTATTCCGGCTCGCACCGGTACTATCCTCTCCCTGCTCCGTGCTCGCTGTGTCGGGCCGTGAAGACGTACCACGAAGAAGCCCCGCTCTAGGAGCTTTCTTCACTTCTTCAGTAAACACCAAGCTTCGCCTTCTACCTGCTGAACGTAGATCCTGCTGTTTGCCTTTCTGCTTAGAAATGTCCAAGGCAGAGTGCGGTCGACGTTGTTGCAACGGTCGCTGGCGGCCCTCGGGCGTGATGGTCGTCTCCCTTCGTTTCAACGACGGTCGAGACTGGAAACAAATTTATCAGCACAGACGTGTTTGAGCGAAGGATTGGATTCACTTGTGCAACGGCGAGCTCGCTCGCACCGCGACCCCATCGTTCCCACCACCCGCGCGCGACTTTGGCATGGCGAGCAGATGCCTCCTGTGAAGCCGTCGCCTCATCCGTGTCTTCCGCCTCCATGAGTGCCTGCGCGCACGCGTCTGCCCGCCCTTGCGATGCAATATCACTCGGTGTCACGGGTCCCGGCGAGGCACTTGTGCTGCTGGGTGAGGCATCCAACGCGCCAGAGCACTCAATATCAGTCTTGTCGTCCCAATTCCAGTCACACTCTCCGAGAATGTGCTGGAGGTCGGGTCCACTGCCCTCTTCTTGACGACGGCGCTGTTTCCGGGTTTTTGATTTCGATGGTGTATCCGGGATCAAGACGGTCCCGCCCACATGAGGGACCGCCCTCGTCGCTCCCGCCGCAGTGACGCCGGCGGAAAGTCTTGTCCTCTGTTTGGGAACCGGGGGACTGGACAGTATGTCCGCACCGAAGTCATCATCATCTTCCCCCATGAACTGGCCACCGGACCGGGCTCTCAGCGGTGACGAGATTTCAGGACTATCCCATCGTCTCATGGAAGGCGAAGGCGAGATGTAGCCGTCTTCCTGGTCTACTGCGTCCGCGTCTTCCGTGAAGACTTCGTAATCATCCACGAACGGGTCGTTCTCCTTGTCCTCGTCCGCATCTAACGTGACGCGAGAAGGGCCTGCAACAGGACGTTCGAGGTCCTCGCCATCTATCACGTCTTCGACCGCCTCCGGGCGTGACGGTAGGTGGACGTCAAAGAACTTCGAGCTCCTGACTTGCCTTGTATGAACTTCATCCTTCGTCTCCTCCCGTTTCGTCCGTTTCACAGCCATATCGTGGTCCATCACTTCCGCTAATGTCCGCTTTCCGCTCGCCCGCCCCGCCATTATGGGATGACCCGGACCGTGCGAGGTGGCGGCCTGTTGACCACTGCTGGCCCCTGATCGAGGTTCTAGATGGTTCAAGCGAGACGTAAAACAGCTGTCAGTAGCAAGACCGGCGTGTCTGTCTGCGAAATGTCGGACTTACTGAAGAAACTCAAAATCCCAACCGCTCCTTTCCCAGCATTTTGGTGGTTTCCGGTGCCCTGCTGGCCGTCCAGCCTCCTTGCATTTGGCACGTTCAACGGGATTGTCTTCAGCGCGCGAGGCACGAACGTTGGATTGATATCATCCATGGGCAGCAGACTGATCGGGCACGCGTCACCTTCCGCAACCTGTCTCGCCAAAGCGGGTTCAATATCACTGCAAGCATGTTCGGTCAGTGTCATCATGCACGTACACTCCACGATCGTCTCACCTCCCGACGTACGCGTCCGTCTCCTTGTCCAACCGTTCACCATCCACCGGTTCCGTCAGGTGGACCAGACACTTCTGCGTCGGATCGTACACCCGTTGATACAAGAATACCCGTTCCGCCAATTTGAAAGCGTCCAGGTAACCTTCCGGCACCTTCTTCTTCCCTTCAAGCATCAACGCCCGTACCGCGTTCTCCGCCGTCTTGTGCTTTCGCAACAGCGACCACGCCGTCTTCAGCCCGACGCCTGGTATGCTCGCTAGGTAGTCGCAGCCGCTAAGGATAGCCATACGTCGAAACTGGACATCCGACCAGCCCAGCAGCGACAACCCTCCGCCGGCCCCGGCGGACCCAAAGTCTCCGCGGGAGATGCACGTGACGGTACTCTCGACGACGTCTAATTTCAAGAGCACCTTCCTGCACCCGAACACGAGAAGGTCAGAATCCTCCGTGATTACGCCGTCGACGACACCGATGCGCTCCAGATACGCAAGCTGTGCATCGGCTTCATACGGAGCCACTACGTATGGGATGCCCTCCACCCGCAATGCCTAGGCCGTGTCCGCCGGTTAACATCAATGAACGAGCGTGGGGTTGGCCGCACAGACCTTGATAAGCTGATATGCCATTTGAGGCGTAACGTCGACGCACTTCACGTAGTACTCTCGCGCTTGGCTGTGCTTGCCTTGCGCTGCAAGCTCATTCGCGCGTGCTAGGTTCTCGTCCCGACGTTTCTTGCGCTCCGATTCGGTCCCCTTCTTCGCTGGAAGTGGCCCACCGTCGAATACCACGTACGGCTGTATGCGATGGTGCTGTAGCATCCGCACGCGATGCATGGCATACTCGACATATCTGTGAAGGAATCAGTCAATGGTCTCTCGAAAGCGTCCCGAGGATATGAGAACCCAGAATTCAATATCTGAGCGATAGAAATACGGATCAAGAACCAAGGCATGCAATGCAGAGTTCAAGGCAGGCAACAGTCTTTCGAAGCAGCGGCAGCAGCCATCGCCTTCTGCGATGTCGAGAGCGAGAGCAAAACCCCAACGGAAGGACATCCAATGCATACGGGCTCCCACCTGTGCACCGTCGCACGGGCATGTGAGACCATGCCCATTCATCCGATTGCAGCAAGTTTCCAATTTGCGAAACACCGCTCCCTGGGTAACTTCCGGGGCGAACAATGACGGCTCGAGCGAGGTGGCCGCCGGAATCTCCCATGCATGATCTGAACCATCTAGGCACACTCGCTCGCGCCGCCGGCGACAGGTCCACGGTACAGGTTCCGAGACCCTGCGGTCAGGTAACATGCACGCCGTCGTGGTCGCTCACACAGTTGGCTGTAGACATATCGCTGGCACGATACACCAGTGCACCATCGAGCAAACACATCGTCGCTCGGAGGCCCGCCAGCCACGACCCATGCATAGCAATCAACCACTTTCCCCCGACCGCACCCTAGATCGGGAGACACGATTGTGTCCGCCGACGAGCCAGGTGGACCGAGACAAGGCGAGCCAGCTCATTAACTTGGTCAGCGAGTTGTATGCACACTCCCACAGGCCACAGCCGTGAAGAGCATTACAACCGTTGGTTCTTTCACGAATGCTAAGAGCCGGCAGGGGTGGTGTGACAGAATTGGCGGGACGAGACGGGGGCACCGACGTGAATTCTCGTAACTCCTGCATCGAGAACGAGGTCCTCATCCTCGTCAAACCCCCAAACTTTCCACGTGCCCCAGCATTTTCATAGCAATCGACGTGGAGGTCCGGCAGCGCTGTTCGACCGAACGCGTTTCAAACTCGTCTTCTGGCAGACCGATCTCTTTGAGCGAGACGGACTGCCGACCAACGAGACTTCTGTCGTGCGTACTCAAAAGAAAGAAGAGGACACTCACTTATGTGTTTTCCTTCCAGTAGCAAGCTCCGCCGCGCACCCGTAGGTCCCCCTGTGCAGCCAGACGTACGCGTCCACCGCAATAGTTTGTCCCGCAAAGTCGGAGAGGGGTCGAGTGACTTGGATATCCTTCAAGAGCGGCAGAAGACCAGAGATTCCCATGTCAGCAATCCAAAGGTCATGCGCGTACTGAGGCACAGAGTCGTGATGGAAGCAAGTGCTGAAATGCAGGTGTTGGACGTTGGACGTAACGTTGAGTAGCGGTATTGCTGAGCGCTGAGCTGAGGAGGCAACAGACGCGGACGCGTGACAAAACGCGTCGCGTCACACCGTGACCACTTTGCATGTGACCGTGGCTGAGGGCTCACACATGCTTCGCTGAGTCCTGACCAGGTTTCTAAGTACCGACCAAGCGTTTTCCACAAACTCTACATGCATATACACAAATAATATGTTGGCTATGTGAGACGTCAGGACTTACACTGTACAAATATGCAGCAGACGGCCGTTCAAATAACTACAGGGGCAAAACAGTACAAGTAGTAAGTTACTGTACAGGTTGGACTCAATAGACAGCATATGTATGGGTCTTTTGTTCTGAAACAAGATCGAAGTACTAGATGAATTGGGAACGACTTGAACAAGGGAAGACGGATACTAGTACCTCGCACTGAGATCCGTCTCCTCCGTTGAGGTCTCCTGCTCGACATTGCTCGGCATACTCCAAAACGTCGTCACGCTCGTTACTGTCGCATGCAGCCCTGCAGCGACGGCGTGTCGAGTAGCATCCCTCAAAAGCGGGGCGATGGATGGTAGTGAATTTCTCGGTCTGGGTGACACGAACTCGTAGAACGAGAAGTGAAAGTGAACGGTGACGGCGGGGCAGCTGATGTGCAACCGGAGGAGCGCAGCATCCAGGCCAGCCAGCAATAGCGGACCTCGGACAATGAGGTGCGACTGCACAAGGGAAAAGCGTAGCTCGACATCTTGAAGGGCGAGATCTCCGGTAATGCTCGAGAAAAGCTGCCGTATGTCGTCAAAAACCAGCTCGTTTCTTGGGGACGGCGGCGGGATATCCCAGTGCAATGTTATGGACTGCAGCTGAGGGAGGCGTGAGAGATCAACGAGGTGTAGGACTGTCGACTGATTGAGTAACGAGGATGATGGAGCCGAAGTACGCAGCTACGTACACAGATATGTGATGCGCAAGTGTCGCAAAGTTGCTCTTCCGAGCAAGGCGAGGATAGCAGACTCAGCTAGCCTGAGCATCCTGTCTGGTCCCATCGACTCGGGTATCTCCGGTCTACCCACGTCAAGCGTGCGTAGAGAAAGTTGGAAAGGGGGCCTAGTGATAGAATCCAATATGTACGTGGCAGGGAATTGGACGGAGTTGCGGTCGAAGTACAGCTCCTGGATGTTGATAGGCAACGTGACTTGTATATCGGTTTCGAGTGGCATGAGCTCCATCTGAGGAGTGTCGGGCGACAAGCGGAGACCCACGATGCGCACCGTCGACAGAAACGGGAAGAATGTCAAAAGCTGTGGAATGATTTGAGGGTGCCGGGTGAAGTTATCTATGAGCTCCAATCCTCTGAGCTTCTCGAAGGGTAAGAGGCCCTTCAGAATCCGTCTGGGGACGGATATAGGATCGTAATCCTGAGCCCGATCGACCATGCTCGCCCAATTCCAGTCACGCAAGCTAAGCTGCTGCACATTGGGCATGTGGCGATGGCCCGCATAAAGCGCGATGTCTTCGAACAGTTTCTGCACCACGTAGCCGATGCCAATATCGACCAGCTCGAAATTGTGGATGTATCGTCCTATGTCCGTCCCCATCGATGCGGATGTCTCGAGGGTGCGGAGGAACCGAAGCCATCTGGGCGCGCCCTGCACTTTGACGTGCTCGAATAGGTACCGTTGAGACAACGGAGCCCATTCCCGGCACGCCAAAGCGCACACCTTCAGGGCAGCACGATCATGACGCAAACGTGTGATCCATTGTTCGTAGATTTCTGGCGGGAAGTGGGATGTCTGCATATTTTCGATGATCTCTGCGAGGGCGTCCTGTTGATTCCTTGTGCTTGCTTTTCGGGGATCAGATCTCAGAGATCGGCGACGTCCTCGCCTGTCCTTGTCGGTCAACATGGCATACAAGTGGTCGTGATCGTGGTTGAGATTGTGAAGAGGAGCATGTTGTCAGGGTGCAAGGCTGCATCGATCCGCGCGAAAACGTACCCATATAACACTGAACTCCGGTATCAGTACTGTCGGAAAAGATGATGGCCTATGTCAGTATGTCAGTAAAGTGACCACAAGTGCGGCAGCAACTGAGGGCCGCTATCGACCTTATGGTACTCACACGCGATAATGAGGAGAAGTAAGCGAAAGGCGAACCCATCTCGTCTTCGCGCAGCTCAGAGATATAATGGTGCTACTTCTCGATATGCCATCACGTGTGACGCTCGTCATAGTCAAAGTAAACCTTGATACTCAGTACTACTCGGTATGGGACATATGGGGCGAATGTGCTCACCACTAAGGTTCTAGAGCTTTCGGCCCTTGCGGGGCTGTCTGAGTGTATCAGTCGTATCGTGCATTCACCAGGTCACAGTATAGATAAGTAGCCTCCCAATAAATTCAACCAGAGCCTGCAGACGTACCAAGCAAGGCAGTGCCGATTCCCGATGAATCCAACGTGTACCATTCTAGTCTCCGTTGCTGACCAAAAAGTAGTGCCATTTTGGATTGCACTGTAGAAGTCACCCTAGTAAGGCAAAATGATGCTCACACCTCCGAGCAGCTTCAAACACTCTGTCTTGTGGAGAGAGTTTTTGATGGCTTCACAGTACTGGTATGGGATAGTGAGCAGGGTCACAGAGATCTATGCAAGAGCCTGTTCTGAGGGATAATTAGTGTGAACGCTTGAGGTGCACGTGCTCGTGCGAAGCATGGCCAAACAACGCGTACACAACGCGTATCAATATGACTCGGATATTTTTGAAGGTCAATCAGATTCTTTGCACTTTGACCCCGACATCGTATGCCTTCAAAGCTTCATCCTTGTCGCCTCATTAAACGTAGATCAAGACTCGGGCGGCCGTTGTTATGCTCTTTCAACTTGCTGGCGCGTAAGTCAACCTGTGACAGCCCCGTGACGTCCAGGCTGAGCTCACTGCTCATAACTTATTTGCATCCAGTGACAGTGCTCGCTGCTTAATTACCACCCGTGGAATTAAGCTCTTACCACAAGAATATGTAGCATGGATGCCAGCACATTCAAACATTAACAAGTCCGATAGCCGCTAGACCTGTCGCAGCAAACAAAGTATCGCAAGACTGTGGGATTTACTCAGCCAAACTTGTGCTTCGGACCGACAACAGGTGACTCCTAATATCTTCGCTTTCGACCCTCAGTCTGACCTGATCGCAGCTGCATCACCAAGACGCCGACGGCGCCTGTGGCTGGCGGTCGATGACTAAATGGATTCCCTCCTCTTCCTCCTCCTCCTCCTCCACATATCGCGATGGCCTCGTACAGTGACAGACTGCCCGCTGGCGTATCATCGAGGTCCATCGCAGTCGCAGACCTTGACCTGCACGTACTTGAAGCCGGAGACACATCTCGACCCCTCATTGTCCTGCTGCACGGCTTCCCGGAGCTCGCCTTCTCCTGGCGCAAGGTGATCGTGCCCATCGCGCAGCTAGGCTATCGTGTCGTTGTCCCCGATCAACGAGGCTTTGGCCGCACTCGGAGTCGTTCCAGCGCGAATGAGCCCATTCGCTATGAGGACGACCTCCGTCCTTACCGTGTACTGAATGTCGTTAGAGATGCCGTCGCTCTCGTATACGCGCTGGGCTATCGCACAGTCGCTGCCGTGATAGGACACGACCTTGGATCGCGCATCGCCGCGTACTGTACGCTCATCCGTCCAGACATCTTCCAGTCCGTCATCATGATGTCCGCGCCGTTCGATGGCCCGCCGTCTCTCCCCTTCGACGTCGAGCGGACGCAAAGCGCCCCGCCACCGAACATCTTCAGCGCAGAGATCAAAGCCGCTCTCGCCGCGCTGGATCCTCCTCGAAAGCACTACGTCCCGTACCTCGCCAGCCCGCAGGCGAACTCAGACATGATGAACACCCCCCAGGGCCTCCACGCCTTCCTCCGTGCGTTCTTCCACACGAAGAGCGCCGACTGGCCCCACAACGATCCTCACCCCCTCGCACCTCTCAGTCTGTCTGAGCTGGCACAGTTACCTCCTTATTACATGATGCCGCTCGCCGCGACCATGCCCGAGGCCGTGGCGCCGCATGCGCCTTCGCGCGAAGAGGTCGAACACAACCAGTGGTTATCAAACGGCGACCTCGCTGTGTATGTCGCGGAGTATGGTCGCACGGGATTCCAGGGCGGGCTGAACTGGTATCGCGGCGCCCAGCCCGAGCTATACGAGGAGTTGGCCGTCTTCGAGGGGAGAAAGATTGAGTGCCCAGCGATGTTTCTATCGGGCAGGAAGGACTGGGGCGTGTTCCAAGCCCCTGGTGCATTGCAGAGGATGAAGAACGACGCCTGTGCGCGATTGGAAGACGAGGACATTGTTCTTGTTGACGGAGCGGGACACTGGGTGCAGCAGGAGCAGCCCGAGGAACTCGTCAAACATGTTGAGCGGTTCCTGGAGAAGGTAAGGTGTATCGCCATCAACCGTGTAACTGCGCGCTGACTTAAAACATCAGGTAACGCCGTGAACTCAACTGTGTCTTTTCCGTGACCTGCCATCGTCCAGCTGCAGCACGCGCTGCGGCGGCCGTACATGTCATTACGAGCTTTGCTGTCAAGTCATCTACTGTATGTCGCTCCTGAAAGGGGCGCAGGTTTCGCTGTGCAAGAGTCAGTCCGCGTTCGCGATTCAGCAACGACTCACGGCGTCAACGTAGCTGTGGTAATACGACCTGGGCCGCGATCGGATCGTCTCCAGCCTTTTTCGTCGCAGCGATCGCTCGGGACCTAAAGTTTTGATGATTTTTACAGATCACGGAAGTGGCCGGTCGTTGGCATCATATGCTGTGAGCTGCCGCGACGCAGGCTTGCATCGGTATGAGGTTGTTGGACATACGACGGTCTCCTGGCGCTGCAAGGCGCTGTGCAAGACGACGTCAGATCCATATATCGATTCGGACGGGTAATCTCGTTTTACGACGCACTGAGTACTGTTTACTCGTAAGTCTCTGGAACATCATATACATGAATGGCGCTGGAACTGTTACTGTGCAGGGTGACTCGTATACCCCCATTGGCACTTCTATTCGCTTGAACCCAGCTCGTTCGGCTTCTTCGCGTTCGGCGTCTTACTCTTTCAAGGAGTACGACCTAGACTCCATGGTAGTGGCTTCGGTCCTAATCCTGGCGTGGCTGGTGTGTTCAACTATACAAAACAGGACGGCCACCGGTACCTCTTCGTATTCTGCTCTTCGAATTCGTTTACTCAGCTGACCAAGTTAAGTCTCCATGGTACAGTCAGGCTTACATAGACAGCAGTCATCAAAGCATGTCAATTTTGGCCCTTTGGAGTTGTCGAGGAATGGTGCAACGTGTGCGCGGACAGGATTAGAGATGTAGGGCCGCCGACAAGCGTGTCAGTCGAAACACCTGAATAGGTGTTTCTATTCTGTACGGAAGCAGAATTGCTGTTGTTCGAGGTTTGATTTGAGTAATAACCGCTTCCTCAGGTTGCCAAATGCTTTTGCAGGGCTCGGGTGACCTTCAGAATCCAGATACGACCGGAAAATATATATGTCCGTGCGCGGCGCGAGTGCCGCCCTGCGCGCTAGCAGCCGGTTGTCTGTAATCGCTCCACGGTGATTGACTGGAACGCGATACATAGCCTGCAAGGTGGGTGGACTCGGACGTCACTATACACGTTCAGCAACCGTATAAACGGTCTGTGTCCAGGTAAGGGGCAGAGGAGGAGGAAGGTGGGCGCGGAAGCTTCAAGCGTGATCAAATTCTGGGCGGACGCTTGCGGACGCCGATGGGCGGTTCGTACTGTCACTGACAAACATGCGGGCCTGGTGATACCTCTCATTTGCCTCATTTGGTGTACAAACTCTCGCCACATCCTTCACGAGCCATGGGGCGGGGCATCGCGGTAGAGTCCGCGTCAGGAGGCAGCTATATAAAGGAGCCACGTACATGCCAGAATGGACGCACCCATCCGCCCTCCTCGTCCTCCTACTCCCACCCGTCCATCGTGCTAAACCCCTAAATCCATCCTCGTCCGATACATGTCTGAAGCTAACTTGGGAGACAAAGCGGTTCCAAATGGACTGCCTGCACCACCATTCTTCTTGCCCGTAAGTTGAGTTATGGTGCCTGCTGAAGACGCAACTTGACTCTGCGAGGACAGTACCCTGACAGGCCGGAGCTCATCACGGAAAACCTGATGAAGCTCGTCGAGCTGACACCGGATCCGTGAGTTGTCAATCAATCAGAGGACTGCTGAACCTTTGTCTGACGAGGTGAACCTCGTGTCAGGCGTCATAAGTTCCTCGTGAAGACACTCATCACACACTTGCATCAATTCGTGAACGAGACGAGGTGAGACATCTGCCTTATGGATGGCCACAACAGGTCTGACTGGATGCCCTCAGTTTGACGACAGATGAGTGGATGGTCGCGCTCCAGTTCCTCACGCGCGTGGGCCAAACATGCACGCCGCTGAGGCAAGAGTTTATACTGCTCTCCGACGTGCTGGGTGTGTCCGCGCTCGTGGATGCCGTCAACAACCCTCCCGTGAGTGGTGGAACGGAGAGCAGCGTGCTCGGCCCATTCTTCACCGAGGACGCCCCAGATGGTCAGCAGTCCCCCTTCATGTCATGATTAGGCGCAGACTGACGTCAGGATGTGTACCCCAGTCGAGAACGGCGACTCGATCGCGTCGGAAGGCAAGGGCGAGTACATGTTCGTCGAGGGCCGTGTGCTCAGCACAGACGGCACTCCCGTACCAAATGCCCTCATCGAAACATGGGAAACCGATGCCCTTGGTCAGTTCTTGCTGAGATCAGTTTGCGAATGCGCGCCATAATAGTCGTTTTGGGGGACACACAGGCTATTATGATACCCAATACAAAGGCCGCGAGAAGCCGGATTGCCGTGGCCGTCTGCGCACAGACAGTGACGGGAGGTACGGATACCGCGCAGTAGTGCCGGTTGCATATCCCATTCCAGGCGATGTAAGCTATTGTCGTATCGTCTTCGCCGTTTAACACGTTGATGGACACCTCCAGGGTCCTGTCGGAGAGCTGCTCATCAAGATAGGCCGGCACAACATGCGCCCAAACCATCTGCACCTGATGATCGAGGCTCCGGGATTCAACAAGCTGACAACAGCGCTGTATCCAGAGGGCGACGAGTGGCTGAGTAGTGACGCGGTCTTCGGCGTGAAGAAGTCGCTGGTAGTAGTGAGTGTCCATTGCGAGTGCATTCTCCCCGAATTGCAGAGCTCATCCCGTCCCGCCAGACATTCAAGGATGTGCACGACGCAGCGGAGGCACGCAAACGCGGATTCCCGAAGGGCGACTCGTTCAAGTTGCTGCAGTTCGACATCATCATGGTGCCTGAAGACGAGTCCAAGGCCGCCCGAGAACAATTCGCACGCGAGCAGGCGACGAGGCTCCAGCAGAAAAGTGGCGAGAAATAATGAGCATAACCCTAGATGGACATTTGTGATGGTCACTGCATCCGTATTCGCTTCAACAGCTGTGTACAACATCAATTACCTTCCACAGGCATTCTCTATCGTAGTATATTACGGCGTCTCACGGATGTTATCCTCGTGTCGTAACCAGTGAATGTTGCTGTGCGTTGTCGCCGAGTCCGAGCCTCCTGTGGTTTCCTAGGTCAGATTCGGAACAGTTTGCGACTCTCTGAGCGGTGAAGGGGATGCACGGCGATATTTGGATAATTTATATCGAGGATCGTCACTGTGAACTGATAGTATCACGACACCAAGTCAGCCTATTGGGTGCCAAGTACAGAGGAAAGGCATTACTTACCACCCAATTAGAGCGCCGCGTCATAGTGTTCTCGACCCGTCCGAATTTGGTCCGAATAACTGGAGATGCTGAGAGAATATTTTTGGTGGAGCGCTGCGTCTCACGACGCTGGGCCTGACAGTCGACAAAGTCGCCTTCAGGTTGCTCGCTGGCGTTGAAACCCCGAGTTGAGTGAGATGCTGAGAGAACTTACCCAGCGAAGAGAGTAACTTTTGGCTAACATGTTCAGCTACGAAGGGCGAGTTCAGCAGCTATCACAAGTGCTGTGAATAGTGAAATACCACCTGTGTTCGATGACCACGTGTATACCAAGCATACCCTCATATGTAACTGCATTGACCCTGGGCGGACGACTATCCGTCCCTTTGTTGAGCCTCGTGGCACTCATCCGAGTCGTCTCAGTGTTACTCCACCCATCTCAGGGCACCCTCAGGCCTGCCGAATCCAAATCAGTTGGGTCACTTGAGCAAATATCTGCGACTCACCATTTCCTATAGCATTAACACGCCCGTATTTAGTCTGCAACCTCCCGCTCCTCCGAGTCTGCGGTGGCTCCGGGATGCTTACCAGCAGTGACTGGACATCTCCGAGACGGAGGGCCTCTGGGCCATAGGTACTCGCCCAGCATGCATACCAGATATCTTTGAATAAGACTGCAAAATAAGGAGGGCTGAAGGTCAGCGCTGCATGTAGACTGGGCGAGGCCATGGATCATGGAGGTGTGGGTTGGGTGTGGACATTGATCGCTTAAGCGCCCGACGGCGACCCGGTCATGCAAGTCTAATGCGGCCTGTGACTACACCCCATCCGCACTTACCTCCGTCGAATTGTCTGCTGGAGCCATACAACCTGCTCTTGCTACGAATCTCATCTGGCGTTGACGGGGTCCTGCCCATTCTCCAGGAGCTTTGCGAGTGCGTCCGGTAAATTGATTCAACGACTAGGAAGAGAATGCTTTGCTGACTTACTAGACCCATCTACAAGCGCATACTCTAGCCACGTCGCTCGCAGTCGACACTTGAAGCTTGAAGGCTGGAATCATTATGTCGACGACCGGCACAACTACTGAATCCAACTTCTCGGCGGAGAGTTACTATGCGACACAGCCGCCCCCCTCCAATCTGGATCAAGAAGTACGGAATGTCCGCGACTTCGTCCGCAAGCACGTCAACGCAGGCAGAAATGTCGTTCTCGTGACGGTGAGTGGCCATACATCTCCTATTGAATCGGTAACCAACAAATCCTTCAGAGCGGCGGGACGACAGTTCCGTTAGAACTCAACGTGTGAGCCACACCGCTCGTCCGCCGGGGCATCATGTTCATGCGCATGTGCTTTGCAGCGTTCGGTTCTTGGACAACTTCAGCGCAGGCAAGTTCATCCTTCACAATGATGAGGTATAGCCATTTGCTCACTGGCTGGCACAGGCACTCGTGGCGCAACTTCTGCCGAATACTTCCTGAAGGCAGGCTATGCGGTCATATTCATGCACCGACAATTCAGCTTGCAGCCCTTCAGCAGGCACTATTCACACTCTACCCATCCATTCCTGGACTTCCTTGAAATCGAGCAGGACGGTTCTGGAGGTGGCAACTCCCCCCTTCGGATCGACGTTACGGAGAAAGAGCGCGCTCCGTTGCTTGAGGTGCTCACCTCATACAAGAATGCCCACACCGCAGGTCTCCTGCACACCCTCACATTCGTGACTGTGAATGACTATCTATGGCTTTTACGCGCCGTCAGCCAAGAGCTCGCCGTCTTGGGGCGGCGCGCACTGTACTATCTTGCTGCCGCCGTCAGCGACTTCTTCCTACCCAGACAAAAGATGGTGAGACGAAGGCTCACTTTCTTCGTGTCCCGCTGACAGCTCTTCCGCAGTCAGAGCACAAAATACAATCAGGAAAGGGCAGCCTGCACATAGAAATGGATCAGGTCCCGAAGATCTTGAAGCCGCTGGTTTCTGAGTGGACGCACGGTCAAGCCTTCATCGTGTCCTTCAAAGCGAGTTCTTGTGACCTACCTCTGCGCGAGAAGATACTGAGCTCTGAAACTACAGCTCGAAACTGACCCATCGCTTCTGGTACCGAAAGCACAACAGGCTCTGGCTCGGTACGGACACCAAGTCGTTATCGGAAACGACCTCCACACTCGCAAGCACCAGGTTGTCTTTGTATCACCATCCGCCGATAAAGACGGGAAATACGTCGAAGCATGGATCCGCATGGATCCGTCTCAAGACTCAATAAAAGAGATAGAAGAGGATATCATCGTAGAGCTGGCGCGCAGACATCGTACTTGGATAGATCTAGCGATCTCTTGATTCGGAGGTAATGCTCATGTACAACCTGAGTTTGCCACAACGTATAGATTGGTGACAAGGATGTATCCTGCGATTTCTGCGCTATAATGTGAAATGACCAGTGCATGATGCTCATTGACCCAGTTTCCAAGGTATCGAGCCTTCTCAAGACTCAAAGACGGACGCACCACAGTAATGTCACGCGTAGCATGTCATGTGACCGTGTCACCCCTTAGAATGGCGAACAATGGCTCGGGTAAGTACTCGACTCGTCTTGTCTCATCCCGTCTTCAACTCGTCTCGTCTACGCAGCAACCTCCCTCAACGTAAAGCCCAATGTTCTTCAAGGACTGGCACACTTTCATACACTGCGACGGGGACCTCGTCGACGAGTTTGACTTCCGCATCGTAGACGACAATACCGTCTCATGCTACATCCCAAGTGAAGCAGGCAAGGTCAGCCGCCACACCGTGCTTAGAGTCCCATTCATCAACTCAATCATGCCCAATATGCGCATCATTGCAGAGTTTTGCAGTCAGATGGCAGAACGACCTCTACATAGCGGCAGCCGCGGAGTGTTTCATGGACGGTCAACGCATGGGGTCTTCAAATGTCGATCCTGGGGAGAGAGGCGCGCGTAATGGTGTCCGCACGAACGGGGACTACAAGCAGTACTTTCAGTTCGCGCCGCTTGCTACAACAGGTGTGTTCTCTGCAGATAAACTCGGGGAGGCGTGCGCCACACTGCCAGTTTCAAGACCGTGCTCCGCAAGCAGAACCCTCTCGATGCGGACTGCATGTGCTCTATTTTACGGATGCACATGCCTGTTGAGCAGGACCACATGGTCAAGCCCTACGAGGTCAGATCGCGTGGTTGAAGACAACAGTTCCTAGGTCAACATACGCATCGTCCGCAAGTGGCGTTCTGGTGGAGGAGGCAAACACTTGCCTTCAGCCCCCGTTAAACTTGGCATGTCGCGCTCGATGTTCCTTGCACTTTATGCTTGAGTCGATCCGAGCAGATTCTGGCCTACTGGAGTAGAGCTCCTGTGGTTGTCTGTGGCCCGTGCTATGCCTTCCGTTTTGACACGAGCATCTAGATGACGACGACGTTGCTGACCCCGACGACCCGATGATCAACAACCTGGGGGTTATCGAAGTCCGGGTCTACCGCATCAGATACTCTCACGAAGTATTCCGGCCAAATAACCGACATCGACCCCAGGAGTTCGCAGAACGCCCACCTGTGCACGAACGCAGCAAGAAGGCCGGAACACACTGTGTCAGGTTTGTGCAAGAACCATTGATTTGATCTTGGCCTAGCTATATATTGCCTTCCCTTGGACAGACTCGGAGAAGGCAAGTGGTTCGAACCCACCGCACACTCGGGCCCGAGGAGGATATACATCGACAATCGGAAGCATCCCTACATCCGCTTCATCTTCCGCTATCAACCAAGAGGTGCGCGGTTCGCATGAAGGACTATGTCATCTCAAGAGCCTGTTACCCTTAGCAATGCTGCAAGCACAAGGAATCATCCCAAGAGACTATGGTACGGACGCGTACCACCAAGAACAGGTCCCAGCTCTTCACCCGAGTCGGAAGCGGAACTCTTCTGTGCTTTACATGGGTTCGAATGCTGGTAGCGCAGGACCGTCTAACTACCGGGCATCTGTCAAACCCGAGCCTCGATTGCTGGAGGACCGCTTGGGATCCGAGTACTACGATGACATGCAAGTCGAGGTACGCCTCTGTATCTCTGTTGGGACCTACTCTGTACGATGGACTGTTGCAGGACATGCTCCGCGCAAGAAGTGCACAGTACGACGCGTTTGCTCCCTACGCTCAGCCTCAACTGCAGCATGACCTCCCGCCGGCTCCTAGGCGACATCCTTTTGTCATCGACGTTGACGCTGATGTTATCGACCTCACTCAAGACGAGGACTAGAGCTACCCAGCCGATCCTGTGCCCCTTCGCCAGACTATCACGAGACGACCGATTCTAGGTCTCACGACGCGATCCACGCCATTCATCTCCAATTTCGACTCGCGGCTTACGCTATTCTGTTCAATGTACTATCAGCTTGTAAATACATTTCTATTCACTATTCACCATACCATGTACGACGCGAGCTATCTCAGTTAGGACTTCGTCTCAGCAAGCAGGGAGGTCCCTAGGTAAGTACCCGGTTAGGACATGAGGCAGAGTCACCTCATGGAAACGAGTGTTCGCGTGAAATGGGCAGTCGCGTAAATCACAAGGTCGTATTCTACATACATGAGTGCATGAGGCCACCTCCCAGTACCAAGTAGTGCATATTGCATAATACAGGTCATCCATCGTTTCAAATCGTCAGTTGTGCTCCGTGTTGGCTCGGTCCTACCACCATGTTGAACGTCATGAGTCAAGAAGGCGTAACTAGAATCGTACGAAGCTCACCTGCATAAGCTGCACAAACTCAAGGAAGAGGCCCCCATCTTCTTGCGCCGGGGCTCCGTCAGTTTGCTCCGCGTGCTGAGAACTCGCATGCGCCTCTCCAAAAGAGTTGCTGGCGCCCTTGCGCGCGGCCCGTCTCTGCTTCCCGTTTTCTCTTGCTGCCACACTGGCGGGAGACAAAGAAAGCGGTCTAGCTTTCGCGGGCTTAATCAACGCCGCCACTGGGGCAGGACGACTGGGGGCCGTGACACATGCTCGAGCGTTCTTGCGCGCGCCATGGTGGCCATGGCCTGCTCGGATAGGTTAGCGTAGCCGGGTTTACCAGTGTAAATAAAGCGGAAGACCGCGCTAGGACGATCCCATTCATCGGGGGTGGGTACCCAGCCACTGCTGTCTCCATCTAATGATGCTGCGAGAGCAGCGGGATTGAGCGTAGATAGCTCCGCGTCTGCGTCCGCGGGCTGAGCGGGTGCTTCGTCCTTGTAAAAACGGACTTCTATGAACCCTTTCGTCGCCGGATCTGCAAGCGCAACGCGTTATGGAAGTCGGCGAAGTCTATCTAACAACTCACCATCGCCGGGTGGAGAAACTTTAGGCCACTTGAGCACCTTCTGCCCTTCATGGATCTTGCGGTACGCTGTTGACATGCATATGCTCCCGCTCTTTCGAGCAAGGTATAGTGTTGCTCGTTCAATTGCACGGCCGTCGTGCGACGTGAAAACATATACATCCTCTCGGCTGCCATTGTGGCAGTCCAATCGGTGCTTCGGGGGTGATACGATGTCAATAATCGAAGCAACGGCACTCCAAAGCATAGGAAGGCTCTTACATGGTGAGCACCGTGATGCCAGTCAGCCTCAAGGTAGCAGCTAGCGACATTGCCGTGTACTTCGACGCCGTACTCCTCGAGGATCCCAGGAGTTTTTCCAACGGAGACCATTACCGCCTCGTAGTTGCGTAGCTGCATGCTGGCGAAAAGAAGGGACAGGACCGCCCACTCCGCAAAACACCCATGCGCACTGGTATATAAGCACCAGCGGCCTCGCAACGCTTTGGATTCCAGGGGCGCATATGGCCACAGTGGCCACAGGAACAAAGAAGCGGTGAGGGTGCCAAGAGGCTTGCAACAAAGATTATCGGGGCTACACGTGCTGGGATGGCCAGATTCCAGTTGGGGTCAAAGCATCTCGTCGTCATGCGCATTCTCCGCGACTCGGGGCCTATTCCTGTGTAGCGGAATCAGAATTGTACTGGCGGTGGAGGTATTCTGTCTATGAAGCAGCCTAGGAGAGCAGAAAGGCGGGGCGCGACCGTAAAGGTCGGAGATCACTGGACATTCAGAATTTAGCACGGTGCTGGCACGCCGTCCGAGTGAATTACCAGAAGTATCTTAGACGCCAGCGTTCAGTACAATAACCAAATTTGGGCATGATGGTAGATCTATGATAGTGGCAACGACGGCGAATACACAGATCCCCCGGATTTGGGTACCTAAAGGCAAATGTGACATCCATGTACGTACATTGTAGGCACACAGAAGGTGGCCACCGCACCACGCCAAATCTCGCCAAAGTCATCCCGATATGCCGTGACCCACCAGAGCCACTGCAGCTGGTGGGGAATAAGTAAGCGCAACGCGACGCGATGTTGAGTACTTCAAGTTGAGTGGCGCCCAAGATCGACATGGTCGTATATACCTCAATCCGAAACGAGTGCCTCATCGTGCAGCACACAAAAACATACGGGGACAGACTATGATTTGCATAAGGTACATAAGCGATAGCATACATCAAATGGCATACTACATATACAAGGAAGGGGCGACACCTTCACATGTCAGACGCCTTCATATAATGGAGAGTCTGTGCGAGTTTAACTCGATACCGCGCCAACTGCAAGTGGGCCTCAACATCCGGGTGTTGCTGCACCACCATGTCCAGGCGTTCCTGCGAAGGCTCGCCAGATCCACCTTCTGCCAGTGCGGGTCGTCCCTCAGCGCTGCCAGTGCCGCGTTCTGACCGAGCACCGACGACGAGGCGAGTTCCAGGCTTGATGGCGTGGTACCCATAAGGATGAGAAGCATCGTGGCGAGGGCCATGAGAGCGAGGAGTCGTCTGGCTCACCGGCACCGGACCGACCATCGGGGGCCTCACGTAGGGTTTCAGCGCAACGAAGGGGGGCAGCGTAACAGAGGGCACTGTCGGGGGATTCAGCGTCCTAGCACGCGCCATGGTCGCTGCAGACGGCCGCGCGGTCTCGTGGTGCAACAAGTCGCCTCCGTCCGTAACCACGAACCGGAACACAGTGTCCGGGTGCGCCCATACCTCGGGGTGGCCATCCAGTCTGCGCTGCCCTGCTTGGTCAGAGAGGCTGGCGCAGAGAGCCGTCCGTCTGCTAACGTGGCGTTTGCCGCCCGTGTGAGTGGCCCGACGTTGAAGACGCGGAGTTCGATGATGTCCCGGTTCGCCGCGAAGTAAGGGTCTACGACCATGGTCAACGGCGATGCTGTGACAAGTATGCCGTGTCACTCACTGCTGTGTGGAATCGTGATTGGCTTCAGGCGTTGCTCCTCTTTAGGACGCGCACCACGAGCATTGATTCGAAGGTCCACTTCTTCCGGGTCCGGGCATTGGCCCACAAAGCCCGCTTCCATGGGACCAAAATGGCACGAATTGCACAGGCTGTTTCCAGCGGCCGAGAGAAAGACACGGACGTCATGCCCAGTCGCATTCTGGAACGCGCACCTGTACGGCTGAGTGGCTCAAGGGTCAGCACCAGCCGGGGGGAGCACGGAAGTGGCACTTACAAAGGTACTTCCCGCGAACTCGACGTAACAGGACAGAACGTTGTCGTGTTCCTCGAACCCGTAATCGTCGTACGCCCCGTTGGGGCCTATGAGTCTGGCGCCGTATCGGGGTACGAATGACATGTTCGCGCGGTGGCACACTGGACTTGAAGCTTGAAGACCGTGCAGCCTGAGGGGATGTGTGTTCGGGGAGCATTCTCGTCGTCCAGCGCATTAAATACTGCGTGCGAAGCGGCAAGGCCATCTCGCTTGGTGTGGTCACAGCACGCTAGGACAACAGGGGCAAAGTCAAAGTCAAAGCAAACGTATAACATGAGGAGATCTCGATCGAGCCCGATCAACAGAGCTTCCTCGAGCGCGACACAATAGCCCGGCAATAGCCGACCAAAGCCAAAGCCAAAGCGCATTGCACGAGTGGTCCATAGCCTCCCATAGCAGACGCTGGCCAGTGCCGGCTGCATGGAGACTGTGAGTGGCCTACCAAGGGCTAGTAGGTCATGATTTCCTCGCCTCCGAGTCGGTTTGGCGATGATCACCGAACAAAGCGAACTGCAATCCCTAGTCGAGGTGCCTCGTGCAACCACAAAATAGCAGCCATAGGCATCGCAATGATTGGCAGTGGGAGGAAACAAGTGTGCTCGTTGGCAGGAGCAGGTCGAGTGGCGAGCCTCGTGCGACTGGCCGCTTGCTGGCCGCATTGCCAAATCGGCGGTATGCCTTATTTGGCAATTGCCGCCTGTCGGTCCGCCCGACCCGCCACCAACCAGCCACATACTTACCATACAGCCTGAGTATAGAGACCTTCCACTGCATATCAGAATAATCGATCAACGTTCAGACGGTTCCGTTCAACAAGCATCTCTGCTCGTGATATTGTAAGTACTCATCCGAGTCATCGACGTTTATGTTCTACGATAGACGGTACCACAGCCACAGCCACTGCCAACCAGGAGAGAAACCCGTAAGAGAGAAACTACTCGACGAATAATATACGAATAATAAGATAGCAAAAGCAGCCAGGTATGGGCGTGGAACCAGCTAAAAGAATGAATGAACGCGCGACGCGCGACGAAAAGCCCACACCAGATGTGAGCACGCTCCCGCGCTGCGAACAGCAGGCGGATGGCGCCGACGTAAGTACTTAGCTAAACACAACATGCAGAGTCCTTGCAGCCCAAATGTCAACCAAAAGAACCCCCGCCGATATGTAACGCAGGTCCGAAAGAAAATGCCCTCCGAGAAATCACGCAAGTGCAGCGCCAGATACCGTCGCTCACCCCTACCCTACCACACACCACTCACCCCAACCATCGCACTCACCACACAAACACTGATGCCGACGGCCGTCCACCACCTTTCCCCTCCGCTCCGCGCCCGCCCCGCCGCATTGCTTTTCACCTCCATCTCCTGCACGAACCCCGTGCCACATACATGGTTCGTCAGCACGGCCGCGGCCGCATACGTCTCCTGCAGGCCGCTCGTGTTCAGCCCATGGGTAACGTACTCCGCCATGACGCCCTGTGTGCAAGTGGAGCAACTTGGATCGCTCGCGTTCGGGAGCGAGGCCCCCAGCGGGAGCGTGTAGTAGTACGCGTCCGCGGGGTGCGCGCCGGCGCCGAACGCGGTCAAGTAGCAGTACGCGTTTGTGGAAGAGGCGAGGCACGCGGTCTCACGCAGGAGCGAGTAGGCTTGCAGGCCTATGGAGAAGAAGAGGCGGGGTTAGCAAGGGGAGGGGAGGGGAAGGAGGGACCTACCGAGGAGACTGCTCGCGGCGACTTCGTTGTTGGCTTCCAGGTCCGTCGCGCACGCGTCCTGGAGGGCATCCGCAAACCAGGCGATATTCGCGTCGCACTGGTCCACGCTGAGGTCCGTGTTGCACGTACCCCAGATGATGCTGTTCAACTCCGTGAGGTTGGACTGCGCCTGTTCGTGCATGTCAGCCATCCATACCACACACAATTATGGACCCAGAAGAGCAGAGAAGCAGACTATCGATGACGATGACGAGCCGGGAGAGATCTGCACATTGTCATCGGGGAGGTTGTAGATATGACTCTCGGCTCCTGCGTGCGATCAGAGCCCAGCCCAATATCGATCACGTCCCCGCCAACCATGGCCGGAACTCGCGGAACCCCGCACACACGATGGCTATAAATAACGCACCTCGAAGAACGCACTCGAGTGCTGCACAAGCATCGAGAAGGGCCTGCACTCGCGGAACGGCGCCGTCTGCGTCATGTTCAAGAAGAACTCGCGGCAGCCATCCGTCGAGAAGTTCGTCGTGATCCCCGTCGAGTCGAACGGCTGCGGGAAGGGCGTCGGGAGCGCAGGCGATTCCGAGGGTATGGTCGGTACCGCCCAGTTGTCGGTGGTCGCCGTCGGCGCTGCGCTCGAACCGGAACCCGTCACGGAGGCGGTCATGATGGACGTCGCGGTGGCTGAGGCAGAGACAGTGGATGCACTGTCAGACTGGGAACGTAACGAGGTCGTGCTCGCTGTTACCGAGCGAGCCCCCAGATCCAGCTCATACTCTACCTCCCGCTTGTCGTGACCCTCGTGGACGGTGCCCTGCCAGTCGAGTACCGACGCCGCAAGCACGTGCCATCCTTGCGCGGGCCCGTCTGGAGAGAGCATGTCGAGCACGGCAGGGTGCGCCATGTATCGCGTAGACAAGGTGATGACAATAAGGGCGACAGGCACGAACAGAATAGAGAACTTCAATCTTCGTGCGTTGCGACGTTTCTTCATGAGCGCGCGGAGCTGCGCTTCGTCGACACGGGCGTGCAGCTTCTCGAAGGTCACGGCGCCTGCACGGTCGTGCGTGGTCATACATGAGGAGGCGGGGGTCGGGGACGGGCTGCTGGAGCGGGAAGACGACGTCGCCGGGGAGCTCGATCGCGTGACGGCTAGGTAGGGCTCCGCCGGGATATCGAACGGACGTGCGGATCTGGCTTCATGGTGGCCACGATGCGTGCGGGGCGGGTCGGGCGAGGGCGGGGGCGTGAACATGAGCAATCGTTAGGGGAAGGAGGTAGACCTCGCGAGTGCGCGCGATGGGGCGCTGCTTGTTTTTGAACGAGTGTGATCCGAAAGGAATGGTGAGTGCGGGCTGGTCCGTTGATGCAAGCACCAACTCAGCACCTGCGAACAAAAGCAGTTAGTGTTCTGGAACGAACACGGGGAGAGGGAAAGGTGAAACCCGACCGCCGCCTCCGAGCGCAGTATGTAAGTAGAGTGCGGGAGAGCAGGGCACTCACAGACTTGAAGTTGGCAGGAGCGCTGAGACGAGCGGTGACTGCTGTTAAGAGCGAGCAGACGGTGACATGGGCGTAGCAGCGAAGTCTGTTGTCCCTGGGTTGCCCCCACGGGTGGAAGACGTCCGCGTCTCCCGGCGACTGTCCGTGTTCAGGAACGCAGTCTTCGACGCCAGTCCTGCCCAGCCAGGCCCAGGCCCCCGAGAACGGATTCGCTCCCTGCAGCCAATCAACGCGTCGAGCTTCACCTCGGCTACCTCGAGGCGCCTGATCTCGGCGCTACCTGCCTATCTTGGCGGTTTGCGTCCGGTCACCAGTGTGTCACACTGCCGCCGGGAACTGAGACTCGGATGTGCTCACAACACTGGCCCAGGGAGGCTGTGACAGGCAGTGCTATGCTGCGACGTGGTCCATGCGCTGCAGCAGTTCTGTCGCAGAACTGAAGGGAACACCCTGGAACACCGAGCGGTCAGACATGGAAGTCCAATGCAGAAACGGAACGTACTGTAGCGAACCCCACAACCCGGATGGGGGTGTGACGTGTGACAGGCTGTACACGATCCGGCGCAGCGGCGGGGACGCGTGTGACGTGTGATGCGCCCCCCGGATGGCGGTCTTGTCGCTGTGCCCGCCGCAGGCGCCGCTCCTAGCGCCTAGCGACAGTGTTGGCGCCGGCGGCGGGGTCGGGTGTGACGAGTAACATGACATCCTCGCCGCGGCGGGCGGCGGGCTTGTGACGCGTGACATCCGGGTTGTAGGGTTCGCTACAGTATACAATCTCGTCATCGACAGATGGATTCAGCCCAGAATAGCACAGCGGCGTTCTTCGTAAAGGGAATGTGATGCAAGGCCACATCTTACGTACCGGTGGGGACAGTGTGGTCGTATATCACCTTGCGCGAGCTTCGAGCACAAGCATCTGACAAAAGCTGTTGGATCAGACCTGGTTCAAGGTTTCAGACATGTGAGAGACTGAAGAGACTGATCGCGGGGTACAAGAGGAGGCCGAAGTCCCAATCCCCGCTAAACCCGCTGTCAGATTTCGGCGCCTCACGGCGTCCGTAACGCAAGAGTGCATTGACAGGACGATCAGTGCTTCATTGACCCCAATCTGACGTGCTGTCAGAGAGTCATTCGGCGACGGAGCGCTCGAAGGGAGAGAGGACGGCGCCGGAGAGTCGTAAGCACGAGAGGGCGAGAGGCGGCGAAGGTTGGGACTATGCGAGAGAGAACTTACTGTAATGAGGGCAACGTACTTCAGCTTACGACTTCCTGATCTCGATGGCGAAGCGTTCACCCGCGCGAAGGCGACGCATCGTCAACTTGAATTCAGGGGCGCGAGGGTGAGACCGCGTACATGAAGGCGCAAGTGACACGAACGAGGAGCGGACGAGCGGGCGAGCGGGCATGCAACGAGCGGGCGTGCAGCGAGCGGGCATGCGGAGAGCGGACGAGCGAGAGTGTCGAGCGGGGGAGAGTTTGGATAGGGAAACGGACACTTGAGCCCGGTTTAAGTACATGCAGCGCGAGCGAGATACGATAGAAACAAAATGTGGCAGGGAGAGACAGCGAGAGATATAGACTTTCGAAACCGAAATCTGACAAGGGAAAGAGACTCGAGAATACGCGTGATGGACGAGAAGCAACGTGATGGTTGAAAGACGAGCATTCGACTTGACAGAGAAGGAAGGTTTGTTGCCCGATATGGTAAGCATCGTGAGCGCCCGTCCGGAGCGTTGGACGTCTGTTGACTCTCCTTCCGGCATCGAACAACGAACCCGTGCGACGATGGCAGCTGGTACGTGAGCTGGAATCCCACCAGGACCTTGCGGCGCTCAACGTCACAGCGCCCGTCCGAGTTGTCCGGGAAGCACTGCACTGCTAGAATATTGTGGCCTCGCTCCAAACGCGGCAACTTGAATGCAGAATTCGGGCCACCAGATCAATTGATTGATGGACGCAGGTGAGTTCGATTCCAGACTGCAGTACGACGTGAGTACTCCGACTCGAGTCCGGAAACTAGACAGCCTGAGGTCTCGGACAATTGCGTACTGCATCGAACTAGTGGGTACTACCTGATACACTTCAGGTGCTTGTTGTTGTTGTTTCCTTTTATTGTCACTGAGGGCGAAGCCCTAGGTAGACAGCTTCAGGTGCTTACCGACCATTAATATTGAGGCCTTACATTCCGATCAAGGTATCATAACTTCCACCACATTTCTATCAAACAGTCTGTTTGGCTAATTTGGAACTCTTCTGCAGTCTATCACGGACACCAGGATACTGCCGGGTCATAGTGCATGTACCTCACCGACGCCCTGGACCGCCCCGAGCGCGAGCTTCACAATGATGGCACTGGGCAGCCCGCGACAGGACTTGGACGTGTACAGTTGCGGTCCTACCCGCTACCAGTCATAGGCTTTCGCGCCACATCTCGGACTAGTGGGTAATCACGGTATGCGAAGACGTGGCTATTGTGCCCACCGACAAGTTGTGGTACGTATACGCGGGTCTGCCTTGGCGGTAAACTCTACGTTCGTTGGAGGGTGTCGGCGACGGCTTGGTGACGCGGCCATGCTGTAGGTTCAAGCTGAGACTGACCACCCTTTCCGAGCCGCCCAAGAAGCGGCGCGATCAAGTTCCCACTGCTGCATCCACATGTCCGAAAGCTGCGCGATGTTTCTCCTATTCGGCAGTCGATATGCCCCCTTCTCTCCGAAGAACCCGGCGATGGCCGCACACCGTGACGTCTTGTCGCTGGTCGTTTAAGGGGCCCGCAGCTGGTACACAAGGACCTTCCACCCACACTCGGTCGGTCGAAATGTTGTCCACGAAGAACGCCCCACCCACAGCTGCAGACCTGATCCCTTTCTTGGACCAAACGTACGTTCGCGTTCGCATGTCCACTGACATGGGATAGGCTTCCTCACAGTTACATGCATAGCGTTCCTCAGGCATACTGTCAACTCGCTGCGAGTCGTGAGTACTACTCAGTGTATTATCTAGCGAACTATGCTTCTGACTCCGTTCACCGAGCCACGTTTAGTGCTGATCATCTACGAGCACTTGGCTCTCCCCAACCTACTGGTTCCTCCTACAGATATATCACATAGTCATCTGCCTCAGGATTAGGCATTCAACTGTGACCTCACCTTTGGCGCGCGCAACGCGGATATACGATTGGACAGAGAATGTCCGTGGAGTCCCGCACGACCGCTGATGCGCGGCGCGATGATCTGTGCGCTCTCCGTGCGTGGCTCGAGGATGTATTGTGGAGTAGCGATGAGCAGTCGAGGACAACACTGAGCGACGCGCCCAACGGACAACTGGAGAAGATGTGATCTCAGGCGCTTCGCGGATGCTAAATAGGTTATTTTTCTCCGAGGGCCCGGCCGTTCGCTTCGCCTCCTCATCGGACATGACAGCCCACCGTGACTGCACAGGTTGAGACGGGCCCACCTCTTTGACGAAGGGGAGGGCGGTCTTCCACTGGCAGCTTGCCTCGCGGTACTTGCCACCGGCATTACTTTGAACACGCACAACACGCACATAGGGTACGTAGCCTGCTGCCTTGCCTCCTTCGAAGTCTCGCGTAAGTATGCCTTGAGGCGGACGGGACACCGAGCGCCAGCTGTCGTCGTTCATTTCAGCCTCCCAATCACTACAAAAGGACTCAACAGGTGGATCTTGGACTTTTGACACGACCTCCGAGCCACACAATCGAGGCTTTGGCCACAGAACCAGGGACACGAGTGTCTTCGTTCGACGTAAGTGGCCTTGCACACTTGCGAGGTCAACGTGCACAACACATGCATGACAGCTCTCATACCTGTCTCGACAATATCCATTGCTGCTGCTCAATCACACGACGCCGGCGGGCTCTCGTCGATGATGGTACGCATGCAGTTGCCCCTCAGTGTGTGTTGTGCGTTGACGAAGACTACGCACAGGCTTCCGTATGCCTTGATCCGATCACAATTTCCCTATACTTCGGTACAATGTTGCCCCCGGCACTGGATAATTCGTAACGGCGTCAAGGTGTCATCGCGCAACAGTATGGCATGTACCTTCCCCTTTGTGTTACTCTGCGAGCCTGCCCGCATCCTTGCGAACTTAATGCTCAGTGATTTTCAGATCTATTGAGCACTAGAGTCGCGACAGCTGTGAGGCCTCGCGTTAGCAATGTGCAGCCATCCTCGGTGTGCTGCGAGTTCTGTGAAAAGCTTCAACTTGTCGCGTGTCTCCCACCCTGACCTACATGAGGTTTTCCGTCCTCGTCCGCCATACATAACTAGCTATCTTTCACCCTGCCTCGTCCTCTACTAGCTCTCTCCGCCCACTTCCATCCATATACGCCTGACTGATTACCGTCCGACGCCGTCATGGGCTCACCCGAGGTGCGCACCGCCGTTCTTCCTTGGCACAGCGGGAAAATTGATTGTATCTGTTGTATTCGTGGTTTGTAGGAATCACTGGTGCATTCGGTTCCCGGAGAGAACGCAAACACTCCCGACCCCGATGCGACGTCGTCGCCAGAGTTTGCCATCCGTCGAACAAGTTCTATCGAAAACGGCGGCTCTGAAGCTAAATTATCAGTGAATACCAACAGAGTTGAACGGCGACCAGGATCATTTACCTCTATACGCAGGCATGCAAAGCGGTCGGGGCGGGCACTGCGGGTGCCTCCTCGTCCCCTCATGACACTACGCCTGCAACTCCAAATGAGGTGAGCGTGATCAGTGATCATTCAACTGCATGTCAAGGACCAGGTCTGACTGTCATAAGAACGGTTCGGATGAGCGGTCGGATGCCAGTGGAATGAAGCATTCGCCTGAGTCGGCAGGCCACTCGGCGAAGGATGCGACGACGCCATCGGAGATGGAGACTGTTCTGACCAAAGTGTTCGAGAAGTTTATGACACCGCGGGAGCTGCAAACGCCGTCTGTCACGATGGATGAAACTGCCTGGTTCAACATGTTCGAGAAGTTTATGAAGGCACGGGAGCCGCCACCACCGTCGGTCACGATGAACGAAACTACCTGGTCCAAGGTATTCGAAAAGTACATGAAGCCGCGGGACCCGCAAAAACCTGACGAAGCTTGGCCGGTACTAGCGAACGAGGTTTGGTCCTACGAGGAGGAGCGTATAGAACGATGGCGAAATGAAATCAACACGCTTCTCGTTTTCGTAAGTCGTGTCCATGCTTTTATGAATGTGACGGCTTCATGCTAATCTACCTGTACTACCTAGGCGGGCCTGTTCTCTGCCGTTCTCACTGCGTTCGCTTGCCAGTACTACGCCGTTTTGCTTCCACCGCCTGACTTCAACACGATGATCCTCGAGCGCATATCAGTGCAGTTCGGTAATATGTCGAGCAACCCCGACGTCGCACCGGCCAGCTCTTCGTCGCCGTTCCCTCCTGCCCCCCCTGCGCCCCGATGGATTGCTATGTTGTGGTTCGCATCACTGGTCTTCAGCCTCGGTGCTGCGTCAGTCGCTCTCGCTGTCAACCAATGGTTGAACTTCCACGCGGAGCAATCGGGATTGCGGACTACAGAGCAGAAGGTTCTGACCTGGCAACTCCGTCGGGACGCCCTTAACAAGTGGAAGGTGGAGGGCATCGTCAGCCTCCTTCCTTGCCTGTTGCAGGTGGCCCTCGTCTTATTCCTCATTGGGGTTGTGGGCTATATATGGGTGCTCGGACCCGACATCGCCGTCCTGAGCACAGTGCTCGTCGGCATCTTGCTAGTCTTTCTAGTAGTCACGTCGGTGTTACCTGCATTTGTTCATTACAGCCCGTACAAGTCGCCCCAAGCATGGTGGATATGCGGGGCCTGCAGACGTGCACGGTGGCTCCTCCTAGTGTCCTCAGCTTTTGGTCTCAGATGGTTCCGGCAATGGTGGTGTTCTTCGATCAAATCCACAATCCCGGAGCCCAACACCAGCTTCTGGTCACGGTGGCAACCCTGGGGACGTCTTGTACGACAATCCATCATCAGCTGGTGGCAAGCCCATGTACAACTCCTCTTCAAGTTCGTGATTCAGTGCCCGCACCAGTGGTGGGCCAGTCTCAATGGTGAGTTACACAAACTACATTGCGGAAGACTTCAGTGTCGCAGACTGATTTTGTCATTTCTAGTAGAGGAGCTCTTGAAGAAAGCTTCAGACAATCTTGTGTATCTACAAGATCTCTCGAAGACATCCGACTGGTTGGCGCACGAACAGTTGTGCCTGGGTGGCAAGATTACCCACAGCGAAGAAAACGAAAACTCACTGTTTTCGGACATCTATACCATTGCACAGGATACAGACGTTCTTCGCGCAATGGCGACCTGCGTGCGAGCGATGCCTATCGCCCGAGCCATCAAGAATGTGATGGAAATAAGCAAAACCGTTGCCGCCGCCTTGTCGGAACCACATGGTTCACGTTCACGAGCGTCCGGGCCCTCTCGTTCTGCACCTGGCGATCAAGTACTATCCGACGATTTGGACAGCACCGCCTTGACAGGTGGCATGTTGCTGTACACGTTCAGTCGAGCACGGATCGAATTCGGCGACTGGGCCAAGACTCTCGATGTGGACTCAAACCGCCGTCTCTTGATTCCATTTGCCCTTTCCATGCCTTTCGACAACGGGATCGAGGCGTGTAGGTTATTATGACAGCGTTTAGATGACCTACCTATACCTCATCCCCCACAAATCGAAGCCGTGAAGGAAATGGGCAACGCCTTGGTCGCGGTTTTGTCGAATCATCAGTATCCACTTTCAAAAGCGTCCGAAGCCTCTTCTCTGCCATCTGGTAATTCGTTGCAACATGACGACTCAGTCGGCACCACTATCAACTCAATAGGTTGCATGGTGCTGGACACGTTTATTCAAGCACAGACAGACGACGACGACGACAATCAGGCCCTCCATTCGGACTCTGACTATCGCATGTTAGCCGGACTGATCCGCGCTATGCCTCTCGCCCATGGAACCAAGGCCTGCATGAGGTTATTCCAGCATTTACACAACGATCAACTGTCCACGAAAAAAAGAAGAGCCACATTGGATGTTGTACAAAACATTTATGTGACCCTCGACTTCCTCGCGGAGGATAGCGGTTACTCGCCGCGCCCCGGGATGCAGGACACGAGAACACACGACTGTGCACCGCACACCGAGCTATATCGTCTGCGCGACGTTCAAGGTAAGTCAACCATCTGCTTTACAAAGTACATAAGCTGATGTTTGCTATATAGACTGGGAATACATGCAGACTGCACTCACGACGGTATACGCATGCCGTGACTCTGTGTCCACCATTGAAATCGCGACGACTGTTTTGGCCACATGCATATTGTCCGTCAAGAAGGAGCACACATTGCCATCCGAGCCGTTGAGGGGAGCTTACCTGGCCGACATGCTCCAACAATTCGACAAGCACTTGGCCACCCTCCGCCGCAAGGAGATGCAAGACACTGTGAAACAACTCCCTTTTGCGGCCGTTTACAGACTCGATTGGGTGTTGGCTTACATCACCTATGACATCTATTGGTCTTTAGATTCGCCCGAGATTCGCCGGAACGCCATGAAATCCGCAAATAGCATTGTGCGGCGACTCCAATGGCTGCTGGAGTGCAACGAGTGGATGTCGCCTGGGACGGTCACGGTCCAAGAGCTGCCTGTCCTCGTCGACTTGCAAGAGTACGTGGATTCGGCACAATGGCGCCTGAGACGAGTTCGCATAGACCCCGAACTTGAAAGATGGTCAGTCACCTTCGCCGCTCAGAATGTCAAAGACACACTGACACTTGCAATAGTACAGAATGGCTCGAATGCACTGCCGATGAGCCCCAAGGCCAAGGCGATCGACGCGTCGACTCCCCGCACGCGGCTGACCCAGCGCCTACATCGGAAGCTGTGGACGAGCAGGACACACCGGAACAGCGAACGGACAGTCCGATACGATCTATAGTGCAATTCGTGTAAGCGGTGAACCTAACAGCCCGCCCGCCCAATTGTCGCTGACCCTCTCTCTACCCGTGGCATCTGGCACAGATTGAGACGGACTGCCGTGCAGGAACCCGATGTTGAGATGCGAGCCGTGGATACCAGCCCGAGCGCAGCACCAGATGTGCCCGGTACGACGGACACCGCACCTCCAGCTGCCAGCAGGGCACCGCTGGTGACCGCGACGACGCTCGGCGAACAGCCGCAGGAGCAGTTCGCGGCCCAGACCGGATTAGCGCAGTCCCTAGACTACATCACCCCGCAAGCAGACGACTCGGAAGTCTCACGCGGAGTAGCTGAGCATGGCGCGGACGCGGACGAAGGTCGTAAGGGCGGATTCACAGGCACGACCGAGCACGCGGATGAACATCGAGGCAGCAACGCGCGTCCGAGTCAGGAGGGACTAGCTGCACCGGGCGACTCGCATTCCGAGTCGGCCAGCCACAACGCAAACAGCGGCTGATGAGGAAGAGGGAGGATGGTGGCATCCACGGCGGACGTGTACGTCGTGCGTTGCTGTTCAGACTATCATCGCCGAATGCTGACGTTCACCGCAGGCGGACAGTTTGGACCGTTTACGAGCCGTGACGGATGATAGACGAGTCTCTCAGTGCACGGACAATCTCTTGTATTGAGATGGGCTGAATTTAGGTCGTATACTCTTCTCGGTACGGCTGTTCGTGATGGCTTTTGTAAGTTATGGTCTCGGAGATCTTGATGCATACGGGCTTACTGTGTTTTATGTTCGCCGACCTGATTGCCTGGAGCTTCCGCAAACGATGTATTGTTGTCTCATGTCTCTATCATGTTGTGTAGTAGTTCGTTCGATACGAAATCGCCTTCCATACATCTGCTTCGAATCGTTGTTGGGATTATCGTACCTCAATATAATACGCGATGTTCCGTCGAGAAAATTGCGAGAAGCGAGAGGGGGTATGAGTGACAGAAAATCATATCACAATTCCAAACATACTTCGCGATGTCCTTTACATCTACTGTGGCTCCGCATCCACTGGACGATGCCTGCAGTCCTGTATGCCGCCCTCCGATCGCATAGAAGCATACCCTACTCACCGTCTTGTCCCTAGTCGTCGCCGCTCTCACGAGCCTCCCAAGCAACTCGGAACCCTCCCATCTGGTCCGGAATTCATACCTGGACACCTGGCGGAAGGGCGCCACCTTTTTCGATGCCACACGAGGGCTGTGGCTACGCTCCAAACGCGGTGAGCGGGACCCGGGCCATCAGTTCGAGTTGGCTGACGCAGGTGAGTTCGGTAGCAAGACAAGTCTCGTACAATTGCACACTCCATCGAACGAGCGGTACCGCGGTTAGGGACCTGATCAATAGGCACTTGAGATGCTCACCATTGACTCAGTGGACCGTCCATCTGACACTCGGGGAAGAGCACAACCTCGGCCGCTGGTCATAAGTGCCACGCACGACTTCAAGTTGCCAGAGTCCAGAGACACATTCGCTCGGAAAGCGCTATGGCCGAAAACCGACTTCATCCCTTCTCTAAGTCCGACGACAGACTACCTTGGCAATCGTCAATACGGAATGAAGCGAGTCCACCAACTGCGAGAGCGATATATTTCGTCCCGTCCTGCCGGCGCGGTGTCACCTTGCTTTACTGTGAGCAGAGTTCGTTGCGAGTGCTCCGACAAAGACAAAAGCAGTACACTGAGCAAAAGAATCGGGACATTCACAGGGAATCGTCGATTGAGCGAGCTAACGCAAGATTATGCATGACACGTACTGTATATCCGCTAAATCAATGGCAACCGTGAGATATATGGATCATTTATAAGGTCCCATTGAGAGTGAACGGTCTCCGAGCTCGAGGAACACTAGTACTGGCTAACCCGTGGTTCTGTGTGGCGTTTCTCGGGCAGCACTGCAGTACTGCAGTCTCAGTCGGCAATGAAACAATCCGGAGAGGAGCGCGCTTTGCTCTGGTAGTCTTATACAGCTGCATATTTTTCACGTCGCGGAAAGAGAATCAGTCAACCAGCGGTGCCGGTGAGCGTGAGTGGTACAGGGTCGCGGTCGACGTCTGACTTTCCACGTACGGTCACGCGCGGGCAGCTGGATGTGACAGATCAGACCATGTGATACGTGACACAGCGCGTCTCAACGCGCACGACTCGGACTCGGAGGCCGCAGTCTTCGACAAGCCTCATCGCCTACCGTACAATAAGATGACTCTGATATGTCCTGCTACATCGACTTGACAAAGAATGACCCTCGCGTGTCAATGCGACCCTTGTGAGTGGCAAGTCGGATGTAGTACTAGCTGAACCCACTGCCAGTGAGTGGCAAACCGCAGTGGCAAGAGCATAATGCAGCCTCCAACATCGAATGATGCTCATTGTCCCCCTTTCTCGCCGTCCTCCCCTCCTTGTACGAATACTACGACTTGACACCGTCGTTTTGACCCTCGATGCGTTTTCAAAGCGACGTCCCCGATTCCAGGCTCCCCAGCGGAACGCTCCAGACCCATTCAGCCGCAGACTACGACTACGACTTCTATATCGAGTGCGATGGCGCGCGAATCGACGAATACTACGTGAAGAAGGAGTGCAACAATATTATGTCTTGTTTCGTCGCGAGCGTGCAAGGAAAGGCGAGTCCCACCCCCGTGCGCTCGTCAATCTGCATGTAACGCCACTCACCACTGCTGCTTTCCCGGCACCGACAGGAGCACCGCCTGCGGTGCAACAACAAGACGAACTGGTGGCTCGCAGTGCAGTGCAGCATCGACGGGCGATGCATCGTCGAGAAGTGCGGGTGTCCGCCGCTGCAAGACAGCCCGGCCTTCCAGATGCGCGCGGGGGTGAACCTGATCCTGCCCTTCCTGTTCAAAGAGGTTGCCCTTGCCTGTGAGTGCGCTGCTCCCACATACAGATGGCCAAACCTCACCGTGCGCGGGCTATGACACTAGCCCCCGACATACAATGGATGGTCCCGGATCCCAGCCACCTCGGCCTCATCGAGCTTCGCGTGTGGCGCTGCAGAGCGGGGCAGGCGCGTCCTTGGCCACACGACTACGTGCAGTCCTCCGTCGACGCAGCGCTGTTCAAGTATGCAGTCTTGGTGGGCGAGCAGAGTAAGGCGATGCACTGCACAGTGTAAGACGAGCGCCTCTCTCGCGCTGAATTTGGCTTACGCAAGAACTGCCCCTGTAGACTCGGTTCGCCAGAGCCTGTGCTTGACAACATCCCGACCGCGAGTGAGCCAGTGGATCCTCCGGAATACCCTTTCGCGACATTCCGTTTCCAGTATAGACCACATCGTGCGTGTGATCCAGTTCCTCGGCCAGCCCATGAGCAGTGTACTCAACCATGCGTCGTTCCCAATAGATATGCTGGGATCAATACGTGCAATGACACGGCCGCTAATCCCTCAGCCGGTCGCTCCGACGCCCGTGAGGCTGCACCACGGCCAGCTTCAAGGGCCATGGCCTCAGGCCCCCGGTCAATACGTGCCTCGTCTCGGGAGCAGCGGCCCCCATTTCCAGGCCGGACCGTCGCAATATGCACCAGTCGCACCCGCTGCGTCCCGGCCGAACAGTATCAGCAGTGTGGGCAGCTTAGCCAGCGCGGGCCCGTATCCCTTCCAGGCGCCGAGTCGCGCAGGGAGCATCTACGCACCCTCTGAGGCCCAGTCCATCGCAGTGCGGCCTCCGAGCAGCAAGCCGTCCATCGGCGTCGACGGAGACCAAGATGAGGACGACGACGACGCTGAGGTGCGCTCGTTGAAGGTGCGCAGCCCTCTGAATTTCGCTGGATGGGTAAGACACGGCTGACGGGGCACGGCGTGCAGACCGAGATGAAGGTGATAGGCTTGCAGGTGGAGGAGATGTCTGAGGACATGAAGGTTATGAAGAGGCAGCTGGACCGGATCGAGGCGAAGCTCACCCGCATCGTCGACCGCCCCTCGCTCGTTGCTCGGACGCAGCCTGCAAACAGCACATAAAACCGTTGTTGATGCCAATAGGATGTTGTTTCCGATCCGGACGCCGAGGGCCAGTGCGTCTCCCCGTCTAGTCTACTTTACTCTATGGAATTTGACTCAAATAGTGAAAGTCTCGTTGAATAGCACGTATGCTCATAGGCGGTACGTGGTACTTATCCTGTAAGCCGACGATTATTCCGACGTTGGTTGAGGATCGCATGATCGGACATGGATAATCTGTTGCGGTAGTAACCACAATGTGATATACAGGTTGTATTGTCAAACGGCATGCTATACGCTTTCACTCACCCTCAAATGTACCCTTCGCACTCAGCCGGCGCTGGATGTACTTCGTCACAGTATACATGAGCCAGCAGTCCACTGTCAGAAATGTCCAGTAATACAGATCTATGCGACTAGGCATCAATCGACATCCCCTCCACGCGCACCCACCACCTCATCTTCGTCCACCGCCTCGATAACGATACACCAAAAGACCCGGCCCCACGGCTCACTATGCTCGTCGCCAGGATGCAACCGCTCGCAGCACACGAACGGCACGCGCTGTCCGTCCCAGTACTTCATCATGTCAATCGTGATGCCGCCCGGGAGCCGGAGCTCGACGCCTTGCGGGCTGAAGCGCAGATAGTCGTAGCAGAAATCGGCAGTGATCAGGTCCTGCGCAGACGCGATGCTGTCGGTACGGCCGCAGAGGACATGAATGAGCGTGCGTACCTCGGGACCGAACACGACTTCTTTCCTGCGAGAAGCATCTTTGAAGAACGTACGACGCTCGCCAGACGCGTCCGTCTTCTTCGCACTGGCTGGCTGCAGCTGGGATATATCGTCGCCAATGAGCGTCTCGGCTGGGAAGGACGGTACGTCTTCAGGACCGTTGATCCTCTTGTGCTCGAGGTGGGGCATCGTCGAGATGAGCGGCGAAAGGGCCCATGGCTTGCTGCTGGACGCGAGGTCCTGTTCGAGGGTAGGGTCGACGAAGCTACGTGGAAAGAGTGAGCACGTCATTGACCGTCGCGCATACTGTATCTGGCCGGGATCTCGGCCGAGTTAGGTTACGAGTCTGTGAGTCGAGTACCTCACACTCATGCAATATGTACACGAGCAGGTAACATATGGATCGTGTGGTTGATTGTGCGAAATTGTTGAGAGGGAGTCGAGCAATGCTCAGGGTGGCCGAGATCCCGGTCCGGCATACATATTATATTATGACTACGAGGATGGCGACGTACTTCATGAATTTCAGAGCAGCACTGAATCCCCACGGGAGCTTCAGTGGTCGTTCAAAGACGTTGCCGAAGAGAACGTCGTCTGCGGAATACTGCTTAGAAAATCTACCTATCCGTAGAGTCGGTTCAGTTTCCGATACTTTTCTGAGAACAACGCGGCTCACCTTGTACCTGGATGCTCCATGTTACGCCCGTCCGCTTCTCGAAGTAGGCACTGTCACTGACGTCCCCGCTCGGGTCTGCAAAGCCTTTGATATACGCTGCAACTTTTCCCTGAAATACATCGCTCTTGAATTCCACAGCTCTGTCCGAGTTCGCCTCAATCGGCGTGAGTTCGTCGAGAGACGGCCCAGCGAGGATGCGGAGACGAGGCATGGCGCAGTGAAACCAATTGCCGTCGAGAGGACTAGTCGTCTAGTAATATTTCTACTGATATTCGCAGGGTTGAGGCTGGCCGCAATGCACCAGGCGAGAGAGTCGGAGAGCGGGTGAACCGGGAATATGGTTGCATGGCGAGCGGGATGGTTACCGTACTGCTTCTTTGGCAGCACGGACGTCAGTGTAGCACGGCAACACCCGAGGTGGCGGCATCTCCTTTCTGGGATGCCTATGTCGGGTCACCGCCGCGGTAGCCACATTTCCATTGTTCCCGTTGGCTGCCACTCATTCTTCCAGCCATTTGGAAGACTCGTCCGGCTCTCCTTCTGCTCGCGTGTTACTCATATACGTATGTTCTACGCGTTGCTCACACAATACTCGAGTACTGTCAGACATGCGTAGAGGGCCGAGCAATCTCGAGGTGTATATCAAGAGCGATGGCCGCGAATTGCCTGAATACCTAGTGGAAACCGTAGACGACAAGACACTGGCGTGCTATATTCCTAGTGAGGTTGGAAAGGTGCATAATGCGTGTCTCTTCTCAACTGCTCCAAGACTGAGTAACTACAGACATTCGAGATCTGCTGGCGCGGAGACACCACACACGACTCACACATGACATGGCTGAAGTTCTATGTCGATGGTCAACACGCTGGCGGTGCAGTCTCTCGCCTCCGTGCTGTCGAGGATAGTTATTGGGGCATCAGATGCGCGAAAAACCAGCGAAAACCGTATACTTTCGCCTCCTTGGCAACGACAGGTATGGATCTTGAATTGAAAATGCCGCCCCTAATCTGCTAACTTACTTCTTAGATGACGATGCTATTGGTGTCAGCTCAGAAGCCCGGCCAGGCCTTGGCACTATTGAAGTGCGGCTCGCCCATGTAATCAAACTTGGTAGTAGCCAGGCGCGCAGCAACGACAGTACAGATAAGTTCAAGCTTGGAATTGTGCACGAAAAAAGCAAGAAAATGGGTATGCAATGCGTCTCGTGAGTGGAACCAGCCTTACGAAAAGGGTTTTCGCGCACGCAACTTAACGACAACATTGGCCTGAATCTACAGGCTAGGAGATGCTCGCAAATGCGATAACCTACGCAAACAGCCTGTAAAGTTAGTCAATGCGCAGGAACCCTTTTATTCATGCTTCATCTTCCGCTATCGCTGCAAGGGTGAGTCGTATCATGAATCCTGAGACCCCAATGCTTGTAAGATTTACGCATACACATGCAGATTTTCTGCAAGCCGAGGGAATATTGCCCTTAGATGACAGACCTGAACGCAAGCGTCGAATCAACCGATCGCCTTCGAACGCTGCTGAAGCAGGACCGAGTCACAAGAGGGCAAGAGTTACCACGATCTCTGCAACATCAACAGCCCCGCATGAAGACGACCAGTTATCTCCGGCTCATTCGGCTGAAGACATCGATGCGATTCAGAAGGAGCTTAACTCGGCGCAGGGGCGCGTGCAGGCACTCATGGGCAAGCTACAAGCTATGGAACGCTCTGGTTCGTCTTCGATCGTCAAGAAGGAACGACTAGACCTGGACGAGGATTCCATTACATCAACCCATGATAACATCAAGAAGGAATGCCCCATCGTCGGTCTTGATATTCATGGCAGTGTCATCGACTTGACGTTGGACGAGGAGTGAAGTAGTTCTGTCGAAGCACTATGATCACTGTACGTACCTACTGATACGTCGTTGATGGGGGAGTCTTGACCGTGGAAGACGTTGTGTCTCGTGCTTAATTAATCCTGAGTGTCAATTACCATATGTCCGAGGGGCGGACTTTGGCACATTTCCGTGCTCAATGGCGTACAAGACGCATACAATGTCAATGATATGGTAAGATTACGTCGAGAAGCGGTCCACTGGTCGCCTCCGATGGGCTTCATCGCATGCCTTCAAGTTCAGTAGTACTCGCACCTTTACATCTTACAAACCAGGATGGATTTGTTCAAATTTCCTCATGGGCTCGGTCACTCAAATACAGAACTGCAATGTACGAGTAGTGTGTTGGTAATGCCTGCAGTAGAGAGACAGAGAACTGGAGAGTGACGCCCGAGACGTGGCCATCCGAGTGACTGCACATGACGTGTGACCTCACGCGTTCCGCCTCAGGTCTGCAGCCACTCCACGCCTCTCATCCTTCAAACTTACACCAACCGCAAATATCCATCTCATCCTCCGTCTGCGTGCACTGACTGCCGAACATGCGCAAGGGCAAATTTAAAGTGTTCATCAAAAGCGAGGGGCGTGAACTGTCTGAATACCAAGTGGAAGCCGTCGACGACAAGACAGTGGCTTGCTACATCCCGAGTGAGGTCGGAAAGGCACGTCTTCATATCTTCTGCTGAATGATTCCACGTTACTGATGACCATCACAGACATTCGAAATATGCTGGCGCGGCGACACGCGAGGTGACAGCCACATCACGTCTGTGAGATGCCATGTCGACGGCCGCAATGCGGGTGGAAAGCCCTCTCAGCCAGGACTAGTGAAGAACCGTCGTTGGGGCGTGAGGGTGGCTACGGACCAGCGGAGTCCGTTTGTATTTGCATCGTTAGCTCTGACTGGTACGATGCCTATCCCCCTACGAGTGCTGAGGTACTCACTCTTTCCGCAGACGACGATACCTCAATCATGGGTTCTGAAGCGCACCCCGACCTAGGCACTATCGACGTGACGCTTGCTCATGTCATTCATGTTGGGAACATGCCGATTCGGGACACGTCCAATGAGTTCACGGCTCTGACGGTACATGAAAGAAGCAAGAAGATGGGGACGCAATGTGTGTCGTAAGCTACATTCCACTCAGTCGAAGCCACCTCACATCGAACAAGGGTTCGATGTACTAGGCTGGATGAGGCTCGTCGCTGCGACCTATCGACATTCTGGAAACAAAGCAAGCTCGTCGACGAAAATATCCCCTTCTATGCGCGCTTCATATTCCGGTACCGTTTTAAGGGTGAGACGATATATGGCACCACTTGGCAATGAGATTCACGTTTCTGCTTGCAGATTACCTTCAGGCTGAAGGTATTATGCCTTTGAACGGAAGCTCTGGTAGTGGCAATGCAGAACAACCATACATAATGCGAGAACGAATACGCGTTGACTACTCGATAGCGGGGTCAAGCCGCAAAAAAAGGAGAACCGATGTCCTTGCTGCACCCTCAGCCCCTCAGGCAGACGTCAGGTCACCCGCAACTCGGCTTACGGAGGATGAAGATGTGGTTGCAATCCAGAATGAGCTCGACTCAGTCCAACAGCGGGCTCAAATCCTCCAGAGCAAGTTGCGAACCATCCAGAGATCCGGCTCATCTCGGAGGGTCAAGAGGGAGCAACAAGATCCGAACGAGGATGTCGTTGACCTGACTCGCGGCAACGTCAAGAGGGAGCGCTCTCCCACCAGTCTTCAGTCTAATGGTGGTGTGATTGACTTGACTCTAGACGATGATTGATGTACTTTTATTGGAAGTTATTCATTATTCTCTATGTTTATTCAACTTGAACCGTCATACGACAAACAGTGACTAGCTGCTTATCAATTGGTCCAGGACTATGTGCCGTGGCATTGATAGGCCATGATAGCTGGTGCGCGATATTGTATTTGTACCGAGCTCGCTGTATCAACATCTGAAGGCCAATTTCCATTCATACGCTCACATACACAGCATGACTTAGTAATATATCACAGAGCGCAACACTACAATGTCACGTCCGGCCGCCTCCGTTGAAGGTCGAGAAGGGCAGCGGTTCATAACAAATATGATATGCTCGGAGAACATTGACACATTCGTCTACTGGTGAATAGGACTGTATGCGCTACTCTGAGCCCGTGAAATGCGAGAATATCTGTGCGTACATTGTAATGTGCTACCGCCCACGCGACGAGGTGGTAAAGTAACATTACACACGTGATCGTTCCATCATACGAACGCCCGTACGGCTCGTGCTCTGCTTGCGTGTACAGCCATTGACAACGTTCACTTCACGACTTAGTAGAACAGTCATACACTCTGGCATTGTCGAGCATCATGCGCAAGGGCAACTTCGAGGTGTTGATTAAAAGTGAGGGCCGCGAGCTGCCCGAGTACCAACTGGAAGCCGTAGACGACAAGACCGTGGCCTGCTATATCCGAGTGAAGTCGGAAAGGTACGTCTTTGTCTTCTGCTGTATGGCACTCTACGACTGAGCGGCTCTTGCAGACCTTCGACATCTACTGCAATGGCGACACGCGAGGCGACAAACACGATACAACCGTGAAATACTATGTCGATGGCCACAAAGCGGGTGGAAAGTGTTGCGTCCAGGAATAGCGAGGGACCATCGCTGGGGCATGAGAGTGGCTAAAGATCAGCGGAGGCCCTTTGTGTTTGCCCCGTTAGCTCTGACAGGTTGGGATGTTAATCTCCCTGCGATTGTTGGATTACTCACACCTTCCACAGACGACGATGCTTCTCCAGCCATAGATGCGGAGACATTGGGAACCATAAACGTGGAGTTTGCACATGCCATCCGCATCGGGACAAGACCGTTTAAGAATCAACCCATTGGCTTCGTGAATCAGACGGTGCATGAAAGGAGCAAGAAGATGGGAGCGCACTGTGTATCGTGAGTCACGTTTTATTGAGTACAAATCACATTGTATTCATTATGTTAGGCTAGATGAGGCTCGCCCATGCCCGGCAACCATCACGCACAGTAGCACACTCGTCGACGAAGATGTGCCCTTCTACGCGCGCTTCATATTCCGGTACCATTCCAGAGGTGAAAGGACATGTTATAACTCTGCTATGACCCTGACACTTCCGTGCGTAGATTTCCTTCAGGCTGAAGGTATCATGCCTTTGGACGAGCGACCTGCAAATAACGATCAGGCACAAGCGACCGCGGGGCGCAAACGCGTCTATTCGTCGCGTCCGGATGTCACAGAAGCAGGACCAAGCCGCAAAAGAGCAAAGAGCGCCATGCTCGCCGTGCCTTTAACACTCCAGGCAGACACCAAGCCATCTGCAGCTCAACTTGCTGAAGACGAAGACGTTGTTGCACTTCAACATGAGCTTGACGCAGTCCAACAACGAGCTCAGGTACTCCAGAGCAGAATACAAACCGTTCGTGGATCTGGCTCGTCTCAGAGAGTCAAAACGGAACGGCAAGACGCTGAAGAGGATGTCATTCACTTGACTCACGGTGCAATCAAAAGGGAATACTCACTTATTCGGCTTGCAACCCATGGTGGCGTGATTGACTTGACTCTTGATGATGATTGATGGTATTCTGTTGATTCTGCTTGCAGGCTACTTACGTGGATCGTTGGTCGGTTCGTTAATTACCTAAGTTACAACGACTAGTATTTAATCTCGTAGGGTTTCACTGGGGATCAGTATCGAAGTACAGCGAAGCACACTCTCGTAGTAATTAAGATGGCATGTATATACCGTCGGTGCTAGTACGTGATGCTAGCATGGTCGACATTGACTCACAATACGAAGATGAGCCTGCTACCGTCGATTCATTACGTTACGTATGTCGATAGATGTATACATGTCACATAAGTTAGATGATAGGAACGCATCGCTCCGAAGTCGTTGCATCAGTCCTCAGTGAGATTTGTCCAGATAGCGAGGAGTATCTTGGGAGTATACATCCCAAGCTGAATGAAAAGTCCACGTCAACAGTTGCACGTCGGAGAGAGTTGCACGTCGGAGAGGGCTTTACCCATCTGATCTTCAAGCTCAAGACCATGGTTCGCGACGCGCGACGCGTTGGTATAGTGTTACACGTGACCGTTCCTGGACGGCGTACGTCGCGACTTGCGACGCGACTCGGACTTGGACGCGACCATTCATTATCACCAATCGCGAACACTCGTCCAACTCATTTCCGCTTGTATGTCCAACTATAATTAGTCAACACCTCACAATGGAACAACCATAGACTCCGGCACTGTCAGGCATGCGCACGGGGAACTTCGAGGTGTTCATCAAAAGTGACGGCCGCGAGTTGCCCGAATACCACCTGGAAACGCAGACGACAGGACCGTGGCCTGCTATATTCCGAGTGAGGTCGGAAAGGTATGCTGAGCGCATGTCGTCAATGCTTGTTTTGAGGTCTCTGACTTGAAGACTGTGAGTATAGACCTTTGAGATTTGCTGGCGCGGCGACACGAGACACGACCCATACGACTCGTCCGTGCGGTGTTATGTCGACGGAAGAAAGCTGGAGGGACCTTTAGCGAACGCGGAAGACTGGAGAATAGTCGATGGGGTGTAAGAGATACGGTGGATCGACGGAGACCGTTTGTGTTCGCCCCCTTGGTCACAACAGGTAGATATGCTTGGTTTCCTTCATGCCGTCACCGTTGATTTGCTGTCTCCTAGACGACGAAAGTATGACGGCCGCCATGCTCGTCCGGACTTGGAACATAGAAGTGAGGTTCGTGTATGTGGTCAGAGTGGCTACAAGGCAGTTCTCGAGGCCACGCATCAACTCAAACCTGAGATGGTGCATGAGAAGAGCAAGAAGATGGGTGTCCAATGTGTCTCGTGAGTGGCGCCGACCTACCTCAGAGTATGCTGTACCGTTATTCATTGTGAATGGTGTACAGTCTGGGTATGTTCGCAAGTGCAAGGCATCGGTCAAAGAAGTGACCAGAGATATCGATGTGAAACAACCCGTCCATGCGCACTTCATTTTCCGGTACCGCTCAAAGGGTAATTCTACGTCGTATCGTCTTGTCAAGAATTTCACATGCGCATATACAGACTTTCTCCAAGCCGAGGGTATCATGCCTTGGAACGACGGGGCTATTGTCGGTGCCCGGGACGAGGAGCCTACGGGCCAAACGTCGCGCGGCCCGTCCCGCTCAGATGCACTGAAGCGGGCCCGAGCCGGAAAAGGGCAAAACCACGCCCCAGCGGAATCACACCCTTACGGACGATGTCAAGCCATCTATAGCTCGTTCACTAGAACGAAGACGTTAATGCACTCCGGAAGGAGCTTGACGCAATCATGCTCGAGGCCAGGCTCTCCTAGGCAAATACAGACCATTCAAGGATCCGGCTCGTCCCAGCGAGTCAAGAGCAAGCGACGAGACTTCGACGAGGGCGTCATTGACTTGACTCTTGATGATGATTAAGGAGATTCTGTTTGGAAGCTGAAGTGCTTTCGTTTATTTTGCAAGTGTAGCTGGAGTAAGTACGGCGATGGTAATATGATACTGTAATAATAACTGTTCTACTTCGATGACATCTTCGATGGGTGAATGTTAACTGGTGCGTTGTCGTCACAGCTGCACGTTAATCCGTCCAGGTTGAGCGCATGTACCACATATAACTGGTCTGCGTCACCGACTACATACATGGCGGACTAGGCGATTTTCCCTGAGTCCTCCGAGGACCGAGGCAGGCCTCGAGATCGTGATTCGCGACGCGCGAACGCGTCGGTATAGCGGCACACGTGATCGTTCCCGGACATACGTCATGCGTTTCTCCGGACGGAAAGGTGGAGATCCGAGACGAAGCGTTCGCACCGTCGCAGCTTGACGGAATCACCCATGCAGTGCGCAACCATCACCTATGCTCTGACCAACTCCTAACTGCTTCCTCACGACCCGACGACGACCAACACGACGATGACACGGGTAGCAGAGCAAGAAAACTACAGGCAATGCATGCCTTTCGCTCGGCAGCCATTCAAGCCATATATGTAGCCCAGCGGATGCTCACCACTCTTGTCATGGTCGTGTGGTGGGCCTTTTACTACATCATCATGCCACGAAAGCATCGCCCGAGACAATCGTGGTCGCTCAAGCAGATTATATGCGTCAACTTCACGCGGCGAATTTACAAGGTCACCGAGCTCGCAGGCGTAACATGGGGCACACGCAACCCGGACGAACCTTGCGATAATCGAACGCTGAAGGAGACACGCTTCGAATGGATTGAACCCCTGCCGGAGGAGATGCGGTCAGGGGTCGTCGTCGACTCGCAAACGCAGTGCAAGCGGACGGGTGTCTTCGTCTGGCCGAAGGATGCCCCTGAAGGTACGGTTCAAAGCTCTGCTCAGTTCTGAGTCTGACTTCTCACTGATGCTTCAGCTACTATCGACAAGCCGGGACTGAAGGAATCCCAGATTGACTTGGCGGACGTGGAGGCGGGCGACGTGCCCGTCATCGGAATTTTCATGCACGGCGGAGGCTACTGCCATATGTCTGCGCATGAGAACGCACCGACGTCAAAGATTCCCAGACGGCTCATGAAGGTGTGGTGCACATATGCAATACTCCCTCGCTGAGAGGACGTACACTGAGACGTGTCTTACAGGACAAGGCATTCACCAAAATATATGGTAGGTGGCCAGTAGTTCTCGTCGAGTGTGTTAAGGCTAAAAGTATCAATAGCCGTGGAGTATAGATTGCTCCAGCATGCGCCGTTCCCAGCTCAAGTGCAAGATGCCGCGGCAGTTTATTATCACATCATGCAGCAGTACCAGCGGCCGGGTGTCAAGTCCACAGGAGACTCGGAGCGTTCATCGGATACACGAGTCGCGCAGGACGAGGGAGTGGTCAGGAAGGATTATCTGACCGCGGGCTATAACCCGCAGGACGTGAAGGATAAGGCGGAGAACGAGCACGCGAGAAGACGGGTGGCGCAGGCAGCTCAGAATATGCATTGCAAGATTGTGCTCATTGGCGACAGCGCGGGGGGCAACCTCGTGCTTGCCCTTGCGCGCTGGATTAGAGATGAAGCCCGTCTGCCGCCTCCCGACGGACTACTACTCCTCTCGCCATCCTGCGATCCCTGTGAGTATCAAGACATATTATTCTGACCCCGTCCTGACGTCGCAACAGCCCATGCTTTCCCGAGTCCCCGTCTTCTTACGTCCCCCGCCACACGGAGACACAGACTACCTCGTCGACACGCCCGAGCCCCGCGCACTCCTGCAGCGGACCTTCTGGGAGAACACCCGCTCGAGATGATGCACAGCCCGTACGTCAGCCCCGCGTCGCAGAAAGTGCTGCGCGCGTTCTACGGGGACGCGTTCGCGGAGAGCGTCCAGGACCTCAGCATCGGCGCATGAACACCGTCGCCCGCGCGACGCTGCGCTCGATGCCGAGTGCGCCGAGCACGCCCGTACCGAGCACGCCGTACGAGGGCGCGCCCTCGCCCGTGGACCTCGGCCGCAGCCGACGAGCCTCGAGCGCCCGATCATCGCGTCGCCCCGCGGGCTGAGCTTGTTCAGCGGGTTCCCGAGGGCGTGTGTCGTGCTCGGCGATGCGGAGCGCTTGGAGAGGGAGGTCACGAAGCTCGTGGGCGCGATGGAGAGGGATGGGGTGGGGGTCAGGACGGTGTGGGTTAAGGATGGGGCGCACGATGTCCTCATGATGGGCTGGTGGGACGAGGATGTGCGCACGAAGGTGTACAACGACATTGAGGCGTGGTTGAAGGAGATATGAGATGTGGACGTGGACATATCTATCGCATTATGTACACAGTGTATATACATTTGTATCAATAGACATGGAGATCGTCTACTTCCTCTAAGTACTGTAAGTATGTTGGGATGGGACACTTCCGGCAGAACCGTATCGCGAGGTCATACCGAATGATATTGTTCGGCAGGAAAATGTTCAACAAGGGCCACCCTGCCAAACCTCACGACGATAGCTAGCCCTGTCCATCGAAAACATTAGGACTGACGTCTAGAATAGTGAATCATCCAGTACAGTATGAAACAGGATCAAAGCGATGCGACAGGATAACTTCAATCGTCATCTAGGGTCAAGTCAATAACTTCGTCATCAGTGACGATAATATCTATAGGGGAGCGTGTCCTCTTGATGTTGCCACGAGTCAAGTCATCGACGTCCTGATTCTCCTCTCGTCGCTCCGGCTTGACCCTCGAAGATGGCCTGGGTCCTGTGATAGCTTGGATCTTGCCTTGGTATACCCGGACGCGTCCCTGTGCTGCGTCGAGCTTCCTCTGAAGTGCGTTGATGTCTTCATCCGCAGCGGACTGAGTGTTGGGTGACCTGGGTTCCGGAGAAGCTGCTGATTCCGTAGTAGTCCTCACCCTCTTGCGAGGCAGGTTCGGTGGCTCCTGGCCAGTTCGACGTTTGCGACCCGTGGACGTGTGTTTGTGGGCATCGTTGGTGGCTATGGCATTCATAGGCATTATGTTCTCGGCTTGGAGGAAATCTATGGGTCATGCGTTTAGTTCGTCGGAATATGTCGTTGTGCGGTCTACCCTACCCTTGGAGCGGTAGCGGAAGATGAAGCTTGAATACGAAGGTTGCTGAGGATTGACGGATTCTGCATACACTTTATCCGTGGCCTTACACTTGCGGCTATCTCCTAGACTACCTAACTAATTCAGTGATTCTGCACCGGTCCCCGGATGTAGACGATCACCACTCACGAGATGCACTGCACACCCATTTGCTTGCTCTTTTCGTGCACCACCTGGACCCCAACCTTGAACTGGTCTAATTTGGTCACGAAGTGTGGTTCGCTAGCGATACGGATTGCATAGCTGAGCTTGACTTGGATCGTGCCCGAGTCCTGCTGTGCCTCTGAGCCGGTAGCAACGGTATCGTCGTCTACACGTTGGCAGGTCAGCGTGGACTTGACACCTAAAGAATACGTGTTTTACCTGTTAAGACCAACGAGGCGAATTGGAATGGCTTCCGTTGGTCTTTGGCGCACCTAATGCCCCAGCGACTACCCTCGACAGCACCTGGGCGACAGAGTGTACCGCCAGCGTCCCACCCGTCAACATAGCAGCTCACGGATGTGCTGTGCGTGTCGTGTCGCGTGTCGCGGCGCCAGCAAATCTCGAATGTCTGCGATCACTCAGCCTTGGTGCCGTCAGCATAGACGCAGACTGTGCACCTTTCCAACCTCACTCGGAACGTAGCATGCCAGAGTCGTGTCGTCTAAGGCTTCCACCTGGTATTCAGGCAACTCGTGGCCATCACTCTTGATATACACCTCGAAGTGATCTTTGCGCATGTTCTTCAAAATCTAGAAAGTATGGTCGCACAGATTACATGCTCAGCGAGCGAATGAGATGGAATTGCGTGTTTGGCGGAAGACTCAGACTAGTAGGCAGTGGTGGTTATCCGGTAGCCCAAGTAATATCGTGAACGTGTGACGGCGTCAACGCGGACTGTCACAGATCACATGCACGTAAGTCACAGTGCCAGCTATGAAGCGACTTGCTCCATGGTTCCATCACGCCAGACCCTCTTCTGGCACTTCACGACACTGATATACTTGAGTCGCAGCGACTACTCTTTGCCAACCTTGCTTTGACAGGCCCGGAGGCACAGCACGATCGAAGACTGGACTGTACGGCCAGCGTCAGCCTGAGTGGGCAGTGTGACCACTGCTAACCCGTCTGGACTACTGTACTACGCACCATTGGGTCCAACATGAGACATCAAGACTTTGAAGTCCTCATCAAATGTGACAACCGTGCGTTGGTTGAGCATGATATACGCGCAGAGGGCGGCAGCGTCATTAGTTGCTATGTAGCGAGCGAGGCTGGCAAGGTGCGTTCCAAGGGTAGGCCTATTGCATTTGTTGCATACAGGAGATCCGAGCCAACGATGCGCTTGAACCTGTCTCAGGAATTCAAGATCAGATGTAGCAATCAGTCTTCCACAGACATGGCTGTATGGGCATTTGTGGACGGACGGGGGTTTCCCTATCGAACACACTTCAAGGCGGGCTATGCCGATGGCGAGGCGGCATATATGTCTTGTGACAAGGAGACACTGCCTCTCTTGTTTGCCGATGTTCATGTAACGGGTATGCACCGCTAAAGACTCATGCATCGTAAGTACTTGCTCAATTTTCACGAGATGACGAGAACGCAGCAAGCACCCTGTCCGACGCCTCTCAACTAGATGTGATTCAAATCCTGGTGTTTCGCATCCGTTCTCGTTGGGAAGTGCCCTACAAGCACCCTACTGGCACTGGTGCGCTGTCTGCAAAATCGGGGCCTATTCATGAGACGGCGAAGAAAGGAGGGATGCATTGTATTGAGTGAGTTACCAAACATTATTATGAAATATTCATTTCATGGCTGCATATAGGTTTGGAGCAACTTGGACGAGTCTGTCCCCGATGTATTTCTCAGCGGACTACGTCGATAATTTATCCTCACCGTATATCACCTTCAACTTCCGCTACAGGCCCTCCGGTGAACAGTCTTATTATCCGCTTGCAGTTTCAGATCTTGATGCACTATCAGAGCTCCTGCAGGTGCAGGGCATCACACAGCCTCCTGCAGTTCAACTTCCGCAACTGAGTGCAATGACGCCACAGGATTTTATAACGCCAGTGTTGGTTGACGAGTCATACACCAGCTTATCACGCAAAAGGCGCGGCGACGGCTGTACCCCGAACGCTCAAAAAAGCGACCTCGTCAGGACGGGGCCAAATCGTCGACGAGCGCTGTTCTAGAGGAAGCTGTCCCACAGCGGGAGATTTCAAGCTGTTTGTCGTCAAAGTCGAGGTTGAAGATGACGAGGCCGACCTGAAAGTGATACGGGTGTGTCTACCATACGTTTGCTTCGCTGCGCCCCTGATTAAGCTTCTCGTTAGGCGCAACTGCGCACTTTACAGGAGCAATTGGATCGTATTGAAAACAACCGGAGCCAGTCCAATCGCTCGGTCGTTACGAAGAGGGAGCCGTCGCCCGTGCGCGTCGGCAACCTGCAAGGCAATGTCATCGACCTAACGGAGGACTGAGATCCGTGCTTGCCATTGGCTGCACTACTTACTAGTACAGCCCCGGACATGCCTCAATAAGTCGGTGACTTATCATCTCATCAGTAGACGTATCCCATTGGCATCGTATCTCCCGCACAATTCATTCACACATCTTCAAGTAATCGTTCGCCGTAATTCGGTCTCTTTGATATTCAATCATCTGGTCTGGTGCCCCGTTCACGCCTCTCAGTATCTGTTGTCCGCAACGGGTGAAATGTGTGGTTCTATGGCTGTTGCGACTACAAAGCTTAAAGGGCGACGTGCTCAGTCCGAGGTCATCAACGATGTGTTCGCGCAAGTAAACCACAATTGCCGTGTTTTGCGACGTAGGCATCGGGGTGGTGACATTACAAGGCCTGCCAGAACTCTCAGTTGAGCTCCTCAAGGTAAGCCATCCATGCGACTCCTCTGATTATGACCCCGCGGAACGCGGCAGTGCGGGTCAAGTAAATTAACGTCTCTGCCCCCCGCCGGAACTTAGGTGCAGAGTGCCTGTAACCTTCATACACAACGGCTTTGCCAAATCACCAAGCTGACTCCGTGCCCGAGGTCTTCAGGCTTCAACGTCTCACGTTTAGAATGTCGCGTTGAAGGGATGTTGAGCAGTTCGGGTAGCTATACTAGTATAGGCTATAGTTTCGCAAGGGGTGTACGCGGGTGGTCACGCACACGTGGATGTCACGATGCACTTGACGGGGACGCGCCGACGCGGTGTCAACGCGCGTACATTCCGATTCTAGACGTCTTTCCAACGTCTTTCAACCTACTTTGCTCGCTGCTCTGTGGAATATACCCGTTCACCGGCACTATCGGCCCTCAGCTTGGAGAGCAGCGTGAGTTGGCTAACTCTGAAAAGACCATCACGGACCGATGCTCACATATTTTCGACATGGACAAGCAACAACCACATCACAATCGTCACCGCCGTTTCCATAGCCATATTCTTCTGGTTACTCCCGACATGAAACATCGTGACTGTCAAATTTTCATCAAGTGCGACGGCAAAGTATTGGACGAACACGATGTGCAGGTTGAGGACACTGTTATTAGTTGCTATATAGCAAGTGAAGCTGGAAAGGTGCGTTAATGTAACTACTAGTGGGTCCGCGGATGCTATTCAGCGGTCACATCTTTGAATTATCAGGAGTTTACACTTTGGATCAACAACCCTTCCTCGACCGATATCAGCGCCGACATTAGTGTGGATGGTCGACCATTTCCCTATCCAAGCTTTCTGTCGGCACATCAAGAGGATACTGCACTTACATACAGAGATAATGCCAGTGAGATCCGTGCACTTATGTTCTCCGACATCTCCGTTACAGGTGCGCCCAAAGCCGCTCAGAATCCCATTGTCTCACCGAGTGCTCACGATGTGCGAGATGATGAAAGTGCTGCAAGCATCCTTCCAGATGCCAGTCATCTGGGCTTGGTTCAGGTCCACATATGTCGTGTCCAGATTGGCAAGGACGTCCCTTATGAGCCACCCGCTGACGTCGCCAAAAACTTTGGGCCTCTGCACGAAAAGACAAAGAAAGGCGGCATGCATTGTGTTTCGTGAGTGAGAGTCCATAAGTTTTCTCATATGCACACTCACGCGTCCTACGTAGATTTGGCGCCGTCACGGAAATTCCGATCACAACGAATTCTATGGCCGTATTGATTGACAAGGTGTCTTCACCATATGTTACCTTCAATTTTCGCTACAGACCCCAGGGTGAGCCGGTCTCGTAACTCCGACGAGCTGACCGAATTTTGACACAACAAAAGCAATCCTTCAAGCACAGGGTATCTTACAGCCCGTTGTGGCCGAGCCCCCACTTGCCAATCTAGCATCTGATATATCCGTTCAACGGGATGCTCCCGGATGTGCACCGCTTGAAGATTCCACTCCTCGTTCGACTCGAAGGAGGCCGGCAGGTACCATCGGAGCAGAGGGACCTCGAAAACGGCCGCGTCATGGTGGTGCCTCGTCTTCAGTAAGCTCACCGCTGGAGACGACGACGACGAGACATGCCTCGCCTGTGGTAGAATCCAAGCCGCTCGTTCTCAAGGATGAAGATGTAGACGATGAGGATGAACTGAATGCGCTCCGGGTGCGTTTTTACGCATCTTACCGACCACGACATGACGTTTGATACGATGCCTCCATCGTAGGCACAAATGCGAGCAATGCAAGGCCGAATGAATGTCCTCGAGGGGAGAAGAAGCCACACCGGTCGTACACCGGTCGTCAAGCGGGAGACGTCACCTGTTAAAGCTGCGAAGTTCGATGGCGATGTCATCGACTTGACGGGCGATTGAGCTTCACTGCTCGTCGCGTGAACGGATTCGCGATGGTATAATCATCTGCCACTCAGCATATACTCCGCTAAACCATAATTCTGGGACTGCCCATACACAGCCAGCAGGACAAGCTTTTATTCAGCGTTATATACTACTTTTCTCGTGGTATAGTCATCTTGATGGTCATTCCCCTTACTTGTATGGTGTTCAATAATCTGGTCTGTCAGTAGTGTCGTTCCTGGGGTTCTGGCGTACCGTACCGATGCAGGCATGTAATCTTATGACTCCTGTGTTATGTCACCTGCTACACAGAAGTATTCAGCCTCGTGAGGACGATGCGTGACAACTTGAAGGAATCGGCCCAGATGGGAGCCACTGATGCAGTGTCCAAACCACAGCCGGCGTGATTCTTGACGGACTCAGTAGCTCTGTGGTTCATCCTTCCGGCTAAAAACATATTTGCCTACTTCTAAACTGACAAGGAATGACTCGGGAGCTTTCAAGTAGTGGTGTTTTGCGTTTGGTGAAAGCCCACCAGCCGGTGCCAAGTCGCGTCTGTGGCTGATTGGCAGACGCGTGTCGTCACGCGTGACTCGGGAATGGATGCGCTCACTGCTCAGCGCTCAGCGCTCAGGCTCTTTCGTTTCATACCTCCTCGTTCACATCGTCAATATCTCATTGCTAACTGGTGAGTATATCGACAGCATGTCAATTCAGATGATGAATGATTCTAAACAGCGTGTCCAATCAAGGCCCTTTGGCACCATCGCGTTGTGTCCACTATTTCGCCACTCGCCGGACTCCGTTCACAATGAGGCATCGAGACTGTGAAATACTCATTACATGCGACGGCAAGGCGCTCGACGAGTACAATGTCGAAGCGGAGGATAACGTCATCGAGTGTTATGTAGCGAGCGAATCTGGTCAGGTATGTCCATGAATCACTCAACCGGAGTGAAATCACTGATTTCCCAAACATGAGGCAGACATTTGAGATCAAGTGTAGCAACCATTCCTCGGCGTTTTTGGTGATGCGTACTGCCGTCGACGGTCGACCATTCCCTCGGCCGAAGTCCACGAATGCGGGTGATACTAACGTTACTCTGCGGTGCGAACATGGTGTTGACAAGTCCGAGAGACTGATGTTCGAGAGACTCTGCATCACAGGTTCGAGTTCCATGAACACGTGAGGTCCTCTTCTCAATCTACACCCTACTAGATGACGATGCTGCTGCGAAAGTTTTGAGCCATGGTGATCACCTCGGTCTAATTGAGGTCTGCGTTGCTCGTGCGATACGGAAGGAGGACCGACCTTGGAAAGCTTCGTCGATCACGGCGCGGAATATCGGACCCATTCATGAGACTGCCAAAAAAGGTGGAATGCACTGTGTCTCGTAAGCCAGCATCTTTTGACCCTTGTCTGAGTCTGACTGCTTTTAGCTTTGGAGACACGCAGCCATACCCAATACGCAAGACAATAGTTGACGTCACGTATATAGACAAGTGGACCGCGCCATACATCACTTTCAAGTTCCGCTATAGACCTCATGGTGAGGGGAGACATCATGAGTACTTATCGGTCAGGTAGCCTATTGAGAGATAGCGATTCTTCAGGCACAAGGTATCGTGGAAGCAATCCAGCCTCCACGCAGTGGCCCGTCTGGCTCCTCATCACGCGCACGAGATACCCCATCGCCAGCGCCACCTCAGGCGGCCAGTTCAGTTTCGCGGCGTGAACGACAAGATGATGCTTCGCAGTCGGAGCCACCTCGCAAACGACTTCGTCGGGATGGCACTTCATCGTCTTCGGAGTCGGGTTCCCGCATGGAAGATCTTCTAAGGGCAGATGATACAGAGGACGCAAAGCCGCTCAGAACCAAGGGTGAGGACGACGATGGTGCAGAAAGTCTCAATGCACTCGAGGTACGTCCCCAAACAACGCTACATGGTAGAAATGAAACCGGATTCACTTTCTAGGCTCAAATGGAGGCCTTACGGCAGAAGATTGACCGAGCCAGAGCGCAGAACGGTCAAGGTAGCCAATTTCGCGTCGTCAAGAGGGAACCATCTCCCATTCTCGTCGGTCATTTCAACGGCGGCATCATAGACTTAACGGAAGACTGAGATCTTGGGCGTACCCCGCGAAGCAGTCTGCTCACGCGACGGGGGCGCCTGGTCCTACTCGAACGTCGGACTCGTCTCGTAACTTACTTGAGCTTAATAGATTCTACGAAGATACGTTCCGTGCCCTTGTACACCTCCTGTACATCTACTATCGTCCGAGTCTAACTCGATGAGGGTGTTGCTAGCGAGTTCGAGTATGGCAAGGTATGTTTGTGCAGAGCGAAGTCATGATTTTCGATAAACCTTTCGGATAACATTTGGCCTACTGAGTACACTGCACTGTGCATCGCAGGGATTGTCAATGTCACTGCACATACGACCGTGACGTACTTTGACGTGCGACGAACTGTGTTCGGTCACGTCGTGTCGATGGACGCAAAGGGGCCGTGACGAGTCAAGACCGTGACATGGTCGAACGGGGGCTCACGCCGACTCAACGCTGCTTGTAAGTCAACTCACAACTCATCGCTGCGAGGCTAACAACCACTTCGAGGTACGTGCGTATTTTCGATTCCAGGATTTGCCTAAAACTCTGAAAGAAATACTGTTCCCCGCTACTATTTCCTTCCTAGTCACGCCGGTTTGATGGCGAGCTCGCGCACCAAGTACTCTCGGTCTTGAAGAACAAATACGTGTTGCTGGGAGTAGAACGGTACATCTCGGGTTCGTATCCGCTACTTTCCAAGGTCACTTGGACTCTCTCGGTGAGTCTTTCGATCGCGCGCATGTAGTCACCGCTCAAGCCATATGGAACCACTATCCTACAAAGAACCTTCAGTACGACCGCTTAGAGCCAATAATCTCGACTTTACCGCCACACCTCGCACCGTCAACCGGCCTTCGATTTAGGATGAGGCACCGCGATCTTGAAGTACTCATTAAATGCGATGGCAAGGAGCTCGAAGAGCACAATATCCAAGTGGAGGGAAATGTTTCTGAATGTTATACAGCCAGCGAATCTGACAAGGTGCGTCGACTTGACACCAAGTCCGTTGTCACGATGGCCATAACTGCTCATAACAGGCGTTCAACATTCGCTTTACCAATCACACTGCGACATCCTTCGCTGTGCGCGTTACTGTCGATGGCCGGCCCTTCCCAAGAGGGACATGGATGGACGCAGACAAGAAAGATGTCTTACTTGACTGCGGAGATGGTCACTGGGTCAGACCTGTGAAGTTCGCGAGGCTCTGCGTCACAGGTCTAGTTCTCACAGAGTGTCGAGATTCGATCCTGAATTTGTACCTCAGATGGCGACGATGCCGCAAGAGAGCTGAGCAACGCCAACAGCCTTGGTCTCATAGAGATACATGTCGTCCGCGCGATATACGAGAAAAGGATGCCCTGGACCACATCAGGTTTGGATCCGCAGAATTTCGGCTCCATCCATGAGACCGTGAAGAAAGGGGGCATGCACTGTGTATCGTGAGTATGCGTCATTCGGGTCATCACCGGCACCGGTTGCATACTGAACTCTGAATTCTCAGCTTCGGAGAGAAACAACGTATAGAATACTCAGGGGATGTTATACAATGCTTGTACACCGACCAATGGTCTGCGCCCTATGTTCACTTCAAATTTCGCTACAGACCTCATGGTGAGAGAAAGAACTCTCTGATGCTCTTAGTCAAGATTTCTTATTCCAGCCTCTAGCGATTCTTCAAGCGCAAGGCATAGTAGAACCGGTAGCCCAGCCGCAGGCCGGTCCGTCCGGTGGCAACTCGTCAGTCGCACCGAACAGCCCATCGCCAGAGCCGGGTGCTGCAAACGCGGCTCCGCGTCGGAATGCACAAGCCGATTCTTACCCGCCTCGAAAACGGCCGCGTCGGGTCGAGGAGTCGTCGTCTTCGAGCTCGTCTTCCTCCGCGGAAGACCCGCTGACCGTGGACGGGACAGAAGACGTCAAGCCGCGTGCTCGAAAGGGCGAGGATGAAGATGATGCAGAGGATCTGGACGCGCTCAAGGTGTGTTATTCGCATACCGGTCGATGATGGAGCTGCAACGACGGTATGATTGCAGGCGCAGATGCGGGCTATACGACGCAAGATCAATAAAGCCCAGATACGGAAGAGCCAGCGTGGTCAATCAAGCGCAGTCAAGCGAGAGCCATCTCCTATCGAGGTCGGGGACTTTGATGGGGGCGTCATAGACTTGACCGAGGACTGAGGCTCAGTGCGGTCGCAGGTGCGCGGCGTACCCTCAAGCGACTAGATCCGCTTGAGCTCGTCGTGGCAGTCGTACAACCTGTCATGTCTTCGATGTTTCGTGCGTCGTGATTTCTCCGCTGGTAGGGTATTGGTCGTGAGCGTGATGCTGGGCAGGCAGCAGAGCCACACGCTCACCATAATCCCCCCTCCCTCCTTCATACTGGCTTCTACAGTGTTCCCGTCTAATCAACAGTCTTGGATATACATAAGTAATGGTAGTCCGGTACATAAGAATCGATAATGACCTCATGTCTGGAAACAGGCTGTCATCGTCCTGGTCTTCCTGTAATGAATAACCTCCTGGTTCCTGTGTCGGTCCATGAAACTCGCATGAAACTCAGCTTCTTGCCCACCATACCACATAGTTGACGTGTATCGCCGTGTCTATCGTCAAAGCTCCTATGTATGTGCCAGTTGGAGTGCAGCACATACTCAGAGGCCCCAGTGACACACGCACTTCCGCAAATCTCCGCCAAAGACCAACTGCGACATCCATTCCACCTACAGCAATCATCAGGGCTACCAACATCGGGAGAGGGGTGAGGGGGACAGGCAAGTATGTAGTAGTAGTAATAGCGATAGAAGGTAGCGAGACGAGCGGACCTATACGGTAGATAAACTAAACAGACAGCAAACATTTGCGCACATGTGGATGCGACAGGCACGGCGGACGTTGTATGTGTATCGGCGGTGAGGCGAGGCGACTCGACCGAGGACGGTGGCGGCCAGTGTTGTAGCCATGGGAGTCGTTGCAGATGTTGTTTGTTGTACAGAACCCCTCCCCCGAGCGATAGTCCGTGTGAAGGTATAGACAGATGGATTCGCAAAGTCGGTCTTGACGCACCCCCTCCTCCGCTCCGCCCATCCGCCCAGGGCCCTCACCTACCAACCACCCCTCACGACGTAACCGACGAGACCAAGACGGCGACGCCAAAGGGCTCATCGCGCGACCGGCACGCCACGATATGGCGCCCTCTGGGCCGGTGGCACGCCGTTCCCGTTCGCCACGACCGGTCGAGGACTGCTCGAGTACACGACTTGCGGCTGTACCTGTGTCTGCTGCTGGGGGAGTGTAGGTTGAGGCGCGGCCTGGCGCGGCTGGGCCGGCGTTGCCCGCGCCTTCTGTTGCTGCTGCTCAGCATCGTCAGACGCACCCGGCGCGACGTACAGGCCCTTGTCAATGCTCTGGGGGATGGGCTGAATCTCCGTGCCGAGCTCCTGTTCAATCTTGTACAGGTTGAATCGGTCCTCGTACGTGACGAGGTTGATCGCGAGACCAAGATGTCCGAACCGTCCGGAGCGACCGATCCGGTGGAGGTACGTCTCCGAGTTCTTCGGCAAGTCAAAGTTGATGACGACGTTGACCGCCTGGATGTCAATACCACGCGTGAGCAGGTCGGAACAGACGAGGTTGCGGCATACGCCGTTACGGAAGTCGTGGAACACGCGGTTGCGGTGAGACTGGAGCATCTTCGCGTGCGAGTAGAAACATGAGTACCCGAGTTCGGTGACCTTCTTGGCGAGCAGCTCGACCCGGTTCGTGGAGTTGCAGAAGATGATGGATTGGTTGATTTGCAGCTATACGAGGATCAGACGAGCAGCTGGTATAACAGGGGCTTTGCGCACCTTCGAGAACAGTGTGTTGAGACAGTGGACCTTCTGTCGTTCCTCGACGTATGCGTAGTACTGTGTTACACCACGAAGGGTCAGCTCATCCATGAGGTTAATCTCGTAGGGATGCTTCATGTGCTTGTCCTACAAAGACGTTAGCACAGCACAGGTACTAGGCGCACGCACGAAAACGAACCTTAAAGTCCTTGACAATCATTGGGAACGTCGCGCTGAACAACATAACCTGGCGGTCCTTCGGCAGATACGAAAGCAACTGCTCCATGACTGGTGCAAACTCGGGCGAGAGCAGCTTGTCCGCCTCGTCCATGACGAAGACCGGGCATTCGCTGAGGTCCGCGACATTTTTGCCCGCCAGGTCCAATATCCGACCGGGCGTGCCGACGAGTACGTGCACGGACTCCGACAAACGAATAATGTCGTCCTTGAGCGTCGTGCCGCCGGTGGTGACCATGATCTGCGCGCCCATGTGCTTGCCGAGTATCTTGCACACATGCGCGGTCTGCAGCGCGAGCTCGCGCGTCGGCACGAGGAGCAGCGCCTGGATCTTGTTCCTGTTCACGTCGATCTGCTGCAAAGACGGAATGACGAACGCGGCGGTCTTGCCCGTGCCGTTCTTGGCTCGCGCGAGCACGTCGCGCTTCGCGAGGGCGATGGGGATGGCCTCCTCCTGGATGGGTGACGGCCTCTCGAAGCCGGCCTCGAAGATACCCATGAGCAGCTCCCGTCGTAGGTACATGTCCTCGAAGTCGACGCCTTTCGTGTTGGTGACATCCTCAGTTTGTGGGCGGCTGTCTTTGGGTGGAGGGCGGAGGCTCGCTTTCCAGCCATCTCTGCGTCGTCGTCGTTACCTCTGCTCACTGAATACCAAAAATGATAGCATGAAACATACGATGTGGAGGAGGATGGGCGTGCTTGCTGGGCCATGGTAGAGAGGAGGAGATGCTTGGAGCAGGGGGCTATGTGGTTGAGAGTATAGCGGGGTTTTTGCTTCTTGAGGCGGTGATGTTCTATGTCAAGAGGTCACCACGAGTGATTCGTTTGTGGAGAAGTGACCCAGAGACAGATGAGTCGAGCGGGCGAGTAAAGGTGGTGGGAGACGGTGGGGACGTGCTCGCTGGCGAGGAAATTGAGGAGGCAGGCTTGCTGCAAGGCGTGAATTCGCTAGTCGACGCAGTGACCGTCACCACCCAGTCACGGTAGTCACACCTTGATGGACAACGAGCGCCATCTGCAGCCGAGTACGTCTTCCTCGATCGAGGAGGACACATGGAAACTACAGAACCCCGCCCGTTTGAAGGGAGAGGCATTATTTGCACACCAGTATAGTACAGTAACTGCTATCTCACACATCCAGTCGTAGTAATGAAAAGAGAATGTATCCAAAGGAACAAAAAACGTGCGCAGTCGTCACGAGACGCAAGACTAGCGATGCAGGGTATGCGGGTGGAGGATGGATGGGAACCTGGATAGGTTTCGCAGAATGTTCTGTTCTAATATGGGCGAGCACACGAGCGCAGATAGAGCAGACACAGAACATGGGACAACGACACTGATGCAAAGTTATGCAAACGACCCCTTGACTATGCATTCGCGGTGGCAGTGGCTGTAGAGCCCGCGACACCTTGAGGGCGTGGTCTCCTTCTGCGTCGTCTGGGCAGTACCACCGCGTCAGTCTGCGCTCTATCACACTCACATAACCGCAGTACCGAACATACCTTGGGAACATCGGGCCCTTAGGCATCGGCCGCTCATCCAGATCAAGCGCAATGTTCGTCGCAGCCTGGATACCCTGCACACGGCCCGTCAGACACGCCTTCTCGCACCACGGAAGCGCGACCAGCACCCACCTCGATCCAATCGATCACCGCCGCCACATCCGGCGCCTGCAGCAAGAACTGCTCGCCCTCCATCCGCACCCGGATCACGTTCTTGCGCTTCCCGTAGTCGCTCGCCAATCCGCTCTCCGCGTTCTGCAGCGTGTACGCCCGGATCAGGTCCTTCGGGTTCGGCTCCGGCGGCTGCTTCGGCCCCGCGTCGGGCGGCGAGGTGTGCAGTATGCGCGACCGGAAGAAGGACGACGTGCTGTCGCTCGCGGGCGGCGAGCCCGCCGTGGGCCGAGTGAACGTCGCGCTCCGAGGCGACGGCGCGTTCGATGATACGTAGCTCGTCCGCCGCGACGAAAGTGCGTCGCTTGACGCGCGCGCAACCACAGATATCGACGAATGGTCGTCTTGTGAGGGGTCCGTGCTCCGCCGTGTCTGTAACTGGCTCGAGTTGCTAGACTGGCTGCTAGACACGCTCAGACGGCTCGGTGTCGAGTTCGTCCTTGAGGTATTCGACCGGTTGGGGTGCAACAAGCTGCCCGGAAGACGAAGTTTTGACCGCGACGGTGGAAGTGCTTGTTGTGCCGGTGGCGGCTCGCTCTCCCGTGTGTTAGGATCTGGGCTCGCCGGGTCCGTATCCTCTTTTCCCGCTCTCTCACTGTCTGCACGCCCCCTCACCGCACTCACCCTGATCCCCGACTGTGTCACCGCACCGGTGTTCACGACAGTGATGTCGCCTACGCCGACCTTCTTCTCCCACCACGACTCGATCGCGCTGACGCCCGCGATGCTAGGCGGGCACTTGTACACGCGGAACGCGGTCCCCTCGAGCACGCAAAGCACTCGCCGCCACTTGCGATCCTTCGCCTGAACGCCAGGCGAGGTGAACTCCACCTTGCGGGGTATGACGGCCGCGAGGTAGACAGCGTTCGAGTACGGAGGTAGGCGCTCCATCCCCTCCTCATCTCTCGGCAGCACCATAGGACCAGCCCAACGAGGATGGAAGGATGGATACGGTGGTGGATCGGACGATACTTTGTATGTTGGCATCGACCGCTGCCTGCGCAGCGTCGGCGTCGATGGGAAGATGTCTTGCGGGACACTCGGGGGCTTGGGCGTGCTATGCTCGTCCTCATGTATTGTCGGCGCACCTGGCAGCGGTTTGCTCTTGCGCCTCCCAGCAACAGGGTCGGCCGTGATCGATGGCGACGTGGTGGTCTCCTTGCCTTTCTTCGACAAGGAGAGGTCGACCATACTCCGTGAGCCGAGGTGGTACAATCCCGGTCGTCCGAGAGAGCCTGGTGGCATACCAGCAATTTGTGCATGCCCCAGCGCCGGGGTGCGCAGGGTGGGCGAGCCGATGAAGTCGGCGGGGCGGGGGGTGCGCACGGGGGAGTCGGGGCGGTCGTGCTGCTGCCTGATGCTGTTGCGCCGCTTGGAGGAGAAATAGTCTGTCGCGGAGGAGGAGGACGAGCCAGGACGGAGGCGGGGGGTGGCCTGGCCGTCTGGCTTTGGGGTGAAATAAACGGTGGTCCGAAGCGACTCGGTGACTTCCGCGTGCAGGCGGGAGGCTTCGATCTGAGGAAGCCCGCCTGCGCGATCGCCACGTGACCGAGGCGTTTCAGACGATTCCATTTCGGTGCCGTCTTCCATTTCGTCGTCGCTGGCCGCGCCCTCCGCATCAGTACCCGGGCTCGCGTCCATGTCCTCCTCGTCCTCGTCTTCCTCCTCCAGCATTGCGTTGTCGTGGTCTGCCTCATCTGCCTCACTCGGGCCGCGCATGGGCAGCGCGGGAATGCTTCGCAGCGGAGCTCCCTGGCGCGGCCGCTGAGGCTGCTGGGAAGGAGCAACGGGTGGGAGCGGCGGCAGACTCAGGACCGGCATCGGGGGCTGCCGTGAGGCGATGGAGGGCGTCAAGCGTGCACTCCCCTTCGCCATGTAGCTGGCCATCATGGGGGGCGGTAGCGTCGCAAGGCGCGGCGCGAGGTCGCGTCGATCGGACAGACCTGGAGAGATTTGTCCGGACGCAAGTGGGACATGTCTGGTCGCTACTGCAAGGGCTGAGTTGGACTCGGACGTCACCGGTGCGACCATAGCGGACGCGTTGACTGTCGTTTGACTTGGAGCAGCCAGGCTGCCCACGGATGACCGTACTACGTCCGCCGGCTGCGATAGAGCATGCGACGATGCTGTGAGCTCTTCAGGAGTAACTCGGCTCTCCTCGGAAAGCTGTGGACTGGCTAGTGTGGTGTTCGAGGCCGCCTCCCGCCGCGCCGCAGAGGTAAGATGTGGAGGGCCTGTCTCTGTGTCGATCGTGTCTAGACTCGTGGAAGCCGAATTGCTCACAGGTGCATGTAGTAGTCCGTCTGGATCCGTCAGAAATGACAAGTCGTGCGTTGATGTTGTGGGTCCCGAGGGCGTGTTTCGCGATTGTGAGGTCACCCCGCTCTCCTCGGAGAGCCGTGGACTGGCAGGCATGCTGATCGAGACCGCCTCGGGGGTGGGTCGTGGCGAGCCGGTATGCGGTTGTGCAACGGGGTCTTCGACGTGAGACTCGGGTCCGTTCTCGGAAGAGCGGCCGCTCGGGGAGGGAGTATCCGAGTTCCGGCTCATATGGACGGAGGTATGGTGGCTCGTGAGCACGGCGAGGTCCTTCGGGCCAAGGTCCATGGAGCGCGTCGTGCGCTGGAACTTGTCGGGCACGCCGAGGTGCTTGCCATCGGTGCTCTGCCGGCGCGCGCTGCGGATGTTGGACACCTTCTTGAGAAAGTGGCTCGTTTTGACCTGCTGCTGCCGTGTGAGAAGCAGAGGGCGAGTCTAGACGGAGCACTTGCCAAAAACTGGGAATGCCTCACATCTGCGGGTGTCTCTCTCCGGGGCCTTTCCACCGTCTCTACTCTGCTCGCGGACATTCAGGTCGTGCGATCGTCGTCGTCTGCTGTGCGTTTATTTCGCAGGGGGTCGTGAGAATGGTCGTGAAGCCTGACGGGTCGTGGGGGATGAGATGAAGATGACTGCTGAAGCTGAGGCTGAAGTGAGACTGCGCGACTTACGGGTGGATAGAAAACAGCGGGTAGAGACGAGCCGCGGACAAGCCGTGTCGGCGTGGCTCGGAGTCGTCACTCGATTACGCTGCCCGTGGGGGTCGAGTGGGTGATGCTAACTATAGCCGGCGCTCCGGGTTACAGTAATCCTGCTTTCGTGAGCTGCGGACCTATCGCAATTCAGATAAAGGCGATGAGTTGGGATGCCCTAATACGTGCAGATCCAGAGCAGTCAGAGCGCAACGTTCGCGGCCAGAACTCAAACGGATTCAAGCGGGGCGGGATCATGGTTGGGAACGGGTCGCGTCATAGGATAGTTGGATGTTTTCGGGCGCTAAGTCAATGTCGGTAATGACGCGCTGTGAGTTATCGGAAAGACAACTCTATCTAGAGTACTTACATAATACTGACTGCCTGTAACTTTTAATGAAGAACAACTCCATATGTAGCCTGGTTACCGGTTAACCGGTTACTAATACCAATCAACACTGCCACCCATTTCGAAATCGAGGCGTGAATATGGGGCCTGGAGGCTCCTGGAGGTCCGAGGCACCACCTACACCTGGGACCGCACCAAAAACCAATTCCCTCCTCCTCTTCCTCCATGTTGATTCCGCCATGAAGTCCTTGCCCCACTCGCCTGGGCTTGTGGCGCGTTGCAGGGCCTTGAAGATGTGAAGCCACAGACGCTGTCAGTCAGCCTCGTCCGGTCATGCCGGGCTAAATTCAGCGCTGTGTACCTCCCTTGCACACAGAAGCTTTGACGAGCTTGAGACTTCGACGGGCCAGATGGTATTAGATTTGGTTTGTTCAATATATTGAGAACAGAACTTTCTGTTTGAATCCTTTTATTGTCCGCGAGGGCCGAGCCAACGCTCTAGATAGTAGCAATACGAGTAGGTACGTGTTCGTGCTGTCAGGATTGGCTTAGCATGTACTGAGAATGGACCTATTAGGCGTGCATGAGGACATTATGTACCGGAATACCATATGTGTATCACCACTGACTGATACGACGACGGAAGTACTGTAAGGGCCAAAAAGAATCGACATGATGAAAGTATGGGCCCGCTCCCCGGCCTAGCATCACGCTCACGACCAATACACTACCAGCGTAGGGGTCACGGCGCACGAAAGCACGGATTATTGAAGACATAGCGAGTCATACGACTGCCGCGATGAGCACCAGCGGATACAATCTCTTGAGGACACGCCGCGCGCATGCGAACGCACTGAGCCTCAGTCCTCCGTCAAGTCGATGACGCCGCCGTGAAACTCCCCAGCATCGATAGGGGACTCCTCCCGCTTGATTCCGGTTGACTGGTCACGTTGGATCTTCCGTATCTGAGCTTTGGTGATCTTGCGTCGTATGGCACGCATCTGGGCCTGCGAGGCATACCGCCGTTGCAGTTCTGTCATCGCCAGGTATGCGAGGGCACGTACCTGGAGCGCAGTGAGGTTGTCGTCGCCATCATCACCCTCTCCCTTGGACGAGCTCGGAGACGCTGACGACCCATCCTTACGAGCCCGTTTCCGAGGACGGTCGGAATCAGAGGCATCATGTGCGTCGCGACGCCGAGCACCGTTTGCAGCCTCCCGTTCTGGCGATAATGGGTTCGACACGACTGGCGAATTTCTAGATGGCCCAGCACGGCGTGACTGGTCCACTGCAGGTTCTACTATGCCTTGCGCCTGGAGTATCACTGGGGGTCGGAATGAGAGACTGGATCACAAGCGTCAACGAGCTCGACTACTTACCAAGAGGTTTGTATCGGATTTTGAAGATTATGTATGGCGCAGACCACTGGTCAATGTACGAGGGTACTACAAGCTCGGGAATATTCTTGTGTCGCTGTGTCGCTCCGAAGCTAAGCAATTCAGACTCAAATGTGTTATAATCACAGAGATGCACACTCACGATACACAGTGCATCCCACCTTTCTTCATTGTCTCATGAATAGGGCCAATAGCTTTTGGACCCGGACCCGGCGGAGGTGTCCAGGGCACCGCCTTCTCGATCGTTGCACGGACAACGCGTATCTCAATCAAACCGAGGCTGTCGGCGTAGCTTGACTTTCTCGGTGCATTGTCGTCATCTATGACATCAGTGAGTCAGGACGACTATCCTAACTTGTGAAGGCTCAGACCTGTTACACAGATTCTCGAGAACATCAACGGCTTGAACCCGTCACCATCGGCGCACTCCAGAGTTTCATTCTTGAATCCCGCTTTGACGCTCAACCGTCTTGGGAACTGCTGGCCATCGACAGTAGTCTGCACGGAGAAATACGTCGAGAAGTGGTTGCTACACTTGATCTCGAAAACCTCATGATATAAATTGTCCTGAGTATCATCGCATCTCGAACGTGCTGAACAGATATACCTTGTCACTTTCGCTAGCTATATAGCACTCGGCAACATTTCCCTCCACTTGGACATTGTACTCTTCGAGACGCTTGCCGTCACATGTGATGGCTATCTCACAGTCGCGGTGTCTCATTGTGAGCGAACACACATTCGTCGACAGTCAAACGAGTGGTGGTGGCAAAGTGGCGCGCGCGGCAATTGGGCTTGAGCGAATGAACTGAGTGTTTACTACCGTGACTAGTAGATGTGGATTCGAAGTGGAGGCTTGTCAATGTGTGGTGAGATTGTATGCAATTGACGGACTCACCCAGTCGGTCACTACTTACAGCCTCAGCTGGCCAGTGGATGTAGGAAAGCAAGATGCGCGCTGCTATTTCAGCTGGCGCGTTTGTCTTGCAACAATGGTACTACTACTCAGTGGCGTGGGCTCGACCTGAGCCAAAAGCGGCGTGACCCTTAGTATGTAATGGGAATTATACCGGTGGCACTGGTAGCAGGTAGCTAGGTGCCGAGTACTTGGATGCAGTGCATTGAAAGGCGTGCGTGCAGTGAATGTGTCTCAATGGAGTGTGGGAATGCGGTCGCATATGGTTACAGAGGAAGTGAGACCGCTGCGCCTGAACGCGGTGCGCCGCGGTGAACCGTGTAGAGAGTGAGAGTCACGCGACTACCTGCAGTGGTCTCGTCACGGTATCTGCATCGAGCAAGATTCACATTACTTCCTTGATATATGTACTGGAAACGCTGACACTTTGAAACAAACCATAAGACCGGATTAAGTACTCAGCCATGAGGTAAAGAAACTTCTGAGTCCATGCACATACGACCGCAAACCTCAGTCATCCGTCAGGTCTATGACACCGCCGTTGAACCCGCCTACCCGAATGGGAGACGTCTCTCTCTTGACGAATCGAGATTGGCTTCGTCGAGTCTTCCTCGATTTGGTTCGATCAAGCCGCTGTCGTAAAGCCTGTATCTGAGCCTGAAACGTGTGTTGTACGTGAGATCACGGTGAAGCATAGGCTGAGTTGCGTGAGAACGCACCTCGATCGCGTCCGCGTCGTCTGCACTCTCGTCCTCCTCGTCCTTGAACAGAGGCAACTTTTCATCCTCCTGATCGCCGCCAAGCAAAGCATCTTCTGCGGGAGAACCCGCAATCACAAAGGATGGACCAGCATCTTGACGCGGCCGTTTCTGCGGCACGTCTGGAGGAGAAGGCCTGTCTCGTCGTTTACGACGAGTCGCGTTGGGAACGTCAGGCGGGCTGGCGATGGGGCACCTCCTGCGAGTGCATTGTCGTATGGGTCAACGCGAGGCTGGTCGAGGGGAAGGGATTCTATGATGCCATGCGCTTGAAGAATCGCTGGCACAGAGTGAATATTCTCAGCGGGAAGTCATGGGAAGTGAAGCGACTCACCACGAGGTCGATAGCGGAAATTGAAAGTAATGTAGGGTGCTTGCCAATCGTCGATGCGCGAGACCCGCAAAAGCTTATTACGAGGTTTCTTGACAGGCATTGTCGCTCCGAAACTGAGGTGGTCAGAACACGATGGCAAGTATCAAATATATTGTAGCAGACTGCCGACTCACGAGACGCAATGCAAACCGCCTTTCTTAGCAGTCTCATGGATAGGCTCGAGATTCTGCGCTTTTGCAACGGTGGGAGCTGTCCATGACGTCTTCTTCTTGAATATTGAACGTACAATCTTGACCTGAATTGTACCAAGTTCACTGCCACAGGACATCTCCCTCGCAGCATCATCGTCATCTGACACGCTCATTGAGAAACACGTTGACAATGAGATGAGAATCATGCCTGTGATAGGGATGTTCGAGAACATCAATGATCTAGTCCCATTCTTGCCATCTTCGCAAGTCATTTTCCTGTCCATATTTCCTGCCTTCATGGCCATCGCCCTAGGAAACTGCTGGCCGTCGACAGCGGTCCATACGGATATATGCTCGGAGGAATGATTGTTGCACAAAACTTCGAATACCTCGTGCACATGAGTCAGTACATGTACATCGTGACGCTCATACATGGCCACATGCATGCACACACCTTGCCAGAATCGCTAGCAACGTAACAGTCTACGACATTACCCTCGATGTGGACATTGTGTTCATCTAGCACCTGGCCATCGCATTAATGAACACTTCACAGTCGCGATGTCTCATTTTGGAAACGATGTGACTTCTTCTCGACCCGGAGGAGTATGGCGACACTCAGTTCCAGGCCGTTACCATGCATGCGTAACTCCGAGTCTCGTCAATGCTGCTAAGTGGTCCAGTCAGAGGTGCAACATGATGCACATTTGTACGCATATATCTGTCGTCAACGAACTCACCGAGCTATACCAGAGCAGCTTGAGATAGATAGCAGGTGCACAAGGCATAGAGAACGATTCGCACTTTAGAGTTGAGTCCTTGTGGCGATCATGTACGAACCAAGCGCGACCCGCCACCACCGTGACCGTGTTGGCCGACAGCCACCGACGCGTAGAGCGTGACTGTCACGCGACTTGGTGAGGACGGTACCATCCACGGCCACCAGCAACTGCCTTGTGGGACTCTTCCAGCCAAGTGATGGCAGATCCAAGGATGGGTCGACGGTCGACATCAAACAGCTAGTAGCTCTGCGCGATACGATTTGAAGTATAGCATTACTTCCGTGTCACTGTACGTATATGCAATGGTCACATCACGAGAGCGCTCTCTTGTCACAGCATACATCACAGCCTCAGGAGCTCTCATGCACATGAACGGACGTCCGGTTTGAAGATCTGAAGCTTGAAGCTTGAAGTGTCGAGACCTCAATACACTTTCTGCTCTACGTCGCAACTCATTCCACCTCAAAGGCATCTTGGCTCTAGGGCACAGCACTAGGAACTGGTTGGGCCAGGGAAGGGACGGTCGACAGCTTTAGTACGAAGTGCGTGATCCTGACCTTCCCTGATGTCGAGAAGCGACTATACCCGCCTGCCTCTCCATGCGTTCTCAGAATCAACATCGCGACGACGTTCAGAGAGCGGGGGCTCTTCGCCCACGACACCGTATCACCAAGACATCCCGGATGCCCCTCCTCACGCCTGGAGGCGACGATGGTTCGCCGCGAAGCACCAGCTCCTCCGTCCACGGTCGTAATGACCATTCTTAAGTTCGTCATTCCCTGCGTGGTGCTCCTTGTCCTGGGTGGTCTGCTCGTGTGGGAGCCGCACATCGAGCTCGCGTTCTACTCGCGCGACTGGATCCAATCCGAGATCGAGCCCATCCTCCCGCTCGCAGGCTGCTTCCACCCCGACCGCGTCTCGTCGCAGTACAATCTCTCCGAGGCCTTATACGGACACAAGCAGACCGAAGTGCACGCGGGGCTCCCGCTGCGGCTCGGCATGGACTGCTACGACTTCGCCGGCACGATCCAGGGCCCGCGCCCGCTCGACGCGCTGGGCGGCGAGGAGCGCACGTACTACCACACGTACTGGCGCACGGACCTCGCCGCGTTTGGCCCGCGCCAGGAGTGGATGCTCAAGTCCTTCTTCGCGACGCAGGACACGGACCACACGACGCTCGTGCTGTGGTCGAACGGCGACCTCTCGGGCAACGCGATCCTCGCGAAGTGGCGCGAGCGGTTTCCGGAGGCGTTCGAGCTGCGGGTGGTGGACTACGGCGAGCTCGCGCGCGGGACGGAGCTGGAGGGCAGCGATCTGCTGCGCGTGAAGGACACGCGTGCGTGGATCGACGGGGACCTGGTCAGGCTGCTCGTGCTCTGGGCTTTCGGTGGCGTGTGGGTGGATATGGACTCGTTGCTCACGCGGGACCTGGCTCCGCTGCTCGAGCACGAGTTCGTGACGCAGTGGGACTGTTATGGTGCGTTGAGTCTTCTGTCTATGATGGTCGTGGGCTGAGTGTACTACAGACAAAATCTACATGCCCTTCAACGGCGCGCTCATGCGCTTCCGGCAACACTCTCCGTATCTCTGCGAGGCCTTCCACGTCATGGTGACATCTCAGCCACCACGCAAAGGGACGACCGACTGGGGCGCACTTCTGTACCTCAAGCTCTGGCGGCGGCTCGTCGCTGCTGGGGTCCCTCCATTCAAGGTGCTGCCCTTCTGCTTCTCCGACGCGCGTTCATGCAGGCTCGACAACCGACTGCCGGACCCCTTCGCGTCCGATCCGAAGAATGGGCAATGGACCTTGGGGCTAGGGCGAGAAGAGGGCGGCGGGCTGGACAAAGCACTGGGGCGCATTTTCTCGGTACACCTACATAATCAGTGGGAGAAGGCGTACCCCGCTGGTGGGTGGGTGGAACGACTACTTCTCCGGCGATACGAGGAGGCGCTCTCGTGGAGCCGGAAGTCCGATGACTTGTAAAACGTACTAATTCGCTGGATAGAGGGACTATGCTCGGGTGTAACTTATATGCCACCGTTGGCATTACTGTAGGTCGCTGGTAACTCTGTGCTCTCGCGGATTGTGCAGTGCTCGGGTAGAGGCAAGCACAAATCTGAACCCATGTACGCTCAAGAACAAACATCCGATGGGGCCTCTTGCCCGCCACCTAGCAGTCCGATTTGTCCGTTATCTGGTCAGCCAGACGAGCGTTGGGATCCCGAGCTGGGGTTCACAAGTGCCTTCTCTAGCTCACGCCAGCTACGCACGCATAGATTCCGCCTACTCCGGCGGGGGCGGCGTATTCAGGTGTGTTGGCGGGAAACCACCATGGATCAGCTGAACGCGTCGCCGCAGAAACTGAACAATTAAACATATCTCGATGGCAGCGAGGAGGGATCGGTAGCAGATTTGTTGCGCAGGTGGGTATGGAACGTACGTTCGACGCCGTTGGGCAATGGCATTGGGCGTCGACGACGTCGAGTACCAAGTGCTTAAGTTGGGCCATATCGAATGATTGAGTGGCGAAGTCCTTTGACCCGAACTCTCACCTTCCTCGCCACTCCGCGCCTCGATCGGACGGATATCTGCACGCTTGTGAGTCGATTCGCGACATTCAGCTGTAGTAACGTTCTGAAAATTGTCGATCTCGAATAGCCCGAAAAACAACACAACTACGCTCTCAGTCGCTCAGGCACCACTCGGATTATGTTGATGTCCAAGGAGCAACCTCTGGAAATTAAGATCGTATCTGAGGGTGTGCCGTTGCAAGAATTTCAACATATTCGGTACCAGAGAATCATCCAGAGGGAGGATGGATCCACTGGCAAGAGAGGTTCCCGGGCCAAGAGAGGCTCAGGCTCCCGCCACTCCGAGTCTCCGGCTATCTAAGTCACTTCTTGTGTTGTACCGAGCCAAACTGGCCAAGGTAAGTAATGCGGTAGCTTTGCTGTGAACGTGCTAGTGCTAAATACTCATACATTAATGCTTTTGCATATAGAGTTTGACTTTGAGATCTCCAATGAGACTGGCAAAAAACTAGGCATCCTTGTTTATGTAGATGGGAAGCCTCTGCAACCTGAACTCTACACAATCACATTACCCCATGGTGGAACTGTAAAGTCAGACATGTTCAATGTCAAGAAACTCACCTTCCAACTTGTGAAAGAAAGAGGTACTTGATTTACCCAATCATATGTGATTTGACATTCAGTCTTGTGTTACAGATGATGCCAATGACATTGACCTGATGGACTTGGGCACTATTGAATTCCATATCCTGAGAGTGAAGGGTAGAGGTTCAAAGAAACAGAAAATGATATCTGGACATGCTGTGGCTACTCCTCACTTTGAGGAACAGGTCTCCATTCCTGAAGATGCACAAAAAGGTCGGATGCACACAACCAGGTGAGTTGGGCCACTTTTAGATGTTGTGTGTAGTCTTTGAACTGTATGTAGTGTTGAATGGAGTGAAGACCCTACTAGCATTGATGACCATGTGACTTGGAAGGATGATGAAGAGTGTCCTTGGTGGATCTATAGATTCATGTATAAGCCACATAGTGAGCATATCTTTTGCATGAGCATGACTTTAGGACATTGACTGCCTGAAAGCCTATCTACAGGCCATTGGAATCATTCCACACCCAGAACATGGGGAAAGTGAGGCTGATTTGTTGGCTCACATGAAGGAAAAGGAGGTAAGCACAAAGATTACAGTTTTAACTTTTTCTGAGTATAGGTTAAGCTGACATGAGTCATTGTATATAGGCTCAAGCCAAGGAGGCCCAAGAAATCCTACAGATAAGACAGATGGAACTGTCCGACATCCAAGCTAAGCTTGCTGAGAAGAAACGGACACGCATGCGTGAGGAAGGTGAAGGTCCAAACAAGAGGATGAAGTCACTCTCGCCAATTCATGCTGAGCCCTACCATGGCGATGTCATAGATCTGACGATGGATTGACTGTGCGTGGAAGTAGAATAGCACAGATAGTCAGTACAACATTACATATGCCGCACACATTCTATTATTTCTCATGACATTGACCGCCTCGGATAAGTATACGACGAATGTGATCATGTCTATGGTAATCGGATGGAGCAGCCTGAAACGCACATGGGTAAGCAGAACCCGGGTGCACGTAATGGGAACAAAACCATAACGACAACCCTTTCGGACGTCGTGCACGACGTTGCTGCTAGCGAAGCCGTTGAAAGGGCTCCTAACAGTAATTAGTGGATGTAACGCGGCAAGTAAGGGGCGTCGCGCGGTGGACGGGTCAACAGCCTGTGACATGACTGTTACGACCCGACTTCCCGTGAGTGGTCAATCCTGCAACGACTGACTAACAACGCGCGTGAGTTCCCAAAACCCGGTGTGAATGGAGCGTACGACACGGCCGCAGGGCACTGGACAAGGGTGTCGACGACGAGCGCAGTGACGTCGACGGCGTTTGCCCGATGGATTCGTGCCGCGACAGTCGGATTGCATATTCCCCAAGACGGCGTCAGTCGTAAAGTAGTTCATCACCGGACGACCGCATAACAGCTATGATAGCGCCAGGTCCAGACGCAGAGGTATCCTGGTATACTCCGGCGCCCTGACTGTCACTGGCAACACATAAGACATCAATCCCAGTAAAGACGATCATAGAACGTACCGACGGGGCTTATCAACGCTCAGACGACGGCTCAGGGACCGTCGACCACTCGTAAGAACGAACGGGCAGCCAGGGCGCGGCTTGTTGAGCGATATGAATGAGACGTCTGGTGATCGAAACTCACTCGCGAGACGTCTTACTGTGAACTAGTTGCATTGGCTCCATTTTGCAGATCGTCGTTCGGCGGCCATGTATAATCGTGGATTGCGATTACAAGCATGAGCGGACCGTGCACCGAGGGGACGTCCGCGGTCGACTCGGGTCCCCAACGTCAAGGTAGTTGACTGATTGACATTCACGAACACACTATGGGGCGCTTACCATCACTTGTTCACCATCAGCTCATCCAATTGACCTCACGGGCTCGTCCGGGACGCCTTGAGAGCGAACGGGCATTGGTCGTCACGTCTTGTACTCAAGACGCGAGAGAAAGAGACAGGGAAGGACAGCGAATCAAAGCGGACTCAGCGGGCTATGGGTCCCAGGTAGCAGGCGGAGGTGCACGACGAGAAGTCCCCACAAGAGGAATGGCCCACGCACTCTCAGGCTACAGCGCGACACCGGGCATGACGGAACACCCGCTGTACACAGGACCGTCAGGGACTGACGATGTGCCAGAGAACGGGCACTGACCTATCCGCGATGCAAGCTCAACTCCTTCCCCTGCTGATTGGTCTAGGCCAGCGCAGCCGCCTCCACCAGTACGAATGAGCATGAGGTAGACAAGCACAGTGCACGCACCACGGCTTGGAAACCCCGTCCAGCGCCTTCGCGCGCACGCTCGTCCTGCGTCGACTCAGAACACGCCGCCGATGGCCGCCAGTGACGATCGAAGGATCAGCCCCAAGTCGTGCCCTCACTCACGCGCGGCTGCGAGAGAATAACTGTTATTTAAACTGTAATATACGTTGCCTATTTTCACAGTGAGAGCAAGACGGAGGGCTAGCAGGACTGAGTACAGATGGCGGAACGAACGGGGAGGGAGGTGGAGAAGGGATGTGGATGAACGACGGCGACGCAGGTGGCATTGCGGGTGTTGAAGTGCTCGGGGCGGACAGCGGAGGGGTGGACACGGGCTGGCTAGCCGTCGGACGACCTGCACCTGACGAGGGAGAAATGAGATTCTATCAGGATACTGCAACAATGTCCGGGTTGAGCCAATAGATAGGTAGAATGGAGTAGTACAGACGCAGACACAGGCGGAGAGTCAGGATCGTACACAGGATAATCGTGCAGAATAGGGGGTGCGATAGCGTATAAAACGGTGCTATGCAGTTGAGTCCATGGGCATGCGTGTGGGTCCTCCCGTTTGTTTTTGCCGCCACACACGCCGCTCCCGTTGCTGGCCAGCCAGGCCAAGCACGACACATCGCCGCTCCACACAGCACGGCGTCCAGCGTAGACCGTCCGCGGTGTGTTCTCCAATCTCCCATCCTTCCGCCGCATCCATCCACACCTCTGCCCACGCACGACCAGCCACCAAAACCGAAAATGACCAATGAGAGACGGTAAACGGAAAGAGCGTATGTGACGAGCCCGACCAAGGAGAGAAGGATGTACTGACAGGGTGTCCCTCAGCCCATCTTGCTCGCGTCCTTCTTCTTCTGTTTGCGCGGTGGCGTAACCGGCCGCCCCATATTCACACCACCGTACGGGTACTTTGCCTTCTTCTCGGCCGGCTTCAGAATCTATTTTATACCGCCGCGGTGAGTCAGGGTGAGTCAGGGTTGCGCCATTGACTGAATGTCGAGATGACGCACCTGGAACGAACACAGAAGCGTCTCGTCCACACTCATCATCGCTCCTGCGTTGTCGAACTCGCCGCAATAGTTAGGCGCCGAGAAAAGGGTCACCAGATGTCGCTTCGCAAAGAACTCATAGCCATCTTCGACGACCTGGAACGTATCGATGCCGTCAGCAACGTGTGGTGACCCCACCGGACATACCCAAGAAGTAGTAGATGTACCTGATGTGCGCGGCATATGAGATCCATATCGTGCTTCTGCAGGAATCTGGACACGACGTCGGGCCCGAACGTGAACGACACTCCTCGATCGTTCTCTGACCACCCTGTGATGTCCTTGTCTGGGTCTGACCAGAGGAGATCGCAGAGTAAACCTGTAGCGATGCGTTAGAGATGAACCTATGAGCAGAGAATACCACGTACCCGTATCCGGGACGTCCGTGGGCCTCATCACTCTCCGAATCTGCTCCATCGACTGGAGGTCGGGTGATAGACCACCGTGCATTGTGAAAATCTTCTCGTCAATAATGGCGGCGATGGGTAGGCAGTTAAAGCAGTCGGTGAACGTTTTCCAGAGCTTGATGTTGTATCTGCGCTTGCCTAGGACCCGCGCGGATGTGGTAAGCGCACGACGGAAATACAACCACTACTCTGACTCACATTCGTCGTAGAAACCATAAATCCTGTTGATGCTCGCACATTCATGGTTGCCCCTCAGTACAAAGAAGTTCTCCGGGTACTTGATCTTGTACGCCAACAACAGACAGATGGTCTCCAACGACTGCTTGCCACGATCGACGTAATCGCCCAGAAATAGATAATTTGCCTCTGGTGGGAATCCGCCGTACTCGAAGAGCCGCAGGAGGTCGTAGTACTGCCCGTGGATGTCACCTTGGTTGCGGAGGGGGCTACACGTCAACCCGGAAGGCAAGCGAAGAAAGGGCTGAGACGCACCGCATATCTTGATGGGAGCTTCGAGCTCGAGGAGGATGGGCTGATTAATGAAGATCTCGCGTGCTTTTGTGCACAGATACTTTATTTCGTACTCTGCAAGCTGCACAGGCTTCCCGGGACGATTTCCGCGCACTGCCGAACGGCGCTCGCTGCGTCAGACACTCCTGCGCTCCCGCAACCCACTACTCACCTTCCAAAAGCCTGTCAATGACCGAATCGAGGTCAATCTCGGTGCTAGAATCCGCCATGGCTTGACAAAGTCAGAGAGATGGTCGTGGAATCGGTCGTGAGCGTGGGCGTTCCTGGTCGTGAACGAGAGCGTTTTGGGCGGCTTTGCGAACGGGGTCTTGTGAGGACGCACAAGCGACCTCGCGGCGAGAATGTGCGCGACGACGACTGCAACGCCGGAAAATGCGAAATTTGAGAGTGGAAGTGGGTGATAACGACCGTCGGATGATGGTCAGCGCGCCACCGCGCATGGGCGGAGTGCGCAGCGGACTATGAATTCCCTTCTTGCTCTGTCGGCGTGTTCTAGACTCCGCTCCTCCTACGACTGGCTGGCCCGCTGTGCCCGCTGGGCTGCAGCGTGCAGCGTACCCGTATGCATTGTTCTACAACTTCGCCATTGCCCCGATCATCCGATTCGAAGGCAGAGAGCCTCGCATCTGTGCGCGAACCGGTACTCAAAATCAAGCGAGTCACCTCGGATAGATCTTTCATTCAGTCACAATAAACGTGGTTAGGTGGCCTGTATCATGACGCGAGACTGTTCTCAGTTGCGCGATGCTACAACTCGACCTGAATCGACCTCACTGAATTGGAAGCTGGGCAGCAGCGAGCCCCGGCTTCGGCCTGCGCACCGACGCTGTGGGCACCACGGGCGCCTACCATCCTCCGCTCAGCCTCCACCGTCATGGCGAACTTGCTGCCCATCCTCTCTCATTGTCGTCGAACGTTGTTCAACCGTCTGATCTCCACGACGGCAGCGCGTTCAGCCGATCCATGGCTGCTACCGAACACACCTGAACACGTCGCACAGACAACATCGCCCGCCAATGCACCGCCGCCAGAACCCCTCCCGCGCCAGGGCGAGTCGGTCGACACGATGCGTGCGCGGTTGGTGTACCAGGCGCGCAAACGAGGCACGCTGGAGAGCGACCTGGTGCTGAGCACATTTGCAAAGGAACAGCTGGGCAGTATGGATGAGGCGGAACTGCGCGAATTTGACAAGGTGTGTCCCCTGACTTGTGCCCCGATACCCGTCTGGCTGACTGGGGTGCCGGCTGTGTCTCCACAGCTGATGGACGAGCCTGACTGGGACATCTACTACTGGGCTGCGGGAAAGAAGACTCCGCCGGAGCGGTGGGCGGACTCGACTTTACTGGAGAAGCTGCGCATCCACGTCCGTAATGAGGGCAAGGTCGTCAGGCGCATGCCAAATTTGTAACTTGAGTCGACTACTCGTTGCACCCACAAGATGCTCAGGAAAGCAAGGAGTTACATAGTAGCGACGATAATGTCATCCGTTTTCCGAGAGACGTAGGGGCTTCCTGCAACAGTGGCGATTGACAGAACCTGCAGAGCCCTCGCGGCGACTCGCATGCAACAATTCGATGTTGCTGCGCCGTGCAGTACATACATACGACTATGCTCTGCGACAGTACAGTAACGCAGCGTTCAGGGAGTCGTTGACAGGTAAGTCTCACCGCCTTGGACTGTTCGCTTCGGTTTTCAGCTAATGCCAGCTCTGTCATTTGGCTCCAGGTTCCGAACGTGGCCAGTGTGTAGAGTTTAAGACAAGTGAGATGCGCAGCGTCGACCATGTCTACTCACCGTTCCCACACCAATTCGTTGGGGGGCTTCTGGCAAGTCGACTGTGCTTCTTCCACCATGCACGTTCTTCAGTCTTCACAAGTATGTCGAAATCGCAAGTGCGTTCACTTCTGCTTTTGATGCACCGCTTCCCCTTGATGCGTATGATTGCTTCGCTCCTCCGGTAGTTGTCCGACGGCGAGCCAGCCCTTGTCCGGTCCTTCGTTGTCCGTGGCGAGCACCCGCATTACTACGCACGCTGCCGTCGTGCACCCACATCCTTCGCCCGCCTCCCTTCCATCCCGCCATCTGTACTCAACCCTGATAGATTCTCCGTCTTGTTCTCACTGTGAAATTAGGCCCACGTATATCACAGATTCAATACCATTTTTCTCTCGTCGCCGTCTCAGTGACTGCCGCGCGATCTTGGGCGTACGGGCTTATCCTTCGATCGCCACTGGCGACCTCCAGACGTTCGGCGGCGGCGTACTCAATGAAGCCATTGCGCCATGAGGGTGCGCGCGTAGTATTGAACGCTGTACATGACGTGGTGCGTTCTCTGCGCTTGTCTGCTTTATTGATATGTATAGCTAACGGAGCCAGCAACACTACCGCAGCAATTGACCGCGAACGGAGTCGAGCTGGCGTAGTTCAGCTTCGTGCAGAACCTGTGAAATAGTTCGTTCGCTATCTCTGGACACTCAGGCTGATACTCCGCTACATAGTGGAAGGTTTGTCGTGGCACAACAGCCGAACAGTGCGCCTGCCCGTCGTCCTCATACCTGCCACATGTTGACTCGTACCCCAGTGCCCTGTTCTTCCTGTCGCGTGCGGCTGAAGTACGAGGCAAAATAGCCCTCGACGCCCGGAAGTGTGGTAAGTGTTCCATACTGCGTGTAGGACATCCCGCAACCTCCCTTTGACAGTAGGGACGCGCGTCCGCGCGTAAAATAAACCCTCGCTGCACCTTGGTACTGCTACGCCGTGCAGTATGACGTCGCTCTGCGGATCACAGTGCGAAATGGCCATGCCTGTCGCCACTTAGTGGCCACTGTTGGCCCGTCAGGAGACTGTCAATAGGTTAGTCCTCGCCGTGTCGAATGTTCCCTTGATCTGACAAGCGGCTCAGACTGCGTCTCAGACTTAACGACGACACATTCCGTCCAGTCTTCGAACGGTGTTATGCAATTGCAACATGGATATCATTCTCCGTCAGTCTTCCGTAAGATCAATGCAAGTCCCGTGGTAAAGAGCGGCATGAATGGGGGAACCTGCCCGTTTGAGCCTTTTGTTAGGCCCTTCGTTGGCTTCGTATGCCCGTTTTCCGTTGGCCCTCCTATCAGCCAATGCCCTTTCCATCCTTTCCAGATCTTCCCGTCTCTCTCTCACTTGGGCCTAGTCCCCTAGTATCAATGACACTGAATAAGTGTAACTCGTCTGCTTACCTCAAGCTGTTGTAGGTCTTGTATGTCATCCTTGTCATCCTCTGCATCTGCATCCATAAATTGATTATCACCCTCCAGCCTGTCATCATCTACTGCAGCTTCATCCTTGTCAGACTGTGAGCTTGCTTCATGGTCTTGATCCTCCTCTGGTTGCTCCTGTGGAATGATTCCCTTGGCCTGCAGATATGCTTAAGTTTGGACTTAGCAACAAAACTGTCACTGATGCATGATAAGACTTACTAGTTGGTCTATACAAGAATTTGTATATATAATGTGGGTCATCTAGATCATCCCATAGTTCAACACCAGCAGGTCCATTTGTTGAGACATGTGGCTTGAATTTGACACTGGTTAGGCATATGAGTGAGAATGTGGTGTATAAAATCAATGACAACTCACTCAACAGAGTGCATCCACCCCTTCTTTGAGTCCTCAGTGATAGGCTTAGGAGCTGCATACCAATCAAAGTCATCAGGAACACCATCTTCCTCATCATCAGATGAGGAATCTGAATCATCTGAATCCTCTCCAGCCCTATAAATATGAAACTCAATGGTACCTAGGGCACTTAAGTCTGGCCCTTCAAGGCCAACAGGTTCATCTTGAATGCCATACATTAGCATGCTCACAACTGTTTTGGAGTGCATTGCATACCTATCACTTCCATTTCTTGGAACAAGAGTCTCTCAAAGTGGAAGAGCTGTGAGCCAAGTATGTTCCTAGCCCCTCCATAGATTGAGACAAAACTGTCATCCTGTTGGATGGGCATGCCATCAATGTAGCAACAGATGCCTGCTGTTATGTTCATGAAGTTTGTTATTTTGAAATCAAACACTATCATGCACATGTTAACAAATTCTCACTATGCAGACACACAACAACACTGAAACAACTTACTCTTCCCAACCTCACTTGGGATTATGCATGTTATAATTTTTTCATCCTCCCAGATTTGTTGATATTCTTCTAGGAGGTGCCCCTCGGATGCGATCCTAATTTCCACGCCTCGACGCTGGGATCGCATGGTCCCAACGGAAGTTGTACAATCTATCGCGCATCCGGAACTTTCTTTAGCTTGGCTGCACCTCTATTGGTGTGTCGCTCACAGAAGTGGCACCTCACGAAAGAAAGAGCCTGGTACGAAGTAGACTGCTAATGGAAGCATTTTAGCCTAACTCGCACAGCATACATGTACAGAGAATATTCGACGCGTACCTGTACGATGCCTGTTGTCTGCTGTATGAAGAGGACGATGTCGACGTCGATGCTGCCGGGATGCTGCTGTGGCGTCGGAGTCGCCGTCTGTGGAGGAGACCGGCGTGACCGGAGCCACCGCGTCAGCGAGCATTAGACGCCAGAAGGCATGATGCGGCCGCCAACGTCCAGCCTGCGGTTCCGACCTGTCTCTATCCCTCTTTCCGGGTCGTTATGCAGTTTTACAAGCTGTCTGAACCATCACTATAGCCGACGACACCGTTATGCGTCGTGGAACAGCGCGGTCGAAATACGGGCGTACCACAATCAAACGCCTGTCCACGACCCGTTAAAAATACTTTACCTCGGACGCGACGAGTTCTCTTGCTTGGTGCTTGAAGAACTACACAAAGCACAAGGTGCGCTTCTATCTTGCAAGCGTGTCGAATGGACGTAACACGGAAGGACAGATGTGTGGCAGGAGCTGGTGGTTGTGACGACCCCGGACGCAAAAGTCGGCAGGCGAGGCTCGAAATTGACTGTTTGTGAGTCCATACCGTGATACCGTAACCCTCTGTTCGATTCCTGTGGGCTGTAATGCATATTTCCACAACTTTTGTGCTGCGCGTGCCACTCTTGTTTTTCCGTTGACGGCGCTGAGACACCAAGGCTGACGATGTGCAGCGCCTTAAAGACCCTGGGGCAACACCTCAGCCTACCCGTGCACTTCGTCCCGCCAGGGAAGGGTAAAGACGTCTTGAAGACATGGCAGGTAAGTGTTTCGCAAACAACGTTCTTCTCTGCTTACGTTCGTCCACATAGCTACCGCCACCATTCCCCGAGCCAGGCTCCGCCCCGCCTCTCTCACACATCATCATCACTGCCTCTTTCGGGCGCATCCTCCCCAACTCCGTGCTTAACCTCTTCCTACCGAACAGGCGTCTCAACGTGCACCCGTCCTTGCTGCCGGCATATCGCGGGGCCGCACCCATCCAGCACGTTCTCCTGGATGAACAGAAAGAGACTGGTGTGTGCGTTATTGAGATGATGGAACGCGTGAAGGGGATCGATGCGGGTGCGATCTGGGGGCAGGAGCGAGTTGTAAGTGGTGAGATATGCCAAAACGTACCGAAGCTGACAGTTTCGGCGCAGGCTATTCCCGAAGGGGCAGATTACGCTGACCTTCGTGATGTGTCGGCTCAAACAGGTGGCAAACTCTTGGTCTCCGTTCTTCGTGACATGCTGTCTGGCAGAGTCAGCATTTCCGGCCGCAGTCCCATCTGTCGTAGAACTTACGCGTATCTCCTCTTTCTAGGCAACGTCTCAGCCACAAGCAGAGAATCCCGCAGCTCCTCGGGCACCTCTTATCACCACTGCCGACGCGGTCATTGACTTCGAGACCATGACCGCGGAGCAGATCACGCGACGTTCGCGTGCGTTCTCGCATCAGGTATCTCGTCCCTCTCGCTCCCTTCTACACCATTAACACGTGTGGTGCCCTTGCAGAAACCCCTCGTAACTCTCTCAAGTCCGAGCGAACCCTCCAGCTGCACTCTCCTACAGTTCATGTTGACTCGACAGACGTGCTGGCGCAATTGCCTGCTCCTGGGACGGCTGTCTACGACCGAACAGTGAACTCTCTTCTCGTGCGCTGCGCTTCCGATACGGTTCTCAGCGTACCGCAGGTATGACTGAATGGGCGAAAGTTGGCAGGAGATGGCGTTGACGTTCTTCGCTCGGCAGGTGAAACAGCAAGATCGCACGCTGCTGAAGGCGAAGGACTGGTGGAACGGGGTGCGCCCCGAGTTGCGGTTGACCGGCGGTGATGAAGGGCCAGTCCAGTTCCTGCGTCCCGCACTGACTGAGCCATGAGCTTAGTCATGCTCCTGTACCATGAGTCGGGTGCTCAGCGAGCGACGAAACGATCTAAAGAGAGCTTCATTGAGTAAACCTTGCACAGAGACATCCTATGGCTAAACTTCCGCTGTCCGAACGTACAATGAAACCAGAGATCGAGCGATACGCGCAGGATACGCGTACGAGACTATCTATCCATCGGGTTGACTTTGAACCATCATAACATCATAGCGTTCCGACCAAGATTCTGACGCACCGAGAGCCGGCGCGTACCTCATTTCACCTCGTTCTTGCCTCGTTCCGCAAGCCCGATCGTGTTTCGCGTTAGATCACCGTCTGTCTCGTAATGGCGCCTCACGCGAGGTTCAAGCGGTGTCTATGCTCGCCCGCTTGGACCGCCATGTGCCCACGTCCTTCCACCCGGTGAGCAGCGACTGCACGCGCTTGATCGACACGCGGCTGGGTAGCACGATCTCCCCCAGATCATGCAGCTCCTGCGTAACCGGCGAGATCTCCGGCGACTTCGGGACCTCCTCGACCTCTGACGGCGCGCTGGCTGGATGGTCACCGTCGCTATGAGCTTGCTCGGCTGTCCCGTCAGGGCTACCGAGCAGGTATGCGCTGTCTTGATACTCGTGGAAGGACGGTGGAGGGGAGATGCCAGCCATCTCGTGTCCGTACGAGGTGGAGTAGGTCGAGGCCGGACTGTCAGGCCGGCGTGTTGCCGCTTCCACGACTACCTTCTCGGTCCTCGCAGCAGTCTTCATGGAGACTCGGAGAGGCGCAGATTGCGTCGTACGGGGTGTCTTGTACAACACTGCGCTCGTGTCCAAGTCCTGTACGATTGGGACAGACTGCACAGAACCGCCACCGGTCGGCATAAGCGCGATGTCTTCGGGACCTGAGATCCACGTCTTCATGATCCCATCCGGGGCCGTCGCACCCTTGGTCAGGATCGTTGCACTATCCAGCGCCCCGGATATCAGGACGTCTGCCACTGTCCACTCGCAGCCCCAAGTATCGTCTTTCCTCCCGGGCCCTTCCCTCGGCGTGAGGCGTGCGAGCGCACAGTCAAGGGCCTTCCCGAAGGTGGTCGGGTGCATGATGAACGACCGGACGTTCTCTGGCGCATCTGCTTCTCTCTTCGCATCGGTCGAGAGAGACGTCGCGCACATGAAGGCAGCGATGAAGGCCTCCATGCTGTCGACGAGCCTCGCGCTCGCCTGTGGGTATCGAGCGGACTCCGCGGGCAGAAGATGGATGATCTGCGGCGACGCCGCCGAGGAGAGCGGCCGCATCGTGCTGGCCTTCGACGTGAGCAGCGCTTCAATGTGCGTGTGAGGCGTATCTCCAGAGGAGCGTTTCTCCCGCTTAGCATTCGTAGAGACGCCAAAGACAGACCTCGCTTTCGCAAAGACGCCTCGCGAAAAGAGGATGTAGCAGCTGATGGTTTGAAGAATGACCGGCCGATGGTGGTGACGTAGATAGTGTGGCGAAGCAGGACGTTGTCTGGTAGCTGGTTCGGGAGGAAATTGACCAAGACGTCAAAGGGGCGCTTTCCGTCCGTGATCGTTGCTGAGGGCGAATCGACTGGCATGGAGTGCCTGCGGGCGGAATGGCGACCAACACGCAAGACGTTCAGTGCAGTGCGCCTGCCCGACGGTAACATCCCGTCGTCGTCGTTCTCCGCCAGCTCGTAGATGCCCGAGCCGCCGTACTTCCGCCAATCGCACGCAACATGCTCGGCCCAAAGCATGACATCGGCGAGGCGCGTCGTATCCGTGTTCTCCGCAGAGAGGGGTCTCGAAAGGTGCAGGATCCGCAAAGCTGGAATAACGAGGTTGGGTATCTCGGGAGGCTCGTGGGTGGCAATGATCACCAGCGAATGAGCGTAGTGTCCGGACAGCAGTATGGGACAGAGGTCCTTGTACGTCGGTGCTGTTGAGTCGGTGAGTGAGCATTCGTAGAGCCACTCTCAATCGAGCGGCATGAGAAGGAAGGTCTTACCGCCCAGCACGAGAATGACATAGCAGCGAGGAAACGACGTCACGGATAGCAGGGTGTCCATCTTGAGAACCCAGGTGTTACGATGCGCGAGTAGCTTGCTAGGGAGGGGTATGAGGCCGAGGTGGGCGCGTCGCTCACCACCTACCGGTCCATCCTTGTGGCCGTCGTCAGATGGCACGGGAATCCTAGCACGCATGGTCAGCAGCAAGAACTGGAAGGCTAGTGAGATAAGAAAAGATAGTCCAGGTCATATATACTCACAGTAAGACCGCACTGGAAGCGTTGCAATGATAGTCGGCACGAAGTCGTGTTCGCTTGTCGCGCTCGCTCTCGGCGGGCAATTCAGCGTCGTTAAAGGGGGGCCGAGTGTGTTGAATAGCCCGTGCGACCGACTAAGGCTATTACCGCGCGACTAGCAGACACTGACTTTTCAGGCGAGTGATAGAAGATAAGGGAAGACGTATCTGTCCCTTGCTAACACCAATGTCAGGAAGCGAAGCGAATATCCGTACATGACATTGTGGAAGTAGCATAGAGCGCGATACGAACAGTGGTGTTTCAACTGTTGACGCACTGAGACTTCCAAAGACAGTGACCTAGTATGACGGCGCAACATTCCTACGGCGCGTCGAGCGCTGTAGTAAGGTACATGGCAAAGGATACGCGGGCAGGTTCGAGCCAAGCATTCACCAGTGGAAAGAATATTATGTGCGCACCCAAGCATGCATTGAGAGGTCTCCGTCCGAGTCCTAATAGTCAGTCTGTGTTGCACAAACGGGTTTTCCTGGACTCAGCTGTCAGTAGAGCTTCTGGCCCAGAACTTGAACGAACTCGAGCGTGCTACACCGTGAGCCTATCGTTGCCCGTCACCTCGGTTGCCGTCCTAGAGCCATCATCGGACTTGCTCTCGCGCACTCAAAGTTCTTAGGACCCAGGTAGTGAAAGGAAGAGGGTGACCGGAAGCTAGCAAGCCTCAGACTGTCACGGTGTGAAGTAAGTATACTGCTTGATGTACTACTGCAGTGCTTGCACCTTGACTCTGAGGCGCCCGAACACGATCACGTGGCTCCGACTGGCCTTCGTTCGTTTGCACGCCGGCGGGGAGCCTTTGAGTCGACTGCGGGGTTCGGAGGCTCAATGTAAGGATACTTACAGGATTACGGCTCGATGTAGTTTCCTGTTCGACCTCGGATACGCTTAGATTCATAACTCCGAGTCGATCCGGCCCATGCATGTTGGTCAAGTCGGGCAGTGCGACTCCGAGTCGCGCGGAGCTCCGATGCCACTACTTATCGCCTAGCCAGGGGAGATCAAGCTCGACGCAGTCACGCACCAATGCTGACGTCCAAATGGTAATGACTTGGACACTTGTCTCATGCACTGGCTCGTAGCCTATCGGCCATTTCACATTTGATTCGAACCTCCACGTATGCACGTTCAGTCTCAGACTTGACTCTCGTTGCCGCACACTGCGTCTTGCGCTCTATACGACATGATACTGCTACAATCTCAGAATCTCGTCTGTTCCAGCAAGATAACTGTATGAAATTAACGAAGAGACGTAGATATTTTGAGTCCATTCACTAGCACAACGAACATGCTCTAATCTATCATCGCATCGCATCTGCCTCCTCCTCAAAGGTAATTGCTTGTTCCAAATACATGGCTGCGATTCTCCTGCACCACTCCGACTCTATCATTGCATCTGCCTCCTGCGGGTCAGAGGCGTTTGCTTGTTCCAGGTACTTGGCTGCCTCTCTCCTGCGCCGCTCCGCCTTCTTCAGCACCGCTGCCTTTTGACTGTGCAGCGGCGTAAATTTCAACCCCTGCTTGGTCCGGTCTGCGCTGTTGCCCGACGCAGCCTTCGGCGCCGATACTTTCGACCTCTTAGAGCTCTCCGGCTCCTGAGCAGACGACCGACGTCGCTTGCGCCCAGATGGGACCTCGCTACCGCCGGAAGCGAGCGGGGGAGCAGCGCCCGTATCCAATGTGGTCGGTTGTACCTTCCGCTGCTTACGCGGCCGTCGCGCCGCGGAATGAGACAGAGAGCACACCGAATCGTAGTTTACTGTCTTGACGGCCCGGACGGCCAGTTCCAACACACCCAGGCTCTCCTTTGGCGCGGACGCACTGAGGGTCGGCATCAGGGCGTCGTTCGTTCCGACGGCCTGCATCGGTGGTGGAACGAAGTCTTGGTAGGCGCACGCCATGTCGAGGGCAGCCTGCATCGCGGGATTGGGGGGGAACTCGAGGTCGGACGGAGGAGTAAGGGGCCGCGAGTTCATGCCGTATAGGCCATCCAAGATGGCTTCCACTTCGTCCTCCGTGATCGGGGGCATCGCAAGTCCATCTAGCGCGACATTCGCTTCCTGAGCGAACTTCAAGTCGTCACAGAGCGGTCGCTTCAACATATGGGCGCTACGAACAAAGGATTTGACTCACAATTCGTCATAACTTTGTTGATAGGCGCAATGTTCAGCGTCGACGGAGTAGAGCTTGTCGAATCCGTTACGCGGGTCGTTGATGAGCGAAAACGAGTCCGACGGCTATGTGCACGCGACCAGTCAGATCGCGCTCGGGCGGTATTGCGCGTAAGATGTGCAACATACCTGGTAGCCGGGTAGGGTGCCCTCTGGATAGTAACCCATGAAGGACCCCGGGACGAAGTCTGGCTGAAGTACTTGATCGATAACCTGTCCGGAGAATCCAGCGAGGACATCGTAGTCTTCTTGAGGGTCGTTCCAGAGTTGATTCGGGTTGAAGATGAAAGGTTGTGTGAACGCGGACTCATCGCCGAAGAAGAAAGGATTCATTGCGGTGTAGTGTAATGAACCTGAGGTGGATGGAGTTGGTTTCGACGAGAGGGGGGCTGTAGCTGAGCGTGGTGCCGAGTGATAAGTTGAGGAGCGTCCACAGTTTGTCTGCGCCGTCCTTTATACCTCTACGTCGTCCCGCGTGAGGTAGGGAAACACGAGGTGCTGACGAGGGCGCGCGGAGGCGCCCTGATCCTTCGCCGCGCACAGGCATTGTGCGCGGCTCTGGCTCATTGGCTCGATGGCGGATCTCAGGAATTTCGATGTTACCGACACGACGCAGCAGAAGGACGACCGTATGCGGAAGGGCTGGAATGAATGTGATAGCGGTGGGGTCCACCATGAGGCAGCGACCGTGAACGGGGGAAGGGATCAAACGGTTGAGTCGAGATTGTCCATTGACGCGCAGTGACTGTGACCAATCTGGGTAGGAGATGTTTGGCGCCGTAAGCCCTTCGTAAATGTTGGCTGTGACCGTTCCTTCAGTCCTAGGGTGGCTAGACAGGGTTCAGACCCGCCTCGCGCGGCAGGTTGAGCGTGGGATTTACCGTTGGGCCACGGTTTCAACAACATGCGCGTGATGTCCAGATAGGGCGGGAAGACTAGAAATTGCACCTCTGGAGCTTCCATTGTCGTCGCTGGAAGGGATCCCTGCCGGATTGGGACGGCGCAACCACGACGATTGCATTGTGCGGCAGCTCCGGTGCACAGCCGTCGCCACTCATCAAAAAGAACATGCGGAGCCTTTCATTTCGCTTGCAAGTTGGTCCACGGGCGAGCGCGAGGTTGATGGGCCCGCATTTCCCCGAGGGCCTGAGGCGTGGTTCTTGGTCAGGTCCCGAGATGCGAATCTACTAGCTACGCAAAAAGAGTCAGCATTTTGGGTACCAGAAATATTACCTACCCATTTTTCGCAGCCATGGCGATGCCTATGCTTCTGTGAAGAGCGGCGCAGTCAGAAGAACTCGGTGCAAGCTGGGAGGAGAGCTGGTACCGCCTCCGTCATGCGTGAAGTAGCACCGAGGCGGGACCCCCGGCGGTCTCGCCCAGTAAGCCTCCGCCCAAGTTGGACACTGCTCTCATCGGCGGTGCATGAGTCTGTAGCGCCAGGATGATCGCACGCCCGACATTGCTGGACGGCGGCCGGCGAAGAGGTTTCAGGCTTCGCTATTGTCGTCCACGTTCTGAGGCTATTGTCCAAACGGAGGCGCGCCTCGTTTTGGGAGTCCTTGTATTCCTGTACGTAAAGAGTCGGGCCTAACCCGCCACTGCCTGCCACTGCACTTGCTAAGGGATCTAGGGTCTGCGATTTGGGATGCGTCAGCGGGTGCCACTCCGGTTGGCTTGGGACCCAGTCGAGGACCCCGGTCCATGGTGTCCTGGGCGTGACCCGGCGCGTGCAGAGGAAGAGCGTGCCACTTACTGGCGACACTCGCCTTCGGTCCAGTGCTCGGACCGAGCGACCGCACCGACGTCCTACGGGGAAGCACTGGGCAGCGCACCCTGGGTGCAGGACTTGTCGGCCGCCTTTATTGGCGGCCTTGGAATGTGGGCACAAAGACCAGGCAACAAAGACTTCGTCACGTCGGCGACGTCGTCTCCTAGGTTGTGGCCCGCACTCCATGTTGCTTTGACAAACGTTTCCTTGCGTCCTCGGCATCGTCCGCTCGCCTTTGTCTGCGTCGCGCCACGACTGAGTCGCGACATATTCCCCACGTCCTGCGCACGACTTCGTCGACCGACTTTCGGCCCTGGACGTTGTTGCACCGGCTTCCTTCGACCGTCAGGAAGGCTGAATCCCACTGTCGCTCATCTGGCGGTACAACGACAGAGACCACTGAACAGTCCTCTCTGTTGTGTACCTACGAGGTCGGCCACTGTCCGAACCCGGAACAGTCGCTGACTTCGTAGGTCGTACTCTTCGACCCTTCGAGGGAGTGTCTCTCAGCTTACGACTCCGAGACACGCCTCACGGACGAGGGGCGCTGGTAGTCGCACGCCGGACTGTGCATATCCAGCGAGTCGCGCCTTACGACTCTCAAAGTTGATCACGGTCGGCAACACCTCGAACACATCTCAGAACAGTTCGTCGTAGAGAAGTTGGGACACGCACGATACTCGACGACTATGGGGTTCTGCTTACACACTGTGAGTGTTACCATCTACCTATGTTCCTGCCTGCTGAGACTCGCAAGAGATAGCAGTCATTAGTTATCAAGGGAAACTGCGCACACTGCGCGCGGATGAACGCCTCAAGCCGCTATTCGGAGAGCTGCTTTGCTTGTCGCTAGAGTGGAACAGGGCGTCGGATTTGACAGTCAGTGCGCGCGTGGTACGTGGTTCCGTCTGTCTGACGTTGTGCGTGTATTGACCCGGGGCGTACAGACTGGTCCAAATACTCAACCAGGTCTCGGGTACCTGGACGGACTCAACGAGGAATGAGATTACACCCGCAGCCGAGAATGGTCCTCCGTCATCAGAAAGGTAGCTTGGTATAGTTGGTGGGTCGAGGGATACTGGCGGGGTTGGGCATTTTCCGGCGGTACGACTGTGGAATCTTTAACCATCCCGCAACTTATAAGCCGAGGTCGCAGACATACCTCTTTGAAGCCGACGATGCGCTTCTGCATGTATTGCATCGCTTTGCGCCGCTCCTCCTCCCTCGCTTCGCGCGTTCGCTCCCACTTGTGCCCCTTAAACATCCTCCACCTCTGGGCGTACAGCCTGCTGCCAATCTCCGCGCTCGGCTCTGCCTTCTCCTTCAACTCGCCCTCCCACTCTACGCCCCTCGCCCATGCCTCCTCGCTCACTAACGCACTCGGGCCTGTGGCGCTCTGTACGCTTGCTGCCGTGGCAAGCTGCTGGACACCGAGCTTCGGTCCTGGGGGAAGCAGATGAAGCGTATTGCTTGCGCGAGCATGTTTGATGAGCTCTGCCTGCCGACGGCGCGAATACTTGGGCGGCGCCCACCGTCCGGACTCGGGGTTCTTTCGCGGGAGGAATGGGTTGGGGACCTTTGGGCGGGTGGTCGCTTCAGGAGACGCATCGAGGACCGCTGCAAGCTCCCTTAGCCGGAACTGCTTGATGGCTTGCACGGCAGCCATTGCGGGCGCGTTGGAGGTGATGGGTAGCGAAGGAGGCGCAGAGGTCGGCGTCGGGCACAAGTCGTGGCGGACCGCTGAGCCCGTCGCTGTAGATCGGCACCAAATAAGGTCAAACATACGCCCCCGTCCGCGTCCGAGAAAGTCAGTCGTGTCGTTCGCCAACGCCGACGGTTGTCGACCGCCGACTGTCGTCCCGGCTTGCCTCTGCTTTGACCACGCCACACCTTCTCGATGACTTCTGCTCCGCTTCAGTACTCTGAACTGGCTCTCGGTCCGCTGGCAGCGACAGAGACCCGATTGGCAGTGCTAGACGCAGCCCTGTGTGCTACAGTATCGCTCAGATCCTCGTTCGCTTGTCCCTGTGCGCGGACATTCTCAAACATTGTCACCAACAAGTAGCGGTTGGTTCTGCTCTGTCGCGCGGTACCCGCAAATCTTTGTGCTATGGGGCTCCTGTCATGGAAGTTTCGTGCGTTTCAGACTCGGATTCATACTAGAACCTCGCAACCTTGCCAACAGTCTGTCCTACGCCGTGGCGTATCGAGATGTCTGTGCTGCCCCTGCGTCGTGTAATATTGGCATGCGGTAGAGGGCAAGGATCCGATCCATTCACGCGGGCTTCTTTGCTCTGCTGTACGTGATCCTAGTACTCTCGTCTCATTCATACGCTTATACCACGGGCAGTCTTGGGAATCCGAGAGGCAGACGCAATAGGTACTCGGAGAATCCCTGAAGCTAGGATTAATTCTATGCAAACATGAGGCGATGCACAGAGCCTATCATGCGTCCTTCCCGATGGCAAACTAGTTTGTCAATGATCAAAATATTCCAGGCACCGAGTGGCTCCCGCGTAGCGGCTTGCCTCTGTCAGTCCCACGGGACCAAGCTGTGGCTCTAGCTGGTAGTGGCACATTGCTACTTCTGGCAAGCCTTGTATTCCATAGCCGAGGACCGTTGCCCTTTGCGTCCGATTTCGTCTCCAGGCGTGCACGCGGACAAACCCATTCATCTCCTTCTGGGGTGGATCACCCCTATCAAATTTGGTGGCGTGTCGCGGAGGTACAGGGTACAGCTTACTGGCTCGCTGGTGCCCTCCCACGTACGCATCCAGCATCTGCGATCGTGATCTGCGACACGCACAATGGATAGCGCAAGGCACGCGCTTACCGAACTTCCGAAGCTTCTCGAGCCCTGGCCGCCCTACGGGGCGGGCACTTTCCCAAACACGCGTTACTGCGGTCTCTCGATTGGTCTTCGTATCTGATGCGGATCTAATGTAGCTGGGCTCCCGGGTCCTGCCTTCGAACCTTCTTCTCTTGTCCGTCTCCTTCGAAACACATAAATACCCTACCCATCGACGCCTCTTCATACTGCGCGCCTTCCACCATGTCCGACTCTGCACTCTTTTGGACAGAACTATCCGCGCTTGAAGAGTTTTTAACAGTGCGTGCCCCCCATCCAGCGTGCATATCCGTGTCTCATATCCTTCTCCCAGCATGATACGTTTTGGAATAACCCAAACCCATTCAATGAACTACAACTCCCAACCTCGCCAGAATTGCAGCAGACGTCGGCATTCGAAGCCGACGCACTAGAACCCAAGCACAAAAGAAGGCGGGTCGACGACGTATGTGTGGGTGAAGGCATTGCGAGTGGGTCGTCCGGCCACGGCGGAGGCATGGTGGAGGGTTTACAGTCCAATGTGAGTCACTCATACTCTTCATAGTAAATACCTAAACGCCTAACAGGCCCCGACTTTTCAGGATCATAACGGTTCTGTATCAGCGCCGACTGAAACGGCGTCGGGCACGGACTCGGCACAGTTATATGTGAGTATGGTTAGCGGTGGGATAATGTGACTACTGACTTGCCCCTCCCCTCGTAGTATATAACTCACAAAGGCCGCCAACTCCCAGTACGGGGATTACACGGACTCACTGACGGAGGGTACACATGTGGCCTGCCAAGGTGCGAAAGCGGCGCAAAATTTCAGTCAAAGAAGGATCTTTGGCGACACCAGACGTCAAGGAAGCACTCGAGAAGCAGTTCTGCAAGCCAACGCTCTTCAAGTGCCCGAACTGTGGCAGCGAGCAGTCTCGCGTCGATAGCCTCAAGCGGCATGTTAAGATGACCGACGCTTGCCGCGAGCCCGTCCTGGCCGCGGTGAACAAGGTCATGTCCGAGAGGCTCGCGGAGGGCGATACAAACTGTCAGCCAGTGGCCAGCGTGGACGACTTGAGCCCCATGAAACATCTCTCGCAGTACGAGGTTTGAAGGTGGCAGCATGGACTTGGTAGACTGCCTCCGGAGAGGTATTCGCGCGTGGCTAGAGTTTCGGCTGGGAGTTTCGTTGTAGATATGTATGTATAGTATGAACCAATGTACCGTGTCGACTCGTCATGTCTCTTACGACGGGAAGACCCCGTTGTCCGAACATCGTGCTAAAGCGTCCAGGGCGTGGCCGGGCATGTATGTATCGAAAGGGTGCGTGCATTTCGTGTGGCTGCTCAACTCTGTGACCGGCAACTGATACTCCAAACCTTCGAACAGGTTATGTCGGACGGTCCAGTCTCAAGTGCGCGGCGTCGCAGACGGGGCGGCGGGACATCGATAATTGCGCGCGATGCGTTCAGTTGCCTCTACCTTGGTCGCGGCTTCCATCCCCCCTTTCTCTGTCGAGATCGTCTACTAACAGCACCATCTGTAGCATCAAGTTCTCCTGCTTTCGTGTCTTCCGGCGTCCGTCAGTACAGTCGCGGTGGCTATTTGCGTCAGCTCCGGCATCCCGACTGTCGGTTAGTCCATTCCGACTAGCGCAGCACTCATACGACCGACGCGTCGTGGCGGCGACCATCTTGGAAGCAGCGCGGATCCCGGCCATCGGGTGAAGTCCGGAGTCGAAATTTTTGGAACACGAGGTCAACTTCTGGTAGCCGTCGCAGGGGCCAATGGGCGGTCTACGACTGGGATGCCGTGCAACGTGGCTGACCATGATGATGTGCGCCCTCCTTATGCGGACAATGCGGCTTTACACCCCCTTCTCCGGCGGGTATGCCGCCAACCACCGAAGGACCGGCGCAGGACAAATGTCCATCTAATGAAGGACGCGCTACCCTGTAGCCATGACCCAGTACATGAAGACAGCGCCCAATGCTCACAACGTCGGAGGCCTAGCTGACTAGACTTGGGGGCCGGGTCCATGCTCCGGGGTCCGTGTCCAACCAATCTGTACCGTGATCTGATACTGGGTGCCGTCCAGAAGCTCGACCCTCGCTTGCGTCGAACTGAATTGAGGATATTTTTCGATCGGCACCGTGACGGTGTGCGTTTTGATGGATCACTCCGATAGGACGGGACTGTCCGCCCCACCGGGGACTTGCCGGAGGGCGGAATGCGTCGCAACGATACTGGGTAAGGAATCCATTTCCATGTTTGCCCTTGCGTCACGCCAATGTCTGATTCATTGGGCGTTTACAGGTGCAGCCATACAAGCGAGGCGGCTTTTCCCGTCCATCCCCGCCTGCCACTCATAGTCTCTCCGTTTGTATTGCTATTGGATTGCCCATAAAGATCGTATGCGAGGCAGGTCCGGCTCAAATGCCAAGCAGCGCATCCATCCGGAGAGTGAAAAGGACTCGGATTAAGGGTTGTACATGCATATGACAAATCGTGAACTTAGTTCGTCCCGCGTGCTGGTCGCAAGATCAGAATCTGCGACAGAAGTCGTTGTGATTTCGGTGCATATTGCTGAAAGGTTTACACAGGACATGTTACCACGGCCAACAGTTATAAGGACGGCTGCAAGTGGGCGTGGGCCTGCCCTTTCGCGTTGGTGCTCCAACTCCTCTGATGTCGATGTTTATGACGTTCCAATTGCCGCCTCCGTCGGAGAGCTCCTCGCTGCCAACGTTTAATGTTGTGGTAGGTCTTATCCTTCGCTGTTCTGGGGTATGCCTAGGCTCTTGTGGGGTATACTGACGATCTCTTCATACCAGTGCGATAGGACACACCTCAACGCGCACGCCTTTCCAGGATTCCCAGGCAATATAGTTCCCTACGCCTTGGCGGCTTCTGCGGGAAGCGACCGGATGTACGCCGGTCCTCCAGGTGTCATCAAAGGCACCCTATTCGAATTGGGGGCAATGCTTCACGACCATATACCAGGAATCATTGCTGCCCCGGACACCGGTAGTCCGAAGAGCCTCTCCGACGAAGTATTCGAAGACGAACAAGTGAGTCGTATTTCTAATTTGGCTCAGAACGATGAAGCAAGGCTGATGCATCCGCCCGCCCTTAACTAGGCAGGATCGAGGACGGAAGGTGGCGAGACACCAGGGGGGGCTGAACCAAGCCGTCCAACGACACAAAGGCACCATGACGATGTGCAGGATGTGGGTGCTGATATCATGTTATCGCTTCGTCGGGCGGCTGAGGTTCGTCATCGCTTTGGTACAGAAACCGTTCCAGTGCCCGTCGTGTGACGGAGCTTTCCACAGAGTGCGAGATCTAAACCGCCATGTGAAAGTCCATCTTGGCTACAAGTATAGATGTCCGGGGTGTTCCCACGACTTCAGTCGTGCGGACAAGTTAAAGACACACATCCGCAGGGAGGAGATCTGCCTAGCGGCCACCTTGCAAGACCTGTGGGAGAAAAAAGAAGAGGTGACGGATGCTGCGAGCATTCATCCGACTAAACACCTCCAAAGGCACTATCAACATATGCCTCTTGTTGGTACAGACAGCACTACGGAAAATGTGTAAGATTGTTCATGGACGCTGGTGACGGTCGCCGAGATTGTTGATATGTTATCTTGTTGTACTGCAGTAGATCAATTTCAGACTCGAGACCCAGTAGCGTAGATGGTAACTCACTCATGCCTGTACATTAGGTAATCCGCTTCATCTTACGTTACCTCGTGAGAGGGCAACGCTGGAGCCCACTGTAACAAACAAGCATGCGAATCTCAGCAACGCTCTCCGCCTTATTTAATACAACGTGATCTCCCTTCAGGTCGCCAGCCTGTTCGAGGGTGGTCGGGGTCTTGACATGGGAGCATCCGACCTCCTCCGCACCAATGAATTCGAATTCTGCGCACGAAAACTACATACGCACCTTCTACTAGTATGTCACCGAACTTCACAAGCCTTTGGATAGGAAATGATGGCTTCAAGACGTGCCCGCTCTCCTTGAGAGGCAGATGATCTATACTGTAATCTGTAAGCCACTGAACAACCGACGCATTGACGACCCTAGACTCACACATCCGACATACTAGGCCTCAGATTCTTGTGAAAGCGGCGTAGGAAGTCTGCGTCTGGACCGCACTTCGACCGGAGCTACGTCATGAAGACACAACCACCTACAGGTCATAGCCCCAGAGGTACACGTCTCGTACGTCAACCGTGTGTACACTGCGCAGTAAATATACAGAATGCTGAGGAATACACGGGCGTGACGTACCTAGGCTCCTGAGGTCAGAATGACTAGGAAAGGCTCGGATCTGCGTCTTTTCCACCTACTACTAAGGGTGGCAACCCGGACTAGTAGCACTACGTCTACGGTCTCAATGAGTCACCCGACTATCGATGGAAGCATTCCGCTAGGACTGCTACTGGGATCTTGCACGCTCGACGGAGATAGCAAGTCCTGTATGCGATGTGCATTTGTGCGTTAGTCTTGTGGTGAGTCTACAAATTGCTGTCGCAAAAGACTGACCTCTGCATTCATTACACCTCAGGCTGCCAAGGCCTGATGACTATCCTTCTTTACAGCTCCAAACCTCGTAGGCCATGCGCCCTAACAAGACGGTCAGTGCATTACCACGTGTTTGCGTATGTTGAAAAGGCAGATCAAATTGAACCTCACAGACCGTAGCCTTCAGGGTGACTGAATCCATGCAAGGTACATTTTTGCCCAGCCATCGCCGCCGGTCGTAGGAGAAGACTGTCATACGTGGCAGGCGCGCCTGTTGCCCACGACGGCATCAGCCCGGATCTCGACGCGGGGCGCGCGCACCGGGAAATCTGCTCCAGGGCGGGCTTCCTACGGGCGGCGCAGACTCGGCGGAGAAGGGATCGTCCCACTCTAATACCGGACACGCCGTATCTGATCGGAGTGGCGAGATTAGCCCTGCCTGTGCGGGAGCGGGGGACTTCCACATCAGGAGGACAATGCAAGACGAGCGTGGAACCCAACCCTCTTGCGATTACTGCTGGCTACTGCTCCCGTGAAACCTGCGACATCCTTCTGTCCGGACTTCCCGAAATGGCACGAGATCACGATTGTAAGGTACTGCACGCATCAAGGTCTAGTACGTCCAATTCCCGGCCGCACTTCCTCCCCTGATTGATGTACATGGCCTCCGAGTCAGTGCATGTGCCAATCCATCGGCGGCCGCCTGTCCCCTTGAAGGGCTGCGTGAGGCCCGTGGGTCTCGATGAGAAGACGTCGGCGGCATCTGCCGCGACAGGCTCTCCAAGTCATACTCTAAGGCACGACTCGCATTTCACTGTCTGTGACGACGGATCACCAGTGTTGAGATCCTGAATTATTTACTTATACTGCCAAATGTACTGATAGTCGGATTTGACCCATACAAGTCGGATAATGCTGTCTGACGCAGAGTACTACTTCTTGACGATCGCATCGGGGAACCTGAAGACCAGGCAATGTGCTATGTTACCTGCGAGAGATAGTGGGGTAACCAACATGAACGTCAAGTTGAACGCACTGTAAGCAAAATCAACGCATAACCGTAGCGGTCTTTACGGTATCCTTGAAAGTGGAAGGGGAGGTTTAAGGACAAACAAACTGGAGGCAAGATGTCAGTGCACACGAACACTGACTTCAACCCAACTCGACATTTTCTTGAGCGACGGACACACCTGCCAGATCTGGCGGCTTGTCGAGGACTCCCCGATGCGCGATCTCCGTTTGCTTCCAGTACTCTTGTGTCCGGGGTCTTTGACCACCGGAGCGAGGCTGTCTCGGTGTCACTACCCGACAGCACCTCAGCCAAACTGCACCGCTTCACGGAAGGCACTTAGCGGAGGAGACATACCATGTGAGCCTGACAGACCTGTGGTACTGCTCGCGCTTCTTGGTCAACTGCGAATGCCCTCCGTGAACGATGATTCAAGGGGCACCACCAAAACGAACCACCTTCGTCCGATCCACGTAATGCGATGGACCTATGAACTCGGTCAATGGATCGACTTGGCCAATGCAGATGTGCCTCCTCAACCGGGCAGAGCAGCAGCGATCGTAGCTACGATAGCCTTCGAGATCGAGTGCGTCAGTGAGATTGTCCTCACAAGACTCAATGCTGCCAGTGCTTACATATCGGAGGTAGTGCAGCCTGAGCGCACGTCGGACACAAGCTCGACGTGACATCCCGAGTAAATTGTTCCTCGAGACATTGGCGTTGAGCGTTCCATTTTGGTCGAGAACCATTGTCGTGCTGTCGGACCCGGAATGAATACGGAAACAAACTATGCGTCTGAGCGCGCACCAATCTATTAGCACTAGCAGCACTAGCAGGAAGGTCTCGAGGCGAGACAACTACCCGAGCTCCCCATGATCGGTGCTCTGCGTTGCAAGTCAAGTAGCGCTGTACGTCTGTTGAGATATACTTATCCACCGATTTCCGATGAGAGATTCACTCACCCATACATCCCCCAGTAAATCCCAGGGCCGGCCCCTCAATGTCGTACGACAGCATGAGGGGGACAGAAGAGAGAGGAGCCATTACTGACATTTGCATCGTTTCGTCGTGATAACGCTGAATAATTATGGTATGTGGTAGGAAGGCCGCTTAAAATCTGTATACGTTGAAAGCTGACTTACCCTCTAGGAAGACCGGAATTCGGTATGTACGGGATCATCCCCGTAACCGGACCCCGACACGAGGGACTGGGGTGTCCCTGGGCATGTACGGCGGGGTTGCTTCGCGCGACGCCATTGGTCGGGATGTTGTCGCGGGGCCAGACGCGTGCGCATGCCTGCTCGCCGTTATCCAGGGATCCACGGACGTTCCCGACCAGCGGCCGAAGAACGGAGAAGGGGGCGCGCGGCACCATTACAAGGCCCGCCATATCTGATGTGCTTGGCGAGCGCAGGCTGCGCGCCGGTGCACGGATACACTGCATTGGAGGGTCATCCCAATTTGGACCGATCGCAGGGGACAATGCAAGACGGAGGAGGCAATTAGTCAACGCGCGGCATGTGTCTCGGCCTTCGAGCATGCTTCTGTCGGAACGCCAGGTTTTGATCCCAATGACATGTGCTGTAGGAATACGCGTTCATTTCCCGGATGCACTTTATCCAACTGGCTCGTGCGCACGACCGACGTCGGCCAGATCTCGTGCAAACGATACGCGACCGGCGGCCATTTCCGGGCTACTGGATAGCTGGACGCGGGGTCCTCGTCGAAGAGACATAAATACGGTGCGCTCCCGGCCGCCACGCCTCCAAGTTCCCGTCGTACGCGACTGATCCCCCGCATCCTCCCTGCCCCAGCCAATCTTCTACCAACCTCCTGAAGCTCTATCAGTAACCCTCGCATACAAGATGACAGACAGTATCGATATGCAAGCTGCACGAGAAATAATCAACATGCTCGAAGAGAGACTTGTAGGTCTTCGCTCCGATCAACTTGAAGATTATACTAAGACTGACAACTACGACAGTACGATAACCAGTACGAAGACCCACTTAGCCTTGTAGATGAGCCACGAATGGTCGATCCCATCTTCGAAGACCCCCGGAAGATGCCCATATCGTTCCTTGAGCCGGAGAACTGTGTGCTCATTGACGGGCTGCTGGGATTCGCTGTGACCGAATCACCCCTCGACGCGGCTCGTCGATTAGTGCAGGGGCTGCCAATCATGGAGGAAGTCTCTACGACGCTCGACACCGTAGAACTACCGTCGACGGAAGTCGGTCCTCGCCAGCAGCCGCACGTACCCACCCCCGCATTGTCGACTACAACGTTGTCTGACGTCTCAGACTCTGGCGAGGCCTGGGCAGAGTCGCAGACGGCTGTCTCTTCCCGTTCGCGTCACCGACACGCTCCACTCCTTCCTCCTCGGCATCCACTATCCCGGACGAGCCCGAGCGTACGGCGCTGAAGCGAAAACGTTCGTTGTCGGACGTTTATCCCTGCCTTCGAAGGCCATGTCATCCGTCGCAGATGATTCTTCTGCTGAGGTCGGGAGTGTCTTGTCTCCGCCAACCCAGGTGAGTTGTCCAGCCTTCCTTGCTGTCCTGCCTACTGAGATTGGACGACAGAAGACATCGTCGAACGGTCGACGTGGCGGCCCGGGAAAGTACCTTTGTGATCTTCCCGGATGCTCCAAGTCCTTTGCTTCGGCGCAGAATCTTTCGCGACACAAGAACAGGACTAAGCAGCACGGGGCGAAAGTCTTATACAAGTGCCCCGTCTGCGAGTGGACTACCACGCGCTGCGACCCCTTCAGACGGCATTTCGACGGCGATACACATGTCGCGTGCAAGGAATTCGTGCTGAAGAAATCCGGGGAGTCGGATGTGAAGGATATTCCTCTGCAATTCATTGCGCAGTACAAGATCAGTACGGAATCTACGTGAATCATTAGCGGACCGAGTCAGTATTATATGTAGCAGTAGCTTCTGTAGCAGTTGTATTGCGTACCTACTGTCCGGAGAATGTTGTTGTATGTACACTCCCGAAGAGTTGTTGTAGTGATTCCACCGTGATCACGATATCGTAGTGAGCAGATCCTTCGGCCAGTGCCAGCTTGGTGCCGTGCGTCCGAACTTGACAGAGGACACTGATTCTCGAGTTCGTTGGATCAGGCTGCATGTCTCCGGAGCCTGAGGTCGTCATCGGTCGTCGAGGACGATTCAGCCTTGGTTCAGCCACAACCGCGACGCGACGCGCGACCGCGTCAACATGGCAACACGTGACTGTCGCGTCCGTTGGTGCCCCGGGCCGCAAGACGCAGTGACTGACGACCTCCCACTCCTCCATCCTCGACCTCCCGCTCAGGCAACCCAGTTCTTCGCCTACCGCCCTTGCGGCGTTGTCTCTCTCATTGCGCCATGAACAGGTCTACCAACACACTGAAGCGCACTTTTCACCCCAAGGCTTCCCCTCAGTGGAACAATCACTTCGGGCCCATCTGCCGCCGGCACTACCTGCAACCCTTCACGCGCAGCTATGCGTCTTCGCCGCTACAATGGGCGCGCTCGAATTCCCGCATATCGACTGTGTTTACAGTCCTTATTGCGCTAGGCCTGGGATCCACCGCATATGGCGTGTAAGTGGTCTGTTGCGCGTTCTCTGTGTCCGAATCCACCTTTACGTGGGTATTCCGATTCTCCTCCCCAAACCACCGTTTGAAGGTGGCGAGAGAATGCTTTGGCGTTTGAATAGGTGGATGAGACGATGAAGGCGGTGGACTGAGATGTAGACATGGAACTGTCGTGCGCGCGACGCAGAGGTGCAGAGACTGCGTGATACACCGTTCTTGTCCCTATGTCCGGAGCTATCTCTCCACGTACCGACAACCCCGGGGGCTCCAAACTTATCGACCTCACGTCTCTGGGTGGCGAGAGCAGACTCGCCCTGACCAGGATCAAGGCGTGTGGCGTCTACTGCTGGATCAATCTTGCCGTCCACGTCCTTCAGCGTGCATGTACGTACGTTTGTGTCGTCTGCGAGAACGGGGGTTGTTGGGCCATCGTATGTACGCGTATAATTGTTGACTGTCTTGTCCGTGGTGCCATGTTGACAGTCAGGTCTATCTGCGCGGCGCTCACAATCTCGTGCTTGATCCCCCCAGCGAGCATTGCCCGCCCTTACATGGGCTTGGCTCTCGCTGTTAGCCCTCGCGTCGCAGGCTACTACTTCCGGCGAAGTGGTATTCGACATAACCTGTTCTGTCGGCGCCGTGAAGTTCAGTGTGCGCTAGGACCAGGTGAAACTGGTCCGTCACTATCTTCTTGCTGTTGACTTTCAGGGACATTGGGCGCACAGATGGTAGCTAGAAAACTTGTTGTTCGCTTCCTTTCCGATCGGGCCAGGGTCAACATGGCCTTTTCGAAGGCAGTTTTGTCGCGCTCTCTCATCGTCTCGGTCAAACTAGCTGGGCAGGCAGCTGATATTTCTGTCTTTTAGATATGAATTCTACTCTATGTTCACTATGTGGCCGCAGGAAGTTCGAGGCGACTTGCGCGCCGGCATCAAGGCCAAGAACCAAGGTGACTTCATTTTAAGCGAGCGATACCTTCGCCGGTCCGTCTCCTCTCTCACCATACCGCCGTTCTCACCTAACATCGTCTATGCAGCGCATACGAAACTGCACTCGCTCTTCCGCTCGCCACATTCTCGCCCTCACCCCACCTCAAGCTCTCCGGCATAGCCATCGCGCTCGCGTCCACGCTCGAAGCCGCCGACCGCCCAGAGCCCGCGTTCGAAGTCTACACCGACGCCCTGTCTCGCCTACGCGCCGCCAACGCCGCATCACCGCTCACGGGCCCCGAGCGAATGCGCGCGGTCGCGATCGCATCCAAACTCGGAGAGATGGCGGAGACGTACCAGCTGCCCGTCGCGGAGGAGGAGCGCTGGCTGACTTACGCCGTCGAGGAGCTCCTGCGCATCCTCCGCGACGAGACTAGGAAGGGCGAGCTCGTCGTTGAAGGCGAGGCGCAGGAGGGGAGCATCCCGCTGATGCTGGCGGAGCTGGAGATGCCACCGTGGGTGACGAAGACGGACGTTGGAGCGCCTTTGGAGGCCCTTGGCCGGTTCTACGCGAGGGAAGGAAACGTCGAGTGCGTAGGTCTTGTTGGAGTCGTGAGATTAGCTGACTTGGGCTTCAGGTATGCGATGCCTTTGTATCTACAGGCTATCAGCCTGCTCGTCCCTCCGCCTTCGAGTAAAAAGAAGGCGACGGTGGAGGAGCGGTGCAGAGGTAGGCTCGACTCACAATTCCTAGAATTCTCGTCTGATCGTCTTCGTAGGAGCGCAGCTAATGAACAACCTCGCGGAGCTGAGCATCCGTGGCAAGCAATCCGACGAGCAGCGGGCGCAGGCCATCGCATGGGCACAGCAAGGGCTCGCCACGATCGAAAAGACAAAGGCTTCTGGTGGTGACCCCGAAGAACTATGGCTGTGCGAGCAGACTCTTGCGGCTGTGCTCTTCAATCTCGGATCCCTTCACGAGGTGGGTTGTCTCGTCCTTTCTTGCAGCTACGACTTACGACCCGGCGGACAGATGGGTGGTGATATGGACCAGTCGCGCCAGCTGTTCAAGCAGAGCCTCGAACAAGCACAGAGCATCAAGATGCGCGAGGGCGTCATCGAAGCCCAGACAGCGCTCCGGCGGCTCGACCGTCTTTCAAAACGTGCCACCCCTTCCCTTCCTACCGCCTCTCCGCCCGCAAGTAATTCCACATAGAGCACTAATCGGATTAAAATAGATTATGTGTTCCCAACGAGAGAAGCATGCCTAGCCAATAGATACAGCGGATCACCCTCAACGCAACTGATACACCAATCCATCCTTGCGCCACGACCCGCGAGCGCGTCAGCCCTAGTCCTCCTCGGCGACATCCTCCACGCGCGCGGTCCTGCTTGCTGGACGCGAGCTGCCTGAGTCGGCGATCTCCTCGATGTGTGCGCCGCCCTCTTCTGCGGGCGCGGCACGGCCCTTTCCCTTCTCGGCGCGTCTCTTCTTGCCCTTCTTTTTGGGTAGTCCCACTCCCATAGAGGGATGAAGGATTCCACCTACGTGAACGCGAGCTCGTCAGTCGGGTGCTCCCAGATGTGAGACGGGAAAGCCGGGCATGCTAGCTGGGGACAGAGAACGCCGCGAGACGGAAAGACAAAGTTCACTTCGACTCCGCGGCGTACTCCCCCAGGGCATCGCGCGTAAGACAAAGGACTCACAAATCCGACGTCTGCAAACAGCTTTGGGAATATCCAAATCCCAGGACTCGCCACGATGACGGTGATGATATAGAATATCAATCTAACGACGGCGATCGCGAAGAACAGACCGACGAGGCCGAGCACGCCGATACTGAGGTACCACACGTACAGCCGCATGACTGGCGGCCATAGTGGGAACATGACACCGGCGAGCATGATCGCGACCATGGCGAGACCGCCGGCGTACGTCGTCCACTGCGAGCCCTCGTAGAACCACGCGTAATAGTGTGCGGCGTCGAACGCGGTCTGCATCTGCTCGACGGTGAGCATCTTGGGTGAATTGGACGAGGAGCCGGATGGCTGCCCGCGGTCGACGTGAAGATAGAAGGCGAAAGGGATGACGGAGGTGAGGACGGTGGCGGCTTCCTGCTCGTCTGTGACGGGTGGGACGTTTTTGAGCTTGGCGTAGGCTGGTGAGAGGAGGGCTTTGATTGCGCCTTTGCCTGTGGGAGACCTCGTCAATTTCGTGTATCCCGGGGCGACAGCCTGCTCGCCACTCCCGAACGCGAGTGCGGTCGACACGTATCTCAACCGACCTGCAGCCAGATGTAATGCGATACGGCGACCAGCGCGCCATTGCAGATCTTCCAGCACCGAAGGACAAAGTGAACGGTGCAAGTAGCTCTGCAGCGGCTCTCAGCGGAGCAGGCTCAGACGAAGCGTCGAGGCTAGATGAACGTGCCAGCTTAGCTCTGGAAGCGAAGACACATTGTACAATCATCCGTTACAACGTTCATTGAGACATCGGTGCTACGGTGGACCAGAGACAGTGTTCCGCACCCGTCCGGAGTGGACACCAGGGTGGCGATCGTGCCACGTACCTTTGAAGTAGTCTATCCGCTTCCCGTTCAAGATGCCCACCCGGATCTTCAACCCAGCCTTGCTACTGCGCAGATAATTGACGACATTCCGGAGGTCCTGCGGTGCTTTCGTCTGCTGTTCCATCTTGGCACGCGTTCACGCGGATCGTGAAGACTAGTGCCGGGTTCGTGAGGCGCTGTTGGGACCGGAGAGCGCGGAGAAAGGACAGAGGTGGTCGGGGCAGGTGGAAGGACGCAAGACAGAGCACTGTACGGAAGAAATACACGGAGGAGGAGGCTGGCAAGGTGTTGTGCTCGCTGGCGGTGGCTGACTAGCGCTGACTGCCTGTATTGCATGACACGTCGGCTTACATAAGCGTACGCGTTTAACGCCGTCGCAGAGACTTTGAACCTCTTTGAACGAAACCACAGCATCGGTTTTGCTCGTCGTTTCCAGCCTTCTCCCTGCGGTCAAGCGTCCTCAGATCGACTTAGACTGCTAATAGTATCGGTATGTATGCCATTCATTCGCGAAAGATGTTCGTTTCCTATGGGACCGCTGTGCGGCATAGTACGCGGCGAATGCCTCTCTGAAGCCTCTAGGATATCAGAGGATGCGAGGCTATATCCGCATACTCTGGGGGTAGACATCAGGTGGTGGTTGTGAGTGGGCGCCGCCATAGCCAGCAATATCCACGGTGGGCGCCCTATCGAGACACCACTGTCGGGCGCCATCTCTCTTCGTGTCGTACACCTACCTCCATCTCTCATCGCTCTGCATCCTACCCCGATCGCAAGTTTTTGGGAGCTGTACTTCACTGACCAGCACAACAGAATCATGACGGACGAAGTACCCGTCTCCGATCCCCCATCGCATGACTCTATCATTGCACGGTGCGTGTACTGCAGGTCAAATAGATCGTCCTATTAGCTTACCTGCGATTACCTCGTAGCCTCGGGCTCAACGTTAGGATATCTGGTATGCTCTACTCTCGTGATCTTTAGGACGTTTGGACACAACGATCATCCGTCTCGTAGACATCACCGTCATAAGCAAGGAAGACATCCTCGACAGTGACAATACTCTGTTCGCGCTCGCTCTTTCCATCGAAGGCGACGAGGTTGCGCGATTGGATCTCATAGCGCAGCCTGAACCGCGTCGTTGCTGGACCGCGGACGGTGAACTCGAATTGTGCGTCATATCGTTCATATTCAGCATGCAGCAGCCTACCGACAACGCACAGGCCTGGCGACATCGAACAGATCGACTTCGCTCTACTGCGCGAAGCGTCGTCCGAGGAGGTCAGTGTTGTTGGACAAGTCTCGCAGACCGGCCGCGATCTTCTATCAAGTCAAGCCGATGTCGTGGACGGCATCATCGGTAGAGTGTTACCCCGTTGTTACTGGGATCTACTCATGGACGCACCTATAGGGATGGTCAACATCGAGGTCCCCAACAGCCCGTACAAGCTCAGCTGGGATTGCATCACCTTTTCAGAGGAAACAACGATGCCTACTGACATATCCCCTTCAGAGGCCAAAGACTTGCGGGACTTGGTCGGGCACATAGCTGATCTGCGTGATCAGCTATATGCAAGATACAACCAGACTGGGAACCTTGCTGACATTGAGAAGACAATCAAGCTCTGTGTGACATTGTGCTTTCTGAATGCCCACCGCAAGCATGTGCTCCCATTTGGCTTGAACAACTTAGGAGCCATGTACTTGATAAGCTATCAGGACTTTGGTGATTTCTCTGCATTGCAGAAAGCAATATCCACACTGGAAATGGCTAAGTTGAACTTCCCAAGTGATGCAAGATTGATTGACTTGTCAATCAATCTCTCAACAGCATATGGCAAATACTATGACCATCTAAGAGAATTGTCCTCAATTGAGAGTGCTGTATTGTTTGCACAAGAGGCTATCAAGCTATCTGAGAAGCATGGCAGTCCATTGCTGCCTACTTCATTGTTTGCATTGGCAAGTGCATATGATAGACAGTATGAATTCTCTCATGACCCAAATGTTTTGTATGAGGCTATTGAGGCATGCCAGAAAACTCTGGCTCTTGTGGATGATGGAGATTTCAAGAAGACAAAGTATCAGAGCCTCCTAGGGTGGATGAAACAAGAACTATTTGAAGTCACAAGGAATGTTGAGCTTCTAGAGGAGGCCATTGCCATTGGTACATTGGTAGTTGGGTCTACTGCAGACCACAATATTTCCAAGGCTGGCTACCTCAACAACTTGGCCAATGCTTACCATGCTCATTGGCAATATAGTGATAATGTTGAGGATTTGCACAATGCTCTCAGCCTTCAAAGACATTCCTTAGAGATAACACCAGATCATAGCCAGCACAAGCATGTCTTTTGGGACACTCTTGGTACTCTGTATGTCAGCCTTTGGCAACAATCATGGCAATTGAGTAATATTGAAGAGGCTGTCAATGCACATAAGATGGCAATGAATACTGCTCCTCAAATTCATGCCAGAAAGTCACACTACTTGATCAACCTTGCCAATGCATGCTCCTGCATGTTTTCCCAGACAGGGGATATTGTGCATCTTGAGGCTGCCTTGGATGCATTGAATGGGGCCAATATTCAGGAGGACAACCCAGCTAAGCCTATGATCCTGAATAGTACAGCAAATATTCATCTGAGCCAGTTTGGTATGTTGCATCAAATTGAGGACATAGAGCAGGCAGTCACAAGTTACAAAGCTGCTATTGGCCTTCTTGGTGAAAGGAATGCAGAGACTCCCTTCTATATGCAACAACTTGGATATGCATTGAGAATGAAGTATGAATTTACTCTCAATTACTCAGACATTGAAGAGGCTGTCTCAGTGCTGAACCAAGCCAGTGATATCATGGCCCTTGATCATCCTAAAAGACCTCAGCTGTTGATTGACCTTGGTACCTCATATCAGATGCAGTCAGATCACTTTGGCATTGGTGGGAGTGACATTTCTATGGTTGACAAAGCAATTGCAGCACACATGACTGCTCACATGCTCAATCCAGAGGAATATCATTTTGCAGCATTATCACATGCACTCCTATCCAGATTTGAATACAGCAAAGATCCTCATGATATTGAGAGAGCCATTGACATGGCCAGAGATTCCTTGAGGAGAACCATAGATTCAGATCCATACAAGACCATGTGCTATGGGGCTCTGGGAAATGCATACAATGTCAGATATGAGTGGTCTAAGAATTTGGATGATATTAAGGAGGCAAGCAATGCCTATGGGCAGGTGGCTAAACTCAGTGTCCATCAGCCAGACAAAAGGCTGGACTTCACCCTTAGATGGGCAAGAATGTCAGCAGCTGATCCATCACTGCATCAATCCACTATTGATGCCTATGACTATGCAATCAAGTTGATACCTCAAGTGGTATGGCAAGGCCTTCCATTGAGCAAGAGGTACAGCAGGGTCAATGTCATTGGGGACCTTGCAAATGAAGCTGTCATTGTTGCCCTTGGGAGTAAGCAATATGGATTAGCTCTTGAATGGTTAGAGCAAGCACGCTCTATCTTATGGGGACAGCTGTTGAGGTTGAGATCTCCTGTAGAGGCACTTGAACAAGTCAACCCTATTCTTGCTGAAGAATTTAAGTCAGTGACTAAGAGCTTGCAAGCCATCAATGCTAGGGAGACTGTCAATCAGAGTATGCAATCCAGCAAGACATCTCAGCAGGCAGCCCAAAGGCATAGACAGTTAGCAAGGGAGTGGGAGCTACTTGTTGAGAAAATACAGTCAACTACTGGCTTTGAGCATTTCCTGCAGCCTCATTCTCTCATTGAACTCATGCAAGCCTCGCAATATGGCATCATAGTTGTCATCACTGTCTATCAACATCAATGTCATGCACTAGTCATGCAGCCAGGATCATCTGAGCCCACACATATACCTTTGTTTAACTTCAACTACTCAAAGGCAGAGGCTATGCAGAAGAACTTGAAGGATTTACTGAAAAATGCAGGCAGAGCTGCCAGAGATGTCACCAGATCAGCTAGGATGGTATCATTGCAAGCATCAACTGAATCCTTGCATGAAATACTTGCAGAACTATGGCAATCTGTAGCTGAACCCATTATCTTGGGCCTCAATATGGTGAGTATTATCATGGTACTGAGCATTTCATGACTAATAATACAATATTCTAGACACCATGTCTGAGTCCATCCCAAGATTTTCCACACTTGTGGTGGTGTTTGACAGGTCCAATGGCCTTCCTTCCAATTCATGCAGCAGGTCTATACTCTGATGGCCAAACAGGAAGCAAAGTCTCAGACTTTATGGTCTCATCATACACTCCCACTATTACCTCTCTCCTAGAGGCTAAGTCCATTGAGAAGCATGAGTTTCATGGACTCCTTGCTATCAGTCAGCCTCAGACACCAGGCCAGAGGATTCTTCCTAATACCAAGGAGGAGCTCCAAAGGATCAAGGCCAACATGCAGAATACAAAGCTTGAGTTAACAATGTTAGAGCATTCTCAAGCTACAACTGAGGCTGTCATGAAAGGCATGGAAGATCACAGCTGGATCCACTTTGCATGCCATGCACTGCAAGACATATCCAGTCCTTTGGACAGTTCCTTCTATCTGTACAATGGGAAAATTGAATTGTCAAGGATCATCCAGAAGGTCTTGCCTCATGCAGATTTTGCCTTCCTCTCAGCCTGCCAAACAGCATCTGGAGATGAGAACCTCCCTGAAGAGTCCATGCACTTGGCTGCTGGGATGCTAGCTGCTAGTTATTCCAGTGTCATTGCTACCATGTGGAGCATCATGGATGATGATGCCCCTATCATTGCCAATGAGGTCTACAAGTATCTGTTGAAGGATGTGAAACCTGATAGTAGCAAGGCTGCATATGCCCTTCACCATGCTATCCAGGAATTCCAGCAGCAGTATGGCAATACAGAGAAGAGTCTGTTGTCATGGGTACCTTTCATACATGTTGGTGTCTAGTTTGAAGTGTGCATAAAACAATTCCCGGCTTGATAGTGGTAGCTAGTATCGTGCAAAGTATGTTTGCTCAAGTTGAGATTGTGTTTGTATGATCGAGAATGTATTTGTACGTTACCTGTGTTGGTTCCGAAAGGTCCATGCTATGATTGTATTTAGTATTTATGAAAGAGAAATTTACACGCACAGGGAACGGATGATTCGATATGCCACTGTCGCGATACCCAGAAACAGGTTCTATGCACGCACACAATGTCGGTCTTAGTCGGGTCGTCGACCATAGCAAAAGCCTTGCTAGACAAATATTCATCATCTACCATCATACAGCACTAGAATTGAGTCAAGAGGTCAGTCGAGGGATAACTTTTAGACAGCGGCACATACCAGGATCACTTCTATCCCGCGAGAGTTGCGGGCGATCAGCAGCCCTCGGCCTAGCAGACTTCCGGCCCTCGGTCCTGCACATAGCAGCCGCTTCTTACTGCATACGTACGTTATCCTTACTCGCGCCCGGAAACACGCATAGCGTTTTGTGTATGCCCATCGCGGTGCCCATGCGGGTCACAAGGTACTCCGAGCCATTGATCTCGGGGAAGATCAGGATCATCTCCGATTCCAAACAACGACATCACACAGGGCATATGTCGCTGTGTGTTGTATATGTCGACGAAGAACGCGAGGTAACGGAGCGACGTCAGGACAAAGCGGAGGTTCAGGGGTATTGTCGACAACTCACCAACGACGTGGATGTGTGTGACGGCGGCGAGGAGAAGTACGGCTCACTGTCATAAGAATACGAGCCCGCGGGCGTGGATAGTCAGGCGACTGCATACCGGTGGTGGTAGGAAGGGCTCCGTCTACGTGCTGATGCCTCGCACGGCGGTGAGGAGGCCGCGGCAGGTAGCCAGAAGAACACACGGTTGCGCGCGCGGTGGTCCAGAGCTGGGACGTGTTGTCCGCGACATTGCCAGCTGCGTCTTCCAACCATCGGTTCTGGACGAGCGGACGGAGGTGGCCCGTGAGACTGCCGATGAGGTGTCTCCGCGATGAGAGACAACATTATGTAGAGAACTGGGAACGCGAGTTTCCGCGTCAGAGAACAGACTTGCAAGAGAGATATGAACGCACTCCGCTTTCAGTACGCCTGCTCTGGCTACTTCGAGGGCCCGCTCATTAGGGAGAGAAACGGAAACACCACGATACTCATCGAAGCCCTGATCGGCCCAGGTAGCCATCGTAGAATCGATGGGTGCTAGTGACGAGAGTACCGATGTATCGGCACTGGTACCTGGCAACGAGTAGTCAGTGCCATATCACGATAGATTAGGACACGGTGGACCTCCTGCTCTAGCTGTATACTCACCCAAGTCTGACTTAGTTCAGTACGCTTCCATCGAGCACGCTAGCTGGGACATACGGATGCACGCGGTATCCCGCAGTTCACGATGCCTTGGTAATATGTCCTGCGGTCGAACAAGACGATTGTGCGTCATGCGTCCGAGAAGCTATGGCCCAGACCCTGCAGCCTTCTAGCACGGGCACTCGGAAGATGTCCGATTCGCCCGTCCCGCACACCGATTGTCAACCCATTGACACGCGTCGGTCACCGCTTGCATGACACGACGACAGACGACGGGGTAGTGCATGAACGAAGCAGCTCTTCAGACGAGCTAACAGATACGTCGCTGGGAGTCATAATTCGTTAGTCTGCTCATAAGTCACGTATAGAGCACACTCGCCTGTATTCAAGTTTGGGGGCAACGTTGCGTCGATGTCGCTGGAGAGGCGAGAGATGTACAGTATTGCATGATGGAGCGAAGGAGCGTACGTGTGCTGATGCGACGAGTATAGCCCCAGGTACGTCCGAAGGTGTGGTTGCCGCGCGCTGCCTGGGATGCGCACAGCGTTAAATGCCAATGGCTTGCCCGACTAGCGTCTGTGATGCTATGGGAGGTTTGTAATCGAGATATGCTGTTTCATCTTAGCAGGGATCGAACGTTCAGTGAAGGATCATCGACGAAACTCGCAATACCTGCAGTTCGGTTGAGAAAGCCAAATTTTGATTGTGAGAATGGACAGCGAGAGTCAAGTATTGCGAAATCGAAATCAAACTCGAAACCGCCACGCGCTGATAGCTCCCGTACATTTTGCACCTTGGTAGGTCAGGAGCGCACGAACATTGATCACAGGTCCCAGGATGGCTGGAAGGAGAGCTTCAGCAATCGACATTCAGAGTAATGAGACCCGAATACGACCAACATGTTCTTGCGTGAGTGGCACACAACTGCGCGAGGCATGGCCGAGGCCCGCAACCCAATCGTCGTACCACCTCTTGATGTGGTCCATGCCGCCGGACCCATCGCACCCCTCCTTTGCCGACACTACAATACGCGCGTCATACACATCCGATGCCATATAGTCCTGAAGCCCGGAAAGCTCCGTCTCTGCGGACGTATCTCTTCCGAACAGGGAGACAATTCTCATCCGCTTGAAGCCACGGGAGGCATGCTTGCCAACGAGGCGAAGCTGGCACACGCCCATCCCTAGATTATCATTATCCCACTTGGAATCCGGGGGAAACCCGAGGTCGGGTGGCATGGGTCTGGAGCAGTTGTATAGGTGGGTGATACTCTGTACGCTGGGCGATCGCAGAAGGAGGCACACCGTCTTGTCGGTGAGCTCCGTGTGCACGAAAACAATGTCGCGAAGGGCAGTGAGATGAGAAATGTCTGGTAGGTCGAGGGTCGCATGATTCCTGACGCGAATTGACAGCGACTCTAGCGTCACTGGGAGGTGGGGCACGATTACGCCTATGATCGTAGCGGGATAGCCGATCATCGCCAGCGTACGCAGACTTGGGCACAGCTCGACGATTCCAAGAGTAGCATTCCATAGACGTGATCGTCCGATGATAGTTTGACCAACACGTTCGCGCCCCGTCCCTCCGAGTTGGGGACGAGTGCCTGTGCGATTGGCTCGGGACCGGCGGTTCCTGCCTACCCAGAGATGATGGACATAAGTATGAAGGGGGCGTTCAGTAAGACGTGTGGCGGTAGTGTGCCCTTCTGAATCCGAATTAAATGAAGTGAGCACCGCGCGTTGAAAGGAGGCAGCTTGGGTCGGCGTCGTCAGCACGACTGTAGAGTAGAGGATAGGGATGATCCACGCGTAGACGGTCTTGCATGTCTGGGACAGTGCTGCAGCCATCGAGCGGTCTCCTTCAATCGCATCCAAAAATATCTAGTGCGGCATCATAGTAAAACGTACGTGTGTTTGTCAAGCGTAGGTCCGAAGATGTGGTAGACTCAGGACTCGGGACTCACAGGCTGAATGATCTCCAGCGGTAAGCTGTGGCTTTCGCCATCCGTCTTTCGAGATTCAAATGGCCTCTGCATTGATAGAGGATGGATCCAATGATGTATAGACGATAATGGCGAAGTTGACGACGACGTCTGGTTTGTTGTGGCAGCAGCGACTGAACCGCGGTCGACGTAGTACGTAAGCAAGTACCGAGCACGTACTGTGGATCTCGATCCGGCAGTGGCTGATTCCCAGTGGCGCCTGCGGAAAGTCCTGCCAGTGTACTTGTGCATTCTACATATCGTCTACGTTCATCCCATCTCTCAGCAATTGGCTTGTTCTACGTCTTCTCTGGTGTGCTTATCATCGAGGAGCTGCACAGAACTAACTGCTGAAACGACATCATGCGCGTTATAATCACAGGTGAGTGCTCACTCAGCACTGAGTCGCGCTGTCTCACTATGTGTTGCTTCACATCCAGGTGCCTCTGGCATCCTCGGGTCCGCCGTCTACAAAGCCTACAAAGCTGCTGGTCATGAAGTTCTTGGACTCGCGAACTCGCGCCCGACGGGGGAGCTCAAGAAGCTTGACTTGCTCGATTCCGCGGAGGTGGAGCGGGTATTCATGGGGTTCAAGCCTGACTGTGAGCACAACGCGCTTGATGATGGGCTTTTTCTAACCGAAGAATTGGTGGGGTGACAACAGGGGTGATCCACTGCGCTGCAGAGCGCAGGCCGGATGTCGCAGAGAAGGTTGCGTCCGCTCGATCGCTGCAGCTCGAAGCGATAAGCTGATCCGCGCTGAACCAGAATCCAGAGGGCGCACAGCAGGTAAGTCATGCACACCGGATGTCGTCGATAGTCATTCGAACATGCCATCACACAGCTCAACGTCGGCGTCCCGGAGCACCTCGCCAAAACCGCGAAAGCGCTCAAGTTCACGCTCGTCTACATCTCCACGGACTACGTCTTTGACGGCACCTCGCCGCCGTTTCGCCCTCCGCGCGCACGAACCCGGTCAACCTCTATGGGCGGACGAAGCGTGACGGTGAGCTCGCGGTACTCGGTGTCGTGGACGCACGCGCAATCGTCCTCCGGGTGCCCGTCCTCTACGGTCCCGCACCCAACAACGCGGATACTGCCGTGAACATCTTGCTAGACGTCGTCGCGGACCAGAGCGGGAAGCAATACAAGATGGACCACTACGCGACGCGTTATCCGACGTGTGTCGTCGACATCGCCGATTTCCTCGTTCGGCTGTCCTGTAAGGAAACGTTGCCCAAGCTTGCGATCATGCCGATGTAGTGCTGATGCCGCGGATCTGTATAGCACTGCCCGCCTCGAAGGCTATCCCGCCGATCCTACACTACTCTGCCAGCGAGCCGTTCACCAAGTACGAGATGTGTCTGATATTGTCCCGTCTCCTCGGCGTGCCTCATAGTCACATTATCCCGGATGCTGAGGCCCCGACGGTGCGTTACTTTCATCTCTCGCTGTCTTCACCATCACGCTGACCGCTTACATGGCTGCTTACTCGGCATCGGTCTCGTGTAGGGAGACGCTGCTACTACGCGGCCACGAGACTGCCAGCTGTACACGCGCGAGACAGAGGACCTCATGGAGGGCCAAGGCGGGCTTGGCTGGACCCCATTCGAGGAGTGGTGGCAAGAGTATTGAAGACCAAACAGTGAAGCGAATCGCGCATGAAGCGAGGAGGCAACAGAAGCAGATCTCACGAGACGACATATGTAGGATTCACTAGCCAGAGAAGAGCGGGGACAAGAATGTACTGTATTGCGATGTTCTGACTCGAAGTCGACGCGGGCTGTCTCAGTTGCGTAGGTCACTGTTCAAGTCACTAAATGTTCACTGGATGTGACCATCTCGACAACGATGACGGAAGATCACGTGCGTGTGACGAGGCGCGTTCGTGACACGACGTCATGTCGCCCGCGAACGCGCCACGGTGTGAACGCAAACTGCAGGCGTAGCCGTAGGCATCCCTATATAAACCCACCGCGCCTTAGTTGCCATCCTCACCACACTTGATTCCGTTCACAACCACAGTCATGTCCAGCAAAACCACCTCCGGAACCAACTCGCCGCCCCTCGAAGCGACGGGCGAGGACTCAAGCCTATGGGGGTGACGGGCGCAAGCGGCGCAAAGCCTGATGCAGTGTCCGACGCTGAGCAGCGCCAACGTGCGTGCTTCACCTGCAATGAGCGAGTGGACAAGGGGGGCTGACAAGAAGGACGGTCTTGCAGAATACTTCAAGGGTGCGGAGACTGGCAAGCAGACCGCAGACCAGGTCGGCACTGGGCAGCCGGTGAGCACAACATAGGCCATACCCACGGTTACTAACTTCCGGATGTCGTCTAGGATAAGGTCAAGACCGACTGAAGCAAAGTACACGAGATGGAAGCAGAGATGTACGATAGAGCGGCTCCAATGTATACCTAGCGATTAATGTACTGAGACTCGCGTAACCAAAGCCACCGTGCCATGAAGTCCTAGAATTGAAGAACTTAGTCCTCGGGAGACATGAGCGAACGTCCATGAGGCATAGTCGTTATCAGCCCTGAGTTCAGACAGCACACAACTTCGCGCCCGTTGCAAGCAGTGACCGCAACTCCGGGTCGATGTTGCATCACTTCATGGATGCTACGGCTTGTTCCAGTTCCCTCGCAATAAGTGAGTTCGGGCAGGACTTCCTTAATTGTCTGTTTGGCAACGTCAGTCATTCCCCTCGTCCCCTCGTAACCCAAAACGAGGACTCACTCCAACTTTGCCTTATCCCCACGCTCCTTGCACTCTTTCGCCGCCGCACGCCACTCATCGCACAGCACGTAGAGGTCCACGCGCTTGTGCGCGTCACAGCGGAGCACGTACGTCGCAGCCTCTTTCTTGTGACCCTTCTCGACGAGGTGCCGCACAAACGGCTCGTACCCGATCGGCGACCGTTTCGAGCGCGCGAACGCGTCGAGGCCGTCAAAGTCCCGAGTTACGGTGAGCGCGTGAAGCTTTACATACCAGAAGCTGTAGTATGATTAGGTTCATTGGCGGTGGGACATGGAGGAGTCGAGAGTGCGTACCGTTTTCAGGGACTTTGAAGTCCGCCTTGAGCTTGTCTGCGCGCTTCGCCATGCCGTTGAGGAGGCAGGTTCGGATGGTGTCGTTCACGCTCTGCCCGAAGAATGCGATCTTCCCGTCTGCCTCTTTCTCGAGTTGTTGCTGAGCAGTCAGTAATCGCGCGTACTCGTCTGTCATCTTGTATGTAGAACATCCAACGTGAGTATGATGGACAAACTACAGAGTACTAGAGGCGCAAACCTTAGCTTCGAACCCTCGCTCCTTGTCCTCGGAGAAGAACTTCTGTGCAGCCTTCACCGAGCTGATCTTCGAGTTCGGGTCCTACAAACACCATGAGTACACAATTCATTAGGCTTAGGATGGCTCCCACCTGCATTGTCGCAGCTTCCTCCAAACAGAGAACGGCGCTCTCCACGCGTCGATCGTCCGAGTAATAGAAGTCCCTCAGCATCTCCCTGTTCTGCTCTCTCGCGTATACCTGGAGGAGTCGGCTTGCTGGAGCGAGCTTCGACCCGCCTTCTTCGATCAGTCGGAAGAATGAGCCGAGGGGTAGCCGGCGCTGGAGGTAGAGGAGGACATGGTATACTATACCGTGCAACTGTCAGACACAACGACTGAGTACTGATGATTTGGGACATTACCGAGGTCGGTGTCTCCGCTCTCGACCGCCTTCGTAAGTGCAAGTCTGTCCTCCTTCATGCTCAGAAGGAGCGGCACCTGGTCCGAAGCCCTCGGTTCATGGTCCAAAAGCTACGACACCTCTCAGCGGCCACCCTCAGACAACCACAGAGCAGAAGGAAATTCCAACCCACCTTCGTCGCCAGCGTCGCCCTCCCGACCTCCCACGCGCGCTTCGCAATATCCGCATAGCTCACGTCGCCCCGGCCCAAGCTCTCGAACTTCTCGACGATGCTCCGACAGACCGCATCATCCCCGTCGAGCTCCGCGTCTCTACCGCTTCCCGTCGCAGTCGGTTTCGAGCGCACGATCTTCGCGCACGCCCAGTGCTTGAGAACGGCATCAGGCTTAAGCGAGAGGTAGGAAGATACGCGGAGCGCGAGGAGGTGCAGGCTGCGCGCGGTGAGCCGGTCGATGAGGTGTGCAGGTGAGAGCTGGGTGTATCTGCGTGATGCAAAGTTTAGCGAATTGATTGAGGCAACCTGGAGAAGCACGGGTCGAGCTTACTGGGCGTACGAGATGGGTATGCCGATCTCGTAGAAGCGTACGGCATTCAGAACCTTGAGCGCTCGTCCCATCTGTACGAAATCCGTCGGGTCGTACAAGTCGAGGAACGCCCGTCCGAACTTCGCCGCCTACATGCCCATCACGCGTCAGCAGCGCCGATTCCCCGCGCGCAAAAGCGTGCTCACATTCAGGAGACGCCGCTGCCAGGCTGGCTCCCACTCCCGTCCTGCCGCATCGATGCATTCGTTAACGGCAGCGCCGAGCTCGGGGCGAATGTTCCGGATACTTTCGTCGGCCTTGGGCGACTTCCGCATGAAGTTTTCCCAGGCGTCATATAGGATCGCTGATGGCGACGTAGAACCTGGTCTAAACACAGAGACGGATGATGCTATGATGTGATATTAGATGTTAGATGGATCATCAACATGCGTACGACGTACGCGATACTTTCTGGACGAAGTCGCAGCTGTCGGGACCAATGACACGAATACCGTCCACTTCCGTGATGGCAAACGTCGGTCCTGAGTAGAAGTACCTATTAAGACGAGTTAGGTAGGATCGATCCGCGCACTCGAACACACGCACTGCAGCGTATCGCCAAACGGCCCTACCAACACTGCGAGACCGTCCCACGTCACCAGCACCGCATCATTCCCGCACCACTCAACCTGGCTCACGTCGCCTACCGCGCCCGCGACGTCCGTCGTGTTGAATTCCGCGAGGCTTCGCTGGAAGTCGGCCGAGACGACCCAGAGGAGACCCGAGTAGGTAAGGAGCGCGAGGGACTTGCCGTTCGGCGAGGGCGCAAGGAACGTGAACGGCCCCCGGGAGAGATGCTGGTCGAGCGACTCGAGGTTGTCGACGCTGTAGATGGAGGAGTCGACGGAAAGGAGCACCTCGACGTGCCGTGAGATGGTGAGGTCGGGCGGGACGACCGCCCAGGAGTGTGGTGGCTGGGTGAGACCTAGCAGTGCGCGTTGGTGTCGCGGGAGTTGCTGGAGCTGGTTCGGACTCACCTGGATTCGCTAGTGTTAGCGGTTTGCCACCGTCCCACCCCTTCGCCTCCAGTAACGTCAGCGACCCCGTCAATGCCACCAGCCCGCCCTCGTGTATGCGCGCGTCGATGATGCCCATCTCCGCTGCTTCATTGCCCAGCGAGTGCTGCTGATAGTCGCCCTGAAGGTCGTACAGACGGTATACACCCTCGTCATTCAGGACGGCCAGTCGCTCGTCGTGCGTCCACCCGAACCGGACAATCTTGCCTTGATCCCACTACCACGAAGTCAGCGGTGCCCGGGTGAGAGAGCAAGGGATAGCCACACTGAATATGAGCAGGCCCTCGCCGGCGGAGGAGTAGACGTGAATCTGCGCCTTCGCGAAAGACGTCGTGGCGAGACCGAGGGCGACCATCTTCGTGGTGTCTCTCATGAGAGCTATATGGCAGTCGGGTCAGAGACAGCTGCTGAAGCACAAAGCTCGTGTGACGTGCCTATTGGGCCACCGTATCGACATCCTGCGACGATGAAGTTGCCCAGGTCGGGCAGCTTGCCGGGTATTGAGTAGAGCTGGTGCCGTTTGTAGAAGACATTGCCATCTTGTATGGCTTCCCACGACGATGTTGGGTGTCCGTCATTGCAGAGAAGCGGTACACGTTCCTTTACCCAGATGATTGGATCTATTTAACCTGTATCGTCTCCGTTGATGGTGGTCTACGAATGAATGTCACAAAATGTAATCGAGGGTACCCACCCAGAGTACACTCACCAAATAAGAGACCGTAGATCGTGTTGTTGTAGTATGGTACTAGTTCGAAGAGGGAGAGGTAACAAGGTGTAACGCAAATCTGGACCTTTACCCAGCGTGACGATAGCGTGACTTATTACCATATGCAGTATCGCTTCCGGCGCCTAGTCTCACTCTCCGACGACGAGTCCCTTGCCGTCGATTCCCTCGTCTGCGTCTTCCTGAGTTTCCGATGTTTGAAGTTCCTTGCGAGCAGAGTGCCGATGCAACGGGCACAGAAGGGAGTGTATGGCTTCGTGAAGCCGTGAGATTGAGTGTTACTCACCAGCGTCAGTGATGCAAGAGCGCGCGTTCAACAGCATCACGTGAGCGTGTTCACGCGCGGCAATACATGTGTCATTGTCATGCTCAAGTTACTCTCAGCTTGACTATGCTCTGTAGGCTCCAGTATCAGCTACGACACCTAGTTACAGGAGTGGACTTACTATACACAAGAATTGTCTGGCACAGCTTGCGTTCACAGCTCCCCAATAGCCGGAAGACATCTGTGTCACACGTCGGTAAGTATTGGGTCTACTTACTCTTTCGCTGTGCACGTAACGTTCAGCGCTCGGCAATGGCTCAGAGTCTCGAGAAATTCAGACGAAAAGTACATTTTACATGAAATGCGCCCAATGCAGATTGCCGATACATGAAGAGTACACAGAGTTATGGCTAGTTATGGTTGGGCATCGGCAGGGCGGCTTGAGGGCGCCCGGCACCTGGCGGCACTGGGCAGGCCCAAATGCCTAGAAATCTAGATTTCGGCATCCCCGGGGCGCATCAAGGCGGGTGGGGCAGTGGCGGGACGGGCCTGAGTCGGCCCGTCGAGTTTCTCGTTCTCTCCCTCGCGCCGGATATCAGTAGCCTATTATTTGTAACAGCACTTCTCATCTCGCTTACCTGACGCTTACCATGCCCTGCGAAACCGTTTCGCAGGGGTTCCGGCGGGAAAATCGCCCATGATATGATCATGGGACTCTTATTCGTCCGGAAAGGAAGCCTGTCCACCGTTCAACTCCGCATCTTCGTACGGTCGTCCAGTGGCAGCGGTCAGGTCCTTCCCGTCATATAGCACACGCATCAAGCATCAAGATTAAGTACTCGTCGTGCGAGCCAACTGCCAGTGGACGCACTGTGGCGCATCGGAAGTGCAGTCACCTCAGTTAGGGATTACGAGACGCGTCTATACTATATCCAGCCAGCAGCCCGTCCGCTTCTGCCCTATCTCGCTTCTGTATCAGGAACTACCCGTCTTCCACAGAACGATACCAGAACACGACTTTGCTAAGCAGAGGATGCGTTCCTCGGCCTTCCTCGAGCTCGACACTCGAAGCGGGCTGGGCCTCCGCGACGTGCGAAACAACCAAGCCCCGCTGTGCTCGGGAGTGTACTTATGTATTGGCGGTAGAGGGCACGGCATTCTACGAACGAGGAGCAGCCCGTCCGAAGACTGACACTGAGGATCCATGTGTTGGCGCGTTGTTCGACGTTCATTCTTCGGTGCCGTGCGCCGGTGTGCGGTCTCCCTAACTGAGGCACACCCGGGCCATACTGAGCCCAGTCCTCCAGCTGCCAGGGTCGCTCGAGTTTCGATGTGACCTGGAATCTGGATCCGATTACAAACGGTGAGTCAGATGTGCACTGTCTTTCTCTGTCTTTCTGAAACTCAAAACGTAACTCACTGACCGGGCTCGCCTCAGCCGAAGTCAACCGGTGTCGAGAGCCATCTGGCATATGCATTTGAGGGCATTCGATGCGGCCCAGAGTTTCGCAGGCGACAGACATGGCAGCTTTCGCTCTGAGATGGAGTATCTGTAGTCTCGATGTGACCCTCCACTCTCGCACAGAAGTCGCCACGTACATAAACGACCTTGCCCTTGACCGCCCTATTTCATGTCCTCCCGTAAGACTCTCATGTTCATATCCGTTCAAGCTTCGCAAACACGTCGTGTGAAGGATCAAGGTCCCACTGATAGTGAGTGGGTGATACCGTAGGTTACTTACTGTTCACCCAGTCAACTCGTGGGTTCTCGACTTCGTGAACGCAGCGGGGCGACCCGTTACCGATTTATTTGCTTGGCGGCACGAAGATGATGGATGTCACGGTAGTGGCCATTGGGGGATGTCCTGTTATCGCAGGCGTCCCGGGCACTGCAGTGTCCGGGTGTTGCGCCGTGCAGCCAGACGCAGCGAGTCGCTAAATATACGACGAGAGAGATCGCAGCTAAGTCGAGCCAAGCAGGTCGTCGAACGCGGCGGCAAAACGATGGGTTGAGGACGCCTCGACCGCGCCGGGAAAGGGATAGCGGGCGGAGCTGGATCTGGTCTGCGCGCGCGGACAGTGAGCCAATGGGGTGCGTGGATCGCTGGTGGCGGACGTATCGGGCTGATGCAAAGGCTGATGCGGGGGCCAATGGCAGCGATTCTGCCGCAACGAAGCGAAGGAGCTGCAGACCGGGTAGCGCGCCTGATGCCTGCGAAGCGCGTGTAGAAGCGGGGGTCGATGATGCGGCTCCCACTCATGTTATAAACCAACGGCCGGTCTTGGTGCGCGTTGCTGTGCCCTGCCACGTCTGACCTAACGCTCTGCTGCCGCCTGCCCATGCTGCTTTGACGTTCCTGATTTCTGTACACTACATATGGTTGCCCGGCCTCGCCTCGACACTGTCCTCGGACGCCCTTCCATCGACAGCCTGGAGCCGGACTTCTCCGAGAGGCCGACGAGCGCGCGTGAACAGCCTGGTCAAGTCTCCCGTCAGTGCTGCCGACTCGGACGCACCCTCGCGTCCGTCGCTTTCAGAGACCTGGCTACTAGGCAGGCGGCGGTCGCGCAGTCGGACGCGCACGCAGTACGCTCCTTCCAGCTTTCCTTCTCCGTCCGTTCCTGCGCCAGAGGAGCCGGATTTCCCCCATATCTCCGTTTTCAGGTATGTCACGCCTCCGCCGCTACACCACGCCCGTTGACCTCTCGCAGGATCCCAAATCAATTTGAGTTGCATGTATGGAGCCAGTCTGTCAAAATGACACGGCCCCCCGGCTACGAAACTCCCCGCTCGTTGCCAGTGTTCGACACGCACAGCAAGATATCTGGGACGGTGCTCCTCGACTCAGGGTTGACCGCGAACCCAGGTCGCCTGACCATCTCTGTACGTGCTACGTGTGCCGGCGAATCGATCCCTCCGGCTTGAACTGACTACAGACGCCCAGATGGAAGGCGCGTTCGTGTACATTTCACCACCCTCGTCGGCCAGCAAAACCTCAGGGAAGGTGCCTGCCTCAGGGATGCACCGCCATGTGTTCATCCAGTCAAGCATGGTCGTCCCCGTCGAACAGCCTCAGATGACGAGGCAGCGCTCAAACTCCTCGTTACGAGAGGCGTTTACAGCAACGGTTGCTCCCCGTAAGCTTAGGCGACGGCCGAGCGAATCCAGCGTGGCTTCGGGCGTGCTCAGACCATATCCGTTCACGCTCGAGGTCCCGCCATCCGGGCAGCTGGGCGAGGAACTGCCGCCAACGTTCTCCGCCGTAGTGGAGGGCCTCGTAGGGCCCCGGGGCCGAGCGTATGTCGAACGATCTGAGATCACATACAAGCTTGTCGCGACGTGGGAGGGCAGATCAGACGCGCCCGGCGGTGATGCGAAGTTGTCGTGAGTGGGCGATCACTGCGTGTTGTTGCTGATGGGGGATTGACGACGCGGACGTCTAGGATCGAAGCCCCGATCATATTCGAGCCTGACCGCGACTTTGAGTCGCTCGACGGGCGGTCGCGCGACAAGGATACATGGCTCGAGGCCACATTGCACCCAGAACGTCCCGTCCCATTCACATGCGCGGTACGTAGGCAGGCTTCCCTGCGCGGTAATTGAGTGTGATTCTCACCGGACTCTACACAGGTCGCAATCCCGGAAGCTGCATCCTTCTCACGCTCCTCTACGATCCCTTACTACGTCGTCTTCACCACGACGCCGCGCTCTGCCACGCTCGCGCGCGAGATCGTGCTCGACGCGACGATAACCGTCGCGCTCGTGCGCCAGGTGAACATCGAAGTTCCACCGGGCTCGCCAATCTCGCCCTACCTTTCCTCGCCGTCTCTGTCCTCGCCCGCGCTCACGAGCGCGTCCACGACGAGCCTCAGCTCCGGCAGCGACGACGCGACCTCCGTCATCCTCGCGCACAAGACGCGGCTGCTCAAGCGCCTTGTGAACAGCGCACCGCCGCGGCTCCCGCGCCGCGGGCTCAAGCTGTCCTTCCCCGTCCTGGGCCACGCGCGCAGGACTCCGAGCGAGGTGGCCATCCCACCACCGCTTGTTGAGGAGGAGGGGTACCAAGACGAACGTACAGTGTACACGGATGTCTACGCAGGCTTTCCGAAACGGCCAAGGCTGAGGACGGAGCCGGGTCGGAAGCATCCGACCTTGGACGCGACGGCGATGCTCCCGGATGGACTGTACAAGGCGAAGATGCAGCTGCACCCGCAGATGATCCCGAGCATTAACTGGGCGGATCTGGTCGTCAAGGTATGTGTCCTGCGATGGCAGATGGTTGGGCTACCGCTGATGTTCGTAAATGGTGCAGTACTACCTTGAAGTGTCGGTCGTCTTCGGGCAGGACGAGACACGCGCGCGAGTCCCCGTCCGCATAGCGTGAAACGAAACAGAAGCCGCTCCTTTCATGTACAAAAGCATCCCCCGCCGTTCGAGTAATTCGACACGACCCGCTCCGACTCCGCATTCCACCGCATCCATCACTCCATGCCATCGTCTCCCTGCCTCTTCGCATTTAACATTATTGTTTCCTTCGCACCTGCTAGCCTGCTTTGTTGGATCCTTCACGTCCACGTCCATTCGTTGTTCATACACGCACACACTGCCACATTCGTCGCGCAAGATCGTCATGCTGTCCGTACCCCCGTCTCCTGTTGCTGCACATACTGATTTCGTAAATGAAATTGGAAAACGGCCTCTCGGGTTATACTTGGATTGCGTGGGATTCGGAAGTCCGTTCCTGCTTTATTGTCTGCGCGTGCTTAGGTTCAAGTACTCGGAGCCTGAGTCAGGGTTGTCCTGTGAAAATGAAGCACGCGGGGAATGGAGGATGAAGCAGTGAGTCTGGTTGAGTATTACAGTGTTGAATCACGTAAGTTGCGGTACCTCACATGTACTAACTAGCGAGCAAGCTACCGAGCTTGCTCGGGTCGTTTCTTTGTTCAGCTCGATATGGCACACCTAAGATATGGGGTATGTGTATTTCGCACATCGTAGAAGCAACGTAGAAGCCGGGGCCTTCGTCCGCCGAGGAACATAACTTAACTTGGAATCTTGGATGGCAACGAGAGTTCACATTAAGCGCTCGTGTGCTTCAGGAGTTCAAATCGCCCAGCCTCGTCCTTCACTGCACTTCCCAGGTTCTCTGATCCGTGTCTGCTGTGCGCCTCGATGTATGCCTAAACGTGAGCTGCAACCTTCGATGGAACGAATTGGTCACGTCAGTGATACGAACGAGATAGCGCAGAAGCAAGCTGCGCGAAGACATTGGCAATAATTGAATAAACGTGAACTGTAGACGCGCCGTCTCGTAAGACTGCAATGCAGGGCTGCACTCCCGTAGCGGCGCCTCCAGTAGATACCCTCAGATAGCTGTCTTGATGCCCGTGCATCACGGCGAGTCACTAAATGACTGACAGGGAAGGAGGTTGGAAGCGCGAAGTCGCGTAGGCGAAATGTCGAAGTTGGGACGAGATTCCTTGCATCATGGGATACACTGATCATGTGTACGTGTTTCTGCCGAATCCCCTGCACGCTGGAGACCCGATGGTCCGACGGATAAGCGCTTGCGATACCGCCGGGAAGGACAATAGGCAAGGCATATCCGGTAGTGAGGAAATGGTTCTGTTCGTACTGTTACGAGGAACTGGACTACGGTCCAGTGGTGAGAGCCTTTCGTTGCCATCAGAATGTTGTCCATGAAGCTCTGTCTGTGCTGAGGTGACGCACGAAGTGACATGCTCATCGCAACAGCCAAGGACTGACATGGCGGACCATTAAAATTGCCCTAGCGTTGATACATATACTTAGAACCAAGAGACGCGTCGCACGGTCAATCAAGAGGACGAAAAAATGAGCGAAGAGTGGACCACTGTAATTTGCCCAATTGCGAGGACGTAGATAACATTGGGTGCGACGAATTGCTCATAGAAAGCACAGTAGCAACATCTCCTTCTAGTAAGGAGCAGCGGCAGCCTGGCACTGTGGGAATGTGTCAACATTACACCAATACTAACATAAGAAGAAAGCGTCGACTTACGCCTTGAGTTGCTCCAAGTACCATGTGCACGAAGGCAGATCCGCCTTCTCCAAGCACTTCGTGAAGTCTACACGACCGAGTAGATTTGTCAGCTATCCAATTCTCCGCCAAGCCACGCCAATACTCACCCTTCGCCTGGACCTCACAACTCAGTCCCTGGTTCTGGTAAGTCTGCTGCTGGACTGGGGGAGCCTGCGCCTCAGGAGCAGGTGCAGCATGCGAGGAGCCACCGAACAGCATGTTCGAGATGCCGTGGCCGATGGTCGAGCCTACCGCGACGGAACCTGCGGTCGCCGCCATCTGCGCAAACATGCCCGGCTCCCGAGTCTGCGCCTGGGGCGGGACGGTCGGCGCGTGGTGCGCTGGCGGAGCCTGTGCACCAGAGTAGGGCGCCGCGGCGGTGTGTGCGCCTCGGCTTTGAGGAGGTGCAGCCGCGGGCGCGGAGCGAGGAGCAGGACGAGAAGAGCGGGATTGACGCTGCAAGACAGAGTTAGCAACCCATTGTCTTTCTGACAAGTGACTAAGTGCTCAAAGGACACGTACAGCCATGGTCAAGAGCAAGAACGAGGAGACGAGATGGTGGTGGTTGCAAGCAAAGGTGCAGACGTCGAGCTTTCGAAGCCGTCCCGCCACGCAAACCCGAGAAATCCGGCTGCGCACGTGCGCAGGTGTAGTAAGCGCCCATCGCGTACAGGCCCATCCGGCTATTTCCGGAAGCTTGTGGGCGCTTCTGGATACTTTGCTCGAGCCCGCGACTCTGTGGCAGTCACTGACTGCGTAGCCGACGCGCTCCTTTCCTTGCCACGACCATGTCCTCGCAGCTGGGTCGAAGATGTCTTAGCGTTGCATCAAGATCAACGGACCTGCTCAGTGCGAGGTGCACATCACACTCGCGGCTGCTCGGCGGACTTGTGCGGAGTCCGTGCCGGCGATCCTACGCAATGAGCAGGCCGAAGGTGACGAAAAGCGAGGAGGACTTGTCGGCGGACGATATTATCAAAAGGCTGGAAATGGTGAAACTTATGGAGAAGCAGCTGCCGTACGACCCTTGGGCTCAGTCGGTGCAGACGTTCGGTGAGCCCGCTGTCCGCTGTGTGCGTGGCTCCATGTAATGAACGCAAAAGCTTAAGACTTGACCATCCCGAGTCTGCTGTCGAAGAAGAAGGACGCTGCGCTCACAGACCACCTGCAGGCGGCCGGCTCGACATTTCGGAATTGGGTCCGCAACATCATGAGGTCAGTGTTCCAAGTCGTGCGGTCCTTTGGAGAGGTGTTCACCCTGTCGTCCAGTATGCGCATGATGGCCGGTGACAAGGGCTTCCCTGGGATCGCGAAGACGTCACCTTGGTCCCCACAAATCTTTAGAGCGCAGTCAACAAGTGACTCAGCGTGGGTTGCACCACTCCGTAGAATGGCGTTGGACACCTACACGAAACTGAACCGCGCCGTTGCCGAGTACGTCTTCCCCTCTGTCTTTCTTGCCTCACCCTCCTAGACTGGCGTTTTCGCAGGCGCGACGAGGAGACCGTCAAAGAGCTTTCCATCGGCGACATACGCGCACACTACGTCAAGCTGGTCCGCCAGCAGGACCCATCCAGGAGATACGTATGGAACTACCTAGGCGAGCGGTCGCCGTGTCGATTACTCAGTGTACGCAGCGTTCCGGCGCATATGGGCAGGGTCGTACCGAACAACGGGTCGCGCCTACTCACTCAGGTCCTCGTGCGGTTCGACACCCTCCAGGTAAACTCGATGTTATTCCCTGACAATTGACGTGCAGTCCTTGACGCGGTGTCCAACAGAGCCTCGATATCTATTCGAAAAAGGGCAACCTTTTGCACAAGCAGGATCCGAGGGCCGTTGTAGAGCATCTAGTGCTACAGAAGCGGATGTGGTACGACTCACCGTGGGTCATCCGGGACGTCCTGTATGAGGGCTTAGAGAGCCGTGAAAAGACCATCTCTACGTGAAGCGGTGATCACGGAGGGCGTTATGTCGTCGTGTGCTAACATACACGGAGTGTTAATGCTGGATATTGAGTAGATCAGTATGCTATTGCCCATTCGAAGGGCTCGCTCTCCAGGTGGCTGCTTTGCACGGCCTTGCTGCTTGCGCATGCTCGTGGTTGGGAACAGGACGATGTGACTGACTGATCCAAGACTGATCAGAGGGGTGGATCTTGTAAGCCGGATCGAGATCCACGGTACGTGCACGCGCTCTCGGTGCTTGCTTATGTACGTCGCCGTTCTGTTGCTGCTGCCACATCAGGCCACATCGTCGTCGTCTTCGCCGTTATCGTCTATACATCATTGAACCGCATCCTCTATCAATGCAGAGGATATCTGAATCTCAAAGGATGGATGGCGAAAGCCACAGACTTAGACTACCGTTCGAGATCGTTCAGCCTGTGAGTCCCGAGTCTACCACATCTTCAGACCTACGTTGCCAAGCACGTACGTTTTACTATGGTGACGCATTAGCTCTTTCTAGATGCCATTGAAGGAGACCGCTCGCTGGCTGCAGCACTGTCCCAGACATGCAAGACCGTTCACACATGGATTATTCCTATCCTATACTCTACAGTCGTCCTGACGAAGTCGACACAAGCCGCCCTCTTTAAACGCACGCTGCTCACTTCATTCAACTCGGAGTCAGACGGGCAGCTTACCGCCGCGGGTCCTAATGAACTCCTCCTTCATACCTATGTACGTCATCTCTGGGTAGGGAGGAAACGGTCCCGGGCAAAACGCACAGGCACCCTTCCCAACTCGGAGAGACGAAACGCGAACGTATTGGCCAAACTGTCATTGGACGATCACGTCTATGGGATGCCACTCTTGAGATTGTCAAGCTGTGCCCAAGTCTGCGTACGCTGGCGATGATCGGCTATCCTGCTATGATCATAAAGTGGATCGTTCCCCACCTCCCGGTGACGCTACAGTCACTGTCAATTTGCGTCAGGGATAACGTGATCCTTGACCTACCAGACATCTCCCATCTCACTGCCCTCCGCGACATCACTTCCGTGCACACGGAGCTCAGCGGCAAGACGGTGTGCCTCCTCCTGCGATCGCCCAGCGTACAGAGCATAACCCGCCTATACAACTGCTCCCGACCCATACCACCCGGGTCCGGGTTTCCCCCGGAATCGAGGTGGAAGATTCTAGGAATGGGCGTGTACCAGCTTAGCTTCGTTGACATGCATACCTCCCGTGGCTTCAAGCGGATGAGAATTGTCTCCCTGTTCGGAAGAGATGCGTCCGCAGAGACGGAGCTTTCCGGGCTTCAGCAGTTCACGGAACCGTACACGCATGACCCGCGTATCGTTGTGTCAGCGGAGGAGGGATATGATGAGTCCGGTGTCGTAGACCACATCAAGACGTGGTACGACGACTGGGTTGGGGCCTCGACCATGCCTCACGCAGCTGTGTGCCACGCACGCAAGAACATGTCAGTCATCTTCGGGTCTCATCTTGAATGTCGATTGCTGAAGCTCTCCTTCCAGCCAACCTGGGACCTGTGATCAACGTTCGTGCACTCCTGACCTATCATGCATGCAAACCATTCAGGAGCTATCAGCGCGTGGCGGTTCCGACTTTGGCTTCGATTCTGCAATACTTGACTCCCGCTGTCCATTCTCACAATCTAATTTTGCTTTCCCAACTGAACTGCAGGTATTACGAGGTTTCGCCTATGGTACTTCACTAAACGCTGGATACCTGGTAAAATGAAACAGAATCTCTCGATCACGAACCTCCAATACATCACAGATGCTAGTTGGGCAGGCCATCGGCAGTCAACGCTGTACGTATGTCAAGCTGCGTGCGGCCCGCAACCACACCCCCGGGTGTAAGTACCATGCGCATATACTCGTCATCAATACGCGTACGCTCCTTCGCCCCAACGTGCGTTGCATTCTCCTCCTCTCCAGCTACATAGGCGCAATGGACCCTTTAAACCTGAATGCAGACGAGTGTGCTCCGATATCCGTGAGCAGACAGTGATCCCGGTGCCACCGTCACGATGTTTGTCGAGCACGTCGTACGGCCGTCGTGATGATCGGCGGCCATGCATATTGGTTTGCTGGACAAGACTATCCTGTTGCTACTGTGTCAGCCCGCGACAACACGCAGTGTTTGTGAAAAGTCACCGTGTGCAGAAAACCTGGTTGAGAGCCACGTGATCGCGTCGTTGCAGGCGTCGGCGGCATATGCCGGAGCTCTCCACGGCATCCGCCGGCCACCATGACACCAATAGCCACAAGCGCGTCGCACTTGCGCCGCCAAAACACACTTGGCCTGCTTCAGCTCAGCAAGGATTTCAAGGAGCCGCGCAGCTTGGACAGTGTGCCGCAACCCGTATCGTGCGTACCCTACCACTCTTGGTTGCCATCGAATGTTGACCAGGTGCCAGCAGCCTGACCGCTCGAATTTGCTTGCTTACCCACTCTTGCCCCGCGTGGTCAATCAGAATGCGTCAATGTTCACTGGAAAGATGTTGCAATGTTTTTGCAAAAAATTAGAGCCCAAAACCCCGGCATCAAGATGGAGCTGGTGCTGTCCTCAAGTCACTACAGATGGTCGTGCTGATGTGTGGGACACCGACCGACGGGCGGTTGATGATCTCGTTTGGAGGTGTGGGTAATGCAGAGCAGCAGCTGGGCCGCATTAAGGTGCTCTACGAGGAAGTGGTTGGCAGAGCTTGACCAGGGCTCCGCGGGGTACGCAGAGAGTGCTGTCCGGAAGGTGAGTCTCCTTCGACTCTGCGTCCCGCTTGTGTAGCTCACTGGTTCTGCAATTTCTAGGGTGATTGGACAGCAGAGTTAGCCGGTACTGCCTTTGCGTGAGTCTGAGTGTGCGTGGTAGCCACGGTGGCAAGCGGCGCACCGTCTGCGCCGTCGCCTATCCGCCGTGTCATGTTTTTTCCCGGTACACGGTGCGCTTTCGTGGTTGTACACTACGGGGACTGACTCTGCACTGAGTATATGCGTGTTGCCGCAGCAATACGTTGGCTATACCAATAGGTCCACGTTGTTCTTCTGCAGTCTCAAAATTTAGAAGGGCACCGACGCCTACCATGATGATTGCGGCAACCATCTCCATTGAGCATCACAAACTCAAAGATGCCTGACTCAAATTCAAATCCCAGCCCGTTCTCATTCTCATATCTGCGTTTTGAGTGGAACTAAGGCGGCCGACGCGCCCAAATGGATGAAACGCCGCTTGCTACCGGTCGCCCCGCTCACGTCGGCGATGCCCTGCATCGTGGGACCGTGCACTTGTTTTCGGACACGGATTGGAATGGGGCAGGATGCCCGGTCGACTGCCAACTTAGCGCGTGAATGCGCCCAAACACGACGTGTCATTCTCGCATTCTATCAACCATTCGACCAAGTGCTGAAGCTGACAGGGATTGAACCAACGTGGCGCTGTAACGTTCCAGACTTTCCGAATCGGTAAGTCGACTTGCTTCCTCTATGCATGTTTGCGCTGGCGCCTGACATCTCCCATGCTAGTTCAGCATCTGTCAAAGACGTGACCAGTTATATACCAGCTAAGTTGATGAACAGGGGACCCGGTTCTCTCTTCCTCTCCTCCGCCAGGCACGCGCCCGTCTCTATACATATTTGCGATAGTACAGCCGCTCGAGGACGAAGTCTTATTGAACGGCAACGGCAACTTGAGTGGTGTGCTCGTCGTACGCGTGCTTTCGGTCAGACGGACACGATCCCTGCAGACGCAGCGAATGGTGAGATATCTTCCTGCTTTGCGGCGTGATTCCTCACTTCTCATTAAGACACCATTCGGCTGCCTATCATGTACGGTCCCAGGACGGCCCAGGGTTTGATCACGGACGCCCGATTTGCCCTGCGCGGTGCCTGTTTTCTCTGCGCCGGCATAGTCGGAAACATGAAGCAGTTCTCGCCGGCCGACAGATTGTCAAGGTGCTATAGTGAGTTCCGTGACTGCCGAGACGCCCGGGTGCACTTACTTAGTTACTGACAATGAATCACCACTAGTGTTTACTTCGACGTTGGAATGATGTCGCGGCTGTCAGGATGCATGCGGGCTGGCGTTGGGCCGGCGGGTCGATACGTGCCTTCACCAATTCCAAGCGGTGGGAGTATCTCCTGTCTATTATGATATTTCTCGCCCAGTTACTTAGCATGCATGACAGGCCCTTGCGCGAACCTTACATTTATCAGACGTCCTATAAATGTAGGAACCAGGCGGCATGCCCGACGTGTTTGGTGCGAGCGCGGGGTACCTGGCCATGTGCTCTGCCTCCGATTCAGGCTTATCGTGGGGTGATGCCGCATCCTGACGTCGTGGCCGAGTTCATACTGTATTGGGGTCGCGCATATCAGGTAAGGTACAATGCTGGCGTACTCCAGTCGAACCCTAATTTTGTCTCTCACCGAGATGCATCGCGTCTGCTTCGGGACCTGAATACAAGCTGCGGCGGCTGGTAGCGGTTCCTTACGAATCCGGCCGAGATCCAGAAATCGGTACCAAACAAATCTTGAGGCGATCCAGAAGGAATTCCGGCTCATCATCGCGGTTCGCTGCTCTTGTCAGTATTGTTCTCGGGAACTGGAATCGGGTTGATGGACCTGAACTGTCAGGTGGGCAATGTAGCATCTAGGCCACAAACTGGAGACTGACCTGCAGTTGGAAATTGGTTGGAGAAGGCCACTATATATTTGCAGCGTTTATTGCCCCTGAGGGGGGTCGTATGGTGCTTTACAGCCGGCCACGATGCCGCAAGTAGGACGAAAATGCATTTGACGGGATGATCGATCGAGCAAGATTAAATCCCGCGGCTAGATCTTGCAGCTGCGGCCTGGTTGCAGCGACACGAACTATCCAGAATCTGAGCATGTGCCTAGTCGGTGTGCTTCCAGAAGACGCATAGGTTAATCGCAGCACCCTCGAACTCGTGGCGAATGCAAAAGAAGACGGATGCGAGCAAGGGCGTATCATCATACGCCGGCGCCGGCGGCGAATGGTCGGACGGGATTCACATGCGACATGGAGAAATTGATAGGACGCTCCTCCCGCCAACCAATCTCGATCGATCCTTCCTGGAGTGAAGACTCCCCAGGCACGGCTTCGGCGCTATCATCACGGGCATTTCGACTACCGCCGCAAGGGGTCGTGTACACGTTCGCCGTGTGCGGTAGATAGGCAGCCATTTGCGATTGCAAGTAAGCCTCGCGTCGCATGCTTCATTGGTGCACAGTTGACAGCAGCTTGCCAGATGCGAACGTCGGGTGCATGCGCCAAGGGAGGGCCACCAGGTCGTGCTGTGACATTTTTGTTATCTCGTGCGGGGTCACCACGCGGAGCCCATATGCCTATCTCTATGACCCGTGTCGCCCACATAGCCACATCCTGGTTAAATACCCAGCGTCGCCCGGTCCTGCTTCTCGACAAGGTGTGCCTATCCCTTGCACGTCGACGTTCGCGTCCCAGGTTCAGTCCGCCACCAGCATCCCAGCCATGGCGTCTCACCTTGCCATGTACGACGGCGACAAGCATCTCTCCGACTCTTCTCTCGAGAAGAAGCTCGAGGACGATGTCGCCGTCGACGACGTTGAGCTTACCAAGGAGGTCGAGGCGATGGAGGACCGCATCGCCAACGACGAGGCCACCGAGGCTGAGTACCGAGTGAGGAGGCCTACGAAGTCGCCGTCAAGGTAGCGCACAGCCATACCGTCTCTCGTACGCGTTCACTCACGTCCTCTACCCTAGGTCTTATCGGCGAGGGACGACCCCGAGCTACAGGCGGTAACCTTCCGCACAATCTTCCTTGGTCTTGGCTTCTCTGCATTCGGAGCGTAAGCATCACCGCCGGTCTGACAAAGACGCACGCCTGACTTTGATGCCACTATAGTGTGTTGGCGCAGATTTATTACTTCAAGCCCCAGACGCTCAACGTATCGGTGCTACTCCTGCTCATCCTGTCATACTGGTTCGGTAATGGAATGCACATGGCTCTGCCATCTCGTGGCTGGTGGCGCTGGGTGAACCCTGGTCCTTTCAACAGTGCGTATAGGATATCGTCGTGGGGCGGAAACCAGTGGCTCATGTGCTCTTCTGTAGTCAAGGAGCACACGGCCATCATTATTATGTCTTCCACGGCTGCCACTTCCGCCGTCGCGATTCAGGTCATCTCCGTGCAGAACTGTAAGTCAGATTTCAGGCAGTTATCGCTGAGTGAATTTCACTGATGCCGTTTGCAATAGTGTACTACAACAATGACATGGTGGGTCCCACGTCAAGCACTCCGCAGTTACCAGACGCTCACTGTCGCGCAGAATCCCGGAATTGCGATATTCACGTTGATCGGCTCGCAGCTGATTGGATATGGTTATGCCGGTCTGCTCTCTGAGGCACTTGTCCGTCCGACCAAGTGCTTCTGGCCCAATAACAGTGCGTTCGAGTTGACCGCATGTTGCGCACTGGCACGGTCACTGACGTTCGCCTTGCCCAGTCTACATCGCCAACCTGTTCCAGGCCCTCCATTACGACAGACAGATGACCTCTAAGCGTGTCCGCCTGTTCTGGACTGTCTTCGCTATCATGTTCTGCTGGGAAATCTTTCCTGAATGTGGGTCCAAGCCAATGTTTAGTCCGTGATCCTTGATACTGATGGTTTCTTGCCGATATGACAGGGATCTTCCCTATCCTCAGCGGTGTCTCAATCTTCTGCTTGGCGGATAACCACTCGTCCGTCGTGCGGAACGTCTTCGGTGGCGCGTCCAACAACGAGGGCATGGGTCTACTCGCAGTATGCTTCGACTGGAACCTGGTCGGATCCAACTGCCTCTATTCGCCGCTCTGGCTGCAGCTCAACCAGGACATCGGTATCTTCCTGACGTATGCCCTCATGTCTGCCGTGTACTATGGCAACCTCTGGAACGCCAAGGACTTCCCATTCATGAGCCAGGACATCTTCGCGGCGAACGGGTCCGTGTACGACCAGACCGCGCTGCTGAGCAACGGCAAGTTCAACGCGACCAAGTACGAGGAGCTCGGGCCCGCGTACTTCTCCTCGACGAACGCGCTCTACCTGATCACGTCGAACCTCTCGCTCGGCGCGGTCGTGACGCACATTGCGCTGTACCACTGGAACGACCTCAAGCCGTTCGTCATGTCGCTGAACCCGTGGAACAAGGAGGAGTACCCCGTTCACGACGCGCATTGGGAGAAGATGAAGGCGTACAAGCAGATCCCGCGCTGGTGGTACCTCGCCATCCTCCTCGCCGCGTACGGCATCGCGCAGGCGACCAACTACACTGGCGACTCCGGTCTGCCGTGGTGGGCCCTTACGATCCTCCTCTTCATCGGCTTCATCTTTTGTGCGCTGTACTCCACCCTTGCAGCCACCATCGGCTTCTCGGAGTTCAACACATCGGGTAACGGCTTCTTCCAGATGATCACCGGTGAGCTGTCTTTTATGCCCTGTTGGATTCTGCAGGATTGCTGACCGGCGAATCTTCCAGCGTACATGGTCCCCGGGCGCCCCGTCGCGAACATGTACGGCGCAATGTACGGCGCGCACCCTCTGCAGCAGGGCATCGCGTTCCTGCAGGACCTGAAGCTCGGGCAGTATTGCAAGCTCGCGCCGCGCGTGACGTTCTGCATGCAGATGGCGGGCACGGTCGTCGGCGCGATCCTCAACTACGTCATGATGCTGTCGATCATCAATGCGCAGCGCGACGCGCTCCTGTCGATCGCGGGCACGCGTCTGTGGTCCGGCCAGAACGCACAGAGCTACAACTCGAACGCGATCGCGTGGGGCGCGCTCGCCCCGCAGATGTTCGGCGCGCACTCGACGTACAAGATGGTCCCCATCTCGCTCGCGATCGGGCTCTTCCTCCCGCTGCCGTTCTACCTCTGCGTGCGTGTTCCTCCGTGTTGGATTGCTATGATACGAAACTGACGTGGCGCGTGCAGTACCGCATCTGGCCCAAGGCCGGCTTCGAGAACCTGAACACGTCGATCATCATGCAGTACTCATGCTACCTGTCCGTCGGCGTGAACACGTCGGTGAACACGTCGATGGCGCTCGGGATCCTCTCGCAGTGGTGGGTGCGCACGCGCTACCCGCGCTGGTTCACGAAGTACAACTACATCGTCGCGGCCGCGCTCGACGGCGGCACGCAGGTCATCGTCTTCATCCTCAACTTCGCCATCTTCGGCGCGGCGGGCAAGACGGTGGTCTTCCCGCAGTGGTGGGGGAACGACTTCAACCTGTCGGCGGACCGGTGTCTCGCGCCGCCGTCGTAGGGCGTGGGCTTTTCACTTGTGGACTTTTGACTTGGGCTTTGATGTAGCGTAGTATACGACGAGTTCACCTTGTGCTAGACGGTGGATGTGCGACGATAATGTACGAGAAGTAGTGTACGCCATGACACGGGATGGATCCATAATGCACCTTCCATCTCTCTGTTTTACGTCTGGGTTGCCGGGTCTTGAGGCTTCCAACGCAGCAGCAAGTGCAGTGTCGCACTTTCTCCCAGCAGGGATGGAAGACTTCCAACAACATACATCATTACTTCATCATATCCCACTTTGTAGGTATACATGCGAACACAACGTAGGTGACTGCCTATGCCCCATTCGTCTCGCGCTCGACCGCCTCGGCCATCTCACCCAGAGTGTCGAACCTGAACGTCGCCTTCGACCCTTCGGCCTCATCCCAGCCAATGCGCGTCCCCTTCCTCGAGATCCACGCCGTCCCCAAGCCGATCTCCCTCGACGGCTGCACGTCATGCGACACGCTCACCGCGACGACGAGGACCTGCTCCCGCGGGACGCCGAGCTCTGCCTCCACGCGGCGCAGCGCGTACTCGCGCGCACGCGGATCGGGCTTGTACGCGCCGGCGTCCTCCGCGGTGTAGACGGCCGAGAAGCGGAAGTGCGGCGCGTCGGACGGGCCCTCGAGCGCGCGCTGGGTGTGTGCGAAGGACGCGCGGTCGACGTTGGACAGGACCGTGAGCTTGAAGTGCTTGCTGAGCGTCGTGAGCGCGGCGATCGTGTCCGGGAAGGGCGGCCACCCGCCGATGCTCTGCCCGAACGCGGTGTGCGCGTCCGGGGATTCTGACGCGGACGCGGAGGACCCGACTGTAGTGCCCTCGACCACCGCGCCGGAGCTGTTCTCTACGGTAGCGGCTGTGCTCCCGGAGGGTTCGGCAGGTGCGGAGAGGTTGTGGGCGCGCGCGTCGAGCTCGGCGTGGACTCGGGTGAGGAGCTCGCTGTAGCGCATGGTCGGGTAGCGGGACTGGAGGTCGCGTTCGACGTTCTCGTACGCTGTCAGGGCGGCTTCGCGGGGAGCCAGGGGCGTGCCCGCGAGGATAGGCTCGAGGCCGCGCACGATGCCTGACTCCCAGTCCTGTGAGGGAGAAATGACAGAATTAGCGTGGGGTCGTTGTGAGGATGCCGGAAGCGTCACAGCGAAAAAATCAGTGGGGGGATTGGGATGTTCATAGCATGGCTAGTAGCAAACAAAATACAGTCATCTAGGGCCTGTTCGGTAAGCCGGAGACGTTCGCTTGCTCGCCAGCGTCAGCCACTCGGGGAAACCCGAGGGTGTGACACCGTGTGACAGCAAGCTGGCGATGTTGGGGATCGACGCCGTCTTCGCCGTCTTCGTCTCTGTACTGTGACTCGCACAGGCTGCGACTCTCACACTGCGCATCATGGGCGAGAAGGCCCACTGGACTGATGCCGATGTCTCCACCTTCCTGCAGGTCTTGAAGGAACACAAGGCCGAGGCTGGGGATGGCGGGAACTTCAAGGCACCGACCTTCAAGAAGGCTTCTGGCGAGCTGGAGAAATGCCGGACGAAAGGGGCCGTGAAGACATGGACGTCTTGCCGAAACAAATATGCCAAGGTATGCCTTCTATTTCTGTGTGGCTTCGATACTGAGATGGGTGGTAGCTGCGCGAGACCTACAAGGTCGTGTACGACCTCTCAGTGCAATCTGGGTTCCATTGGGACAATGAGAATGGTGCCGCGATAGACGAGGATAGTGAGGCTGTGTGGCAGGCTTATGTCGAGGTGGGTACTGTGTGTGCTCACATGGATATGGCTGATATAGAATGGCATGTAGAAGCACCCCGAGGCTGAGCCCTTTCGCAACAAGGGGTGGCCGCACTTCGAGGATATGAAGGAGCTCATGCCATCGAAAGTGAAGGGTACCCATGCCTTCCATCCAGCCACGCAGATGTCAGGATGCTCGGCGGATGCGGGAGCCTCTCGCGATGCCACGGTGGATCGCTCGACGCCAGAACCAAGTGACGATGGTGAGGCTAATGCAGCTCGTCACAGCACTCCGGTAGCCGAGGCCATAGAGGACACGGAGCACCTTGAGCTTCCTGCGACTCCGCCACCACCACCGAAGCGCAAGGCCCCTGCGTCGTCATCTACATCGACCCAGAGCTCGAAGCGTATGCGAGGGCCTGGGCAAGCCGCGGCCCTCAACAGTCTCCACGAGGAATTCGGTGTATTCAACGAGATGGTACGCACTGTCATGGCCCCTGACATGAGCAGCCAGTCGACTCCGAGCCGCAAGGCCCGTGCTTTCAAACTCGCGCAGGAGGAGGAAGGGCTGGATGCGGATGAGATGGTGTCTCTGCTGGACGTCTTTCGGAAGGATGCGAGTGCTGCAGATTTGTACGTTCAGATCAAGGATCGTGCTGTGCGTAGGAAATGGGTAGACAGGCAGTTGGCTGGAACACTGTAGATGCCTAAATTACATGTCCATCATCCCCTCTCCAAGTCCCTCCCTTTCCTGTAGAAGTGCCTGGTAATCCTCCCACATCTGAGTTGCAATAGCATCGCGCTTCGCATTGGCACGGTCCTTCTCTGCCTGATTGATTGCACGTTCTGCAAGGATACCTGAATCCACATCGCCGCCATGCAGCCCATGCCCATCAAGAATATCGGCAAATTCCATGATTTCGTCTGGGTCGTGGATGCGGATGAAGTTGTGGATAGCACATAGAGCTGGAGGGATACGGGCCTGGATCTCCATGCAGTACTCTGGAGCAAGGAGGAGGATACGGAAGCGACGTTTGAGGACACCAAAAATGCGTTCTATGACATTGCGAGCCGAGGAATGGCGAAGGTTGTATAGCTCTTCTTTGTTTGCAGGCCTAAAAAGATTGAGTATATTGGATGAGAGAGAAGACCAGACTAACCGTAAATCAGCGCGCCTCCATTCTGCGAGATGATAGCGCACTCCACGGTACGGAACAAGCAAGGCATCACACAGGTGAAATCCGGCATCCGCAAACCAGAATTTCCCAGGGAGCGCAAGCAGACTGGTCCGACGAGCCTCGTTATAAAGCGCAGCATCCGTGATTGAGCCCTCCCAACCACTGAGCACGTACTGAAAGCGCATGTCAAATGAACAAGCTGCAAGCACGTTCTGGGACACCCCGCCTTTGCGGTTGCGTGAATTGTCGAGGTCCTCTGCAGAAGGTGCTGCATCGACCTGAACACCATCCATAGCTCCAACCGCATCCTCAAAATAAGGAAAGAAGCGCGAGTTGTTTGCAATTTCTGGTGGGATCGGGTCATCCGCTTTTGGCAATTTCACGTATTTCGTGTAGAAAGGTGGTGACGAGAAAATGGTGAGCATCTTGCGGTAATACCTGGGATCCTCTGTCAGCATAGAGATAGTCAAGCCAAAATAGACAAACCGTGAGATAGTCTCGTTAGACCGTTGGAACCGTTCACCAAGGTGGCGTATCGACAGACCCGTCACAGATGCATACAAGAAAATTGCAAGCTGCTCTTGAAGCGTGACATGTCGTGAATCACCATACCCCATGGCCTTCAGTTCTTCAATGAGAGCATAGAACACATGGTGATGTACACCGAGCTCTGCATAGATCCGTTGAGGGTGACCAAGGAGAAGCTCGAGAACCCAACCTTCGCCAGTGAGGATAGACGTGTGGTATGGTTCTCGATCAAGAGTTGGCTCAGCAATGATGAAAACAGCCATAAAGAGGATTCTAACGAATATAAGGGCATAGACGAGTAGCTGCTGGCGCCGTTGCCGCCAGCTATTGTCGACATTGCGGCTGTCGGACGGCATTTTCGCGTGTACAAGGCAGGGACAGGCATGCAGTGGCTCGATTCGGTGCGTGACGATTTAATGTTTACTTCTATTTGTCCTACCAGCGCTCCGAGGGTCGCCCGAGCTGGCAGGCGAACGTCTCCGGCTTACCGAACAGGCCCCTACCCCCTGGTGCCCCTGGTGGGTCGACTGCCTATCGCGGGTGATAACAGCCGTATATGGATGTGAGCGATCTTATCAGCAGAGATAACATCCTCGGGCAGCAGTCGGCCAGCCTCTCGCGACCAGGCGTGCGAATAAATTACCTCAAATGGATGCAGACTCGCCCGTGTAAGGGAATCGACCCACTGGGGGGTAGCGACTCACCAGGGGGTAGATGACTGTATGGATAGACATTCTTGCGCAGCGATTATGCAGAGGCTGGGGATTATGCTCAACGCGCCCCCCCCCCTGCATGTTGGTACCCAGCAGTACGTGTCTGGTACAATGGATGTAGAGAGACTCTGAGATACGTACAATCAGTGTCCCGTAGACGTCAAACATGATAGCCTTGTATTGTGTGAGCTTCGGTGTTGTCATGTTGATGCCGTGACTGTCGCAGAGCTAAGCTTTCAGTTTGCGTTCTGCAGGACGATGTCATTAGTTTATATATGTGCAGACCACGCATTCATCACGGTAGTCCGAGTCATGAACCCGCTTGCAAGCGTTTCGGACGCGTAACATAGTCTATGACGGAACACATGCCGAGCGACTAGAATTGACTCACTGAATGGATTGTCGATAGCTATCCGCAGTTCAGCACATTGATGGCGGTACGGTAGAGACCTTCCTGTGTCCTATCCTGTCGATATCTCCAGCGATGAGCCATGTTCAAACGCGTCACCGGCGTCACTGTCTGGCAGCCACCCGCTGGGGGGGGGGTTTAAGTTGCTCACCATATCTCCAGCCAAATGCGGAATTTTTATTCCTGCACCGTATAGCTACCTGGTGGTGCGTCGGTTACATGTGCACTACGAGAGAGAACTTGGCCCGTGGCAACATACTCGGCCAACAGATGGGATGGATGTCAGTGCACGTGACCGAGACGCGACGGCACGAGGCAAGAGGCGCGTCGCCCCAGTCACGACTCACGGCCTGGCGCGCGGTACCTATTCAGTCCTCACTTCGTCCGCATTCAATTGCAGCTTCTCCAGCCGCATTGCAGGGCGGACCCCCGTCTGCACGCAGTCCACTTCCCACCTATCCTCGCTCTCTCTGACGAACGTGCATGATCCCAATCACGACCAGCTATGAAATTCGCTAGGTATGTTATTGTCACTGTATGAATCCAGATATAGGCATGCTGCCTGAGCAGTCTGTGGTGTCCTCGATGCTGACTTCGACGAATTTTTGCCAGGTATTTGGAGGAGACTCAGGTGTGTGCTGTGTACCACCCTATCTCGGAGTGGCAGCCTTAGTACACAAATAGACTCCTGAGTGGAAAAAGGCGTATATGTGCGTATAAACAATCTCGTTCTTTGTACGCCAACAACCTTGTGGCTGGTAGCTCGATGACTGCGGAGCTCAAGGTTTTGCCACGCTGCCTGAGCTGTGGCGTCTATCACGAAGATGGATCGACCAGCAGCCAGGAGCCGGGAGCGTCGCAGCTTGTCACTGACCGGTGGTCGCAAATCAACAGACACCCCTAGACACCCCCGCGCGTTGTGTTCCAAGCGCAGCACCCATTTGAAGTCCATGTGACACTTCGCTTGAGCTCAAGCTTACCTCTGTGTACAGTGACTACCGTGGCCTCAAAAAGAAGATTACTGCTATCAGGCGCGCACAAGAGTCCGAGCTAGACGCAAGCACTGACGGCGCAGCACCCCTCCTCCCGCTAACGCCCTCGCCCAGTCGTACCCGGGATTCCGAGAAGGACCCTGCGACACCCAGCCCGCTTCGCACCGCGCGCTTCAGCTCGGACGGCGCGCGAGGGAGCATGTCCCCCGTATCCGTTCCCGCAGAAGGCGACGAGGACATGCAGAGAGAGTTCCTATCAGACTCAGGACCGGACAACGCCAGGCAGAGTCCGGTGCAGGTGCATGTAGGTGCGAGCCCAGGCCGCGCCAGTACCGTCTTCCCGCGTCTCCGCCGGCGAACGACGACGGGCCTCTCCGTGTCCACGCACGCACGCGGTCTCTCGGGCTCCCAGTCGATCGCGCAAGAGGGACACGCGAGGACGCCCGCCACGCCTGTCCCTCTTACTCCAGGTTCGGCGAAGAGCAAGACCTGGCCGTGGGCGCCCGGGGCGCACCCACCGCTGCGGGAGTTGCTGCCCAGGCTGCCGCCCGTGGCGCGGTCGTTCTTCGACATGCTGGACGGGGAGCTGGATAAGGTGGAGAGCTTCTATTGCACGCGGGAGCGTGAGCTGAGGACGAGGTGGGTTTGCGCAGGGTGGGTCGTACACGTTCTGGCCGACTGACGGCTCGGAGGGCAGATACGAGATGCTGAAGCAGCAGCTGCAGGAGCTCAAGGGCCACAGGCGGGCCTTCTACGTACGTCGCCACACTTCCCCTTCTCTCCGCGCGCGCTCTCACTCTGCGCGCTCTTTTGGTTAACAGGAAGCACACCCGAAACCAGGCATGGGCCCCGCGTGGCTCACCATGCCCGTGCGTTTCCGAACGCCGATCTCACACCTCGGGCAGCGCGCCCAGGAGCGCGATGCACCGTCTGCGCCCCAGCAGGCCAGCGACGAGGATGCAGGGACGGAGGAGAAGGCGATCACGATTGAGGCGCGCGCGATGAGCCCGCCGCCGACGACGACGACGACGCTGAATGACCTCCAGCACGAGGACGAAGCGGAGAAGAAGGCATTCGTACGGACTACGGAGCGCGTGGAGGGTGCTGGTGCAGGGACGAGTGCGCGGAAGAGCGAGGGTGAGGCGCACCGCCCCAGCGTCCGCCTGCATGAGGGGTCGGCGGGTGCGAGGCATGACCCGGAGGAGTACCATGAGGCGAAGAAGAAACTGAAGAAGGCGGTGCAGGAGTGCTATCGGTGAGTGGCGCGAGTGTTGCTGAGCGATAAAGGCCTAATCAGTCTGTGCAGAGGTCTTGAGGTGCTGAACAACTATCGGGTGAGCGAAGGATGTGTCGCAGTGCCCAGTGGAAAGCTGACGTGCCTGTAATCCAGACGTTGAATCTCATTGGGTTCAGGAAGGCTTTGAAGAAGTTTGAAAAGGTCACGCACGTACGTTGGCCACACTGGTCTACGTTACATCGTCTCTCATTCTCCCATTCCTAGATCCCTGCTATGCAAGCATATACAATCGAGAAGATCGAGCCGAGTGCAATCTCCTCGGGTGCGCGGCTCGATGCCATGCTTCGTGAGATGGAAGACCTCTTCGCGGCTCGATTTGGTGAGGACAGTGTACTCATAGCGTCATAATGACTTATCATGATTTTCGTAGCCCGCGGCGACAAGAAACGTGCCCAAGCACGTCTACGCAGCGGAGCGACCCACAAGAGCCATCATTTCAGTACCTTCAGGTCTGGACTACTTCTCGGCCTAGGAGTCCCTGCTCTTGTCGATGGCCTCTATCGAAGTGAGTGTGTTAGCTGCCTCGGGCACGTGAACAAGTATCACTGATGTCCACTACCTACAGGCTTTCAACCTGAGACGCGAGCAGCGATACCGTCGTGGGACGGCCTGCTCTTCGTCTACGGCATCTTGGCCGTGCCTGTCATATTTTCGTATCTAATTGGTATCAATTTGCTTGTCTGGCACAATGCGCGGATAAATTATGTCTTCATCTTTGGTGCGTATTACCGACGCATTGATATACTGTCCCTGCTGGTGGCGTGCTGATATCCTGTCGTCTTTTCAAGAACTGGATGTACGGACAAAACTAGACCATAGAGAATACTTCGAGGTGCGTGGAAGATATTTGCTCCGTTCACAGATTCTGAGCATGTACTGCTGCAGATACCTGCATTGCTACTGTCCACCCTCTGCTACGCATTCTGGCTCTCGTTCGCGCGCGTCGGCTCGCATGCCGTCGGACCTTCATACTGGGCACTTCTATGGCTCGTGTGGGCGTTGTTCGTCTGGTTGAACCCGCTGCCTATCCTCTTCAGACCTTCGCGATATTGGCTGGTGAAGAACCTTTATAGACAACTCACGTCTGGAGTACGACGTGTCGAGGTGCGTTCTCTTCCTAACAGCGGACGCTTGGAAGTCCAACTAACGGTCAATGCTGTTGTTAGTTCCAAGACTTCTGGATGGGGTAAAGTCTTCTAATTCTCCCTGGTCGAACTCTGGACTAAACATCTTCATAATGACACTCAGTGACCAATTCTGTAGCCTCGTTTTCACGCTCGCCGACTTGTGGTTCGCGGGATGCGCCTACAGCCACGAACTGAAGAACTGGCGTGTCTGCACGACGGGGAGCAATTGGGGCCCGATGTTTGCCCTCGGCGCTCTACCCCTCTTCATTCGATTCGTTCAGAGCATCCGACGGTGGGTCGATTCGCGGCAGTGGACCCATCTAGTCAACGTGAGTGGCGTTTGACAGGTGTCCGCGGATGTCTGTTGCTGATGTGGTGACGGAAGGCTGGAAAATATGGAACGGGCGTGATATACTACATGACATACTACTTATGGAGAGCAGAAGGTGAGTTTAATAGCCGGGTGGTCTTTGTACATGACGTACGCTTATCATTTGGGGTGTAGGCGGTTCATATGGCCCAAGGTTTGTTCCTTGGTGTATCATGGGCATTTTATATGCTACATACGCCACCGCATGGGTGAGTTCAGCACATTTGCATTACAAAAGATGCGCCGCCTGAGTCTCATGTCTATGAAGGACTTCCTCATGGATTGGTCATTCTTTCAACCTCACGCGAAATACCCTCTGTTGCGATCAGAGATCTTATATACATCCTGGCTACCCGTGAGCATCTCACGTCTCTCGTGTTCGACACGTATATTTATCGTGTGATGCAGGTTTACTACATAGCCATGGTGAGTGTTAAACATCATTTTCACTTTGCCCGCACAACTGAACTCGTCTGCAGATCACCAACATTATCATCCGATTCGAATTCGTGATGTACATCCCGCGGAGCGGCATTAATTACACAATACGCACGTTCATTGCAGCTATGTTAGAGATGCTCAGGAGATGGCAGTGGAACTTCTGTAAGTGCTTTCCGTGCAACCGACGTCTGGACAAGCTAGGATCTGACACTGATTCGCGGGCAGTCCGGCTGGAGAACGAACACCTGGGTAATATGGATCAATACCGCGTGACGCGCGAGGTCCCGTTGCCATATTCGTTCGACGACGCTGGTCAGGAGTCGGATGGTGGCGATGAAGACGAGGACGCGGATAGACATAGTCAGTCGAGCTCCTGGCGGCGCCGTAGGTAGTTGGTATCACTATACCTTTAGGTCACGTCCAGCAGCAGCCTCATCCTCTCATCTATAGCCAGTGCCTTTGCTCTCGCTCGATGCATTGCTGGTTGAGGTTCACACTCTGCCCTACACTACGCTATGCTAGTAACTTTGCTGTGCTCGGCGATATACTATCTTGTTGGCAGCCTCACACAGATTCAGTGTAACCGGACTGCAGATCTTGACATCACGTCTCAGCAGATTTGTCCTATTCGGTCCAGAGCAGTGTCAGCGCTGTGTTGTTGCCTGGGCGCCATAACTGCTGTTGCCGGGCGCAACAATGTTGAATGGGCGCCTATCAACGTATGGGCTGTGTTATAAAAGCGCGACCGCCGCGTCCGTTCGTGCTTGAGCTCCTCATCTTCTTCGAGCCAAGTTCACGGGTACAGGTACTGGCTAGTGAGTACCCCATCCCTACTGCAATCCGGTGGTCGTCTGAAAGCCGCGTTTGCTCTCTAGCCTTGCTTGTTTCGTTTTAATCTATATTTCGTCACGCTACTCACTTTCACCTTCGTCAACGACTTATTTTGCTACTTCACGACTGGTCTACGATGCGTTCCTCTGCTGTCGTCGCTGTTGCTCTCCTTGCCGCTACCGGTCCGGCTGTTGCACTCCCAATGTATGTATCTGCATTCCAGTCCGTTCAGATGAATCTAAACGGAACACTTGAAGCGGGACCGAGTTCGGCATCGCTGCGCGTGCCTTACAGTGAGTCCGTCTCGTATCTTGAAGACGATGCGAAAACTGAGTGCGTATGAATAGGAACCGCCGGTCAGCGGATATGGTTGAGAGCTTCTACGCCCGTGATGAGGACGACATGTTGCTCTCTCGCAGGTAGATTATATCACTGTTGTAGCGACTGAAGCGTGAAGCTGACAACTTTGTACAGGGAGCCCGTCAACCTGAACAGGCTGAGAATCGGGGTTGTAGCCAACAGGTACAAGCGCTCCCCGTTCGTGGTCTTCTCGAAGGCAGCGTACGTCCTCCGATCGGTCTGGGGATGTTCTGCAACTACTGAACTGACCGTGACTGTTTCTAGGGCGAACATCCCTGCGTGCCACACTGGCTTTGCGTTTTGTGGGCGATCCATTGAAGACGAGCTCGATTGAGGAAGTTTACATTGATCAGTAACTTGCGGTAGCTTGTAGTTCTTGACGACTTTCATGACGAAATACGATTACGACTGGGGAGCTCAGACATTTGACGGACTGCATTCCGATTGCACGCAACCATTCAACCCATCTTTTTGACAGGCACTGAAACAGTCCCAATAGCTGTATCGGCCGTGCCGAACGTGTGTATTCATTCACTCGTGTCCACTTCGTACTACATGCTTTGGAATTCAGCGACCGAATGCGACACGTTGATGGGGTCCGCCCATTCTCAACCATCCGCGTTCGCAAGCGAGTGATCCTCCCAGCATCCCGGCACCGGCGTTGGCGCCGCCGCTCTAGGACGCCCATAGATGTACATGGCGCGCCCTATGCGGGAGGCGCAATGCATGACATGCAGCTGGGGCGATTATGTGTTTTCCCGAGTCCCATAAGAAGGTCATTTCGGCGGTTTAGTATCGAATAGGAGGGAGAGGTTCGGCTCGAATCGTGGATAGGTCAACTGATTGCTCAAGGGCTTCGTCGAGCTCGCCGATGAGAACTCTACAGTGGCGCCTCTGTTAGCAGTGAAGAGATAGAGATGAGAACACATACATTTGATCGCCCTTCACAAGATACAAGCCCAGCGGTATCTCTTCTACGCCGTCGTCCATGCTGTATACGCGCTCTTTCGAGTCGGAGAGGACGACGTTTGATTTTTGGTCGTAACCAGCCATGACACCCTGGACGCCGGAGAATAGACATATCATGATTAACGTGAGTCAAACGACAATGCAGGTAAGACACGCACCACTATGGCGCGTCCATCCTGCAGAATGAGGAGAACGCGATCTGAGAAGCGGAGAGTGAATGAGACGACGTTCCTTCGACCACTTCACAACTGATGATTCAGAATGAAAGCGGCGCATGTAGTGCAACTTACGGTCAACATAGCCCTGCAGTGTGGCCATGGTTTGCAAGGCCGGCAGACGGTTGTAGTGGTCGAACGCGAAGGGTCGCCGCCTTACACGCGCGATGCGGTCGGTGGCGTCGAGGCGGAATAGGCTTCACGTGATTCAGCTCCCAAGACTCAAACCCGCTGTACTTCAACTTTCCTACCGGCATTTCTCTCTTCTCTACCACCATATTTACACTCATCGATGCTCACCCGGTTAGCTTCCAACTCCTGTAACGGTCTGGCAAGCTTTGATCTCATGACCCAGACAACATGCTCTCCGCCGGACCGCCTGGTAGCCTTCCTCTCACAGCGAAGCTGCTGGCCATTGATAGTTTTTACTCAGTGAGGATATGCTCCCACACATCTGTGATGTGGTATCCATCGCGGCCCGCCTCGCGTAATATTACAATAAGAAACCCTATAAATTGGCAGTGCGTCCGCGCGTGCTGTCGCCATTCAAGGCTGCTGCATCTGCAGAGTCGACGGTGATCACACAAGATGTTTACGATCCTGACGGCATTACTCTTGCTCGTCGCCATAGCCTCTGCGTACGAGAAGGTGTGCAGAGTAACGCCACTTGGCGGCGGTCAAGACGATGGCCCGAATATCAATAGTGTCTTCGCAGAGTGTGCGTCCGAAGCCACGATCGTCTTGGATGGCTACTACAGCGTGAACACTCTACTTCTGACCGAGGGCCTCAGTCATGTGGACATCTTGCTAAGCGGAACAGGTCAGCATTGATCGCATGGACACTTCTGTATGAAGACTCCAGTCTAACCCTCACTGCAGTGCAATACACTCCCGACATCGCATATTGGTCTCCGAATAGTCTTTACTTGACATTCCAGAATGCGTACGTCATCTAATGCTCAAATGTGTTACCAGTATCACAAGCTAACCTGCTGGTACCGCGTAGGACGACATTCTGGTTCCTCTCAGGTGACGATATTCACCTCTACGGAGGAGGAACCATCGATGGCAACGGTCAGGTCTGGTACGACACGTTCAACATTACCGGAGTAAGTTCTCTCCGATGTTATCCGAAAGCCAAGCTGACATATCATCACCGTAGGATTCTGCAACGGCAGGGGCTTCCACGCGGTCATTTGCGCGCCCCATACCTCTGACGGTTGGCAACGCCTCGAATGTTGTCGTTGAGAACATCACGCAGTGGCAGTCGCCGAACTGGGCAAGTAGTGTATCTGTTGTTTCATCGCCGTCACTAATTTCAGCTTGAAACTCGTGTTCATGTTTAGAACAATGTATGAGCTCCGTCAAATGGTTCCCAAGTGAGACTGACCAATGCGTGCGAGCAGTTCGTGTACCAAAGCACGAACATCACGTATCGAAACATCTAGTATGTTATAGACCGCAACTGGTTCTACTGCTCCTGATGTGTCACACTAGTATCGATTCCTTCTCATACTCCAGCGCGCCAGCTAAGAACACCGGTAAACCCATTTCTTGACACCAGTTGAACGTCTACTGAATGGTCTCACTTCGTAGATGGATGGGACATCTACCGTTCCTCTCAGGTCACCATCACTGACTCCACAATCAATAACGGTGACGATTGTGTCTGTAAGTCCTCCGTCTGTCGGTGCTGAGCATCTCATTGAACGTACGTCTGGCAGCCCTGAAACCGAACGCTACCGAGATTATTGTGACCAACCTGTGGTGCAACGGCTCTCATGGCATCTCCATCGGTAGCCTTGGCCAGTACGCTGGTGAGACCGACATCGTCGCAAACGTCTTCGTCAAGAACATCACTATGCGTTACGCTGAGAATGGCGCTCGTATCAAGGTCTTTGGCGGTAGCCCTGACGCGAGTAAGTAGTTCAATTCCTCCCATTTCGATTGCATCGCTACATGTGCGCAACGGTATTACAGACAGCACGGCTGGTGGAGGTACGGGCTACGTCAGGAACGTGACGTTCGAGGACTTCTACGGTAGGGTACTCAAACCATCGATCGTATGCCGTCGACGTTGAATCCTCCTGAAAGTTTATGTCGTCGACGACCCGGTCGTTATTGATCAGGTCAGCCGCCACTATGTCACAACACACCCACGCAAGCCTGATACCTTCATCTAGTGCTACGAGACAGACGCTTCTGTCTGCGCTGAATACCCAAGTCAGCTCTCCATCTCGGATATACACTGTAGGCGCCTTCATCAAACCATTATGCTCATGTAGTCACGTCGCATCGCGCAGACTCAAATGTGACGGGAACATCGTCTGGAGATGAAGGGACCGTCGTCGTGGACCTAGAATGTTCGCAGGAATGTGAAGACATCACCGCGAGTGGTATCGACATAACGTCGCCGAAGGGGCCGGCTACGTATGTTTGCCAGAACATCGCGAGTGAGAACGAGGTAGGTTGTGCTATCGGGGTCTACACGAGATTGCCAACTGACTGTCTTGCACAGTTGGGCTTCAACTGTACTGCCCCGGCGAGCTAAGGCTGATGTATTGCCGTCGGCGTGTAGCACCGTAGCAGCCTCGGCATGACAAGGATCGCGGATCCGGGTTTGAAGTGGTGTCATGTCCGCGTTGATTGATGCGTGTCCTTCCTCACTGCTGCCTAGAATAAGTGGAGGAGAGTGATATGAAACCAGTCACTTCATTGAGTGTGCCTACTCGGAGATTCCGGACAATCTCCCAGCGTATCCCTCTCGGAGGGCTCCGCCTCGTCCAAGGAGCAACCTTTTGGCTCAAACACAGCGTGAGTCGCTGGATTTTGTGCGCCCCGCTCGTAGGGTGAGCTGACACTGATCACTACTAGGGGCTCAGAATCCGCACAGGCTCGGCTGGACCAATTGCGCCGCAAGATCACTCAGCTGACCTTGTCACCTTGACATGGGGCGTGCCCACAAGCCAGGCGCTGAGCCACAGCTTATGTCAACACACACCTGAGCAAACCTGTGGTACGCAGTGATTGTGACAATGCAGATGAGCAATGTTTGCTGCTACGCGTTGGTCCTGGGTCCTGGGACGTGTTGCACAGGGACATGTCCCCACGTGACGGCGACGCGACGCGCCCGGGCCGCTGCATTCCCGCTGCATTCCACTGCTTCGCACACATTAGTCCGGCTGGGCGTGCAGGGGATCCTTCGCGCTACCACGGTCCTCGTCGTCCAACCCCTGCGCGGGCCGCTCGATGAGCGCTCTCATGGTATACGGCAGTCCCGTCATGGGGATCCGCGTGACAGTAGGGGCCTTCATTCACAATGAATAAATAGCACATCTCGTCGAGGAGGGACCGACCTGCATCCTCGCCCTTCCGACGCGTTGTCTGCTGAGGTATCCACTATGCTCAAAGCGGCGCTGACACTCATATCTCTCGCTGCGAGCGCGCTCGCATGGGACACCGTTTGCGCGGTCAAGCCCCTTGGTGGAGGACAGGATGACGGACCGAACATCAATGCCGCGTTCGAGGAGTGCTCGAACAATGCAGCAATCATCCTCGACGGATACTACAGTGTCAACACCTTGCTCTTGGCCGAGGGTCTGAGTCATGTTGACATTGTCTTGAGCGGGACAGGTAAGCAATGATTTGTCGGTCGTACGCATTGACGTCCTTACATGGACACATGCTACAGTGCAATACACGCCTAACATCGCTTACTGGTCCCCGAACAGTCTGTATTTGACTTTCCAGAATGCGTACGTATGTACTTCGTAATGCAGTCTCTCAACTGACCTTTCTACAGGACAACTTTCTGGTTCTTGTCCGGAGAGTATATTCACCTCTACGGCGGCGGTACGATTGATGGCAACGGGCAAGTATGGTGGGACACGTTCAATACCACTGGGGTAATGTATGCATCATCTCGCATGCTGCAAGAGGAACTAACTGGTTCTCGGACTAGAACTCGGGTACTGCTGGCGGCTCGTCTAGGACCTTCGCCCGGCCGATTCCACTTACCGTCGGGAATGCATCGCACGTCATAGTTGAGGATATCACGGAGATTGGCTCCCCGTTCTGGGTACGTTCAATCGTGTGCGTTTGCTTCTGATACAGTACACTGATGGCGTGCATAGAACAACGTAAGGATGGGCAGAGTAAATACCCGTAATCCACTCACTTTCCGTTCTTAGTTTGTGTATCAAAGTACAAATGTTACTTACAGCCGTATCAAGTCCGTTGCCTTCTGTATTCCCCATCAAAGAGCTCGTTCACTTACAGAACCCTCAGCATCAGCTCGGTGTCGTATTCAAGTGCTCCGACGGCAAACTCAGGTAGGTCCAATACCAACAAACAGTGGATACTATGACTGAAGACGCGTCTAGATGGGTGGGACATATATAGGTCCTCGTATGTCACTATTCAAGACTCCACTGTCAACAACGACGATGATTGTGTCTGTAAGCAGACCGGATAGTCCAGTTAACTACGCTTTCGATTCTGAGATTCGATTCAGCATTCAAGCCAAATTCGACCAATATGATCGTGCAGAACATGTGGTGCAATGGCTCGCACGGCATTTCCGTCGGCAGTCTCGGGCAGGTGCGTTGTGCAATTGTTCGGATACAAAACAATGAATATAATCTGTTGCCTCTTAGTACGCGGGCGAGACCGACATCGTCGCAAATGTGTTCGTGAACAACATCACAATGCGTAACGCGGAGAACGGTGCACGCATCAAAGTGTTCGGTGGTAGCCCCTACGCCAGTACGTATCACTTTCGTCGACTCTTTCCAAGGGCGCTTCTCAACCATTTACACAGATAGTACCGCGGGTGGCGGCAGTGGATACGTGAGGAACATCACCTTCCAAAACTTCTACGGTGAGTGCTAAAGTGTAGGCCCAATCATGTCTCATCGTGCCGTTGCAGTGTACAACGTCGACAACCCGATGTATCTCAACCAGGTATGATATCCTTACTAGTGAGCGTGACTGAAGCTAATAAGTCTTTGTTCCAGTGCTACTCGACGCCTGCGGACACCTGTGAGGAGTACCCAAGTACCCTCTCTATCTCCGATGTCCACTGTACGTTCAAATAACCCTTCACTCCCGCGCAGTTCTTCACCTCCAATCTCGTAGACATCAATGTGACGGGGACCTCGTCCGGCGAAGAGGGCAGCGTCGTCGTCGACCTGGAGTGCTCAGCCGAATGCGAGGACATCACGGCGACTGGCACGCAGTTGACCGCGCCGAACGGCACCGCGACGTACGTCTGCGCGAACATCGCAACCTTGAACGAGGTACGTGTCGGACCACCGCCCGTGGTCATTCATGGGCTGATGGAGTACGCGTTGCATAGCTTGACTTTAACTGCACTGCGCTTTCATGAGCGCTGAGCGCGCTGTGACCGTATATCCGGAACAGCATGGACGTAAAAAGACTCAGGCTACTTAGGCTACGACAGAATGATGAGACACAGTACGAGGTCTAATTATTGCAGAGATGTTTAATGCAGAGAAGGCTTGCACGACGCGCCCTGCAACGATGGCTAGTGCTACTGTACTTGGTTGGTCCATCGAGGCCACAATTCGGTAACCTGGAGACAGCAGGATGAGCACTGGCATGACACCTACGCGATGCATTCGGACCAACCTGATATGTACTGACACAGAACGTCAGGCTACGCCGCACCTGGTGATCGCACCTTGCATCATCCGCTGCGCTACTAGTACTAAGACCCACGGAGGTGTCAATGCCGTCGTGCTTCGAGAAGTCCACCAATGGTGCACCAAAACAGCGTCTTCCGAGCACGCGCCTCTTCACACCTCCGATATTGACTTTGATTGTTGTGCTACCTGCACTGGGCTGCCAGAAGACGGGTGACGGGGTAAATGATGCCTGCGAGACTGTGGGCCGTGGCAGTCCACGTTTGAGGCCTTGAGCTTGAGGCTTGACTCGGACGTCTGAAGTCAACTCGTGCTGCCGCTGGTCGCGGAGACGGTTATATACCAGATCTGATTCCGATTGACCTGTGCACACTTGCCTAAATGGGACGTTTTGTGGCGCCGCTGCTGCGCCCCGGGCCAGCGTCACGGTCTTGAACGTTCAACTTAGTAGCCGCATATGCTCGAGCCTCGCTCCGTCCGATTGCCAGAGTCCTTGTGCACGGCCATATTGGATGAGACGGTCAACTACGCGGTGAGCACTTGCAGCGAAAGCGACACATCTCTTTCCGAGGTATCAACGTTCATGAACGCTCTCCCAATGCCAAAGCTTGGTGGCCCATCATTACTCTTCTCCCCAGACGTCCGCTCCTTGCTGTCATCTCAGTGGCCCGGGCACATCGCCTCGTGGCTATTCACGCCAATTTCCTCGCAATTGGCCAAGTGTTGACTGATACAATTGGACCGCAGTTTTCTTGCTCTGAAGCTCAATGAAGCTCCATGTCAGAGTACTAGCGAAATGAAAAAATCACCCGTTTTGAACTTCAAAGCCCATTTAGCCTTGCTCACAAGCATTCACGAACGACGCGGGATTGATTGGTGAGGGATCGAGGGCTGGGGTGAGTCACTCGTACCGGTCCATGGCATGTCTAACCCTCGTCCCCAGGTCATATGTGGTGCTCGACCGACCGCCGTCACCGCCCCTCTGTGCGAGACGCACGAGCTCTTCCTCAAACTACGCAGCATCTTGGCGATTCCAGCGTTGACTTATTCAACCAGTTTGCCATACGTACCGCGCTTCCCCTCAATGCCGTGCTTCAATTTGCTGACTTCAGAGCGTGGATGCCCCTCTGACGAGCAGCAGCATCAGCTTGAATTCAGATACAGACGCGGAGGAAGGTGGAGATCGACTGACGATGCGCACTGAACCCATGCCGGCTTTCATCGGACACGCAAGGCGCACCCGTGAACGCATCAGGAGCCTCTGGCAGATGCACCACGAAGAAGACATTCAAAATTGCTAGCGATCGTGGCGGACAGGGTCCGCTGCGTGACGAGTACGCCCAAAAGATCAGCAAGCCATATGGTGGAGAGAACAACTGGGCGGTTCGTTCACTATGTGGACTCATAGCTCTGAGCGGAAGACTCGGACTACCCATCATTACTCGGTGCGAAGATTCAATATCAGTTCTCTTTCCGGCTGACACTGTCGTTAGGCCCCGTCGATCTTGCAACTCGCTGCATTCGAGCTCGTCCGCGCTCGGCTTGCCCATGAAGTGGATCCATATGCTTGCAATTGGTCGTGGTCTACCTGTCTGGGCGTGCGGCTCCGCATGGTCCGTCTTGCCTGAGATGCCTGGACGTCATCGCTAATTGGTTCCGGTGCGAGTTGGACTCGTCAATCAAGGAGTCATTGGCCTCGCGCCCAATAACGCAGAACAGTCACGATGCATCCTAGCCAGTCTCTGTTGCCTTACTGCGGAGCATAATCCATGCGTCGATCTTACGGCGGCCCTCAGGCTGGTTCTAAGAAAGCCAACAGGAAGGTTTGAGGAAGGTGCGCATTTCATCATTGACCTGCGTTCCTTCCGGGCGTCCGGGCGACCCGCCTACAGAATTGCCTATCATAGCCGGTCTGTGGGGTGGAATCGACATCTTGACCCAATTCTGAGCTTCAATGATGGAAGCGCTGGGCCTGAGTTGCGATTTCTTTCGACGTCACGCCAACGCGCGTCTGACCGTGGCAACACTTTGCTATCTACTCTCACAATACTCTCACAAGCTCCTCTTCGACGTCACTTCAGAGTTCTACAGATAATCAACGGCGGCCTCGCAGTGAGAATCGCTGCTGCGGCAAGACGTCGCTGGGACACGGTTCAATATCCGTGGTCGTTTGAACATCTGAGGTAAGAGCTCTCCCGGACGGTCGCTGTGTATGGACTGACTGTTGAATGTACCTGCAGCATGAGCCCGCCAAACAAATGTAGCCCGCCATCACCATAGCCATTGAGCCGCGAAGGACATACTGGGGATGGGCATTGAATGTGACGCGATACGAGACGAGCGCCTTTCCGGCTCTTTACGGCGCTTTCGGAAGGTTTGCACGATTACCTTTAAGCCTGACCCGAGTCCGCAAAATCTTGCACTGACCGAGACAGCACCTCGATAACGGACCCAGCGATGGCGGATTTCAAAGAGGACCTGGACGCCACCGACATCGAGGTCCGGAGCGCGGACGCCAAGGTGGTGGTGAAGCGTGAGCCTATTCATGTTATGGTCGATCTCGCGATCGCTCATAATGAATTAATGAATGGCAGCGAAATGGTACCGCTCGACGATCTACAACGCCGTCATCCTCGGAGTCTGCAACCTGCTGGCTCCGGGCCTCTGGGGCGCTCTGAACTCCCTCGGAGCGGGAGGGGCGCAGAAACCATACCTGGTCAACGCGGGCAACGCGCTCACATTCTGTCTTATGGTTGTCACCTGCATGCTCTCAAGTATCGTGGTTAAAGCGATCGGGATCAAGTGGACGCTCATCATAGGCACGATGGGATACGTACCGTACGCCGCCGGGCTGTACACCAACAACAGGTATGGCACCGAGTGGTTTGTCCTCTTCGGTGCCGCCCTCTGTGGCTTGTCGGCAGGCGTCTTCTGGATGTCGGAGGCAGCAATCGCGTTGGCGTACCCCGAGCCATACAATCAGGGCCGCTTCTTGGGGCTTTGGCTCAGCTTCCGGGTCGGCGGACAGATCCTCGGGGGCGCCATCAACCTCGGAATCAACTCAACGAGAAACGAGGCCGGCAGCATCTCGTACAAGGTGTACCTCATAATCATCGCGCTGCAAGCTCTGGGGCCGTTCGCGGGTCTCTTGCTGAGCAAGCCAGAGCAGGTGCAGCGGAAGGACGGCGTCCCCGTCCGGCTGAAGATCACGAACGGCAGCATCGCGGAACTGAAGGACACGACAAGGCTCTTCTTCAGCAAGAACTTCCTGCTCATCGCCCCCCTCATCGCGCAGGCCGTCTACTCCGAGGCCGTCACATACACCTACCAGTCCCTCTGGTTCACCGTGCGCGTGCGCGCCCTCGGCTCGTTCGTCTCCGGCATCGTCGCCATGATCGCGGGCAATCTGCTTGGCGCCTTCCTCGACCGCACGAAGCTCAGGCTGCACACGCGCGCCCGCTGGGCCTTCTTCACCGTCTTCGGCCTGCAGGGCGCGTGGTGGATCTGGGCGACGATCCTCGTCACCGAGTTCCGGAGAACGCAGCCGACGTACGACTGGGTCGACGCGGGCTTTGGCAAAGGCTTCGGGCTCTTCCTGTTCCTCGTCATCGGCTTCCAGGTCCAGTATTTGTATCTGTAAGCGAACGTCTCACAGAATTGGAGACGGGACTGATGCCAGCGCAGGTACTTCGTCGTCGGCACCCTCGCCGACAGCGAGGCCGAGGTCGTACGCATCGCCGGGTTGCTTCGAGGCACCGAGTCGGCCGCACAAGCTGTTAGCGTAAGCCATGCCCACACCCACACCCACACCCGCCACAAGACACCGTGCTGACGCGATTCATTCGCAGTACGGACTGAATAGTGTGCCCATCTTTGCCTCGGTCGGCGGGGTGTACTTGAACTTTGGCATGTGGGCCATCTCCTTGTTCCCCGCCTGGCTGGTCGTTCGACAGATCGGATATGGACTGGGGGATGGCAAGGCCCGTCGCGAGGCGGATCTAGCGCGCGAACAGCAGGAAGAGGAGAAAAAGACCGATAGTTAAATGACCGAAGAGTCAGCGAATGCATAGATTCCTGGGACACGCATAAGCAACGTAGCAACAAACATCTGTATGACCGATAGACAACGCGTGGACCTTTTCTAAACGGCAGCGTAGTGAGCGGGAAACCGCCATCATGATGTACGTACAGATAGATTGCTCTGAAAAGTATTCGTGGACGATGCTTTACTGGGCAGCGCCACCTCACCGTAGGAGCTAAAGTGACTGGAGGAGGACTCGTCTGTAAGACCTTGCGTGATGCTACGTACGTATACGATTTGACAACTCAAACACATATGGCCACACAATAAAGGTAACACTCAGCACTCAACCTTGAAACAATACAATACATCAGGGTATTCGTGTATCCCTGGCAAACGTAGTAGGTATCAACAAGCATGCGTACCGGGTATCTCTCTCTGCAGTGAACGTTGAACCACTCGATCGGAAAACCCGACGACATGCACGTCGTTCAGTTGTAACACCTCTCAAAGTCTCCATCCGAGTCTCCGTTCCTCCGCGCGTATCCCTGGCTCTTCACGAACGCGTCCAACCGGCACATCCCTGCGCGCGTCTTTGCGCCGCAGAACTCGAGGGGCTGCAGCGCGTCGTTCACGAAGATCCTGACGAACGTCTCTGTCTCCCTCTCCTCAGCCCCAGCGTCACCTGCCAGAATCACCCACCCCTCCTCCTCCTCCTCAACCCGCACACGCCTCTCCACGACCATCCTAGTCACGGAGAACTTGACTCACGGCACCATCCGGCTCGCGAAGACTACTACTACTACTACTACTACTACTACTCGAGCTGCACAGCGCTCAACGCTCAGCTCCAGTGGAGACGTGTGTATGATCGTGTTAGCGTTCAAATTCCGGTAATGCAAGCAAATCACACAGATGGTCAAAACGTCCTAGTGATCGAACCACGACAAACACTCGGGTTATGAATAGGCGCTCAAGCGCTCAAGCTCCACACACGACGAGTCTACGGATGGATTGCAGTACTGTAATAGGAATGCTCTACAAAAGGGGGGGAGGCATTGTCCAGAGAAGAAGCCAGCATCGCCGTCTAACGCCATTACATATGTACAAAGGAGCGCACGGACCCAAGATGACAAGGGAGGGACATATCGTTCGAGATCGGTATTCAAATATCCACTAAACAATCACACGTACGTATGCTACGCCGAACCAAGACTGGGTCTTGGGTACCGGTGGGGGCACTCGATTCCGGGGTGAATGCGGCGTTCTACTTGCTGCCGGACGTCTTGTAGAGGACGAGGCCGCCGAGCGCGATCGAGTAGCCGAACACCTGGAGCGGCGTGATCGGCGTGCCAAAAATGAGGACGGAGCCGGAGATGAGCAGGATGTCCTTGAAGACGCCCGCGAGCGTGAGCACGAGGCCGCTGCCCGCACCGACGAGGAACACGGCCGCGACGTTCAAGAGGAACGCAATCGCTGCGTTGCTTATCAAGATCAGTGGTCTGTCGTGAGAAGCGGCAAGCGGTTAGTGTGGGCAGCGTAAGGCAGGAGGGAAGACGCACCCGATGCGGAGCACTTCGTAGAAGGGCGCGAGACCTTCCGTGAACGGGAGCACGGCGAGGTTGATGACGGCGCATACGGGGGCATAGTAGTGCAGCGACACGAGCGGGTCCATCTTGAGGCTGTGCAGAAGAATCTGTATCATGACGAGGCGCGATGCCTCGAACTGCGGGAAGGCCTACATCAGTCACCTGTCATAAAATCAGCCACAAGCGGGGACGTACCACGACAGCAGCGGCCTGCGTGAGGAATCCAACGAGGTTGAACTTGAGCTCGCCTTGCGAAGCAAGCGCTACGCCTGACGAGATCATGATGACGATGACGGCTAGCTTCTTGTTGGGCTCTGCAATCCGGAAGATCCATGAGATGAGCAGGATCGCGACGGGCACGAAGGCCTGTAAAACGGATTATCAGATCGCATTCGATGCTGTGGTGACAGCGGCGGACTAACCTTGAGCATCTGGATGTACGCCACGCTCAAGTACAGGTATGCAGTGTTGCTCAGAATGAGGGAAGCGCTGAAGAGGATACCGATGGGTAGTATGGAGCGGACGAACAGATCTTTCGAGACGTGGATGTCCTTAGCGCCGTCTAGGAGGTGTGTTGTGCGTTGTAGGACACGGGTGCCGATTGCCTAGAGAAACAGTAAGCAGTATTCTACAGAGGTGACTAGACAGTGAAGAAGTTGGCCACATTCGACAACGCGCTACGGCGCGTACATCTGTACTGCATCTCGGGTCCGGGCAAGCTCAGAAATGGGCAAAGACAACGATTCCTCTCAATGGTGGGTGAGAAAACGCAATGCTGAGAGGCTTCCGTAGCAAGTACGTTTACCATCGAAGTGTAAGGTGACGCCTATGGCCACTCTGCTAGAGTATAGACATGTTACTGGCTAGAACAACGCCCTTTCAGGAACCTCAAACACCAAGGTGGATGAGATACCTGAAGCGGACAATGCACAGACAGCTCGTTCAATCGTGTTGCACGAAGCGCCTCAGAAACACTGTTCTCCCACCTAAAAGTATCCATCCTTGCGACCAACACCCGAGACCGCACTATCTTATGTCGGTTTTTCCAAGGATAACGAGGGCCCACTCACCGCGAACGTAAGGTGCCATGTCACCAGGAACACGGGGAACCGGAACTGTAACGTATTGTACACGTAATTGTTGTAGATGATGACAGTCGAGCTGAGGATGATCCAGATAGGAATGATCGCTGCTGCAGAGAGCTTCGGCTTGTTGGCTGGCCGGGCGGCCTGCGCAGTAACGGGTGACGGCAGTGGGTCGTTAGAGGTCTTCTCTTCGTGGACGGCAAGCATCTGAGAGCCACTCTGCTCATCAGAGGACAAGGCCTTCTCGTAGTCTTTGCTGGACATGACTAGCTTGTTGGGGTCGCTGGCAAGAGGTGATAGAGCTGCTGTGGCAGGTAGGCGCGAGGTGTCGGAAGATGGACAGACTCAGGTTAAGTGCAGCGAGGCAAAAAGGAGGGACTATGAGTGGGATGGTGCCTTAGGAACCGAACAAGCCAGACAGGAGGTCGCGACGACCGCCGGGAGGATGAAGGGCGGAGGAAAGGAGTCGATGCCCGTTTTCTACGCGCTCGACCGACACGGCATATCGCCCGCACGTGACCCCTGCCGGGTTCACGACTTCACGTCGGCGGCAGGCGCCTCAGCCTCAGGCCCTCAGCCACCATCATCTCCTTCTCGCCGTCGGCATTTGGCCTACAGCGAGTGCCTCATCAGCCCCTCAGTGTTTATTTCTTAGGCCACTGCAGTACTCTCTCTGTGAATCCTACTCTTATAGACCCTTATCTGCGTGTCCGAAAGTTTCACGGACTGCGGGCCCGGAGGGACTTGGCAATTCACGTCGGACGGCTTACGGCGCTGGCATCACCGCCCGGTTATGACAGCTTCGACAACATCAGGAAAATCGCAACACGGCGTGAACGTCCCGTTGACAACTGCCACGTACGCCTACACATACTGAGCTTGCGGGCATCCTCGACGCTGGCTGTTGGAGGTAGGCTTTGGAGACTTTCATTCGATGGTCGAGGCCCACTCGCCGGCCTTTGTGCCAATAAAAGCATTTAATGTGCGAAGTCCAGGTCCTGACAATGCGTCATACACTCATCGCCCCCCTAAGCTCTCATCCTTGTATTTATCAGAATCACGACAGCCCAGACTCGCGCCGGACACGAAGACCGCTACCTCTGGCCGTGCACTTGCACAGAGAACGCAACACCGAGATCACCACATCTCCGTATGTCGTCTCTACACCTCAACTGCAGGATAGTCGCCGTGCCACAGCGCGGCCCACCGGTATGCGGTAAGTAATGTGCTGGGAACATCGCGGACCACGCTACCGTAACATTAAGGCACACCGCCTCGTGCCTATTCAATGTCCTCGATCGTGGTGGACGACACAATACACTCGAATCGAGCGTGTGTCACTCTGGACTATCCACGAATTGCTCTACCTCCCCTCATAGATAGGGTTACAGGTGACAATAACCTCCTGAAGACAGCTCGACCCCTGTTGTCGATGCGCTCCTGCATTCTCGTGTCGTACGGTGTCTGGCCCTGCGATCGCGAAGAGTCATATCGCCCCACCGCTATCCGTGTATACCAGCGGAGATACTTCTCGTGAGAGGCCGTTTGTGCGCTTCTGCTCAGAAGCCAGGTCCCGAGTCTTGCACGCGATACATTTTGTGGATCAACGGCGCCGTCATAGAACTTTGGGAAGACAGACGATCTAGCCGTATGGGAAGGTGTCGGTACACTGAGGACCGCAAACTGAAGGTGAGCTGATCGACACTCTGCATGCACTCAGTGCAGAGCTAACTAGTACCGTAGGTTTCAGTCCCAAATTGATACAGTGTATGAGAAACGGTACCGCAGCGGATGGTGGCACAGCAGACGATGTGCCGCTATCCATCGTGGCTACTGCGAATACTCAGGCTCACAAGTATTTGTCACCTGCAGTTCCCAAAACTCTTGAAGATCCCGAGGTCAGTGAACTGCACCAGTCCAATGTATCCAGCGGAGACTGACCTTCCTGACAGAATCTACGCAGCCCGGGTCAAGCTCTGCCAGCCAGCCCTCATAGACCGCTCTGGTCCGATCAAGCTGCTATCCCGCGTCCCGAGCCGCATCTGTTCCACCACCGGAAGGCTGATGAGGGCGACGATGGTATCGCTGCTGAGTATTGCGTCTAGGATGCATATTTGGCTGAGCCGCGCGAGGTGGGAGACGTCGGGGACGTCGAGGATGTGGATTTTAGGCCCGTAGATAGAGGGGGTTCGAGCACGGTCGGGAAGGCACTGGGGAGCGAGAGGTGTGATATTTATGTAATGGATGACCGTCAGAGTTGGGAGCAGTGGGACACCTACCGAGGATGTGTACCTGTTCATCGCATGGCACGACTGACTAACAGTACTTCAAACCGAGTCGCAGTATACGACCGCCCTCACTAAACAAGTTCCTAATAGGAGTCCGCACACAAATAACTTCATGGGTCTGACTAGGGGAGACTAGTGTTGCGGTACTCGTCACTACTGTGTCCTTCGCGCAAGCTGTATACATAATGCATGCAAGTTGTTTAGCTTTACTCTGGGCCTGGCGCCTGCGCGTGTGACGCGCTTGTGGCGAGACCGGCGAAAGCCGGCCCGGGACGCGTTGTGGCACTCACGCCCCATCGTACTCAACTGTGCTCAGTCTTTTGCAGCTCTACTCCATACCGCTATACAGTCAGATCTCACAGCACCCAAGTCAAACTAGGTGAGACCTGGCTCATAGCGAGGTACAAGTTTGGCTCGGCACGCGTTTAGGTGCTATTCTTGACAGCTGCTTCCAAAAAGGCCCACTCAGGCAGAGTGTGTCGTTCTTGCTATTCCCATCAAGAATTGAACCACAATCGGCAGCGTCGAGGGCGAGCCAGACTACGGCGGGTGGTCAGGGTTGAACAGAAGAAGGCGCGGATCACCTCGAAGGCAACATCCGACGCCCTCCGCCTGTGTACGCATTTTTGGTGAGGGCCTATCGTTTTGGAAACAACTGGAAGTGCTGAACTCGAGGGTTGGTGCTGCTACAGGGCTCGATCGTGCGCTACAACTCAAACTGCAACTATGCCAACAGAAGCGACGTTGCACGGAAGACTTCCACTCGAAACATGGGACAACGTCGTCGACCATCTCTGGAACGATCGCCGGGCGCTCACGGCATGTAGCCTTACCTGCCACGCCCTGCTGCCCGCTTCTCGATATCATGCGTTCTACTACGTCTGCCTCCACGATGCGGCTCGTTATCATTCTTTTGTAGCCCTTCTCTCCGAGAACAACTACGTGCAACGATACGTCCGTGCGCTCGCCGTGCACGGTTACGGCTGGACCGACAGCGAACATCAGATGTTTCCGTCTAACGGACAGTGGCTCGACCTCCTTCCAAAGCTGGATCGGCTCTGGCACCTTTGGCTGCGTCAGTTTACTTTCTACATCCCTCCTGAACTGAGGGGCACGACAGGCTCCCTCGTACGGGGTATACGGGCGCTGGATCTGACGTTGATGGCAAGTGAAGCAGACGATCTCGCTTCGCTGATCCGTGCCTGTGGTGCCCTGTCCACCCTAATATACCGCTCACCTGCCTCACCATGCGACATGTCGGCTCTAGCATCCCCAACGCACGACGTGCGGGACTGCACCATCGGTACGTTGATCTGGCAGCCCGAAACCACTCCCACAGGACAGCGCAGTTCCCTGGCTGCGCTCACCGAATGGCTTGAGCGGGGGAAGCAGCCCTTACGGAGACTGGCAGTGACGCGGATCCATGCAAAATCCTCGCCCCTTGTGGTGGTGCAAAAAGTACTCGATGCCTCTGGCGACTCGCTGGAACACCTATTCCTCGAGTTCGCTGATTTGATAGACGACCACAGCACCCCACCCCTCATTGACCTCAGAAACAACACTCGTCTCAAGACGTTGCACCTTGCAGTCCAGAGCCCCAACCTGCTCGACATCACCCACATGTTGTCCATACCTAGCTCCCGCGACGCGTTGGGTCACCTCACCTCTCTCAACTTCCGCATCGTGACCCACAAGGACTCCATGGACCAATTAGCCTCAGACTGGGTGCGATTCTGCATCGGGCTCAACGACCTCTGTCTTACCCATCCCCTTCTCAACTGCACACTTGGCATCGATCTCCGCAATCTGTGGCGCCATGCCATCCCCTCCGCGTCCCTTCCTGAACTAAGCCAGAGCATAACGGGACTTCAGACACAGCTGGTCTGCAGCCTTATGCTGTCGCTCCCGCGCCTCAGTCGGGTAGGAGGCCCCGGGAGATTACGGTTCGGTGTGGTCTGGATGTGGGCCGGCGGCGATGCGTTCTTCCAGAAGGCCCCCAACGGACGGTGGTACCCGCCGGAGTACTTCCTCGGCGATCCGGAATGGTATTACAAGGCTCAGGCGCCCTGGGAATTCTAGGTGAGTTGAACTGACTCCCGTCTCTCGTATACGTCTTAAGACATGCACAGGGCTAGGCATGTCACTATGCCTGGATATAGTACCTACGAGCGGCTCAATGGTTGCTTATCAGGATGTGATTCATACTGTGAAGAGAAATACGGGGTCGAAGATACGTGACAATCATTTTCGAGCCAAGTAATCGTCCAGAATGCCTCGTTATTATGTTTCGCGGCCGTACATCGCAAGCGAATGCATTGACGCTTTCCAACTCGAGGACACGCTTTCAGTACTTTTATCATCATTGACTTCACCGCTGTTGGGATATGTTCTGAAGTTCGTATATATATCCAAACTGGCACCGGAGGGCTTTCTCTCGGTACGTGCTCCCCACATCATGTGCATATCATGTACGGCATTGACGATGTCGGTTATCATAGTGCGCGGCGTGTCACTCACTGAGTAGTTGAGTTGCGAGTTGTCATCAGGATACAATCAACAAACAGACGTAGCATTTTCCGCCGCAATCGTAAAGCATTTACAGAAAACAGGATCATTGGCTACCACTCGAGAGGCTTCTGCATGGTCAGCGAACGTATCGCAAGACGACACAAGCAACTAAGACGACAAGAAGTACCATAAAGGATTTTACATAACCTGTACCTGCCGGGGATGTACTAGTCGAATGCGAAGGATGCGTGCATGGTGTCGCGAAGAAGCGCATTAACTTGGGCAGGTCCTCCTCCATATCCGCGTCATGGAATCGCAAGGAGCGGCAGCCAGCTGGCGGCGTCTCCTTCCTCATCACCACAATGTTCCCTGCCCATGGTCGGCATGACCATACCCAGCCTCCCGTCAATTCCCGGAGACAACGATTAATCCGGGAACCGTTGAAGAGGTAACAGGCGTCATATGAGACAACGAGGTCGTATGCGGGCGCAGAGCCGTCCACAGGTGGACCACCGCTGAACACCATCGGGAGTACGATCGTAGGTCGCACAGACCTGATCTCGAACCATTTCCTGAGGTTCGGGGAGTGTGCGATGCCGAGGTCCCCGGGATACGTCGGGTCTTCGCGCTGCACCTTGCAGAGAACCTTGACTATGCGAGGTGCGTCTTCGTTGACGGGGAAAAGGATGGCGCTGATCTTGACAGTGCGCGGTCGAACACCCGTCGGGGCTGCACAGAGTCTTTTGTGTTGGGGAAAATCCTGAAATATTTGAGTATGTCCTAGATACAACAGATCGGTGACGAAGTGCTCACCTCAGTGATATGCTCGTCGCAGCAATAGGAGACGTCGCAGCAACGAGGGCACTTCATAGATGCCTTTACGCCGCAAAGGCGGCACAATTCTGCGGATTGAGCTGCGTTGGACTCCGCCATGGTCGACAGAGCGGACATGCGGCGAAGGTGAGCTCAGACTTAAAGCTACATGAAGTGCTTCATTTTCCATCGTGGCTTCCCCGCCAGCGAACTCTAACCTTAGTGGGTCCAGACTGGGAAGCCTCCTGATTGCAGCGAACAGAAAGCTCAACAACACTACGCGTGTCCACTGCATCAGATCTTCAGGACTGACAGTGTTCGCATGCGCGATGTGCAGATATTTGTCCTTTGAAATGTCGATGTCGGTCGCATTTTCCTGCGGAGGTCCCACATCCGAGCTGTCGACCGTCTCCTTGTTGTCAAGATTGACTGAGGAGTCAATCACTAGAAAGTATGTAGAGAACAAGTGAGTTTGATCCCGAGCGCTTCGAGGACGCGCTTGTGGCGAAATGAACCGGTACATACGATCAACGGTAGATGCCGGTATGCTACACGCGCGTGCCGCGCGTACGCCGCCACTTCCCTCCACCCGAGCAACAGCTGTACATTTTGTTGTTTTCTCCGCCAGCTAACTTACGTCTCGTAGTCCCGAGATCGTAACACAGGACGAGAAGACGACGTGTTGATTACTTGCCACGCTTAGGTGCAAGGACAAGGACACCAAACGGGGCGACGTTTGGGCAACGCCAATTTTTGTAAGTCAACGATGCTCATTGCTTTCAATGCTTTGAAGCACTCCTGTTTGCAGAACCTGACGTTAGTTTTAGGCACAAGCCATGTCGATGAAGGCCACACCGGGTGGGCCATTCCCTGCCGAAACCTGGGACAACATCGTCGACCACTTGTGGAACAACCGAAGCGCGCTTGCGGCATGTAGTTATACTTGCCATGCCCTGCTTCCCGCGTCTCGTTATCATAGGTTCCACTGCGTCAGCCTCTACAGAAGTCATCATTACCATTCCTTCGAAACCCTGCTCGTTGAGTGTCAATACGTGGCCCAATACGTCCGCGTGCTTTCCATCTCTGGGTCGTATCGGAATAACCCTTCGGGATGGCTCTACCTCCTTCAGAAGCTATGTCGCCTTTCGCACCTCACTTTGGAGGGGTTCACTTTTCGCATTCCCGAAGAATTCAGGAGCGATCTCAGGCTGCGCTCCCTCATACCGCACTTGAGGACGCTGAAGATCTGTGCGATGCAGAGCGACGGAGATGACCTAGCTTCATTGATCTGTGCTTCGGGCGCGTTGTCAACTTTAACCCTTCTCGATTCGTCTATCTCATCGGAGGATAGATGGTCATCAGCTCTTTCCGTGGACGGCTCGCTCGGATGCAACGTCGATACGTTCATTTGGGTTCCTCACCATGGATTCACAGCCAAACCGAACCTGGATATGCTCACCAGGTGGTTCGAGGGCGGGCAGCGATGCCTACGGAGACTGGCTACAACGGAGATCGGCTCAGAGTTCACTCCGCATTGGTTGGTGCAGAAGCTGCTCGACGCGTCAGGTGACTTCCTGGAACACTTGTTCCTTCACTTCCCTGACCGGCCGCTCTCGGGGGATGACTCTCCGAAGCCGGTGTCCATCCCTGATCTTGGCAAGAACACTCGTCTCAAAACGCTACACATGGCATTCGGCCACTGTCCCCCTGACATAACTAGGAGAGCTCCTCTCACCACTACCACATCCATCTCGACTTTTCCCACGCTTGGAAAAAAGAGAAAACCGGTAGATGAGTAGAGCTAAAGAGACCCACGAGGGGGTCTGTTGAACGAACGTCGGCGTTGGGCGGTAACGAGCGAATGGAGTGCACGAGCGGCGGGGTATATCGATAAACGAGTGTGCGGTTTGTCTCGTCCTCGGGGCGGGGAGGCAAACGCGCGAGGTAAATACATGCGAACGTCGAGCTAATAAAGTGAATTCCTTATCTAAGTAA